ACAACCCCATTTACGATGTCAACCCATTCGTAGAAAGACAAGAACGATTCTCTATGTTGACAAGGACTTAGGAAATGCCGGGCTTGAAACTTCAGCTGACCATGCGGTACACTAGATGTCTTAAGAGGACTTGATCTCCTAACTCGGCGTAAATTCCATATCATTAGGTTATTGGAGTGTCTCGCGAAATCATGGAATATCTTGCGAGTCGTACCTACACATGCTACATAAACTTCAATATTAGGCACATTGTATGTCATCCGATGCCAAGGGCTATGGCCAGGAACACTACTTAGGCTCTTGAGCGCCAATTTTGTAGATCAAATGTCTCTAGGAAAGTCACATGCTTTAATTCCAATGTCCCCTTGCCTCTCCGCTAACATGCGTAGTTGTACCCAACTGCTGGAGTCAACCAGCCACGCCAGTTACATAGGCTATGCTATTTCGATTTCCCATAGCAGGAATGGTCATTTTCCGCGGCAATTACTACAAAGAGTGCAGAAGAGAGGCGGATGGAACTCTCGTTAAGCCTACGCCGCCCTCTGCATCAGGTCTCAATACAGAAATTTCAAGACTCGACAGACCTTGCAGGTGTGTCGACTTAAACTACCATTCGCTCAATGCCCGGTACAGTTGCATTAAACCACAATGTCTTAGACCTCGCTAGATTCATGTCTCAAAATGCCCCGATGTTTGGACTAACGCGCTTGAAACCACGACGTTCACCGAGATGAGGGAATCCCTGCGCCTGCAGAAGGAAACCAGCAACACTACATCCAGACTGGCTGGCCTTACTCCTTTCTGCTACGGCCGCCTGTGACCTCGTTTCTCACACTTATGCTTACTGATACAGTCGAGGCTCCGTTGATTTCGTCTTGCTTCTTCATTCAGCATGCCTTGCGAGGGCCCATGACGCCGCAAGCGCATATGATGAGGATAGCTTGTCTCCCCTCAGCGCTCTGCGTTAAGAGCCTCTTTTTAATTTCGTATTGTCCCCTGTTGTAAGGTACAACTGTGCGCTCACCAGCCTGTCACCCTATACGGAATGAATTTATGCAACCGATTTATTGCTCTTGCTGTTCAAGCCTAAGATTTTCGCCTAGTGCGGTAATGCTAGAACTTCCTTCCTTCGTCCTTCCTTCACAGTCATCTTCACAAATCCTCCCATGTCAACAGAGTCAATAGATAGCCACTCGCTTGATACTCAATGTCTTAGGTCAGCCTTGTGTCTGTAACACAGGCACTTTTTTCTGCTCATTGACCCTGTTCAGAAGCAATTAGTATTTGAGCACTTGACTTCTTCGTTTTCAGAATCTTTCACGGAGCCAGTAGTGGAGAAACATAAGTGAATACCCTTGAGTAAAAAGCAGCTACTCTTGACCTATAGATCTTGCCTTCTTATTGACCCTGAAATTTCACCTTCACCATCAGTTGTATTAATCTGTGATTTGCCTTTTGTAGATTTAGTTGGGAGATCAGTGTTTTACTTGCAAGCAGGGATTGATCAATGACATTACTCGAAGTCAACAATGCAACGAGCTGTCGTGAGTTAGCATGATAGAATATAGTTTGTTGCATTCACGATGAACAACCAGGCCGGACTTATAAACTGCTAACACGGTTTTACTACTAGGTCGCTTTTAAAACTGGAAATATGGAGTCAACTGCGTAGACACGGAGATTCAACAAGTGTAACCATGCAATTACTTCGAGAGATGTACGTCACAATTTTCAAACCTTATCGTTTATTCTGGATAAAATAACTCGCGGCTACTGGGTGTCCTTTGCATTGCCATTCATCGTCACGCCTCTGAGCATACCAAATGTGGAGGTATCTAGCGTGGGAGCTCGCTAAGAAATCGTTTGAGACGCCGCATTGCTTTTGTGAACTCAGCAACACCAATATGGCATCCTCTACATCAAGTAAAGCTGCTGGTCCCACCTCCCAATCTGTCACATTTCGCTTCTCACATGTCTACCGCAATTTTAGTAGCCCCGGTCGTCTTTCTCACTCTGCCGTACCATCCTCTCACAGTTGAATCAACTTTCTGGTGAAACATATACCTCTTCGGGCTTGATGCGATCATAGATGCATTATGATGACGAACTTTTCAATCGATTTCAGCCCATAAGCCGAATCTTCTCAATATTGAACACCCAGTTGTGTGGTTCTTCACGCCTTCGATACGCAGCCAACTGCAACAGTAAGACACACCATTAGCATGCCATATTGCTTCTTCCCTCACCGGGGGGTATGCTTGCCACCTTTCCAAGGACCACGAGATCATAAACTAGACTACTACCGGCCGAGTATCTTGATTTGCTAGCGTCTTACCTCAGTACATCCAAGTGCTTCTGTCAATAGCTTCTTTCAATTAGCCGCCGTTACCTAGACATCGAAGACAGGACACTGAGAGTGCAAATTGGAACTGCCCTGCGTCACAAATCACATACTCATTGCCCATTATGTCTCGGTGACGATTTTGAGGGGACAACTGTGAGGTGACACATGGCTAATTAAACACCATAGTATCTAACAGAAGGAGGCGCGCCTTCTCGATTATCCGCAGAAACCAGGCATGTCCAAAATGAGCGCCGATACCGCTTCTCACCGAGAAATGCCAAGGAGAGAAGAGAAAACGCAAACAAGCGCTGGTTTCTTAACTTTCTTTTGGTTTCAAGGATCTAAAATGGTATAACGGGGTGGTAGTCAAGGTCCAGGTCACCGGCAACCAACCAAGACAACATGTACTTCCTCGTTGCTTTTCCTCTCCAATGTAGCTCCCAACCCTCATTCTACCTTCTAGGATTCGCCGTCTCGTGGCGTCCAAACCAAAGACAAAAGATCTACACACCCCCAGCTACACAGCTTTCTTTATAGGACTGTCATCGAATGTGATCCACAATGGGACGGATCACTTCACCTAAACTTGACCGTTTCCTGCACCTCCCGGCCCGCTAATCCGTCTCATGACGTTCGTCCGTCGATTCATCACAAATGACCAAAAAACACGAACGAGTTAAGTCCAAAAGAAACACCTCTCACACCGTAAGAGCACAAACTGACCGATTGAAGGACCCCTCCTTCTCTCAGCCCGAACCACCACAAAGTGGACATTTCAGCCGCCCCGGCAGCAGTTCATATCAGGGTATCCGATACGATCTGCTCTAGAAATGACGGGTCACATTATCATGACTTACCATATTCCGCAACCCCGACCACTGTAGCGGATAACTGAAGCAGCGGGAAATGAAACTGGGAAAGAAACCAAACAGCTTACCCAACACAATGTTAAACCTCAATCTCAGTGGGATTGGGGCGAAGAAAAGACTCAAGATGTGACAACTCATCCACAGATCGCCAGCCCAGGCCTATCTGGGCCACACTCACACACACACACACACCCACACACAACCTATACACACAAGCTTCTTTTGCCACCAGCGGAGAATTTCACCAAGCCGATCGTAGCCTCGAGAAAAGGAAGCTCCCAACAGCCAATGCTGCCATCTCTGTGCCCGAGCCACCATCCACATCCACCCCTTCGGAGATGACCTGACATCGAGCCTCCTTCCCGTGGCGGACTTACCGAGGTGACAGACCCAGCCTAAGCCTGCTATACGTTGCCAATACGGATGACTTGTTCCGCTCTGTTTGCCGTCTCCAAACCAGGTTACCTATCTACACCTTTGTCTCTTCGCCTACACCGACCCAAACCCTCCCCCCCCCCCCCCCCCCTTCCCCCCCTTCTCTACCAACCGTAGTAGTCTCAGGTCTCTTCTCTGGAACCAAAACATCAAAACATTCCGGAACAGACGATTATGACCTGTCGATATGACACAGGAAGAAGCAGTAGTTCCGGTCGTGTGTCCGGCGTGGATCAATTATCCAGTCGCCTCAGCCAAACGGAGACTTTTTTTATTTTTAATAAAAAAAGACCCCCATCTTGAAAATATTCCTGGCTCGGGGCAAAAATACGGCCACGTTGAGAAGCATGTCGCACTTCGCGGCCCGCTCCTAACCTGCTTCCAGGCATCAACTCCTACCAATGTCCGGCCGATGCCCATGAACTTCATCCTCCTTCTCCTTGGCCCTTTCTCTCACTCCCCCCTCATCCCCCCTTTTTCGTCAAATCGCGACCCGTTGCGTGTCCTTGATTGTTGCCCTTCCATGCTTCTCGCCATCCGAGACGTCATCTGCTGCGTCGGAGCTGATCCCGACATGAGGCGACAATGCCGACGGGGGTTTCCTGAGTAACATGCAGATAGGGTTGTTCGGCGACTCCAGACGATGGGACAAAACTCCTCTTTTTCGTTTCTTGTTCCGCCCAAGTGAACCATACACCGCCCCTCCCACCAGTTCCTCGGCCTCACTCACCCACGCACTTAACATACAAACACACTTATTCTCTTTCTCGTTCACGCCACAATCACGCCTCGGGGGGAAAGCATTGGATGGCCGAAAACTTGGCACGCCCATCTGCATCTCAGGAGATGTGGATGAGTGGGCGTTCGCCACGTATCCAATCAACCCACTAAGCCACCGAACATCCCCGCGCCTGGGGGAAAAAAAAAAAGGACTCAGAAAACCTCATCGGTGATGCGTAGACCCCATAAACTTACCTTGCCTCGGCGGCCACGACAGTCCGAGACCGGTAGATAAGGGGAAGGAGGGTGGTTGTAGGCTTCGATGAAGGACCAGGGGTGTAAGCGGACAAAGGGCCAAAAAGATGTTTCTCAATCTCACATATTCTTACAATCGTAGACCAATACAAACGATAGATTCACGTAATTTACGCCCAATAAATTCTTTTGATCAAGCTGGTCGAGCTCCAACGTGCTTTGCACCGAGACCCCTTACCCAACGGAGAGACATCTGTACCGACTATCCAATTGCCTCCCGGCCAGAAAGCGTAAGATCTCTTCCAATCTATCACGCTTACATTCTTTTGCTCCCCCCTCCTTTTCGGATCATTGGCCGAAGTAGGTCCTGCTTTGAATTACAACTTGGAAGCGGGGCGCGCATTGCCCACGGCCGTGATCTCGTCGTACAGCAGCCTGTCATGAGTCGTTAGCACAGAAATCACCGATGCCAACAATGTCCGATGGACACAGAGCCTAGCAGGGACACTCAAAGCCACAAAGCCACAGAGCTATTTGGTAAATCCCCATGGAAAGAAAAGAAACAGATGTAGGAGGCGAATAAAGGAGTGAGTGGCTTACGTGGTCAGGAAGTCGGCGTAATCCTCGCCAGTAACCTGGCCAGCAAAGTACTGAGCGGCGAGGTGATACTTGTTGCCCTTGGGTGCCTTGCTGGCAAGCTCATCGGTCGACTCCTTGAGGAGCTTGAGGGCGTAAGCCTTGTCGACCTTCTTGCCCTCAGCCGTCGAGACGCCGTGCTTCACCCACTGCCAGAGCTGGGAGCGGGAGACCTCGGCGGTGGCGGCGTCCTCCCTAAGGTGTTCTGTAAGTTTCTGTCTCGAGACATGAGCTATAGCGGCATCACTCACATGAGGTAGTTGATAGGAACGCAGCCGATACCGCGAACCCAAGCTTCCATGTAGCCGAGACCAATGTTGAGGTTCTTCTTGATGCCCTCCTCGGTGATCTTGCCTGGCACATTCATGTTGAGGAGGTCATTCTGACCAATCTTGACGTCCTCACGGCGGACGAAGAGCTGGTTGGGCGTAGGCATGTGCTTGTTGAAGACCTCAGAAGCGATGGCTGCTAGGGCAGGATGGGCAACCCAGGTACTGTAACGTCGTGTTAGTGGCTGACTTGTTCGCAACACACGAGGCAATAGAGAAGACAAACCCGTCGTGGCCGGCACGCGCTTCACGCAGCTTGTCGGCACGCACGCCCTCCATGGCCTTGTCGTTGGCAGCCTTGTCGTCCTTGATAGGAATCTGGGCCGCCATGCCGCCCATGGCGTGAACGCCTCGCTTGTGGCACGTCTGGATGAGGAGCTTGACCTGTTGGTAAGGTTAGTTTTCTAGATACCCACGGCTTTGGGGGCGCAATCCACTGACGTATGCATCCATGAAAGGGACAGTCATGGTGACGGCGCTGCGGTCTGGCAAAACGAAGTTGGAGTTGTTTCTGAACTTCTTGATGGTGCTGAAGATGTAGTCCCAGCGACCGCAGTTGAGGCCGGAGCTGTGGTCCCTCAGCTCATAGATGATCTCGTCCATCTCAAAAGCGGCGAGAATAGTCTCAATAAGAACGGTGCCACGGATGGTACCGCGGGGCACACCGACGTAGTCCTGCGCTAGGTTGAAGGCGTCATTCCAGAGGCGGGCCTCGAGATGGGACTCCATCTTGGGGAGGTAGAAGTATGGGCCGATGCCAATCTTGAGGGACTGGTGAGCATTGTGGTAGAAGTAGAGACCAAAGTCAAAAAGGGAGCCGGAGATGGGCTCGCCATCGACGGTGACGTGCTTCTCCTCCAAGTGCCAGCCACGAGGACGGACGATGAGAGTGGGCAAAGTCCGGTCGGTACGCAGCTTGTATTCCTTGGAGCCCTGCTTGAAGTCAACCTGGCGGCGGTTGGCATCATACAGGTTCACCTGGCCGTTGACCATGTTCTCCCATGTCGGCGCACTTGAGTCTGCCGGCTCATTGTTAGCACATCACGATGGGTCTTTTGATGCTAGGTACAGGTGTGTGAAACTTACCCTCAAAATCAGCCATGTACGTCCACACATCCGAGTTCAGGGCGTTGACGACCATCTTCCGGTCGGTCGGGCCGGTGATCTCAACCCTACGGTCAACGAGACCCGGGGCGGGAGGGGCGCCCTTCCATGTGGAGTTTTCTCTGATGTGCTTGGTCTCGGGGAGGAAGTCAGGCAAAACGCCACGGTCAAGCTCGGCCTGACGGAGCTTGCGACGCTCAAGCAGCGACTTGCGGGTCGCGTTGAAGGAGCGGTGCAGCAAGGCGAGGAAAGCAAGCGCATCGGGAGTCAGGATCTTGCGCTGAGATTCCTGTACGGAGCCCAGCACATTTACTCCATTGAGAATCGTTTCAGTAGTGGCCATTTTTGCGGTGTTGGCGAGTATGTTTACTGTGTTGTTGTCGTTGAGGAGGGTAGCTGGCTAGTTGGTGCCAGAAGGTTTTCACGTGTTAGAGGAATGTACACCCTGGTGGTGCGACAGGACGACGGTCGTGGTAAGCGTTCTATGAAAGGGGTATCGTTAGTGTCGAGTTGAAGAGCAATTGATCTGGTAGAAAAGATGTAAAAGGGAAGGAAGCCTTGAGGTTGTTGAAGTAGATTATGGGACGAGTATTGGGCGGGTATAGATGACGAGAGGGTGATATGTGAAATGGCGAGGAAGAGCTTCAGACGGGCCTGGCAAGAACAAGAGCGTACGAACGATTGCCGTCGCAAGCTCGGCACAGTCGATTCGAGGGGTTGGCCGGCGCCCATCCATGCATGCCCCCCCAACTGCGACTGGGGAATGATGCATGCGAAAGAGGCAAGACGCAAAGACCCTGGACTTCACTAACCCCACCCGAGATACATGCAAATGGGGCATGCCTGCGCCGGCGGGGGAGGTAACTTGGTCCTTGGTACTGAGGTACCGTAGACAATAGCGCCGCCTTGTTCATGGTTGAGTGGCACGTCAGGGACGAGCAGCCAGCATCCATCCTTGGTCGGCAGTGATCGGGCTGGTTCGGGTGGATGGAGAGCTTCAGAGCCGGACCGCGGGGAGAGGAGAGACGTCCATGCGACTCTACGTTGGAGAAACCTTGACAAAGGCCCAGAAGGGGTTCGTCAAAAGGATGGTGGTGACGCTTGTGAAAGTGTGGGGAAAGGCTTGAAACCAAAGAAGCCGAGCCGCAGTCTCAATGGCTGGCAATTAGCAAGCAGCAACTTTGCATGTGCTCGCCGGGTTTTGCTAGCTGGAATGTACCCGTCGTCTCAGGAGTCGCTACATTCCGTTGCTGCGGCCAGAGCCAGATAACTTAGATTCAGTAACAGCTGAGTAGGCACCTTCCGAGTACAGGATATGCACGTAGTAGGGATTACCTACTCGCAGATCAAAAGTGACCTCATACCTCTTAACACCTGGACGGGCAGACGGAGCCAGTGTGGGGTCAACTACCGATAAGACGTCCACTTAAAAATTAAAATAAAACCAAGATAACCAGGAGGGATATTCTCAGCAGCATGGCGAGGAAGCATTTCCGTGCCCGCTTCAGTCTTTTCGCCTCCACCAATTCTGTTACTCGATTCTATCGAGAAATCTTGAGTACATTTTTCTGTTGAGTTTGCGTGCTCAAACAAGCATAGGGTTTATTGCCCAAAGAAGCTCCATTTCTAGGCCCGAAGTCGGACAGTCACGATAAGATATAGCACATGTCGCCGCCGGCCAAGGGCCACGGCCAATCGTGAGACCCGCAAATCGATGCTCTCTGGGGGAAAAGGGGACCTTAGCTGTCTGTCTGTGAAGTCAAATACCTGCATATGCTCCATATTCTTATCTCTTGCAACAACAACGCGAATCAACCACACAAAAACAGAAGGAATTACTCTTCGTCAGTAAGCTTATATAAAATCCTCCAGCCCAAGGGCATCAATCCGAGCTAGTCGTAGCTCTCTCCGTTTCTGTAGATCCGATTCACCGAGCTGCCGAGGTCTGCTCAATGTGCCACCCCAGGTTCCTGAAGGCCCAATCAGCTTTCCTAGTAAAGCCGACCATTGCCGGCCTTTTCCGTTATTCAGATTGTCCATTATCACAAGAATCCCATGGCTCCCATCTGTACTGAAGGTCTCCTGGTGAGAATGCAGGCTCAAGTTTTCCTAACAATCAACTTTTTATTAACAGCTCGAGTCTATGGATCGCGGTTGCTCAACTGTACAAACAAGCCGGATGACCTCGGTCGCCGTCTTTCCTCAAGACCTTCTCCAATCCTCCAAAGTCTAATGTATACAACCACAGTTGCAGCTCTGGGCGAGTCATCCAACAACATTAACTATCCTTCCGTCTGCCAATCGACGTGAGACCGCCTGTCGAGTTGCCATAAACATGCCTTTGTGAATCAAGCCTTGCCTCCAAAATGCAGTCCCAGTCATTCCTAGACTCGGAAAGTGTCGCAATAAAAAAGATAAAAGGAAAACTGAATCTTCGGCCATGGCCGCCACCAGTCAGTCAACCAAGCAAGCCACCCATATTGGCCAAGAAAAAATATCTCTGCCAACCATCTGACGCCAAATGCAGCCTCGTCCATGCTCAGGAATTGAGTGTTTTGATCATCATCTTCTCCTTGCGTTTGTCGCAAACGAGCAGCCCACGAGATTCGAAAACTGCCCGAACAGTGTCTACCACCCTATGAAAGCTGCTTGCCGCTCCGCGTTCTTGGGTAAATCGTACAATGCATAAGGGTCCCTTCTTTCCGTGCTCAATCACTGTCATAACCTCCGCAGCAAATGCAACCTCCTTGATGCTTAAGTCTGCCAAATGTTAGTCTCGACCAAGTCAAAGCATCGCCCAGGAGGACTGACAGTTCTTGACCCCAACTCGGGCGAACACAATGTTTCTCTCCTTATCGACTTGAACATCTTTCAAGCCATAACGTCGCCAATCTTTGAAGAGAATCGCCATTTCCTGGCGAGCTCGTTTGCGCGACATCACTAAACAAACGTAGCTCATCGCTGGCTTAACGCCAAAGAGACGAGCCAGCCAATTTTGCTGCACTTCGATGTTCCGCACTCCTTTTTCCGAGTCGTTCCAGCTTCTAGCGGACTGCCGACTTTTCATATGCCCAACATCTTGGTTAGGCCCTGGAGAAGGGGAATTGTTGTAGTCTGGATTCGCCGGATGCGTCAGTAACAGAGAATGAAAAAAAAAAAAAATTGATGCATGACCTACTAGCAATTTCCATCTTGCTCTCCAGCTTGTGTTTGCCGCTCTTCCAAAAAAGTAGACCGAAACCTTTTTTCTTTGTAGGCACTGATAGAGAAGATAGACGAGGCTGAACCTCCAATCGGCTGGGTTCTGTTGATTGGGTAGTCATGCTGTATGCTTGTGTGTCTTGGGTCGCCTCGGTATGTATGCTGCCCTCTAAGGAGGTACTATCTTTCGAAGAACGCTTGAACCACAAAGACTTCTTCTGCTTTGTTGGCACATTGCTATAATTTCCCGTCGATGGAGCAAGTGATTCGTCCGCACCAGATGCTCCATGCATAAACACATGGCGCTCGTTGAGTTGATCAACATGGCCTGGCCGATCAGACATCTTTTTCCGTACATTTAAGGGCTTGGGAATAGGATTTCTTGTACCCGGAGAGTTAACCATTCGAATAGTCTCACCAGCTCGGACGAGATAATCCAGACCATCTATATCATGTTGGCCATCATGAGGTTTCGAAGGGGCAGACACGATACGATTTCTATCCCCGTCGCTCGGAGATGAGGACTCTGTGTCTCGGCCGCTTTCATTAATCGCTGGAAGCCGGAGAGAAGCCTTGCCATTCTGGCTGTATGGTGGTGCAGAAACAGTACGACGGTCTTGCTTAGGCATCAAAGCAGGGAAGCCCAGTCGATTGACATGGTCAACAAACTTCCCAACGCGACCTACTTGCTGTGTATCTCTCATATTTTCTCGAGTATTTTCCGTTTTTGTTGCCACAGGGATCGCAGGAGGTTGCGATTTAGGAGGCGGCAGAGGTGGAAGCGGGCGAGTGTCCCATGGATGAAAAGCAGTATTTGCATTCGCGGAGGTCGGTGTAGGTATGGTGAACGAAAGCCTTGTAGAGTCTCGCTTGCCGTCTGACCCATCATCCAAGGCATGCTCGCTGGGTGCGTCAGCAATCATGGAACTTCCGAAAGCCTCATCACAGTCTTTTGCGATGCTGTTGCTGAAGTTTCGCACTTCTTCATTGACAATTAGCACGGGGTCCTGAGCCTTCACGATCTTCAACTTCGGCCTAGGTCTTTCCATGACAGGCATTTTCTTCGAAGAGTTTATTGGGGATTTAGCCCTCTCCGGGCCAGGAAGGGTGGCAACTGGAGTTCCTCGACGGCGCTTTTCTCCATGCTGATCATTCGACTTCCGTCCTACATGGGAAAAGTCGATACCCCGCTTGTGACGAGAAGCTGGTCGAGCATAAGGGGTCCCCTGCCTGCTACTGGGCAGTGAGTTCATAGAGCTACGGGGAGACTGAAAACGGGAGGTTGTAGCAGTGCGTTGAGAGTTGACGCGAGAATGGCGTACCGTTGAGCCAGTCTTGTTTCGCGAAAGTTGAGTCGTATGTGTGTTTTCTCTTTTCATCGATCCACGACGTGCGCGGTGAACTACGATCTTGGCATGGCTGACTTGGGAATGCCCACGCATTGGTTTGCTTGAGTTGTAAGGATCGTAACTTTGTACCGTTCCATTCTCCGTCTCTGCGACATGGGAGATGACAGTGAAGCGTGAAATGCTTCTGCCAGTTCCATCTGCCCTAGGTTGATTGAATTCAACTGTTGACACTCGCTTTTTCCAGACAGGCTCGTGAAGATGATGATAGTCACTGGGAGATTGAGAAAGTTCTGGAAGAAAGTTCTCTAGCTGCTTCTTGCGGTAATCATATAGAAGCCAATAGAAAAGTTTCTGGTCGTTTTTCCTATGTCAAGTCAGTTGGCGCCCTTGCCATAAGAAGGGAGTTAAGACATACGCAGAGTCCATGAGCTTCAGTTTAATCTGATGTTCAGTGAGCATATGCCACATGGACCTAAGCTGCCTGACCAAGTGGGGGTCGACTTCGTGGGGCTTTAAAGGAGTGTAATGGAAGTTCTTCCGAACGTCTTTCGGTTGACCGCTGGTGCCCAGATTGTCGAGGTAGTTGTATTTGCGAATAAGTGGGTGTTGCCACATTTCTTTAATGGAGATCCTCGTATCGGGATTGGCAACAAGCATTCGTCGGATGAGATCTTTGGCCTCAGAACTCAAGAACTCTGGGATCTCGTATGTTCCCCTCTTCGTTTTCTGTAGCAGAGCACCGATATCGGGATCGTCGAAGGGTAGACAGGCGGCTAAAAGAGCGTAAAGAATGATACCCAATGACCAGATATCAGCCTTGTCTCCCCGATAATGTTTGTGCTTCAGGAGTTCGGGGGCAGCATAATGTGGACTCCCACAAGCCGTCACTAGTCGATGGTCCGAGGATTGGTGTAAAGCAGCCATGCCAAAGTCAGCAATCTTAACTTTGTTATCGGATGTCAATAGAATGTTCTCTGGTTTGAGATCGCGATGGCATATGTTGAAGGAATGGCAGTATTGAAGAGCGCTCATCATCTGCCGAAAGATGTACATCGCGCCTTCCTCGGAGAAACGGCCATTGGTATTGATGTAGTCGAAAAGATCCCCTTGTTCGACATACTCGAGTACCAGATAACTATGTCACGTTAGCCCACTGCAGCTTGCGCAAAGAGATGGACGACACACATTTCTGAACGATTCTCCCAGATATCATACACCTTCATAACATTGGGATGGTCCACCAGCTTCAAGATGGCAACCTCTCGCTCAATTGATAAGGGAACGCGCTTTTCTCCGTTGATAGTTTCAGGTAGGCTATCGTCATAGTCGTGCAACTCCGCGAGGCTGCCAGCCTGGATCAGATAGGCAGTCTTCTTGGGGACAATTTTCACGGCAGCTAATTCGCCAGAAATACGATGTTTGCAGAGCCTCACCCGAGCCGAGGACCCTTTTCCGAGAGTCTTGCCAAGTAGCCAAGGGCCAATGTGCGTTTTGTAAGCATATGCACTGCTTCGTTTGCTCGACGGAGCCGTGGAGGTCTGAGAGACCTGCGACATTCGCTTCGACCTATCTGTATCCTGCGACGCTCTCGCCCTTGCCACAGCTGGGTTACGAGAACTTGTTGGTGCAACCACAGGAGTTGCTACTCGTGGCTCAGAGACGGGTAGGTCGTCGGCATGATTCGCAAAGGCAGTAGTTTGTTGGACATAGCTAGCGGCCTTGTCGCGTGACTTGGCTGATTTGACGGGAATCCTCGAAGAAGCATTGTTGACGCGCTGTGTGGCATCCGCGAGAGGAGGCCGGGCATTAGATGCTCTAACACGACCGGTCTCGTACATGATGGAGACTTTTTTTTATCGCCGTGGTCAAAACATGATCGGTCTGTGAAGAACCACTGTTGATCAATTCTGCGTGTGAGGAGTTGAACAAGGAAGGCGTAGAGATTTGGAAGATAAAGGGTCCTGAACGGGTAAAACGAGTGAGGATGAGAAGCTGACCGGCCAGGACCTGAACGAATGGATGGATTTGATAGACTGGGTTGCCAAAAAAGTCAGACGATACAGAGAGGGAGTGGATGGGTTTGGTAATGAAGGCGGGAAAAGGAGAGGCAGCGCGAAATCCTGGGTGACTAGAACGCGCAGAGTCAAGCTGAGTGTTGTGGTAGAAATGTGGAATGTAAGTGGGCGCTTGGGTGTCGAGGCAAGAGACGTAGGTGAGGCAATCGGGGCCAGAAATGGAAGGTTCGAAGGGAGACACTGGTTGTACGTTGCCCCTTCCCACCCCGTTAAAAGGACGAATATGGCAACGGCGAAGGTCTTACTGGGTTGGACGAGTGGAGCTTCTAGTGTAGCTGGAATGAAGATCCAGCTTTTGATTTCAGCCAGAGGCCTGACAATATGGGCTGCCAACTTATTTCACCAAAGGACTGCACATCCTGCCCAACTCCTATAGAAGTTCCTTGCGAAGCAGGGCGACGTCATCACGATTTCTGATTACCTTGCCTGCCCTAGTACTGGAATCTCATAGCCATGTGAAATGTTTCAATAGGGCAGAACTTCGGATAGTGATGCATTATGTGCGGTTTTGCAGGTCACCCATCTACACTTTCTCCTTAAGTTTTGGGTTGGTCCCTTCTTAGTCTGCCCAAGCACTGCTTTGAGGTTCGTAAGTAAGTGATTTCCTGTGAACGCGACTGCAAGCAATATAGAGAACTTGACTCGAAGAAATCGCTCAAAGCCTTCCTCCAGTTGGCAACAGGGCGAAGCCGGGTCAAGACACTGTAGGGGAGTCAAGTGGACGATATGGCAGCTGGATGGCCGACTTGCGAGGGATGAGGTTGCAAAGCAAAGCAAAGCAAATCCACGTACTAGTAGTCGCCTGCCCCACTTGGAGCTCCCAAGCCCCACTAGCTCCATCTGCACCCGCGCCCGATCTGGCTTAAGTAAGCAACCGGAGCACCTGTCGTAAACTTAGCAACACCTTGAAGCTTGCAAGGGGGTGCGCGGTGGCCAAACACGCGTCTAAATTAGTTTCGCGTCGCATTCACTTGTCCCAAAATGCACAGCGGGTAGGATGCTCGGGTCGACACTGCCTACCGCCGCTTCCACCTGAACATCGGAATAGCACCACGGGGTGCAGTTCGGCTGAACAGTCGCGACCAAAGCTTAGCGTGCATCAGCATGTCATCCCATCCCTCAAGTCGTCGTCGACGACGCGACCCAGACGACGATAGCGATTCCTCCTCTGCTTCCGACGGACCCAAACGCCTTCGCTTGGCTCGACGTGCTCATGACTCCGACGATGAATCTATATCGCAAAACATACTTCGTACGAACGGCGTTAACGGAATAAAGTCTGAACCCGACAAAGATGGGTTCCAGCCGGGTGCTATCCGCCGTGTAAAGGTTGAGAATTTCGTCACCTACGAAAGGGCAGAGTTTTTTCCTGGTCCCAACCTCAACATGGTCATCGGACCGAATGGAACTGGGAAGAGCTCTCTCGTCTGTGCCATCTGTCTAGGCTTGGGCTTCAGCCCGAAGCATCTTGGCAGAGCCGGTAACGTTAAGGAGTTTGTCAAACACGGCAAACCTACAGCGGTCATTGAAATTGAGTTACAACGTCGACCGCAGGATAGAACGCATCACGTTATTCGAGTACAGATCGACCGTGAGAGGAACAGCCAGAAGTGGTGGCTCAACGGGAAAGACAGCACGCACAAGAAAATTCAGGGCCTCATGAAGGACCTGAAAATCCAAGTGGACAACCTCTGCCAATTTCTGCCACAGGACCGCGTTGTCGAATTTGCTTCTGCTACCCCGATTGACTTGTTGCATGAAACTTTGCGTGCTGCAGCACCGCAAGAGATGCTTGAGTGGCAGAAAGAGCTACAGGAACTTCATAGAGAACAAAAGGACCTCCAGCGGGGCTCTACGAACTACGCCGACCACCTCAAAACCCTCGAGGACAGACAGCATGATATGCAAAATGATGTCGACAGGCTCCGCGAGCAGCAGGAAGCTCAGCAACGTGTCGTTGATCTCAAAGATGCCCGACACGTAGCTGATTATCTCGAAGCGAGATCTCTTTACCAGCAAAAGAGGAATGAAGAAAAAGATGCCAAAAAAATTCTGAAGAAGCTTGAAGAAGAGGCTTCACCTTCCTTAGAGGCTGTGAATCGCAAGCAGGAATACCACGACAGGGTTTCCGTAGTGGTTCGTGCTCGCAAGGATGCACTGCGACGTGCGGAAACAGCAGCCGACACCTTACTTAACCAGATCGAAGACGCTGAAGAACAGTCAAGAGCCATTGGTGCTAAATTAGAAACCAACCGGAAAGGATATGATGTGAAGAGACAAGAACTGGGCAAGATTCGAAGCAAGATTGGCGTCTTGGAAAACCAGAAGAAGAACAAACCCCAGGAGTTCAACGCTCAAGAACATAATACCCAGATTGTGAGTCAAGTGTTCTCAGCGCATCAAATGAAACGTGGCTGACAGACTACATAGCGAGAGAAGGAGCATCAACTCCGGGAAATCGAGACGGACCTTCGCCAAGCGGATGGGAAGATGAGAGACATCAAGGAGCAGGGTCATGCCAAAACGCACATGAAAAACAAGCTTAATCAAGAGCTCGAAAGTCTGAACTCGCAACAAGGACAGCTTCTCAACCTTATTCAGAAGAAATGGCCTGACGTTGCCAAAGGATGGGCTTGGCTTCAAGAAAACGGGGATAAGTTTGAAAAGGAAGTTTTTGGGCCACCTGCTCTGTGTTGTTCTGTCAAGGACGAGCGATACTCTGACCAGATTCAGGCACTCTTACACAATGACGACTTCCTCTGCTTTACAACTCAAACCAGGGAGGATCATAAGAAGCTCAGCGACTACTTTTATGGACAACTAAGTCTCTCTGTCAACACCCGGTCTATTTTCAGATCGATGCAGGACTTCAAACCTAAAATATCTCGGGAGCAGTCCAAAAGTCTTGGTTTCGACGCATTTGCGATTGACATGTTGAGCGGGCCGGAACCGGTTCTCGCTATGCTTTGCAACGAAAAAAAGCTGGATGTCGCTGGTATTGCTTCGTCTGACATTAATGACGCTCAATACGAGCGCATTATCCAGGATGGGATCATCAACAGCTGGGCCACTGGTAGGCAACTTTACAGGGTGTCTCGACGCAGGGATCTCGGCCCTCAGGCCGTTTCAACTATGACCAGGAGCATTCAGAAGGGCCTGTTCTGGACAGACCAGCCTGTTGATGAGGCTGAGAAGAACGAGATTCGACATCGACTGAGCGAAGTTGAGGCAGAGTTTGAGGCCCTGAGAACGCAGAATGCTGAGGTCAAAGCTCAGATGAATGCCCTTAACGAGAGGAGGAAGGAGATTAATGAAGGCCTTGTAAGTTGTAGTGCATGCGGTTTTGGTTACGAAACTGACAAACCACACAGAAAGTACTCAGGGAAAGAAAGAATGAACTACAAAAAGCCCACAATGCTTATCAAGCAATTCCCATCAAACTTGGTACGCTAATAGCCGCACAGTACTGGAAATGTTGACTAACCCACGCGTAGAGTCTGAGAAGAAGGCATTGGAACAGAAGAAGGCGGAGGCCGAAGAGGCAAAGACAGAGCATCAAAAACTTGGCTTTGAAAAAGATATAGCCGTCTTGAACAAGGCCAAAGCTACTCTACGCCATCATGCCGCAATCGCTGCTATTCGGGAAGCACAGGAAGCTCTGTTGGAGGCTCAGATTTGCGAAATTGAAGCCACGTCCGATGTCGAAGGTCTCAAAGTTAGGAACAGCGACCTAATGCAGCAACTTGAGGAGGAGAAGCAACACATTGAGGCGTTAGTTCAAGAGTCTCAGCGATGCAGAGCTCGTGCTGAGGCAGCCCGAGGCAAGGTGGCACAACTATTCCATGACGATCCTGACAGGAGGGATGTGCTAGAGGGCTTGGCCAAGGACAAGTCTGTTGAGGATGTTGACAATGAGATTGCAGCTGAGGAGGGCAAACTCGAACTTATTCACGTTACTAACCCTGGTGCCCTGCGCGAGTTCGAGAAACGCGCTCGAGAGATTGAGAAGTTGCGTCAGAAGATGGAACATTCGACGACCAAGCTCGAGCACCTCAACCGTCAAATCTTGCGGATTCGCGAGAAATGGGAGCCGAAACTTGACGAGCTCATCAGCAAAATCAACGACGCCTTCAGTTACAATTTCGAGCAGATCAATTGCGCTGGAGAGGTTCGCGTACACAAGGATGAGGACTTTGACCAGTGGGCACTGGACATCATGGTCAAATTCAGGTATGCTATTCGCACCACGCCGATGCTGTAATTACACTCCTGGTGGTGGACAGGTCCGCTAACATCAAGCAGAGAGAATGAGACACTCCAGCAGCTCAATCAACACCGCCAATCTGGCGGTGAGCGCGCTGTTTCCACCATTTTCTATCTCATGGCCCTTCAGTCAATGGCGCAGTCTCCCTTCCGAGTTGTTGACGAAATTAACCAGGGTATGGACCCTCGTAACGAGCGCATGGTACATGAGCGTATGGTCGAAATCGCGTGTCGTGAGCACACATCACAGTACTTTCTCATAACACCCAAGCTGCTTACGGGTCTCCGATATGACCCACGCATGCGTGTGCTCTGCATAGCCAGCGGCACACATATGCCCCAGGATGGCAAAAAGCTTGACTTCGGGCGCTGTCTGCAAATTCACAAGCGCGTGACGGCCAGCGCATAGAGGTTGGAGAATATCGTTTAAGGCTACCAAGTGAGCGCATTTTTCGAATTGATATCGGGCGGAGTCAAGGCGTCTGGGTGGGGAAAGTGTCATGAGGTCACGATACCCCGGGATTACAAAAAATTCCTTTTAGATAACATGAGGCCATCATACCAAAGCCAGGCACGTTTGTAGCATTATTGTTAAACCAGAGGGTTGACAGTGATACCTACAATTTGGACAATGTTGCCATTTCGAGTCCTATTGAGAGCAACATTGCATGGATGGCGAGAGACCGAAATTATATAGACCACCGGACATAGACCTACCTGTAAAGACCGTATGGCCTGAAATAGAGAATCCATGTACCCCTTACCAAGTGATTGGTAGGCCATATGACATCTCCGTGGCTTGGAGCTGCTTTATCCTTGGGCCTGCATGTTTGTATATAAAGGTTCGCAGATTTGCCCAGCTTATTGGTGAACAGTCTAGTGACAGAGGACTAAACCAGGACGCTAGTAGATGGATAACAATGCAAATGATTATTCAGTTTCCAAGCAAATAGTATATGGTATGTATTTTAGTACATGTTTCCCGACGCGTCTTTACCTCGAATGCCGATGGAGTCATGGTACACAGGTTCCCTGCGACAACGTGAGCAAGGCGAGCCCTGGTTCCTGCATATTAAAATGTGCTGGAACGCCATCCCGCTTCTAGAGGTGAGCTCTTGGACTGCAACTAATATGTCCGTCTCAAATTCCGAGCGGAGATGGGTTTGACTTGCGAAACATAAAAAGTGTGCAATAAAAAGGTATCATACATACAACACCAGGTATTCGCTGGTCGTCACCGACCCAACTACTAATCCGGCCCTCACTGGCTTATCTATGGGAGAGCGGACGGGATCCCGAGTTTTCCAGTGGGTATGGTCGTATGTACTTGCTTCTGCGTTAATGGAAGAATAAGAAGGGAGCTAGGTGTTTCGATATTGATGGGACCAACGCAAGACTGAACCTGTGACACACAACATTATTCGCAGAAGTATATAGTTTTTGTATTTGAATATTCGAAACTAGTGAATGAATCTATTCACTTGAGTAATTTACATTTTCCTATACTTAGAGTAGTGATATGTGTGTGTGTGTCTCTTGAACAATGTCCCCGTCCTATGCTAACGAGTGGTTCACACGCGGCCCCACATTCGTAATTCTCAACCAGTTCCGAGTGCGGCCCGGGAAGATGGCAAAGTGGGGCCGGATGAGTGAACGGTCTCTAGAGACTTAAAACATAGGCGCACTCCATTTAAAAAATAAAGAAAAAACGCGTGTCAAAGTTGCCATTGAAGGAGCAAATTCATTTCCAAATGTACTGTATTCAAACTAGTGGCTCGGTCAAACTTTATTTTCAACGTCACAGCCCCTGGACAACGAAGTCCGAGCATCTCCGCTCTCGTGAACGACCCACAATCCCTCCTGAACTAGCTGTGTAAATCCAGCTTCATTTGCAATTTCAAGGGTATTCCAAACGCCGCTTGACCTCCAAAGTCAAAACTTGAAAATGAACAAAAAGAAGTGTGTGCTGTTGTACCTCCCCCCTTAACCAGGACTCTCTTTTTCTTTTTTGATAAAGTCTCCTGGCCTGTTGATCCGTGTTTATCAGGCCCCCATGGGTATCCAAGATGTATATGTATGTCCAAAAGCCAGTTCATGTCCGACGTCGATATCGATCGAGTATCAATGTGTATGCGCATAGATTGTACATAGGAAATAAAAATAGAAAGTGCGCCGGTTAGCGCGAAGTGGGTGTAGCTTTTGTTCCAAACGCCAGCAAAATTCGGTTTGTCTGCGAAAAGAAATGATGGGGCTAGCCATAATGAATCGTTTTCTAGCAATAGGGTCGAACGCAATTTGGAGCATATTCAGCCCCAAATCGGCACGTTGCGGTAGGCAGGCGAGTTGTAGCTGTGCAGCACACGATAGGGAGGGTTGCCGTGTGCGTGGACACTGCGGCTGCGACTCCGACTACGGGTGAGGCCTGGTTGGATGCTGTCGGGTGAGAAGTAATCCTGCTGTTCCCGCTGGTGTTGTTCTCGCTCCTCCTTCTCCCGCTGCTGCTGCTCAATTCTTACCAATTGTTGGTAATAGGTACCGTATTGGTTGACGGGCTGACCAACAGAAGGGCGTCCTTGGGCTACTGGCCCACGATACTGCGGGGAGAAGCCGTCATAGCTTGCTCGGTGGCGGAGTTGGCGTGTGGGTTGAGCTGTGGAAGATGCGGTTGGCAGGCTACGTATGGCAGGGCGGACGTTCTGACTAGGTTCAAAGCCGGGGCGGCTAATAGGGCGCCACCTCTCTTCAGGCGCTCGGTGTTGAATCGTAGACTGCTGGTCCAGCATTGAGTACCGCCGTGGGCTCATCGGCGGGATTGGGGGCACGGCAAGCGCATTGCCGACTGCCAATGGTGAAGCTGACGGGTAGCTGTGGATTGTCTCACGGCTGCTCTGCCTGGACAAGCTCTGCCGTCTGAGTTGAGGCTCACTAGATGACGCAGAATGTGGGCGAACTGGAGCCTGCTTGCGAAAGGTCTTCCCGCTACGGGTGTACAAACTCACTGGCGGTGACGTTTTCTTCTTACTGGACAACTCCGGGAAGTGTTGGCTGTGAGGCGAGGAAATAAAGGCACCATCGCCTGGCATGGGCATCAGCTCTTGCGCCTGAAGATGTATGCCCATGTTGCGTTCCATTTGCGCAGTCATTGTGAACGTCCGACTGGCCGGCTTGTGAGATTCGTCTTGATGGGACATGGTGGTGATAGGTTGGTCCAAAAGACTCCTACCGACGCTCTCGCTCACGGACTCGTCCTTCTCCGCGTTGGTGGAAGGGACCGGTTTCCGATGGATCGAACGTCTAGGCATTACCGAGGCTGCCGCTTGTGCAATTGAGGAAGGCACCGACTGGAAATGGCGGCGACGTGGCGTCTTGGGCTCATCCACTTCTTCGGCTGTCTGCGCAACCGGTTTCCTCGTGATAAGCGTTCGTTCTGCCACAGGAGAAGAATCTCGGCAGTCCTCCATTTGGGTAGCATCGGTGCTGCCAACGCTAAAAATCGTCTTCAAGGTGTCCTTGCTCGCCTGGGTACGTAGAGTCAGTCGCTTAGTCGACGTTGGGAATCTACCAGAATGTTCCTCTAGTTTTGTCTTAACAGTCGAGGGCACAGTAGGTATGGTATCATCGGCAGGATGGGTGGTGTGAACAGCGGGTGGACCTCGCATACCCGAACCGGTGAGAAACCGTTGGAACTTGCTCGCTCGTTGAGACCCGCTTCCAATAGCGAGGACCGAGTTCGACTTGTCAGAACCGGCGCCGCTCGAGGGAGTGGACTCCGGAGAGGTGGGTCCATTTTGGGGAACTTTAGTACCATCCAGGACCACAGGAGTTTTGCGATCCCTGCGGAAAGCATTGGCGGCGCTCAGGTTGAAGAACGACCTTGGCGATGTAACAGCCATCGCGGTACTGTTTGGCGAAGGTTGATCGGATTTCGCGGGCTGAGATGGGAGTGTGGAGGGTGCAGAACCAGCACCAGCAATTGCAACATCGTCGATATTAATATGGCTGGTTGCCGGAAGAGCGACAATAGGAGATAAACTAGAGTCAGATTTCTCATCGTCTGATTCATCCAATGCGGTATTAGCATTTTTGCCCTTTCCGAGGGCAGTTTTCTTGGCATGAAACGACCTCAGTGAGACATTCGAACTGTAGCCGGAATCAGCCTTTGAAAGGGGCTTGGGCTGGTATTCGCTCGTTGGACTGGTAACAACGCCGCTGTCAGCACGAGCAACGCCTCGCGACTGTCTCTGGGATTGGTCCGCTTGCAGTTGCTCGATGGATGGTTTCGCATTTGGGTCGTTTCTAACGGATAGAATCTCGGCCGAGTATTCGGTTTGCATATCGTCCTCAAACAGCTCGTCTTCCATTGCTGTATGCTTTGATGCAACCTTCAGTACGGGGCTCAGTGGCCTGCTTTAGGTCAGTATGGTTACTCTCAAAAGGTTACGTAACAAACACCATCTTTTGCAAAGGTTAGAATGGGGGCTACTAACGAATTTGGCCCTGACCTGGCCATCTCCGTCCCCAGCAAAGACGTCGTCCTCGGACTGTGAACCTCGAGAACAGCGCTTGACTGCACTAACAACACAGTGCCCTCAAGGTCCTTGCGGCCACGGTCGTCTTCGTCCATCGAATCCTCCGGCACGGCATATTCAGGGTTCGTAAGTTGTTCGGCCAATGTCTTTTGTTCTGCCGGCGGTTCCAAATCCGGACTGGGAAGGGGGCTGGCCGCCCCGTTTGTAATACGCAAAGATCCGAACTTCATCGCGCCAAGTGGCCGATAGTCCATATCGGAAGGTGTCAGAGCGCGTTCAATGGGCTCTTTAACAGGCGGGTGAAGAAGCTCTGGGAGATCTTGTTCGGCAACAAACTCATCGAAAAGCGCAGGGGGGTTGAGGCTTGACTCAATTGAGTTCAATCTTGACTGCCCAAACGCCGGTGTAGCTGGCATGCTGCGCCGAAAGCTTGATCTCCTCGAAGATGAATAGTCCGCTGCCGAAGGAATGCGAGTTGCAAGGCCTGGGGTTAGCACCATTGAACGCCGCCGCACTGGGGCGTAGAGAGACACGTCGGAGTTGGCTCTGGTAATCTGCGCGCTCGCGGGTTGAGGGTGAAGAGGGTGAGAACTCTTCCATGTGCTGGGCGAAATCTGAAAACGCGAAACCTCAAAGTGACTCTCAGACATGATTGAGCTTTCCTCGCAGGCTGTGAGTTCTTCGTTCAGATTGAGTAACCGTCTCGACTCGTATGACATTAGGTTGTAATTAATGGACTGTCGGTTGCCAGGAACGAGCCAGCTAGAGAATCAAAAAATTAGCCATGTTAATCTTTATCGGGCATGCAATTGGCATTGCTCTCGTACCTGTCCACCTGCAACTGTCTTGCCTGGTCCATGTCCTTCTGAGACTCCCAAGTCATGGAGTTTGCCCTTGACATCCTGTCGCTTATCTCTGGGTTTACCATAATCGTCTGTCTTCTTTTGTCTTTCCGCCGGGAATCTTGGGAACTCTTGGAACGGAACAGGCTGGCTCTACGCTTCCAATCCCTTGTTGATGGTTCTGGACTATCTTCGGGCACTGGTGGTACAGGAGGAATAGTTTGGGTTGGGGGAGTCGTGTTTGTTTGTACTCCATTTGATGTTGAAGGCCTGGGCAAATGTGTTTGGGACACTAGACGAGAATTCGACCGAGATGGTGGGAGGCTGAAGGATGCGGTGCGATCATGGCTGCCTAACAGGCCAGCTGCTTGTGAGGGTGGGGTCGAGACATGGTTTCCGACTCTCGGTTTTGACAGCTTCTGAGGAGATCTCTTACTGGAGTTACCGTAGGTGCTGGAGTGATGTGTCGATTCAACCGAGTGTGTGTTGCCCATTTTGACACCGTGGGTGCCGTCTTACCGACTTATTCGTGCCTGGTCCAGATTCGCAGGGGCACTGCAAACTGGCAAACTCAAGGCTCAAGGCTCAAGGGGCGGATAAATTGATTAAATCGAGAAGAAGGGCGAGGATGTCCAGCCAGCAGGAATATGTTATGAAGACGACCTTGATACTGCCATGCCGCGCGAATGTTCTTAGACCTGATGTCTGCTTGTTTGAACACCAGTCTCATTTACCCAGTTCCCACCACAAACGAATGCGCCGCGCCGGTGCGGTGAGATTGGGAATAATGGCGTGATAAGCTTGGACCGTGTGGAGGCAAAGCTCACTTGAAGTCGGGGAGAAAAGGGAAAAAGACAAGCAATGCAATGTAAGGCAAGGTTGAGGACCAACGCGATCAGTGAAGCGAGGAGGAAAGGGGGCACTCGAGGGGTCTAATAGATCACCAAACGGAGACCAGGACGAACAAAGGATAGTGGTGGTTTGTGGTGGGATAGGCGCAATTAAAACATAGCTTGCATGGGTCTGAGCATCTGCGCACCGGACCAGACCGAGCGAGCGTCTATCGATTAAGCCGACAGATACTCCACATCAGAGCATGCCTGTTCTCTTAAGCCTTGGGCAGTAAGAGCTAATTGCTGGGGTCAGTGGCAAGTTGTGCATGCTTTTACGGACTTGTGAGCGAGAGCAAAGCAGGTTTGGGCCGGGAGTGTGTAGGTGTTGGTGCTGGGTGCCAGTGTAGGAATGGGCCTCAGATGGCATCTGTTCGAACAGATGCCATGCACAAGAAACCAGGAGGTGGAACTACGGTGACGACCTACATGGTTTGAGACGCGCAAGGTGGGTTGGAGTAGGGTGGAAAAGGACAGAGTACCGCCTGCGGCGGCGAATGGGCAGGGCTATTCCAAGTTCCAAGCCCACTGGTTGCTGGCCCATGCAGGGCTGCAGTGGCATGCGTCTTGGCTGAGCGGGACGTGGTCGTAAGGTGTGGTTGGGGAGTGCCAAGTCGTGTCGGACGGCTATCCGTATGGGTGTAGCGGCATCAAGTGGCATTGAATACCCAGTAAAGGCGGAGGCAACGCAGAGAGACCTAGCAATGGGAGGGATGAGGGACACCGCACAGCTGCGGTAAGGTGAGGTGAAGTGTCAAAGTAGCGTGTACTAGTACAGAGTACCTTGTCCGCGGCCAGGATATGGGCATGGATAGCGGACATCTGGAGAGGATGGAGTACAATATGGTCTTTCGTCTGATTGATGCCATTGTTCGCGGTCTAACTGGGTTAGGCGTTGTTTTCTGAAAGAAAGACAAGTTGCCCCTGCCCTGTTCTGTCCACTCCAAAGGACCTCTTCAGACACAATGGCTTTGGGGGGCTTATATGGCAACGATGGCCACAACAGCAAAGCTGAGGTGACCGATCCAGTCATGCTAGCCCGTTCGATGAAGCATACCTTTGTCTGCAGCAATATTTTGCCCCTCCCTGACCTTGAACAATGAGTGGAATGGTCTGATACGGGCATTTTAGGCTGACCAGGCGAGCTGGCGTTGAAGCTGAAGCTTGCGCAGGGCGAATGACGATTAGGCGTGTCCGAGATGCATATAGTGGACATGGGCGGGCGGTCAGCCCATCAGCCAGGCATTGAGTCTATGGCAGTGAGGTAAAGTCCGGTGGCCAACAATGATAAGGGAGCAAGAGGAGACGACAAGGCGTCATTCCATGTCTCGGAACGCTAGGGCAGCTGGGCGGTTACGGGCAGGCAGAGAGATGCAGGACAGTAATGGTCAATGTTCCCGATAGACGACCACAGATCTGTGTGAAGTTGTGGTGTGGCTCGGGTGCATATTGTTTATGCATCGAAGTCATTGATTGGATCGGACTGGACAAATCGATGTCATGGCACAGGCAGCGGTTGCTGCTGGTATTAAGCGTGGCCGCAAAGACCCTGATTCATCATCAACGTCCGGAGTTATTGCAATTTGACGTGTTTGATGAGTTGGTCAATTTTGGCAAAAGAATTATCAAGATTGAATGGTGGCTTGCGCCGCTTGTTGCCAAAATCTCGGGACTGCCTGGACCGGATCGGCCCCGCCAGGCCAGCAGGAGCTAGCGGTGTGCCCTTTCTGGGCCCAAGAGGGTTCAAGAGGACCTCCTCCGCTTGGATGGGGAATTTGGGGGCGTCATACTCAATTGAACGGCGCCGTAGGCATGTTTTAGCTGAAGGCAATCGCTAAAGCCGCCTGTCGCCGGGGCCCACTAACAGCTAGGAGGCTAGAGAGGCATTCGTAGCCGTTGGTGTGGCCAATTTTTTTATCTTTTTCTCGTTCTTTTTTAGAGTGCCGCCAATTGAAGCATCGGAAGCCCCCATGTGCGAAGTTTCGAGTGGACTGTTCCGCGCAGTATCCTACGGTAAGTAAGCTCCAGCCTAGTGCTTTAGGACCGCCATCGCCAAACCGCACCGGAGGCCAATATTAGCTCACCCAGCCTTCTGTTTCCTTCCTTTCTGCTCAAAACCGAAATAAACCAGCTTGGCTTGGTGAGCTAGTGGAAGGCGCTGCAGGTGGAATTACCTTGAGCTTTGTTAATGAAAGGCAGAGGGTCGCAGTGAGGGGGAAAGTGCACGCCTTCCCTTCCTCATTCTGTTTCAACTCCGTCAAGCCACCACGTTGCGTGCTTGCTGCCGTTCGTCACGAGGCTGTTCCTGCTCCTGTTCCTGTTTTTGTCCCAGATCCAGTCCCAGTTCCTGCCCTCGTTTCTGCCCATGTTTCTTTGTCTCTGGTCTGGCCACTCCTTACCCCTTATCTGACTTACGTTAAGGTACCTACCTACCTTACTTTATCATAGGTTGGTAGACTCCAAACCTCGGGGCTCTCCTACCCCACGTCTAGTCCACGTTTATTGTGTGAGGTGCTTCCATGCCTTCCGTTTCTTAGTGCCTTGATGCTCCTTCTGGACCCCGGTGCCTGCATCGTATCCAACCTCATGTATCCTCTGGGCAGCTCACCTTCCCATGGAACCTCTCTGCATCTGCGGAGGCCAGGTGCGAACATACATCTCGATTTAACGATCAAAGCCGGATTCTGTCTCCATTCCGTTCCAGCCAATCCTCCGATGACAACTGCCGTCTGCTGGACCTCACATGGCCTTTCCAATCCTCTTCATCTTACTCCCTAGATCCTGCTTTACATCCGTTCCAGAGTTCGGGTTGGCCCGGTTCGGTCAATTATGTACCACCTTTCACCCCGAGCCTTTTTTCCGTCTTCCGATGCAACGCCAACTACTCCGTCCCACCTGCCTACTAGTGGCAGTAGTATACGTAGTAGACAACGATATTGAATGGAAGCTAAGAGGACAGGGATCACTCCCCTTCCTCTCGCCATTATCCAACGCGCTCCGGCGACGTACGTGCCATGGTCGACAGAAATCAAAGAGTTCATCTCTCATCGTCCATCTTGACCACTGGGCGCATACTTCGCGTCGTGTGTGAAGCATGCCATCCTACTCACTCTACAGACACGCAATATTGGCTGTGCCACTGTACGTACTTGCCGCCCTCTTGAGGCTCAGAGTATGCTTGTTTCAGATCGTGCCACTTGACTTGATTGGGCGCTCGGAAGTCGCTGAGACCAGCATATCCTCATCATCAATCCTGGTCACCCACAGACTCCTCCCACCACACACCATGTTCACCGGCAGACTTCTGGCCAGCTCGATGCAGTTTGTGCATGCGAAGGGATGCCCGTTGTCGATCATCAACCGCCGTCAGCCATTCTTTCCACGTTGGATAAGACAATCTGAGACTGCCCTGTCCACGCCCGGACAACGATAATTCCCTGTCGTCACTTCGGTACTTTGGGATGGAGTGTCGGCCTTCGGATGATAGCCAAGCACGTATTCGTTTTCCGCACGGAAGCGCTCTGTTTCCCCATCTCCGTCGAATGAGGGGTGCGGTCTTTTGAACGTATTGAGGCTTGTAATATCGGAGTGTTGCCAACACCGAGACAATACTCCATCTTGCGTCCTCACGATTCCATGCTATGAACTGACTACTGCTCCAGCCCTGAGATAGCTTCTTGGTGTCACGGCAAGCAATCTCCCCCACCAGACTTGGCTCGCTCCCGGAGGCAAGGTTCAGGGGTTCGTAAAATTGGCCTTTCTCAGCCACGCCCTCGTTTAGAGCAACAAGACAGGAAAACCACGTCCCACATTCGATCATTCAGAGCTCATTGATGCTTGCAATTCATTCTACCAGTCTCCAGTATTGCTATCGGCTCCACACTAGATGGTCAAGAGCCTCTAGCATTATCTGCAAGCCACGTTTTGGGAACGTCATTCTGCACAAGAGACCCTGTTTACAGTATTGGTGGATTACGCGAGTGCACCGAAGGAACACAGACGACGGCCGTCATCGAGATCGCTTATTAGTCTACTTTTCTTGGTGGGCTATTTTCCGAATGGTCAATATGCCAGCCAAGGTGATGGGCCACCGTCGTGAAAAAAGTTCCTAGCGACATTGCACGGTTGCTTGCCATCGCCGAAAGCGCACACTCCGTACCGTTGTGGAGTTCATTACCCTGCTCTCCTTCTACCCAGGATTCCTGGCCACCGTCAATTTCAAACGCTTGAGAATGAGACGCTGCACACTCTACCGTTCTGTATTTGCTCCCGGTCATCGCCCGTGGCAGCATATCACTGTGCCTGGGCCGTTCTTGCACCGCTTGACTCGCTAAGGACAGGTTATCTGCTGCTCCTGCTTTCTCTTTCGGTTGAAACTGCAATTAGCTATATTCGCTCGGAGTCTATGAACAAGAGGGCTTACATATGAGACTACTTTGAAGAGTTGCAGGGAGCATCAGATGTACCGGGTACTTCACTAGCCGGCGGTGTTTCTGTGGTTCAAACTTATCATGTCTGTTATCGCTCTAACTCCGCTAACCCGCAGCATCGCTGAGACTGCATCCTCTTGCCGGTGGTGTTTCTAGCACCATCCCTGCCAACGGGAGTGGATTTTCAGTATCAAGAAAGATGTTGAATAATGAACACGCAATGATGGACTATTCTCCACCCCATTATTTTGCTACGAAGACTTGCTTGCATTTCAGTCTGCACTACGGCAAAATACAAAGCCCTATGGGCTGCTATTCCGATGTGCCCGTTTGTCCCATGGCAAACCGAAACACTTCACATACTGAAGCGATACACTGCCTGACCACCATGCCCGGAGCATCGTCGGAGCAAATCACTCGAATATGGAACGGCTCGGCGGGCTCCAATTTTTAAGGCCGGATGATCATGCAACCTGAAAATGGCTGCGCTTTTAAGCCAGGTTGAGCTGCGGTCGCATTACTCTCGGCCCTGCCCTTCACTTTTCCAGACTGTTGCCGCTGACCAACAGCTATAGCCGGCTACTCGGAAAAAGAAAACTGTCGGTTGTCTCCAAAATTTAACTTGACGCAAAACTTGTGCAAGTGTTGTCCACGTCAGTCAGCTAGTAGCACGCGATTCATCGCACGCACTTGGTCCAGACCACTGCAATAGGCTTGCGACCGCTTGTTCTCCGAATCATTTACAATGGCACCATGCAAGACAATTTCGCCAGCGAAGTCGCGCCCTTGTCGTGGTTTCGAGTCAAACTTGATAGCTGGTTAGCAATGACTCGCCATGGTTGAGAGTTTTACGTTGTCGTCCAAACCATGCTCTCCACCAGACAATGAGCGTCGCAGCTACTCCTGGCAGCCGACAGTAAAGAGGGAAAGTCCATGAGACGGCAGGCAGATTGAACTTGATGTCCGGGTGTCCTGGGCAAGAAGAGAAATTAGCGCCTTCTTTTGCTATGGCCTAGACTACTCTTCGGTACCGGAAATACTGCTAGTTGGATGCCTAGTAGTAGTCGACTTCCCCAACTGCAATCCGACAACGCCAAAAGGTGAAGCTAAAGGGTTATGCTGAGTTGGCCGAATAAGCGCTTGATTGCAGAACTGAATTTCGCCTCCAACTCGGAGGCGCGTCGTCATTCCGAAAATCGGTATCTTTTGTACGACGACCCTTCAGCGAGTTTTCTCGCTTCAGCCTGAGGGTTGCCCGTCCCAACATTTCCGTCCTTTGCCTTCAGGATTGAGTCAGTTGGCCACATTGAACAGACGATTTTCGCCTCATTGGCAAGCATGTCAGGGTTCCATGGCCTTCCGGAACGTTTTGATACCCAGTGCCTGAGGGAATATGGAGACTTCTAGGTCCAGGGTGCACGGGCGAAGAACTACTCCATGTTTCAAAGTCGTTTCTCTCACCACGAGGGGGATTCTATCCGTTTGCGTTTGTTCGAGCGCGACCCCGACCAATTCCTCAGCCTATGCAACACAAGGAATATTTCGCCTCTTGTCTCTCGAGCTTCGTCCATCCGCCTATGCAAGGCGATGCATCCACGGATGCACCGAACTTGCGCATTGCGCATGCTTGAGCCGTTAGCCAGTACTGCGGAAGCTGTGGCTCGATACTACATAATGAAATCACGGCAAAGGCACACTAGGTTATCGAGGAGACTCGTCACGCCACGATTCAACCTCCGACTGAAAGACCGATACATTCTTTCTTCTGGCTAAGGAAAGGAGGCAGACGCTCTGACCGGGCGTTCGACTTCAGACTCTCGAGCAAGTTGCTATTGGTGATTGGAAGTGCCAGGTAAAGTAAATCCAGTCAAGCTTGCGGCCAAGTGTCGGGTTCAAATTTACATCCTACAAATGGTTCTGCCCTGTCGCGGATTCAGCGGCTTCTCCGGGCCACTCATTATTCCTATCAAAGGGATAGACTAACGGGATCTGGAACCACTTGATACATTTGATGGGTTGTGCGCTCAGTACACGAAGCTGGGCGTCTAGTATAGGCTTTACATGACAGCCAGCGAGCTTTCTAGGCCACTGGCGACGTAAGGAAGCAAAAACGCTCCCGTTCACTAACAAAAACCTCATCTTGTAACGTTTACTCCCCGATGACATAGGTACACCCTTCGTCACCAATCCAGACCTCATGCACGCGACCGGCGTCGACGTCAATGCGATCGCCAACGCCGTAGGTAATCTTTTCAGGCTGCTCATCCTTTGGGTATGTGATAGTCAGGCTACCTCTCAGAATCAGATGAGTCGTCAGGCTCCGATGCGAATGAGGGGGGTAGTGTGCTTTCCTAAACTTAGAAGTCAGCCATCATTGACTTTGGGTCAGGGCGAGCCTTCAATGGTACAAGCTGGCACTGTGAATGGAGAGAACCCGTCGATGTCGACGTCTATCTCGTCGAACCCCAACTTGCCAAGAAAGTCAGAGACTACGTACGGTCCATCGGTCCAAGTGAAAACGTGGGGAAATCCCCATGACTTGACTTCGGCTTCGCTGTTGCGTTGTGTCGACATTGTTACAGTAGCGGGCTGTACCAAGCTTGGGAAACGATAGGGTTAGACGCGGCACGACGGTTCTGGTCTCTACGTCGCGTCTCTGATTTACGTCACACAGACGATATGTTGAGATCTGTGCTTGCGCGGGGTATTCCCTCGATTACGTCCGAGAGTGGCCGGCAGTTCCGAGTGTCAACTTGGAAAATAGTGTGGTCGGAGAATTCAGTTGGGGGTTTGTGCGTGAAATGGTCCAAAAGATCGAGCGTTAGTGGCGCCTTACCAATTACTTTTCTTTGAAAAAAAAAAAAAAAAAAGAAAAAACTTTTGTCCCTCAGGATGGGCGGTCTGATGGGCGGTCTGATGTCGTCCTGGGGTCAGACGTCGTTACTGAGATCCAAGGTTTTGCGAGCGCCAGCTAGTGCTCAATTTACACATCTCACGCCACGGAACTGTTCTGCAGCGGTAGACTACTACTTCTCCACTTACCCCGAACGTTCCCCCATGCGGTGTGCATGGTTAGTTGCCCGCAAGGTGTTGGTACCGGGACGGAGGAGAAAGACTACGGAAAACGGTAGCCCGCCTCTGGCAATGGCGACAGGCAACCCAGAGTTGAGCACGCGCAGGTGGGAAATAAGATGTTGCTGGGTGGAGCCTCAGCCCGCCTTTGGTTCCAGTTTTGGATCTTTAGTTGGCCGTCAAGGGGGTGACAAGAAGATATGCCGGTCGCTGCTGTACTACAAAATAACTATCGTAAAGGGGCCCCAATATTCGGGTTAAAATAAAAAGGCGGGGAAAAACGTCCAAAATATTTTTAGAGTTTTAATTATCATACGTTTGGTTTATTTGATGATTCCTGTGGTAGAATGATAACTGGTCGTTACAGCAAAACTTAGAGCTCGGCAGGAAGCGGAGATACTTTTTGTTACTCGATGGAACAACAAGGCTACCGTCAGTCAGTCTTGTCAGTCGGTTACGAGCTGACTGCATTGGCATGTCATAATATCACTTTTGATAGGGATCGTCAGCCCAGAAGAGGGGGCCTCCCCAGAGTTCCACAGCCCAACGCGTCTCTGCTTTAAATAGGAACCTGGTCGAATTAGAATGCCCCCAGCAAGGGGCTCCAACACGGCTTTTTTTTTTTTTTTTTTTAATATGTCTCTAGTCAGCTTTCGTTGTTGCAGGGACGCCAATAGATGAGATGTTGGCAGTAACGACAATCTGTGCTTTTTGCGGGGGGTGGGTGAGATAGGATTATCAGAGGAGGCCGTTATGAGGAAATATACCCACTATATCCTTTGCGGATAGGGAACTCAACATTGTCGTCATCCTTACAGAGACAAGGCCACCGGCAGAAGCTGTGCCGGGGTGACGGGATTCGGCCGTCACATATTGCTGCTTTAGGGGACTGGATTCGGCCCCACTCGGTGGCTATGGATTGGTATGTATAATTTGTGCATAATATGAGGATGTCATGCTACATACGACGCACGACGGCCCGGCTCTTGACGGTTTGTCAACCCTGCCCCGGGACGATGGCCGGGCTTTCCCATAACGAATGACGACGAGGTGTGCCCTAGAAGTAGTTGTATCACAGCATCTGTATTTTCAGCCCTCTACCACGTTCAGGCTGATCTCCTGATCAGTTTGAAGATCACTCAATGCTGCTGGTAAGACTATGTAGGGGCTTCCTATAGCCAAAAGAAACAGTGAGCTGCTAATGGGACTACACTTTATGTTGACGGCGTTACGGGACATATGAGAAGAGGATAGATGACGTATGCTTGCTGCCATGAATTGAATATTTTGGCGTCAGTACAGAAATATTGTGCCCTGCTGAGCTGTAACCCATGGCGACCACTCCGTTTCTGTCGGGGAATCCGGGATTCTGGGCCCAGACCAAGGAGTGAATACGCATTCCCAGGTCGTCCGAACAACCGCATTTTCAGCGTGGATTTCCAGAAACAGTTCAGACCACCAGACGTAGCCACTCAAGATCATGACGCTATCGGACATGGCAAACTTGAGGATGTCTATTTCGTCAAGATTTACTGGCCTTAGAAGTGTCTATGAGCTGTTTGTAGCCAATGTACTGGATCTGTTGCATGATGGTTCTCATGGCTCCGTGGAAACGCATGTCAAGATTGAAAGCGACATATATTTGTGTCTTTAGAGATATTCAGAGTCCATCTTTGAAATATATTCTTACATGTAACCTGGACTGTGTCAACAGACAGCATACTCCTGTCTTTCGTTGCATCAGCTCTTGCGATAGTCTCCTTCGTCACACGTTGTCGAGCTAGCTCCTCATGTTTCGTCGAATTTGGGCGATTTGATATTTGGGAGGTATGATACTGTCATGAGACGGCATCGTTATGAACTGCAATCGGAAAATATGTAATTGTAGTTAGGATCAATCGATAGAAACACTTGCTTAAGGCGAGAGTTCGCTCTCTAGGACTCTGGTGGTGTTAAGTGTCCTTGTAGTGTCTCCACTCAGCAACAGTGTCTCTGGGGTTATATTTTCACCTCCGACCATCCATTTAAGTCCCATGAATTCTATCATTCTTGAACTGAAACGTTTGCTACTTATTATTTCGTCCGGCAGTACGTCTCCAACCATGTTACCTTGTTTGGACTCGAGGACGTGACACCAGGGTGCAGCACACACCCACCACGTTTGATGAATTTAGATATTTCTTAGCGGCATCACCCATACTGGTCCTAGCTGAGCGTAGCGATTCAAATGCCTTCTCTCAAGCGCTAATTGACTCTGTTCTGCCAAAGTAGTGGTAGGTTTTGTGGCTTTGGCGTGTGTAATACCATCGGTGGTGGCTCTCCTACATAGTAACGACGCTGGGTAGCATTAGGTCAGTTTAGGTTGTGATACCATATGGGGAATTTATGCCCTCTTGAGTCTGGATATATAAATACTGGTAACATGATTATCTGGTACATCTCCGTTGAGATTCTTAAAGGTGAGCTTATGTTGCAGGCAACCATCATGATGTTGATCAGAGCTAGAGATGGGAACATTATGAAACCGATCTCGAAACAGTTAATAATGCTTAGGACCTCATTCTGTCTAAGCAGGTGTGGAGATCGGTGGTGTTCGATGAGATAGCCCCATAAGAGGTGTAGACCATATATGGATATAGTGAAAGGGAAGGAACGTGCTAACACCTGCGGCTTGTGATGCTGTAGGCCATGATGTAGTTGGAAGTTTCTGAGATAATCTACCTCTAATATTCCTTGTTCCAGCTGTAAAAGACGCATATTTGGATTGTTCTTGAACGGAGTACTTCAACTGGCTGCCTTTGCATTCATTGACATGAGAGTCGCGCTGGGATGTATCGAGGTGGACTGTTTAGCCCATAACCCTTCTCGTATTTCCAAGCCTTGATTGATAAAGGGAGTTTTGAGCGCCTAGACCACAAGATCCTTGTTCAGAGTAACTTGATATGTCGGCACGGGAATATCGACCTTTCCGTAACCCTCAGTTGCCCTCAGCCACACCAAGTTTACCACCAAATTCCCATATCAGAATGACACATAAAACGGCCCTGTGTCTAACAGCACCAACCTACCACGACCATCCATAGCGCTCTGGACTAGATTAGGTTATCAAAGTGTACTAAACAATAGAAGACCATATGCTTTTGCTTTGCCCACGAACCTAGGATGCATTCAATTATCCGGGGCCTGCTACATTTCGATCACAGTGTCTCTGACATATTACATCTTTGTGAGCGCTAGATGCGGCTGAGTATATGCGGAGGAATCTTTCTATGTTTTGAAGATTGATCACCAAGTCTTAAAGCCGTTGTGGCCAACATTTACCTGCAAGGCAGTACTATCCACATAAGATGGAGATATTTGTGCTCCCATGGATACAACCACAACACCGCCACAAGCTTTATTGACTAAATTCCCGTGGTCTGGCTATTATAAGGCACTGGGAGGAATCGTGGTTCAGAACTTGTGCCTGGGAGTCTGTGCTTTGTCGCCATATCCCTCATATAGGCATCTATAGCTGGCGTAGTAGGTGAAATGCTAAAGGCCAAACAACGCCAACAAGCCAACTCATCACAAACGGAAGGACTTTGATTTTTTACAACCATAGGACAAAATGCAGAAATAATTCGAATGAGGCATATGTTTAGTCAAGACGCTAGTGCAGGTACCCCGAGGTCTGGCGGAACCGTTGACCCACAGCAGGTTTGACGGTGCGAGCCACATGGCGAACGCCGGACTCGGCAGGCGGCCCGGACCGGGACGCAGTGGGGCTAAGTAACTTTATGTGGATGAACTCAGCGGAGGTGTCTCTTGTAAGACCTGAACACAACAAAACAATCTACCTGGTAATCGTACAGGATGACGGCAGTAGAAGCATTGTTGTTTCTCTATCCGACCAGTCAAAGTTGGTGCCTGAATGAATCTTGGATTGGGGGAACGGAGGTTGTGATTCTGACTTCAGGCTGTGGTATGTACGTGGAAGAGGATTGTACTATGCTCTGTCGATAGCGGTGTGCCAGTTCGTCCAAAGACTGTGTATTCAAAGGTTTTTGGCAGAGGCCAGATTGACGCCTGATTATTGACCTCAAGGAACCAACTATTCCCATTCAGCATCGCGCAGAAGTCGGGAACATATTCTACTAGACCCCCAAACATCAAGTCACTTATTGTCTTCCACTTGACTCGTGCCTCGCATTCGCCCTTTGGAAACCTCTTATATTTACAACACAAACTTGTAGCTTGCAGAGAGTCTGATCATACCACACAAGACGAAAGGTTGAGTTTCGAAACGGCTGGATGAAGCAAGGTTGACTGTTGTTGTATCACAATTAAATTAATCCTTCGCCTAGAAATTAACCAGAAAGCCACAAGTATTTTGGTTCTGCGTTTGGTTACAGACAGCCCAGTGTTTTCATATCACCTGCACTCAACAAAACAATTGTTAGAGTTATCCATGATGGATTTGTTGACATAATCGATCATCAGCCTTCTTCTAGCTGGACCGTTCACCATGAATATAAAAACACTTACAGGAAACCACAATAAGAGTACGTGTCGCCTGGGTATTTGAAGTTGTCGAGTTATTTTACTATATTTAAACAGAGACTGAGAACAAAGGAAAGAAAAGTTGAAGTAGAGCTGTTTCTCATGGAAGCGTGCCCATATCATCGGTCGGTTCGTGATGTATACTATCGTTCCACACACTATCGGTGATTGAGTGTGGATGTAACGAGGTTCTACCTTTAGGAAATAAACCGATCTTTTGGTCAGTAAACTGGAACATAAATCTTAACTTGTGCCATCATGCCAAATTACGATGTGTGCATAAAGCTGCCTGCACATGATCTTATGACCACACTGAAAGTTCTTCGTACACAGGTTTCCAACTTGCTGTTCCGGTGGGGCCGTAGTGTGATTGCCCCTGCTCAGATATACAAAGGCAAGAGCGCTAACTTGAAAGGGCCCTTTGCAGATCGCCGGTCAAACCGTGAGACCAATTCTTCGGTTCTGGGGGGTCACAAGAAAGCCTTCTGCTTACTGCCTTGGTACATTGGCCAGACCCGATGCGTGGAGGTACGATTACCCAATTTGGTATGCAAAGGCGACTTGCAATTGGGGCTGAATAAAATCCTGCTCTTTCCAAGCACTCTTTTTTTTTTTTTTTCCCCCTAATATCCTACCTCTAGGCAGTAAATGTAACGCTCCACGTCGCGACGCACACCCTCACGCACACATGGTCATCACAAGCAGACTCCGCCCCCAAAAAACGCCGCCTTGTCACTGTGCATGCATCACGCCAAAGGTCGAGTTTCGACGAGATCGGCCAATTGTGCGTCAAAACCGCAGGGCTTTTTCTGTGGCATACTCGGCTGGTTCCAGCAGCATCATACTTAAAGTAAAGACGAACGTGGAATGTGCACGCCGTTGAACCAGGCGAAATTCCTCATGCTCAGGAGACATACAACAACGCTTGACAATCAGGCTGCAGCATAACAAGCATGCAAGACGCACAGAACATGGATTGATTCAGGGGAGAAATGGACCCTTCCGTCATCGCCAAATGTCGCACGTCCTCCACTGCCCCATCTGTGCTACCGAGAGTCACAGTCCCGGTGGAAGGTTTAGGAACAAAATGCTACGGGGCACAACGCTACAGCACACTACTAGCAGGGCGACGGCACCACTCTTAGCAGGGGTCCAGATCAATGGGGCAGTGCTGAGCCCTTCCCATTGGCCACTGCTGCACCACCGGACGAGGCTGTCCCCTCCCCATGTCTTCAGCTGCTGACACGCATAACCACAATCCCACTCCGTTGAAATTATCCTCGTTGTTCCTCTCATGCTTCAACCTCGATTTTCAATCCTGACTTCCAAGTAGTTGGTTTTACTTCTCTTCAACTTATTCTGATTTCTCATTCCCTTCCTAGGAGCATGTAAACTTCCAATGGGCTGAGTACACATTCTAAGCTGCGAAGCCATACCCTCTGCCTTTTAGATAGCACCAAGGGGGCTATCGAGCTGAAGCCTACCTCTACCCCACGCCAATCGACCCGACAGACGAAACCTCCAATCCTTCGACGCGTATTGAATCCCAAACCCCGAAGAGAGGAAATATAGGTTTTCTAGCTGCCACAGCTAGACCATTATGTGTCTCTACGTACGTCCTGCCAGTCCGTCTGACATCAGCAGACCTCAAGCTGATGTCCCTTGATCCTATGCTGAGGCGTATTGTTTCCGGGACCTCTGGACTTCCGCGGTTCCGATACGCTCTTCATTGGAGGCGAGATTCTTATGGCTAACATCTGTCCAGCTCCGACGCCGTAATACCCCCACCGACGACAGAGGTCCCAGGAAGCGGACTCTCACCATGCCCCTCTTCTCCAACACCAACAAGACCTCGGAAGCCACCCTCAAGAAATTAGTGGGTTGGACTACCTTGCTATCACCCACAAGCAATGGTTACCACCTTCGACCGAACCAGCAGACTCCCCGAATCAACATTACGAACGTGGATGGAGCAACCGAATTATCTTCCGTCTCCGCCTCCGATCCCAAGGGTGTCTCTTCTACCTCGTCCACCTCCAATGAATTCGACGCCAGCTTAGCCATACAGAACCGCCTCAAAAAGGTCTTCGATGATCTTCGGTCCCGCCGCTCCTCGATATCTCGCTCGCCGTGCATCACCCGCGGGCAATTTATTGCATTCCTTGAGAATGTCCAAGGAGAGACCGATGCTGAGGACATTCTACCAGAAGACATAGAGAAGTACAACTTTGGCGAGTTCCTCGATTTTTGGTGGAGCCGCTACGGCTTGGATGCCACACGAGCTCTGAAAAGCGAAGAGAAAGACCTGAGTCGACCTATCACAAACTATTTCATCAGTAGCAGTCATAACACATATCTGGAGGGAAACCAGCTTGCCTCAACAAGTTCTCCAGAAGCTTACAAAACGGTATGGTTGAACGAGTGCTGGCTTTTTCAGGAGGATTGCCCTTGCTCACATACAGTCACAGGTTCTCCGGAGAGGATGCCGGTGCATCGAAATCGACGTTTGGAACGGGGACACACCTATCACGACCCAGGAGGGAACCCGGTCTCCGAAGCCTGAACATTCTAGGAATCTCTCTGGCTCGTCGTTCCCCAATGTTGCGGCAAGCTTGAAGGAACATGTGGAAGAATTGATTGGAGGCGAACGGAGTGGACAGGACCATGGCCATACTAGAACTGCCAGCGCTGCCAGCAGGTCACTTGGCCCGTCAGATAGTGCCGCCGTGCTAGGACCAAGTGCTTCGGTTGAATCTCTGGATAACACTCTCCGACCCGCTTCTCCGACCCCTAGCAAAACTCGCCTGCCCTTTCCCAAGGACGAACCAATTGTTACACATGGTTGGACTTTTACGAGCCCTTGTGGGTTCCGAGAGGTGTGCCAGGCTGTTCGCGAGTCTGCGTTTGAGACCAATGAGCTTCCCCTTATTGTAAGTCTGGAAGTTCACGCCGACACGGAGCAGCAGGATGTGATGGTGAGGATCATGAAGGAGGAATGGGGCGAGATGCTGGTGGACAAATCATGCGAAGGCATCGATCCACGATTCCGTCTTCCTAAGCTCGAGGAGATGAAGAGGAAGATCATGATCAAGGTCAAGAAGGCGCCTCATAAGATTGAGGTCCCCCCCAGCACCACTGCTTTGTCACCTATTCACGCCCAAGATGAAGATGCCTCGAGCTCTGAAGATGAGCGCAGCCAAACACCAACAGCAGTTTCCGTCCAACACAACCCCAAAGTAGGCATTTCTCAGGCTCTGAGCAGCCTAGCGATTTACACCCACAGCGAGCACTTTAAGAGTTTCGAAACACACGCAGCAAAGCAGCCGAGCCATATCTTCTCGATAAGTGAGAGTAAAATCCTCGAGCTACACACGACCAAGGCCCGAGAGATGTTTACCCACAACAAAAACTTCTTCATGCGTGCTTTCCCTAGCGGTGCCCGCGTGGACAGCTCAAATCCCGACCCCAGTCCGTTCTGGCGCAAAGGCGTCCAAATGGTTGCCCTAAACTGGCAGTATCTCGACGAAGGTATGATGCTGAACGAGGGGATGTTTGCAGACGAACAAGGCTGGGTCCTCAAGCCTATTGGATATCGCAGCACGGATAAGAACACAGCCACTGAGGTCGACGCCGCGCCACAAGGTGATCTCGAACTCACCATCACTATTATCGCGGGCCAGCATATCTGGTCTGCCAGCTCCTCAGACAGCGACAGCAGCCGCAGTGGTAAAAATCTTCGTCCTTTCGTCAAGTGTGAGCTCCATGTCGAAATTGGAGCTGTTAATGGCAAAGCGGCCGATGAGGACGACTTCAAGCTCAAGACGAAGTCGAAAAATACGGACCACCCCGAGTGGGAAAACGGAGCGCGGCTCAAGTTCCCAAAAGTCTCGAGGGTGGTAGAGGAGCTGAGTTTCGTCAGGTAAGTGTCTTCTTTACTGCTTATTTCCCTTTTCACCGTCGTATGTTAGTCGCACCTATGCCTTATGACACACGACCTAAAAAGAGTGCCTGTCGCGTGTTCCCGTCTTCCCGCGTCTACCCTTCCGTGCGCGGGTCCGACCTCAGGTGGTGCGCTCTGCGGGCGGGTGGTGTATCTTCTGAACGGCGACGAAACCAAGCTTGAATGGCCTGATCCAGCCTCGGATGAGGTGCAGTGACCCGTCAGGCTCGCGTCATAGTCGCAAAGAGGTACATCATGCCGTACAGCCAAGGACGGAACTTCGGCGAGCCTCTTTTTTTTTCCCTTTCCCTCTGCGGTGTTACCATTCTATCAATATCCCGTTACGGGCCGCCAGCCGGTCATGTTCTGCTTGTCGGGCACATGTTGAGCAGCTGTCGATGGCCGCCCTGGCATGCTGAGCCGCTGCACACCGCATCCTCTGCCGCATGACACATGTTCTACGACCTATGACCGAAGAAAAATCTTGTTGGATGTTGTGTTTTTGAGAAGACAGGTACACTGACGCTTCTGGTTCCCATCCTGCAGGTTCAAAGTCGAAAATGACCCGCACATTGGCGGCGACGAACTGCTGTCGTGGGCGTGTATCCGGCTCGACCGCCTTCGCCCCGGCTACCGCTTCGTCAAGCTCATGGACACCAAGAACCGTCCGATCGAGGGCGGCAAGCTGCTTGTCAAGATCGACAAAGTGGTGCAATGAGAGCTCCCCTTCTTGATTTGTAAACAATTCGAGAGCATCCAGCGGCCCATCCGGCTCCACGTTTATGCCAGCCACTTTTGGACTGATTGCGTGAGCGGGTGAATAAGTGTGTGTGTGTGTGTGTGTGCAAAATCGATCAGATGAGCAAGAGAGCAGCAGAATGGCTTCCTTTTTGGGAGGCAAAAAGAGTCATAGGGGCGGGGATCGAGGTTTCATTTTCTTTTGTTTCATTTTCACTTCTCCTATTCTTTGGTTTACCTTATACTTGATACCTTGGGAACAGAAGAAAAAAAACGGAGAGGCGTATGGGCGTTTATGGGGTGGGTTCTGTTTCCAATCGATACCTGTTGACTAGAGCTGGCCATCCCGGTCTCTTCCTCCTTTTCCACCGCTTATTGTTTCTTCATGAAAGCCCAGGCAGTTTTGCTTAGTTTACCTGGGGAGAGGGGAGGGGAGGGGGGGCGTGTTAGCCATCACTTGTATTCTTTCTTTTTCCTGTTTCTCTTATAAGACTTACCCTATAGCTGGGTGTCTCGGGGAGTTTTTTTTTTCCCTCTTTTTTTTTTCTTAGTCTCTTTTTTGGATACGGAATAGCGCTTGGCGAGCGACAAGAGGCACTGACAGACAGTCAGGCGGGCCCTTCATTCCTTTCTTTAATCATTCATGTTTTGGGTGGATCGAGATTTGGAACGGCCGCGAGACATAACAGATCATGAGAGTCTTCGTTGGGGGCCGGTGGCTTGCTGGAGAAGGAACAGAGACAGAAACAGAGTTCAGTCGAGACCGCAAGAAAGGAACAACAGCACGCATAAATGTAGGTCAGGAAGGGGGGCGTTTATGCAGAACTCGCGATCACATAGAAGAATCAATAACCAGTCAAAGGAAACTCGTAGTCCCCCCCTCTTGCGACAAGGATTACGAGGAGCATTTAGAATCCAAAAGGAGGTCTCATCCCCTGTGCCATCTTTTCCTTCCTTTCTTGCTTCTTCTGTGTACCCATCTCCTGAAAGTTGCAACGTCCGTCTCCGATCATTCTCGCCCCGGATCAGCCTGGGTCTTGTGATAAGTGAGAATGCAATCGCTATTGGGGGCCGAGCGTGGCTCAATTCTGGCATGATGCTGCCATTCATGTACTCGCTAAGAAAACAAGGATGGGGTACTTCGTTTCCCAACATTCCTTGGTCTTGGTGCAATAAGTGATGTAGCTTGACTCACCTCACAACAACACAAAGAGATGCGAGAGAGGGCTAGAAAGCGGGTACTTGCGGGCCTACGATGGGTGTTTAGAGCCGCATTGTCGACTGGCATGTCGCTTGTTGGCACCGACGCCGTTCGCTTCAATTATTTCTTCCCAACGGTATTAGTGCTGACCGGTCATCATAGGTGGAGGCTGATTAGATGCGGGACTACGTCGTACTCAGGTAGGCATGCTTCTTGTTTGTGCAACGTTGAAAATCACAGCGCGGACTGCCGGCAAAGGGTCCGCAACAGACAGAAAGAGGACCGCTACTGTATTACCTGGACATCCCATGTCATTCTCGTATACACTTCCCTGTTTGTTAAGAGCCGTTCTGTCGCTTAGGACCGAAATCTTCTACATTGTATCCTGCCGGGTTAAGGCCAGAGCCGCCGAAGAACACCGGCATCTGAAATCTCTCGGTTCGTGCCAATTACTTGAGAATCACATAACCGGCGTCCGGGAAGGCCTGAATCTAGATTGTTTCTGACTGCTTTTTGGTATTTTTGCTTATTTTGCCCCGGCTGCCTGCAACAATGGGGCGCTCTTCGAACCCGCAGTTCCATTACACGATGCTGCTGCAGCCCTGTCCGACTGTTACAGCTTGGCATTAGGACTGCATGACTTGCACGTTGTTCTTCCATACATACCTAACCCGGTGGCACCAGCTGGTGGACTGCAGCTTCTGCATGAAAGCAAGGATGTCACTGCTGCAGTTAAGAAAAAAAAAAAAACAACGGAAGAGGCCAGATGGGACGGCGTCGATCTTCCGGGATCATACACAGCGGGCCAGGTGTGACGGTGTAGCGGAAGATAGACAACGCCCCATGGCCGTTGGCTTGAGACCGTTGATCATGAAGAAAAAGAAAACATGTATGAGACTTGCCAATGATATTGCTTGTCGTTGGCGGTCTATGAGACAAACCAGAAGGAAGTATAGGCTATGGTTTATTCTTAATGCGGCGTTGAAGTAAAAGTTGCTGTGTGCAGACCGACTGAAAGGAATTCGTCAGTTATCAACAAACTCGATCTTCCAACCAGACGACTAGTCCGATCGAGGAGAATGCCCCGAGAGTGACTGGTCACCAGTGCCGGATGAAAATCATGAAGCAAGCCTCAATTTTGCACCCTCCCAAACGCCCTTTTGTTTTGCCCCCCCCCCCCCCCCCCCCCCCCCCCCCCATGCTCACCACGAGAGTAAGCGACACCCACCTCAACGACTCACTAGAGAGTTACCCAAAATCATCAGGGACCCCATGTCAAACGCTCATAAAGGTCGACAAAATAAAGTTGACAGGTAACATAATGTTGCGGAATTGAGACAGGCGTAATGGGAAGTCACTTTGCGGTGCGGAAGCTAGGGCGGTATTACAAGCCATCGGAATCCTTCGGGGTGGCTAACCTGCAGCCACAGGGAATCGATTGCCCAGGTTGCATTTCCAAGGTCGACATGCAAACGACAAGGGTTTGGCAACTGAGACATACGCTTGTTTTTGCAGTCTTGAAACCTCATTTGGCAGGGTTATCATTGACATGCGACTCCTGGGTCAAAACAGATCTTCCACGTTGAAGCGGTCAATGTGCAGCAGCCTGCCGTCGCTATTCTGCTGTACTCCTTGGCCATGTGGTACCGGATGCCCAGATGAGCGGTTCCGGCAGTCTGGTTGACTAGCCGGGATGTTGAACACTGGCGAGGACGTAACCGAGATTTCGGTGCCAGACATGGAGATGGTCAGGAGATTGAGGGAGGGATCGATCGTGGATCTTGCGGCGCTCCCGGACGAACCTTAGCTGAGAACCGAACCCCAGTCACAGTGGCTTTGTACACTTAGTCCCGCTCATGAGGTACGGGGGTAGTCTTGGCCAAAAGCGGTTTTCTCTCAATCCAAGACTTATGGTGGTGACGCGTCAGAGTAATCAGGCGCCTGGGAGACGTTCGACTGCAGCAGATTGGCTTTAAGCCGCCAACCTAGCTGTTTAGCGTTTGATGAGACAAGCTCTCTTGCTCTCAAAGCGCACCAAATCCTCATGGATGGTTGCACATAACGGAATGCAAGTAGCCTTACCGCAAAGAAACCAGTTACCTTAACTAGGGAACTCTTGACAAGGCTAGTGACTGTTGACAGTGACAGATTACTTTACTCCGGTGTAAATTCTTAACCTTCTTTGACTGTTGCTCCACTCGGCAGGTAGCTTACGTGCAAGAGGAGAAAAGAATGATCAGTTACTTGGTTAGGAGGGTTCATGGCGGTCGACTAATGTTTGTCCAAATCCATGAGTGTGGTCAAGGCCAGGTGGACTTCCGGGGTATTGAGAATAGCCCCATCATAAACACTCATCAGCAAAGCTCCCGGTCAAGTGTTCCTTGAGATTGATACCTAAAAAAAAAAAAAAAAACTGTGCTCGACCATTGCGTGGCATTGACGGACAAAGTTTCTCGTTTGGGTGAAATGATTTCGAGCTTAGAAAACCTGGCTGATATGACAGATCATTTTCTTGCCCACAACCCAACGAAATTAATAGTGGCGGCTGGTGCAAAAGGTGGGCTAACGCAGATTCCGATGAATAGCTGATCGGCCTTGCATCTCGGCTAAGGGGTGACATATCACATCGGCCAGATTGCACGCCCGACATGCACACAGAATGCCTACACCCAAACATTCGAACGCATCCGCTGGTGGCCAGTGGCCAGTCCTCACACCCTCACCTAGATTGATGATGCGGGCCGAGTATGGCGAGGCGCCGGGTGCCTCAATGGGCGCAGCGTGGCCATGCTTCTTGTAATCATTGAATAGCATGGTGGTGTAAGCCCATCATGTGCTCGTTTGGTGTTTGGCCAGAATGGCAGCGATGGGATGCTGCCGAGAATGATGACACCGTTTTACCCAGGCAGGCATATGAAACCAAGAGGGTGTGATACCTGAGATCGTCCAATGATGCTTCCAGACCGGCATAAAACAAAGTCGAATAAAATCCCAAGGGCAGGAGGGCTAAAAATGGTTGATTCTAGACCCAGCCGACAAAGTGTCGGTGAGCGTTCGAATAGCCTCCTACCCTGGTGCTGGCTACTGACGAAGTAGCACCATGGATTCAAGGCCTGAGGCTTGTAGGATTCTCAAGGGAGACAAAGTCGTGATTCGGCCAACAGCCAGCAGACAGAGACGGGTCACATTTCCAATATCTGTTTTACCTGCTATCACTTCAGTCAGCTGGAGGAACATGTAGGGGAACATACACAACATTAGCCGGCTTCCCTAAAAAGGTAACGCCTTGAGACTTAGAAGTGCCATTGACATCAAATCTGCCGAGAACATAAAACGCCATCAAAATGTCCCACCAAGATTCAACATTGGCATAGGTGTCAACCGCGTGGGTGTCGACAGCCCAGTGAGCTTGTGACGCAAAACCGATGATGGCTGGTTGCCTTCATCTGGTTCCCCGTCGATAAAGATAGATGGCGCACGCATAGCGTCGATCCCCGGTGGTGGCAGCGGATACGGCACGACTTCAAGTCAAACGCGGGCGAATAACCCCGGTGAACATCCTTGGACCAACACGTTGTGATGGAGCCAGGCTCGTCGCCCTCTGCATCATTCGGTGTGCGGTGACAAACAGGGCCGGCAGGGATGAAGCAGGGGTTGGAAGTGAAAGTGGTTTGGATTGCTGGCGTCTCACGGTGAGGTAGCAATAACAAGTTTGCTTTGCGAACAAGAATTGGTGCCTATTCTCTTCAGCAGAATTTACTTAGCGATAATCAGCCAGATAGCTGACCGTCAACCGCCAATGTTTGATTGAGTCTTCAAATAGGCGTTGATAGTAGTGCCGTCGCGATCGGGCATAGGCTGCAGTTGTTGCTGCTTTCCGGGGACGAACAAAACGTGTGCGTGAGGGCCAGCAGGTTGCCGTTGCCCCCAACCCGACGAGCCCTTCCTCCCGAAGGCTTTCCCATTGTTGAGTGGACGGAATTGTTGCAGAATGGTACGCTAAGGAGCCTTGGCTGAGAGGGATAAAAAAGCAAATATGAACTAGGGAACTGCAGAGCAGGGTCTAGGAAATGGAAAAAAAGAAAGCGTTTGAGGAGCTGGTGGAGACTTTGGAAGTGACTTAACGTGAACTTGGGCTTTCGAAAAAGAAAATATGGCGGATTATCATTTGGAAACCGTAGAGCGGCGCTTTGGCCCGGATATGTAGAGGCGCACAATTTATTCCAGCCGTACGTTGCCGCACAAAATGGGGAGAGACTGGCTGGACGAAGGAAGCAAGAAATATTGCCGGGGAAAAATATGAACAGAAGGAAAGTAGAGGCTTGGAGATGCCTTCGCAATTGAGGTTTCCAGATTGTACGTGTACGACATCGGTATCGTGGATACTTTCGCATCGGGGTAGCAGAAGTGGCTCCGCGTGGATGCAAGGTCAAGGTGGCACTCAAAGAAAGGAAGACCTGACGCAAGGAACCACTTTCCATGCGATCAAACTTGGGGAATGTCTGTCTGTACTGGACCTTTTCCTAGGTGCTTGGACAGAATCAGAAGTAGCCGATTCGAACCAGAACCTGAACAGCGTGATGCAAGAGCAAGGGCCCATGGGGAAAGATGAAGATGACCTTCCTCTTCCTGTTCCGATGGACGAGGGCTTTCCACGGTGTGTACGGAGTACTCTCGCTGGAAACGGAGCCTGACCCCTAGCCAGAGCACAGAAAGCATGGAAGAGACCATAACCTACAATTCCCCTCTCTGAACATACTAAAAGCTCTGTTCATGCAGCTTTTCCACGTCTCCTTTCTCTTTGCCCGGGTAGCATAGGATGAGATGTTTTCTTCTCAGGCCTACACTCCCACGTCATAGCCGAGCTGGGGGGGGACTTCCCCAGCCCAGCCCAGCCCAGCCCAGGCACCTGGCAGCCTGTCTCACCCTTCGTTGACGGTTGTAATCACATGGATGAAGCAGGCCAGAAAGCAACGAAGCAGAGTACTTTTTCACACTTTGCCTTGGCTGGCTGAGGCTCACCTCAGCTTAGATCTCAAAAGACGCGAGGCTGGCTACTTGAGGGGGGTAGGGTACCTGAATGATGGGAGCACGCCGTTTTTCGGAGGAGCGATGAAAAAAGGAAACCATCGATCAAGACGATACATGTGGGCGATGCAGATGTGCAAATCGGAGCGGTAGATAGCAGATCGGAGGTCGGTACCTAAAGCATGGGCGGGCGCGGGCATGGCGATGACATCCGCACTATCAAAACCATTTACGATCCAGGACAAGCAAAACCCATTGCCATGCAGTTCAAAACAGAAAACATCCCGGTAGGCCGTAAACGTAAACACGCAATGAGGAGGAAGTGACGACGAGGGAGAAGGATGAGCCGAGGAGGAGCCAGCTAGGAGGAGTGAGAAAGATGTGTGCGCGCGCGCCCTCAAGCCACCAATCGGGCTGCCGCCGGGCAGAGTCACGGTGAACACGCCAGCCGCGATAACCCCCTTCCTTCCTCCGAGCCCCCGGAAGGGCGCCACTCAGCCCCAGTCCGATAGCCAATAGGGTCCCCCGAGGACGACGGGGCTGGGCGCTCCTTTTTCTACTCCCCCAAACTCTGTTGAGATTTTTGCGACTGCTCATAAAATCTGGAATAAAAAAAATGATTGCCAAAAAAAAAAAAAAAAAAAAAGAATGCCTCCGTTAGAAAAGACGCAAGCCCCCTTCCTCCTAAATAAAGAAAACAACACTAACAAAAATTGTGGAAAGAGCAAGAAAACGAATATCAAAATGAAAGCAAACAAAAATAAAATGGAAGCAAAAAAGAACCATTAAACGCCCCACACTAGCAGCAGAAAAAAAGAGTTTGATACTGCTTCCGGCGGCAAATCGCCTTGCTCATCCAGAGCTTTGAACACAGGCTGTAATTCGTAACAGGCATCTTCCTCGTACTCACGGCTCGTCTCCCTTCGTTGGCTCTACGTCGACTCTTATTGGACCTTTCTTACGGCGAGCTTATTCAAGCGAATCCCAAGATGCTGCTAGGGTGCACCGTTGCTTGTGCAGGCCAGCGTTCAACAACGTGTAAGACAAGATATTCTGTAAAGTATGTGTGTCCCCGTTGGTAACCTGCGCTGCCACCTCCCAAGCATACGCAACCAAGATATACACTCCAGATTAACAAAATACGAGTGCACCTCAAGCCTTGTCGCGCCCATGGCCCATGGCCCTCGCCCTTGTCCCCCATCCTTGCGAGTCAGCTGTGGCCTTCCACTCAGAATGTTGCATTTTCCCATCAATGTTTCGTCATAGCTGCCGCGGTCTCTCCCCAAGGCATTTACATAAAGAAGTGAAGAAGAAAGTCTGAAAAGGAGGCATCCGACTTGGGGCCGTTGAGCCTCCTGGGCCAAACTTGAAGGAGGGGCTTGCAACTGTTCTGCAGGGTTCGTTGGACGTCGGGTGTATGCAGCGCAAGCAAGTGACCACAAAACGTACATGATGTATGCATATAGGCTCTCCATCGATACGTGCGTACCAGTGTTATGGAGGAGGGCCTAATGAAAGGAACTTTTCCATGCCCATTGAGCAACCGCCGCCCATTGTAAAGTCGCACCCAGAAGGAAATCCCCGGGCGAATCCTGGGGCAGATCGAACAGAGCTCTGGAACATCCACTCGCCTGGGTTATTCCTCTGTTCGCTCCCACCCCTCCCTCAACCCCTGCTGCACTAGCCTTTCGATCGACTGCCTTCCAGGGGCCAATGGGCGTGGCGGGGGGTGCATGCGATGAGATGGGGGGAGTGGATGATGATAGATGATGGGTGTGGTAGATGAAGAGGCATGGATAGATGAGCATCATAGCGCTGCTTCGGTTTGCTCTGCCCTTGCTTTCCCTCTGCTCGTGACCATTTCAAACGGAACAGCATCGAACCAAAAGAAAAAGGCGGAAACGCATCGCCAGCCGTGCAGTCACAACGTGCCTCAACAAGACGGACCTCGTCAAACTGCCGTGTCCCGCTTCTAGACTCGGGCGGCTTTTGGCTGCTGGGCTGCTGGCTGGTTCGGCTTGTCTCACCTCGACAAGAAAAAATTACAAAATGCCATCTCATACATGTTCCGAGCCCTAAAGCAACGGAACGAACGTCTCTGATCAGACTAGAGACATGCAGATAGACAAGAGACGGGCTGGCAGATAGACAGATGCATGTACACGCACTCGCACACACTCACGCTCGTTCCCGATGAACAATTCTTCAGCCATCGCCATGGGGCCAGGTCCACCTTGTGCCCCCTCGAACAGAGTGATCCAGGACCCATCCCCATCGCCTATCCTTGCCCATACCTACCCTGGCAACCTGGTTCGCGCCACCATCGTCCATCGCTGGACTGCCACTGACACGCCTCCGGGTCTCTGCTAGTCCCGCACCAGAATGTGATATGTACCATCTGCACTGTACCGGCCTGCCGGCCTATTTGTTTCTTTTGCTTGCTGCTGGTGTCCTTCCGCCGGTTGCTCGCCGATTATTATCAGATGGCACTGCCATATTTTCTTCTTTACACTAGGAGCGAGGGCAGGGACATGGAACACCCGCTCCCGCTTGAAGCCTTCTTACTCACTCAGCCAACCTGGTCCTTGCCAGTTTTGCCGGGCCAGCTACCCAGTGCTTTGTCCTTGTCGTGCAAGTTCAAAGGAAATGACAAACTATAAGTATCGAAGGGTGCCGCCCTGAGTTCCGACTTGTTTAAATCACCGTCATCGGCCATTAAAACTTGAAGACATTGCTTGGAGTACTACACCGCGATCCACCTCACTCGACCTCGCCAACTATACAACAAACAGCCAAGATTTTGCCATAGCCAACTCGACCTTTGGTCACTCCAGCCACACCTCAGCCAACATGACTTGTTCAACGCAATACCAGGTCCAGAAGACCTCTTTCACAAACCAGCAAAAGCCGACATCCTCCAAGAGCGGTTCGAAACAGGTGAGTGTGCATAGTTGCATCCCCCCCACCACCACAATCTTAACAACCAAAGAGCCCAAATTAACCCCATTGCAGCATCTTCTCCCAGGCATTCGCTGCCCTACGTGCCATGCCTCAGGTAAAGAGGTGTGGGTACTACCCGGAAAAGAGTGCGGCTACTGCGGCACGCCCTGCGGCTAAGCAAGCTCATGTGAGTTGCTTCCATGTTATCTAGATCTGTGACGATGAGGCTGACAGTGGGCAAGCCCCAAATCCCCCGATCAGGAACAGGAGTCATGTAGCTGGGAACACAATGCGATAACAGGCGCTACCAAAACTGTAACGATACCCCCGGACAACGGCGAACGGCGACGCACGAGGGCAAAGAATTTAAGGGATGTGTGGAAGGGGACGAGGGGCTGTTCGACTACGAGGTCCATTTTCATCACTTTTTGGAGGGCATGGTTTTTAAAAAAAAAAAAGAAGGGGGGAAGATCAAAACCTCTGGGTGGGCCATTCTGGGTACTGGCCCTGTAATGTTAACGAGCCATGTCTGCCCGATTTTCAGATCGGGATGCGCGATTGGAAGAGGAAGGAGGGACAGGAAGAATGGAGGGGTTAAAACGACAACGGCAGCCAAAAATGGCACCGGATTGGAGGGAATTAGGAATTGTAATGATAGTCATACGCATATGTTTGGTTGAATTAGAGACGTATGGTTTCTTTGTTCTCAACGATGTCGCTTTGGCTGAAGAGTGATATCTGATGCAAGGTGGTGTCGCATCCTCGAGATTCGAGAACCTTGCTAACTGCTGCAGACCGAGATGCAACCAACATGGGTCCGGAGCAAATCGACAGGTTCCGATCACGACATTGCTGGCCCAATATGGAGGTGGTGATTCTATTCGGAGATAATGCCGAGTATGTCTGGATTGGTTGATGTCGAGTTGCAACTAACGCCTGGGATGAAAGGAGTGCGAATGACTGGCGGGCTGCATGGTGGAGGCGACCCCTGAAGTATATGCATTGGTCGAGATCGAGGTTGTATCACAGTTGCGAAAGGGAAAAGAGACGAGGGCAGGAAAAGCAACGCCTGGCCCAGATTTTACGCAAGGTTTGTGAGCTACAACATCAGGCATTGGTGACAGATCGTCTCGTAGTGCAGGCTCCAACAGCAGTAGTGGCAGCAGCGGAGACATAGCCTGCAACGGGGGTCATGGTCTGTCGAGGCCGAGAACAGCGGTAACGCGTACTGCGCTGTAGAAGCCCAGTGACGAGAGGCTTTGCGCTGAACTCGCCGTGCAGGTCCCCTATCAATCCAATCGGTCCCGAGCCTATGGTTCCACTGACACAAACAGCTGGCCCTGGCCTGGTCAGTACACCTAACGGCCTGCAGGATGCGCGAGTGCATAATAGAGATGCTGTAATCCTCCACAGGGAGTCAGGCGCTTGGACGGTAGACATGCTAGCGGCAGCTGAGATCCAGATCCAGGTTCATTCAGTTCCATGTCCCGGTTCATCACCTTGCGGTATACAGTAGGCCTCGGTCCTCAGGGATAACAGCGAACGGCTGAGTGGACGAACAGGCCCTCCACTGGATCGTGCGAGGGCCTTAGATTATAACGCCTGCGTCCCAGAGGGACTCAAGGACTTGTGGGCATTCTGTTTCGCATCGTAAGACAGTGAAATCGTCATAAATGACAGCCCGGACAGGGGGAACTTTTTGCGTGATGGAATATGCTGCAGAACGGAGAAGCGGACTGCGGCTCAACAAGAATCCCCGCGTGCGTTAGAAATCATTAGCTAGTTCACCAGCTGTTGACTCTTCGGATTGATTCATTTTGTTGATTCGGCCAACCAAGCAGGGGTCCTGGGCGCTCGCGATGAACGAATCGAGGAGGTTTGCAAGGAAAAATGCAAACGGGGATTAGAGTGAAGAAGCTAGCAAACCGGTGTGAGAAGATGATTGTCTTGGCCTGTTGACCGTTGTTTCGGAGGGATTTGTGACAGTATAGGAAACTCGCTGAGAAAAGAAAGCAAGGTAGAGAAGAGAGGGGGGAAAGGTGAAGAAAAAAGCAATGTGTTGATTGATGGTGGTTTGCATAGAAGTTGAGAATTGACATTATTTTGGCAGCAATGTGAAGCAAGTCCTGCTAGACCTTAGACCTGCAGAGCTGCTTTGCTTACCCTTCCATCCGTCGTGCTTTCCTGCCTTTCCTCAAGTTGGCAAGTGCTTTCCTGCCCCGCGTCTTGGTGCCTTCCAGTCAAAAGAGCTCCTAGCCGAATCTGGGCCGAATTGGAATTGGAGGAAAGGGGATTCGCTGCATCTAATTGGCCTCCGTAACCGTCGTACTTTCCTCGTTGATTCAGCGTTCTTGTTGCTATCCTCGACGGATTTGTCTCGAATGTCAAATATGACTGATCTGCCACTCTCCACACCAGGGTCTCGGTTGGTTTTACCTAGAGTTTCTTCTTGGGGCAACTCAGAAGGATACTGGGGCCTGCCTGCTCTGAACCAGGTTTAAGGCGAACGATACCCCGAAAAGCGCGCCTGAGTCGGCGCCTGGACACGGCCCGGGCACACACTGCTTTAAAACCTCCAGCACCCAAGGTTAGAGCTCTAGCTAGGGCCCTGACAAATGGCTCAAATGTTTCCCTATTCCTCATTTTCTGGCAGTCAGTGGACCTGATTTGGAGAGCTTGAACTTTGAACTTTGTTTGGTCTGACTTGCGTTTACCAAGGCAAGCTTACAGCTGGGCTCATTGCCACCAACAGCACTGCTCCCCAAGGGGAGTCATGGTGTCACCTCATGTTTCTAAATAGAGCGTCTCGAGACACGCCATGTTCGTTCTTACCAAACTACTTCCTTTCTTCTTCTTAGTTTCCTCTACCGTTTGCAAGGTTTATGCAATAAGCATCAAATAGTGAGGCACTGCTAGTACCTGGGCAAGCCAAGGTGTGATTCTTGTCTCCGTCTTCGTTTTCCGGTTGTTGCTTCCTCTCGTCTCAACTCGTTAGTAGCCAAATCCAAGCGGTCATCGGCTCCACACACGAGAAACAGCTGCAAACCTGGCCTCGCTTAGAGGTGTGTTGAATTGCGTCGAAGGATGGAAAGATGAAGACTCTTGATCGCGTGCACATACATCGGACGTCTAATACCATACAGGAACATCAAGTGTGCTTGTAACATAGTCTGCCTGTCCTATGTGTCACTAATCAGCTCTATCCGGCCGTGCCAAACAAACAACCAACCATTTGTTTGGTATTTCGCAGCCCCCCGGACAGTGTGCTTCACTAAGGCAGTGTGCCGTCTGAGTAAACCCCGCGAAGTGCAGGCCTCACTAAGTCAGCACCTTGCCCGCCTTGACTGCCAATTACCGGGCCCACGTCTACGCGCGGGCTCTTCCCCAGACCCGCTCCACTTCGTTGCCGTCCTAAACTTCCCCCGCCACTTCCCGACGTCCAATTCCCTGATGCTGCTGCTGTCGCAAAGCCTCGCGCAAAAGAGCTGAGCTTTTTTTTTTTTAACCTCCCTCGATTCAATTGACATCACTTGCCGCCGGCCCCATCCCTCCATAGCCGTAGCGCTGCCCTCTATAACATGAACGGCATCGACATCCTCTGCGATGCCGCCGGCTCCGACATGCTAAACCCCCTCTACTCCCCGCCGGAAGTCCCGAAACCGCCGGCCCAACCTCCACCTCAACAACTCGGGAAGCGGAAATTGAGTGTGTCCGACGCCTCTCTGTCTTCAACACACGTCTGCCACATCTGCAAGAGAGTTTACGAGCGAGCCGATCATTTGACTAGGCATCTACGATCCCATGAAAATGCTCGTCCCTACCAGTGTTCTCGCTGCCCCAAGCGGTTCAACCGAGCCGATCTCCTTACCCGCCACGAGACGACTCATGACCGCGACAGCACAGGCAAGGGCAGAACCTTTATACGGCGAAGCGATCGGGCCGCCGAGGCTTGCTTGAACTGCGCTGCTTCAAAGTCAAAGTGCGAGGTAATTATCTTCGCGACTCTGATGGTCAATATCCAGCACTGAAAGACTAACCAAAACCATCGCCTACTTAGGACTCCAAGCCATGCTCGCGTTGTCGCTCCAAAAATCTGCCCTGCGAAGTACCCTTGAAACGAACACATTTTCACCGAACCTCGACTGATAGGCAATCCACGCCCTCTGAGTCCTCCACGATGCCTGTCGGGTTGGACATCAACGGGGGGATAGACACCGCTCCGACATATGGCAGCTCCCGTATGGCAATGATGGCGCCTGATTCCGGAACAACTCACGATATCGACGCAAGCTCATTCATGGATGATGGTTTTGCGAACCCTGTTATCGACATGGTCATGCACGACATTGTCAACTTCAATCCTGTACACAACTATTTTCAGGATATGGACTTCTCCTCCTGGGACCTCAACTTCGATGCCATCACCATTCCACAAATTGACGTTCACGCGAGTCCCGACTCAACAACAACAAGTCGGTCTAAGTCGGCGACTCGTAATGCGTCACGGGCGCATGCCGCCTTCAAGCGTTCCCCGTGGCTCTGGGAACCAGGCCCTAAGGATTACGCATTGCATCATGTGTCTCGCCAAGATAAGGAGAAGCTCGCCCTGGACGAGAACAACTTGGCAAACTCGCCGGCCTTTGACAAGCTAACAAGCACACCGGGCACAAAACTTAAAATGACACCTACCGCTCGAGATAGCCTCCTGGCGTTGGTAGTGACCAGTACCGTTCACAAAGGCGAACGTTCACGAACACCCTCATTCCCGTCTTTGGATCTATTAAATTATCTTGTTCAGGCCCACTTCATCCATGATGAGCATCAATGCGACAGCTGGATTCACTTGGCAACTTTTGATGCCACAACCGCAATACCCGAATTGCTCGCCGGTATTTTGTCGAGCGGTGCTACGTATATTTCCATCCCAGCCGTCTGGCAATTCGGATACTCTATTCATGAGGTGCTTCGGCTGGCGTTAGCGGATCTGGTGAGTCTAATGTTGCTCAGATATTATGATGCAAACCAAAGACCTCTTTTGGGGCATGTCTCTTCTATATTCAGGATCCAGCCGCTGACCCGTTGTAGTTCGAAGGTTCCAACACTTTCACGCGCGATCTCGGGGCCTTGCAAGCATTCATTTTGAACCTCGATATCGGCATTTGGAGCGGTTTCAAGAGGAAAACGGAAATTGCAGAGAGCTTCCTGCAGCCTCCAATGACCATGCTGCGACGGGCTGGTAACTTTTCGGCCCCTCCGGATTCCCCCTCGCTAATTCCAACATTGGCCGATCCTCCGGACGTCCTGGACTCGAAATGGCGCAGGTTCGCTAAGCGGGAATCTTACAAGCGAATTGTGCTACACCTTTTCTTTCATGACATCGAGACGTCTATTGGCTTCTGCAAGAATCCCCTCATGTCTTACACTGAGCTAAGCTTCAGTCTCCCGGCCTCTCGTGACCTTTGGCGAGCGCGATCTGCCGAGCAATGGAGAAGCATGTATATTGCCAAAACCAACGCTGCTACAGAGCGGACCATTCCGAGAGTGTCTGAAGTCATGCATTGTACCGAGATATTGGACGAATTTGAACAGTTGGTCGATACTGAATTATGCTACATGGCCTTGCTTCACGGTTACTGGGGCCAAATATCTGCATATCGCGAAGCAATCAAATTCTACACCGATGGCATGTCGAACAAGAGGAACGCAACGCATAGACTGTGGCTGAAAACGCAATATCAGGAGCTTTATCGTGATCTCAACGACTTCTCGACTATGATCCTTACATCAAAGAGACCTACAGCTCAACTTGCGGTTCTGTCCGAGGTGCTTATGATGGTTCTGCATGTTTCTCCTGACGTTCTTCAAACGTTTGCAGGCAAAGCAGGTGAGGATGAGGCTCGGCGTACGTTTAGCAGCCTTGAAGAAAGCTGGGTCAAGACTTCCGAGGCACGCCACGCTATTTGGCATGCGGGCCAGGTCTTCCACCACGCACGACAACTTCCGCCTGCTTCACTTCGAGACTTCAACGCTATTGCTGTTTACTTTGCCTGCCTTACCCTGTGGGCCTATGGATTATTATCCTGCTCAGCCTCCAGGCACGGTTCGGATCCCGAAGTGAGTAGTATCAGTAGGTCTGGTTCGGGATACATCCTCATGGATTCGGAGGAAAATCGAGAGACTAGGGCGTTCCTTCAACTTGATCGAGGCGTGCCCGGTCTGACGCTGAATGGTAACCCTGCTGACGGAGTTGAATCACTCTCAAATCCGAGCATTGTACTCTCCGTCGCGCGGGACATCTTTCGGAACAACTTCCCCGTTGTCTCGGAGCCTTTACCGCCGCTAGTTGACAGCCTGAGGAATCTGCTTCAGGACCTCGGGTCCGGGGCGGCAGGACGGCCATCGAGAGCTGCTAGCGAGGAAGCCAGGTGAAGAACGCCACCTTCCCTTGTGATTCGGTCTCATTTGACATGATATGAATGTTCATCTATTGTATATATCTATCATTGAGCGAGCGATGGTTTTATTCGTTTAGCATAGTTGGAAGAGTCATTTGTCTAGCTTTAACCTCTTCTGGGGAACCACAAATACTGCAAATGGCGCAACTGTCAATTGTGGCTAGAGCAGCAGTCTTTTCCGCCATCATCTATTTTTCTGGATGGTCTGTCGACATCATGAACCTCTGGTCCTTCTTATAACGGGCCCAACCATAGGAAAACCACTGTTGCTCCTTGTCTCGAGAATGGAACTCGATGGTCTCCCATTAGACAGTAAGAACATCATGTCTACCGACATTTGCCTTCAATATCCACATGTATGGCCTGGCTGTCGACACCCATGTTGACGCCAGTTCAACACAACCAGGTTCTGTGATGGTTTATGCGCTCAAGATGCATGGTGGCGCAGCAGGGACGGTGGCGGATCCCCGCCTCCATCATCGCCGAAGACCTGATCCCCGTTAGCGGAGCAACTTTGCCGGATCTATAGTGGAACTCACGGTCCCCCGCGACCCCGGACCATAGCATCTCTATCCTCATTCCCAGGTTTCCATCCCAAGTGCTCGTGCCAGCCTCATACCTCAGCTCCCCCCGCCCCATGACGCCAATCTCCTCATCGTCTCCTCACGAGACCCCAAAGTTTAAGGCCCAACTACGTGGTCCTGTTAGAGATTGTCCGCCAAAACCCAGATTGAGTCATTACATTGGCGCCCCTTCCCGTGTTAGTTGCACCCTTTGTTGGTTGCAAGATGAGCCAGTAATTCCCAGAAGCCCATATCTGCCGGAGGACCTATTGGCTAGTTCGAGAAGTCGGAGAAAGGTGATTCATTGACGGCCACGGGCAGCCTCTGAGTCACAGGAGAGAGAGAAAAATCACTGCTGAAGGAAGAAAGAAGCAAAAAGTCAGAGGTAGCATAAGATTTGCCTAGAACAGCCCATCTTGTCTGATGTGGGACAAACACGGGCATTCGTTAGAAGTGTATCAGGGTTGCCGCACTTGGTTGGCCATACACCTGGAGTGGTCATACCTTAGGGCAGTTGGGTTCTGGGAGAGAAACCTATGTGCCATCAACAAACGGTAGACTGCCCGCATCCAGTGCCGACCATCTGCTACATTAGCCTGAATCAGTTTCCTCTCATGTCCTTGCCTCTAGCCACTTCTTTCACTCAAAAACCGGCTTCCCCTCACATTCTTTCTCTCTCACATACTCCTCTCACTTCAGAGAATCCTCATCGCCAGAACACATCCTACCAGTTTACCACCAAGGCGAACATAGAAACGACACGATGGAGGCCATCCGCCAGAGAATCCAGGCTCAAATCCCTGAAAACATCAAACAGCTTCCGGGAACACTGAAGCCCAAACCGCCCACTCATCTGGAGAATGGCGCAGAGTCCATCCCCGCTTCCCTCGCGCCCACAGTCGTCTCCCCCACCCTGCCGACCCCGACAGTCGGGCACGAGGGCGCCGTCTTCACCATTGCCTACGCCACCCCTATTGCGGCACCGCCCCTGACCGTCCTCGCGACCTTCATCAACCCGGCGACCTACCCCTCCTGGAATCCCGTGACGCCTCGCGTAACCATAACCCGTCCTGCCGTGTCGCCGGTCCCTCCCCTCCTCGCAGAGTCCTCCGTCGCCAATTCCAACCCGGCAGAGCTCATGCTGGAGAGCACCCACATCACCTTTGAAGTGCACATGAACCTTGATCCGGCCAAGTCCACAACCAACTCCACTTGTGTCATCACCAAACTCGAGGATTTCAACAAGGTGACCACCACTTCCACGGGAGAACACAAGGGACGCAAGGGGTACAGGGTGGCCTGGAAGACCACTGGGTACGCGCCGCCGGCGTTCCTGCTGCGCATAGAGCGTGTGCACGAGTTCCTCGAGAGCGAGGACGGCACCGGCACCGAGTACCGGCAATACGAGACCTTCTTCGGCCCCGTGGCTCATCTGATGCGGCTGACGATGGTCAGCCAGCTCGAGACAACGGCTAACGCGTTCATGGATGGGCTGAAGAAGTTTGTCGAGAGCGGCGGAACGGTCACTACCACTAACAACGAGGAGACTGCGGCAGCCGCCGCCCCAGCTAGTGCTGCTCCGGCCACTACCGCTCCTGCTGCGGCTACTCCTGTGGCGGCTGCTCCTGTTGCGGCTGCCCCGGCTACCGCTGCTGCATAAGCTTTGTTATCTGATGCTGAGTGCTGAACACAAGTGCGAATGTGTGTGTGTGTGCTTTTTTGTGTGTTTCTGGTGGTTTCTTATGGGATATTTTGGATGACCTCAAAAACGAAAACGAAGTGTAAAAAAAAAAAAAAAAAGGAAACATGCAACCTGAAGGAGGAAATATGTTTAGGGTGTTTGTGTTTGCTCTATGTATGCAAGTAGCTTGATACCTGTCGAATACCGGCAACAGAGTTTCTCTGTCATTTACAAATGAAAACAGGAAGTTCTTCGCTTCCCCTATACCCCCCCATGTGTGCGTTCCCCAGTTCAAAAACCTCATGTCTTGTTGTTTCCGCACAGAGATAGAGCCCCCTCCCGCCGTCACAGGGTATCTCAGTGTAAATGAAGTGAGAGAGAAGAAGTCTGGGAAAGGGGAGAGAGGCGCCCTCTTTTTTTTACAAAGAAGCAACGGCCTCGGGCTTAAAGTAGACCGACATGACGCCGCCGACGGTAAGCTTCTCCTTGACGAATGACTTGAGGACGCCGTGGGCGGCGCACTCGTCGTCGTAGAAACGCATGTCCTCGAGCGAGGCGAACTCGGTCTTGGCGACGACGGTGAAGCCCTGGCTGCGAGGGTCGTCAATGGCGGGGCCGACGACCATGGAGAGGATGTAGGGCTTTCCGTCCTAGAGTGAGTATTGTTAGAATAAGTTACTTGAGACGGTATGACTACCGTGCGAAGCTCTTTGGGGGCGGTGAAAGTAGCTGTGTTCCAAGCGAGAGCTGGAGGGGCGTGCAAGGAAGGCAAAGAGGCATTGGGCTCGTGGGATGACAAGAGGGAACAAGCCTACCTTCTTGTGGGTGCTTCCAAGAACCTTGTACTGCTCAATCAAAGCCTGTCTCTGCCCCTCGTCGGCAATCTTGAACATGGTAACACGATGAACCCGGTCCGCCATTTCGTCGTTGAGCCTCGTGGGACTTCCCAATTCCTTTCCTAGCAGTAGTCTTTCTCTCTTCTGGTCCGTCCTGAGACGAGCGCCGTAGGTAAGCCGACGGTAGTTTTGTTCTTGAAGAGCTTCGTAGGTTGACGCAGCGGGGCTGGTTGTACGCGGTCGTGTATAGAAGCCGAAGCCGGAAACGAGTCGATGCGGGGTGGTGACGTGCCGAAGCCGAAAGAGACTGGAGCGGAGGGCGGGGACGGGGGACATGGGGGAGCTTTAAATACGTGAGATCCGGGCGTCAGAAGCAAAAGGGGAGAGACTGCGCAAAACCCAGCAGACTGCGGGCTTTGCTCGCGAGCTAGTGGGGAGTTTAACACAGGCAGACAAAAGAAAAAGTCTCTCGGATTCTCCCCAACTACGGTGCATACATGCATACCAGGGGGGGTGGGCTGCGGCGTTTCGTAGAGAGAGAATGGCGCGGGTTTGTCGGTTGAAGCAGGTGCAGCGGCGGCCGGCTGGCGGTGCATTGAAGTGGTCCATGCATAAGCTAAGCTACTTACCTACCTTATCTTAGCCTGGTACCTGATGGGAGCTCCACCTCCGCCATGTCCGACTCCCTCGCTCTCAATTGTTACCTCCTGCTGCTGCTGCTGCTGCTGCTGCTGCTGCTGCTGCTTCTCAGAATAGGATATACTCGCCGTTGATTTACATAATTGGTATCTGGCTAATTTCCTATTCGCTGCACGTCTAGACGATAATGGATACATTTTTAGATCTCCTCGCTGCGTCGATCTCAGGCAGCCCAGTTTGTATCCATCCCAGCTTTATAATCAGCCCGGACGCCGCCAAAGCTCCAGCTCACAAACCAAGACTGTTGAACCGTCGTCATCCGAGTAACTAGTCTCGATGGTCTGCCTACCACAACCTACCTCATCAGCTCGCTCGTTCTATGAGTATTGTATTCCCTCAACTAATGCTCCGAAAACCCCTTTCCCATGTGTATGCCGCCGTTCTTACCCCTCCTCCATACCCAGACAGATGTAAGACAAGATGGACACAGGACGAAACCCGTGAACGATTCCAATTCATCCGCCACCAATAACGCCCGCCTCACATTTAAACCAAAAGGTACAGAACGAGACCTCTAGGCCGGGCGCACAAAACAAACATCAGGGCATCGGGGCTTCCATCGGCCCTGACCCCCCGCATACAAGCCCCGCGACCCCCAAAGTGGGGCCGTGCCTTCTTCTTCTTTTTTTTTTTTTTTTTTCCTAATCTGCACCTCTAGAGGCACCTCTGCACCCCTCCTCCTTCCCCCTCCGTCCAGGGTCCAGGGAACCCAGCCAATCACGAATTTCTCCGTCTCGTCTCACACTCTCTTCTAGACCTTCCCTTGTCCACAAGGAAACGACGCCTCATTGACGGATGAAGAGAACCTCACTCATGTCACCTTGTTATTTGGATATTTTTTTGGATTTATTTTTGTCACTTACACCAACCTCACCTGATGAATCACTCGCCAATCTGTCTTGTCGCGTTTACACCCCTCCTCCTCCTCCTCCTCCTCCTTCTTCTCCTCCCTCTTTCCGCAAATCAATACTTCAGCAGGCACCCGTGACAAGACGGGAAAATACAACCCTTACCACCTCGCAAAAGCAAAACAAGCCTCCTGGAGCAGCGGCTTGCAACCTGCCAAGAATATCACGACACCGGTACACACCCACCCCCTGAACAGCCTCGGTCGAGCTGCGGTGGCTTATACATTGTCTCAAGCACAAGGCACGCAAAAGATCCCGGCACATCATCCTGGAGCAGCAGTTGTGATGACAAGAACTTCTGATTAGCCCGTCTGATATTATTCCGTCCCGTCATCGAGGCCGTGTCCATCCCTATACCCCATGACGGCCGGTTTCCTGTTCTACTTTGATGCAATGCTGTCGTCCTCCCCGGAGACGCTTCTTCTCCCATATACACCACCGACCATCCAGACATTTCAGAAACGTGGCCGGCCCTCACTACCAACATGGTTCAATGCCAAGTCTCCTGCGTGTGGCATCCAACGCCAGGAAGGTCACTCCGTTGGCTAACAGCCAAGCCTGGTATCTTTTTGTGCCCTCCTACCAAACGGGCACAATCACCACATGACGTGAAAAAAAAAAAAAGTGTGACCATGCCAATGTCCGGAAGCAGTCCCAGTTTCCCGAACCCAGTCCTGCTGTGGCTTCCTTTTACCCCAAAAACGCCATACCCGTCTTTGTATAGACCACCAGCCCTTGGTGACCCATGTGACCAGTTTCACCTAACCGTCCCGTTCTACTTCGTTCCTTCCCATTCATTAATGTACAGGCGAACCGGGTGTAAGTCCTCCCATCCGCCGTACTACCACTTGCATCTTCTCAACTAGCTCCGGCATCCGATAAGGCTTGACGAGCACGTCGTCACAACCCGCCCTTCTGGCCTGCTGCATCTGCTCCGGCCTTGCGTTGGCGCTAACGGCGATGATGGGAATCCTGCCACCACTGGCACAGAATACCCGCCCCTCGTGCTCAAGCTCTCGAATACGTCGTGTGCACGTCAGCCCGTCTTGTACTGGCATCTCGATATCCATCAGGATGAGATTGATGGGCACTGCATTCACCTGGCCGTTCGGAGCGCTATGGCTAAAGTACTCCTGTTCATCCTTCTGCTGCAGGGAGACGGACTGCATAAGCCTCTCCAGTGCCTCGATGCCGTGATTGGCCACGTCCACGGTGAACCCCCTATCTTGCAGACCGCGGCGGGTGATTTGCTGGTTAATTAGGTTATCCTCTACGATCAAGATACCGTCGAGTCGAGGATCATGGTTGCTGGGCTTCGGCCGCGAGCCAGGTGTCCTCTGCTCGTTTGCGGGGGCTCTAGCCCGCGGCGCCGAAAATGGAGTGCTGGTCGCAGTAGCTACCGTTGTCATTCTTACGGCCGCGGCCGCAAACTCGGCCTCCTTCCGCGAAGCCTCGGTGGGAACGTAAGCCTCAATGAAGAAGGCAAAAGTTGATCCCACGCCTGGCAAGCTCGACACTCCAATGGCGCCCTTTTGCAGCTCTGTCAGGCGTCTAGAGATGAAGAGTCCTAAGCCTGAGCCCCCGTATTTTACGTGGGTTCGTGAGCTCGCCTGGACAAACCTATTGAAAAGGTTCGCCTTCTCGTCTTCAGAAAGACCTTGGCCTGTATCCTTCACCTCAAACATTAAGTATACCGGGTCTTTGCGGCCTTCCAGCGCAGGCTGCTCATATTCTGACTCCTCATTGCAAGAACGCGGAATGAAGGTAACGGCTGACGTTTCGTCTGTAGGCCGTTGCCGTGATGCCTTCATGCATACCGAAACATTTCTAATCGACCCAGACTTGGTGAATTTCAGCGCGTTGGTGAGCAGATTTATGAGAACCTGCTTAACACGGGATGGGTCGAGATCGAGGTATTCGTAGCCAAGTTCTTGATACGACTCATCAACTTTCATGTTAAGGTCGATGTCTACACGCCGAGCTTCGACGTCAAACATCTTGATAGCTTCCTCCCCAATCTGCACAGGGTTGACAGTGCAGGGCGTGACAGCAAGGAGCTTCGAATCTAGCTTCGACATGGTAAGAATGTCGTCCACAATTCGTTTCTGATGCTGCGCACAAGCAACAATCGTCTCCGCATTTTCGATGCTGTCAGAGAGCAGTTGCTTCACATCAAAGTGCTTGTCGCTGCTTTCATCGGGCGGTGACTTGGTCTGCATTGGGCTCTGTTGGCGGTCGACCAACTCCTCACATCTCGAAAGAGAAGCAATGATGGCGTCGGAGCAGTGGACAATGGCGCTGAGCGGATTACGCATTTCGTGGGATGTCATGTCAATAAAGTTGTCCTGTTGCCGCTTCGAATCAATGGCTTCCTCGGTACGCTGTGTTTCCAACTCAAGCTGCCACTTTTGCAGAGAAACATCGCTAATGCAGCCGGTAAAAGACTGGACCAAGCCATCCGAGTTGCTGACTGGCATAAAAGTAGCGTTCACCCATCTGGGCGCTGTGATTTGGTTTCCTCCAGCGTCCTCAACTGTCCAGATGGTGTTCAACCGAATCTCGGCGGTCTGCGGCTTTTTCTCCGACACAAGACGGTCCAGGCTCTCTGTAAGGACCGGAAGATCGTCCTTGACCACCGAAACCTGCCAGGGACGAACTTCATGTTGCATTGGATCCACCTTGTCGATCCCACATAGCTCAAAGAAGGCATTGTTCGCACCGAGCAAACGCCCCCCAGTGTCTATGTCGAACATCCCTACTGTGGCAAGCTCAGCCATTCGCTTCAGATTCTCGGCTTGTTGAGTCCTCCTAGTTGCCTCGTCAGCCGTTCTCTTGTGTGCCGTCACATCCGTCAGGCAAGTAAAGGTTCGAATAATGGTTCCGTCTGTGGCGCGTTCTGCTTTTGCTTGGGCCATAACGTACCGCTCCATCTCATCATCCAGGTTACTGTACAGATCGGCTTTGAAGGGAGATCTGCGTGCTAGCAGTCCATTTGTGTGCTCCGTCCCTCGCACGCGAAACTCAAATTCGACTTCATCCTTTGTTCGCAGTTCCTTGTACGCTTCACGTATCTTTTCTCGGTCTGACTCAAGGACATAGGAAAAAGCACCACCATCTACAGACTGGCTGTCTGGATGGCCTGTTATACGGTACCACAGCCCGTTGGCGAATGTAATGTTCCCTTGATGGTCGCCGATTGAGAAACCATTTGGTATGAAGTCAGAGACTGTCTGAAACAGCCTTGTATACTCAATAGCCTCCTTTGTCTGGTGGGCAAGCTTTTCCTTCAACATTGCCTGGTCGTAGGCGGCCTGCTCCGCAGCATTTCGTCCCCGCCGCCTCTCTTCTTCTAGTAGAACAGTACAAGCCAGCGATGTTGTCAGCTTTTGAGCAAGAAGTTGTATATACAATGTATAGGCGTCGTCGTATGGCCGCCGCGGGTTGAGACCAAGCACCAGCAGACCCATGACTTCCTCCTCCTTCGTGGGTCGAATTGGCAAGACGATGGCTGATTCGCATGGATCACCAAAACCACGCCACTGCAAGCCCGTCAACAACTCCTTCGGTAAGCTGTTATCAGATGTGCTGATAATGAGTGGTCCCCGGCTGCGCAATGCGGCTCGGTACTGGGGTGCAAGGCCTGCGTCGGTTTCGTTCAGGCGCAAGTACTCGGGCATTATTGGATGGCTTGTCGGAACGCCGAGAGCACCCTCCAGACGGCAAACGTGATTGTATCGAAGCTCTCCTGAGCTCGACGGCCCGTCACGCTCGATCGAATATAACATGGCAAGCGGGATATCGTATGCGGGATCGCACTCCGAAAGCTCTTCTATAAGCTTGCTCCAGTACGACTTAACATCCTTCGCTGTGACGAGTTCCTCGCCCATGTCGACCAACATCTGGGTTCGCCTGTGGAAAAGGTGGTAAAGGGTGGTGTCCGTTATCAGATGGATGAAACCGAGGCACTCGTTGTTTTGTATAACAGGAACAATCGACCACTTAAGATATGTTTCTAGGGGGGAGCCATCGCGTTGTTCAACGAAAAAGCGGAACTCCTCCTCACTGCTAGCTCGATGACTTTGTCCTGGATTTTCCATCATGTCTCTGAGCTGATTTGTAATTTCAGGAAACACCTCCATAACGGAACGGCCTAGCATGTTCGGGTGTCGTGATCCTATCAGCTCTCCGTACGCTTCGTTGTAGACAGTCGTAAACTTAGATCCCCAGTAGATCGCCGTGGGTTGAGAGTTGCACAATATCTGGCTATACGATTGATGTAGGAGAGACGGCCATCGATCCATGGGACCTAGGGGAGTTGCGCTCCAGTTGACATTGTCGACTGTGGCGAGGAACGGCTCAGGGTCCGGCATGAAGTCTGGCAAAACCAAGGGCGGCTCGGTAGTGGCTCGAACGATGCGGGGATGCGGCATTTCCTCCTCGGACGAGTCTGACGAAGACATGGACGGTACGGTCGATGTGTGCGGGTGAAGGATTCCACTGCTGGCCTCCCTCCCTCGTGATGCGTCAAGGCGTATTTTCCTAGGAGGTTCTGACATGGGCGGGAAGTCGTTCGAGCTCACCACAGCCCATTTGGAAGCAACGACGCTTCTCGTCCAGAAGTGGTTGTGATACAGAAACGACTGTGGGGTGTTGGCGTCCTGGGCTGTGATCCAGTCCCAGAACCTTGTGTGGTCAAGACTTGATATGGACTGCAAGACCTCGAGAAGCGCCGACTTATTGGTAAGGGACCGGTTGTTGTAAACTACTTCGGCGCGGGAGGGGTCCTTGAACGTAGATGGAAGCGCAACGACGAAGCTTGGTCTCGGGTCGGACTCAAGCAGGTCAACGACACCTACACCGAGAAGCGGGGGAGGATGCATGGCGGCGGGCAAGCTATGAGTCGTCCGCTCAGCCAAGAGATCGGCAGGTATTGTTGTCAATATCTGCTTTTTCTCTCATCCTCAACCAATGGTCGCCTTGGGGTATGTGTAGTGCAGTCAGACCAAACAAGTGTTGGGTGGTGATTCTACTGCGTCTTTGCTTCGTTCCCTAAAGTTGATGTCGGTCCCGCCGGTGAAGGTAAGGTCTGCGTCGGCAGGCGTGATGGGCCACAAGCAAGGCAAGGCTTGGGGGTTACCTGCGATGCAGGATGGAAGATGCGCCTCAGCCGGAGTTGGAGAGAAAAAGCGCCAGAAGCGAGCCGGGGTGGTGTGCGCAAAGTGGCCCAAAGTGGGTGAGGCAGACGAGGGAGGTCGAGTCCGGAAGCTACGATTCTGCTTTACCGGGTGGAGACTTGCGCGCACCGCGGCACACCTAGCCTGTCGTTTGCTAGCCGGGGTGAGGGCCAAGGTATCAGCGGGTCAAAGGTGCTAGTGTAGGAGTCTGCAGGATCCCCAGTCAACCTTGTCAGAACAACGGCGCAGGGTGTAAACTGTGAATGCGCTGTCGTCTGGTGGTTGCGCCTGCGGTTGTGGTAATGGAAATTCCGTTGCGGTGCGTGTGGATATCGGACCTTGGCCGATGTTGGGTCGTGGCAGAGTGAGCCCTTGGAGGAACACAAGAGGAATGTGAAGAAGGTTGTTTTGGGGATCAGCTGGAATGATGGCAGGGAAAGGATGAAAACTTCCCGCCGCGAGTGGAAGGAGAAAAGATTCAATGGCAAGGCAGAGGAGGTGGGAAAAAAAAATGGTTAGTGTTAGACAGACGGTCGGTGGAATAGCAGACGGAGGAAGGTGACCGTTCCCGGGTGTATGGGGGCTGAACGGCGTCGCAAGGTGGCTTGTCTCGTAGATGGCAGTCTTCGTCAAAAATAACTTTCGGGCTTTGGTGACTTTGGCGCCCCCATGCCGATCCCTTTGTCACTCAGGAGAAGCCAAGTCTACCTTATTCTTGGTGCGTACTTTCAGTAGCAACCATAACTTGCCAGTCAGAATGCTCAAGTGATAGCTATGGCGAATGAAAAAGGCAGGATACCCGCAGTTTTCCTTGAGCCACGACAGGGCAGGTAAGGCAGTGGTCAGGGCCAGGTGGGCGGGCAAGGAGCTAGAAGAAAGAGACGAGAAGCAGGCCCAGTGATGATGGCTGTTAAAAGTCAGATAGGTATCGTGACCTTGAGCTGGAACCGCAAGGAGGATAGCAAACGCCGGACGGGCCAGGGAAGCCTCCAGCTTGAGGAGCGAATAAGCGAGGGAACGCAGTGACGGTGATTTAGAGCGACTTATTGCTGTAGTGTTTCCGCCCTTTTCCTATTTTCGATGGCGCGTCTCAGCCCTCATCGACAGCAGCAAGGTACCTCACGGCGTGGTCGACGATCGTGATCGGGTGGACCCATAGCCACAGAGCCACAGCACTGGCTCAGGGTTTGATGGAGCAGGGTGCCGTACGGTAGAGGTACCGGTCGTATCCGTAGGTAATGCAAGAGTGTCTCTTCCTTACAGAGTATCGGGGGACGGACAAGATACCAGGCCCGCAACGCAGATTACGTATAAAGATGGATGAGACTATGTGGGATTCGGCGTGGTACCCGAGTATCCAAAAGTTCCAAATTGGTCCAATGTGTCCAATGTCCCGGTGTCTCTGCCAGGAATATGCACAAAGTAAACCGGCACGGGGGCAGGCAAAAAGTGGATGGGAAAACGCAATTGTCCCACCACTGCAACCACGGAATCAACGACACCCAGCCAATCATGGCCGCCTGGTGTGGTATCGTGGCGTCTCCTCCCCACCCCTGGATGTCTGCAAAAGCTTCGATGAGGAAGGGGAGCCATTGGAACCCGACAAAGACGCTAGAAGATTGTCAACTCGGGCTAAATAGGCTCATATTCCCACTTCTGCGTACGGCATTTTCTATCATCTGACAGTTTTCTCAGTTTTCTTCCTTTTCCAGGCGTCTTCGTCATAGACAACCTGTAGTGCTGTTTGAAAGGTCGGCCAAGTCACTAACAGTGTTTAGATCACTACGGCGCTTGCTCATTTGCCAGTGACGTTAGTGCCCCACGCCCATCCCGACTTCACACGTGGAGTCGCAATAAATCTTCCCCTTTCATCACCACCTTGTCCCATCCAGGCCTTTACCCCCCAAATTCCAGGTCCCGGCGGAGCTTTTCTTCGATTTCGTTTTTTTTTTTCTCTTCTTTTCTTACTCTACTCGACTTGTTGCTTGGCCAAGGCTACTCCCCTGTCCGCCCGCTCAGTAGTGCGGCTCATCCGCGAATTTACAAATTTCTCCTTCTTCTCTCGGCAAACTACCCGCGGCTGCGAGCATTGCGGATACTCGGCTCACAACAGGCAACTCTTGAGATACGGCCCGATGCAGTGGTCACACACCTTCCCGCTCCCGACGACGTGAGTGTGATGCCAGCACGGCCTTTGCGCTGTGATGTCATAATATCCCAAAGCGGCAATTTTCTTGTCCTCATCCAATCAAGCGAGTTTACAGCCGCCACAATGGAGACGAGCCAATCAGAAGCTAGTCAAAAAAAAACTCCACATTTCACTTGCTCACCGACACTCACTAATCATTCGGCTGCGTTCCCCCCCTTCCTTCCTCAGGAGCAAGCTCCGGAGCTGTACGTAGTGTGTCTGTCACGGCCACGCTAAACAAGTTGGCCTGCTGGGTTTTTGTTTCCCACAAAACTAGAAGAAACAGTAAAGAAGTCCCATTTTACTGTAAGAAACTAGCATCGAATCGATCGGCACAATCCGTCCGTGCTGCCAAGCATATTCTTGCTCCACCCTCTCTCTCTCATGTGGCCTACTCATGCGTCGTGACTTCTTCGTGTCAGAAACATTCCCACCACAATATTGCAAATGGCGGGAAACATTCTTTCCTGGCCGCTCGTTCAACAGTCCAATCAACGCCACCATCTAGATTAGTGCAAAGAATACCGCATACGCTGTAACACAAACGTTTGCTTGGCGTCTCACTCCTGCAAAACCCGGGGGACGTCATCCAACCCGGCCGGCAACGCATTGGAGTCTCACTCAGGAGCCCAATGAGGACTAACAGAGTCTCATATGTAACACATTAGTGACCTATACAGCCAGCCACATGGGCTCTAATGGCTGGACTTTTGATGGTGTGAAATGAGCCAAGTGTAAATCCAATACACTTTCCGCCCGGCTTATCGGTTTTTCCCAAGGATCTGGATATGAGTACCTGCAGGTTAAGAAGTATCATTGGGTTCGGCGGGACCTGAGTCGCCCAAATCCTTATATGAGGTTAGCTGCTACCACTACGTCGGTGCATCAGTTTTGGGTGGGAAACTTGGGACTGAATGCCTAGCTTTCCGCTCTGTTGTTGCTCTTCATGAAGATCGGCCAAGTAGCTTATTTATTTCACAGTGCGCCACATACCCAGCAGAGAGGTTGAGCAACAATTCAGGGGGGGGGGGCGCCAAACAAACGATCGCCGATGACACGGACCCGAGAATATTTGATTGCCGAGAGAGAAGCCAGCCAACGAGGGGAATATATCATGGAACTGGAGATGGAGACATGCAATAATGTCTGATTGCACTCTCTCCCCGCTAGTACCTCGGCTTCTTGGGATTTGACCTGTCATTTTCGAGGCTTTCGAGATGTGCCGCCTGTCAGTTGCCATGGATATAATCGAAAGCCCTGAGGTAAACCAAAGAACTCGAAACTCATGATCTGGAATGTTCGTACTAGTATAGAACGGACGGTACACTGTTGGAAGTCATGCCAGAGAGCCTACTGGTCTGCACATGTAGCCGCCGTTTTGCCAAATGCACTCACGGCACAACACACGAGACGGTTACAAGAACGGCTTCGGCCTGAGACGTAAACATGTGCCCGTCTTTGAATGGTACCAAGTCATCATAGACGCAAAGAAGAACGCCCCGTTCAAATATGTCTTTGATCTAGAACCTCCGAATGTTGGAAGAAGACCGTTTCATCCATTCCGTTATTGAAAGTCTCGCTTCGAACGCTCTGAACACTGCGGGAAAAGCAAGTACCATCTCCGTGTCTCGTCCTAGCAACGCTCTAGAAAGCCACACGCAAACCTATACAGCCATGCCGAATCATACCGTACAACTATACTCTAACAAGACGCTCACTTCAGTGACCGTCCCATCAATATCCGCCACGGTCTCACTGCGCCGCAAACAAGCTCACGTAAATACCCCAAACAACACCAGCCAGTGCACCGACCAAGTTCCTTCCTTCGATACTCTTGATGAATGTAAAGTTGATAAAACTGATAAGGGGCCAGAGCTTCAAGCCCGCAAGGTAAAGGGGCCAGAAGTCGGCCCGCGCCCTTGCGATGACAGTCTTCCAGTCGACTTTACCATAGTTGATGGCGCCGCGCGAAAGAAGAAAGGCGACCGAGTGCTGCGCCGAAGACAAGTGCTGCGGGCGGGACATGGCGGTCTGGATGCTGCCCATGAACATGCTGAAGGCAATGGTGTTGAGCGCAGAGCCGACAGTCTGATCAAGAAGGAGCTTGATCAGCGTGTTGCGGATGTTGAGCTTCGGCTCGACGAGCTTGTTCTCGCGCTCCTCACGGTCAAGCTCCTTCTCATTGTTGGCGGCGGCGGAGGCCACGGCGTCCTCAGTGGGAGAGACATGGGAGGCTGGGAAGCTCTCTTCAAGAAACTCTTGCCTGTTGCGCATTAGGGTAGTTCATTTTGTACAAGATGGTCTGGGCCGTCTCCAAAATCAAATTCCTAATGGGGAGGGGGGCACTCACCACATGAAGTTTGGCGGCGTAGTCACAATGGCGTTGAGGACAAACTGGAAAACAGGCACCCAATCGATGACTAGTTGGCTCTATTCACAGAATCAGCAACAAAAAAACTACAGTCTTAGACATCAGACCGCCAGCAACAGAATGAAAATATGCGGTAAGGCATCTTTCTGGTGCACGCAGTTTGGATTCATCGTACATCGGATCGGTAAGCAGTCAGCGCTTGGGCCAACAGGTTTGAAGTCCCGGCGAGGGCCGCTGACTGCAGCGTCGCGGAAACGATAGGAGGCGCCATAGTCGCAACTTTGACTTCCCAAGAGACGTAAATGGAATGATTTGTTCTAGGAGCTGATGACCCAAGCTTGTGGTTTGCTGAGTCGCGGTTGTGGCGGACGCTGAGATACTCAGTCCGGATACACCGCCGGCAGACAGCAGGTTTCACGTAAGCTAAGACGACGTCGCTGGCAGCACAAAAATGTCTGATTCAAATATCGCGAGATTCGTCGTGCGATTGTGGGAGTGGATTGCGCCAGTAGATTGCGCGATTATGGTGAGAAGAAAAAAAAAGCCCGATAAAAAGCTCACATCAGATAGACATGTGGTCTCGGCAAGTTGGGTCAACACAAACGGAACGCGGAATCTAGAATCGGAAAGCTGAGGCACTTGGGATTGTGGGGATAAGGGAGCACAACATGCCCCGGTCTGCGGTCTGTGGAGGTCGCCGGCCAGATTTCGGGTTGACGGATTAGGGATTAGCTGATTTAAATGCGGGGCGCCTATGACAGCTGTCCGTCTAAAGCCCGTGAACACAGCTTGAAGAAGCTCAACATGCTCAGGTACACAAGGTACCACAAGGCTTCCTGTTGGGCATACGCCATCAAGCACGGCGTCTGCATTACCTTTTGCCACAATCTTCAATGCGCCCACACAATGCAGTTACCAGGGGTTGCATGACGATGGTTTCTTTTATTTACTTAGTTTACTTTCTCCCACGCTGTTTTCCTGTGTTACGGCCTGATCCTAGTCGCCATAGTCAAAAACTACAGGGAAGGAGCTTCTTGTATCCCCTTTCGCTGGCACAAAACCTTCCCCAACGTAGCTGGCCTCCACCGGGACAGCAAACAAACGCCGGCGCGCTTAACGAAGTGACGTGTCGCATTATCGTACAGCTCAGCCTGCCATTTCAAGTCGCATTCGCGCATCGCCATGCGCGTCCTGTAGCAGGCAAGTCCTTTACTCTATATGACCTCTTACCCATGCTCCCCCAACACTCCTTGACTCCTTTTCATGTGATCTTTCCGGCGTGCTCTTTTGGCGTGATAAACTGCGAGATAATGTGGGATTTAGGGTTTGGACAGAACCCACATAAAAAGCAGTTGGACAATGTACGAGTAGAAGAACAAGAACTGCGTCCTCTGGTTCCGCTTCGCCCGGGAATCGCCAGTCTGCATAGGGCCGGCGCCATTCGCTGAGTTTTCAGGAAGCAAGACATATTTAAGGGAGCGCATCTGAGAGTAAGGTCAGCCAATGCCGCCTGTAAGCAGGTATGTTGAGGAACGAACCAAGAATAAGGAGTTGGCCAAGAAAGTGTAGATGAACACCGACCAGCCAATCCAACCACCAGTACCCTTGCCGGCATTGAAAGTCTCAGCCACGGCAACAGTCACAATAATGCCAACGAACTTGTAGCCTGAGTATGCGATCAAGTCGTAAAGTTGCGAGTCATTTGAGATGCCCAATAGATAGCAACCCAATTTCAATCCCATAATCTCTGCAACCATTATCACAAGAGCCGTCGAGGCCGTGTATCCGAGGAGCTCAGGTTGGAACTGGCCGCGAAGACCAGCAATGAGGGTCGACAGGAGGATGTAGGTCACAACAGCCATGACGGGGATGTACATGTCGGGGCTGTTGATGTCATCGCGCGGAGGCAGGTACCATCCCTCCTGGCCGCTGGGTCCAACAGACTGCTTGCGCGACCAGGGCTTGTGCCTCCAAGGGAAGAGGACGAGGAACAACTTGTTGATGACATAGGAGTTGGAAACGTTGAAGTAATGCTTCAGGGCGTTGACGTTGACATATCGGTTAAACTAAGAGGAGTAGGTTAGCCTCAACTGCCCTGGCACATAATGCGAAGCTCAATGGCTATATTGGAAATGTGTGATTTGACTTGGGATGCTCAACATACGTTTTGCTCCATGTACTCCTGCCCATGCTTGAAGGCCGACTGTCCGAACTGCGCTGCGACCTGTGCCGTGGGGTCGTTCATAAACTGGCCGTATGCGCCAAAGACATTTCCACTCGAACCTCCCTGCTGTTGATACGGGCTACCACCATAGCCTTGCTGTGACTGCGACTGTGACACTGGCGGGGGCGGCGAGCGCAGCTGGGGGACGGTCGAGACATGTTGGGGTACAGGGTGGTGTAGAGGAGGCGACTGGCCATATGTTTGAGGGCGCTGCATGATGGGCTAGTCGGTTCGATCGAGGTCGAGATATAATTTTGAGCAAAAGCCGTTGGTGAATAGTACCGAAAAGTCGGGTCGGGTGAGCTAGGTCGTCGCGGGTGGTAGTGGGATGCCTCCCTTTTCGAAGTCGTTTGTGACGGGGGTGTCCGCGAACTGATTGTGGACGGAACTGGTATGGAAATGTGTTTACTTCTGCACATGTCATCGGCGTGGGGCATAGCTCTGACTTCACACTGTACACACACACCCAGCTATGGGCAGCTGGAGACAGTGCGGAGAAATACGACGGATTATCCCAGCTCCGAAGGCTTATCGATAGGGGTCCCAAGCGATGCACCCATCTGCAGAAGGACGTCTAGGCCCGTCTTATCGGCCACGGGTCTGCGCCACAGGCCAGCTTTTTGGATCGCCAAGGAAGTTCGCCTCCAACTTACGTTTCCCCTCTCTCTTAGGAATTGTCGTCAATCGGTCCATTGCTCGTTGTCGCCGCGAATCAAGGTCCTGAAGTACCTACACGACAATGTTGGACACGTTCGAGATCTTGACCACCTCAGGGGTGGTCCTCTGGTCGAGGTCATATGCGCCAGTCAACCCATCCGTCATCAACAACTTCATATCCGATGTCTTTATCGAGGAGAAGAACGCCGGCACGACGTTGAGCCAGTCTGCCTCCAGTAACCCCCCATACAAGCGCGACCAACATACCCTGCGATATACCTTTGTTAAGGAACTAGGTGTCATCTTTGTGGTGAGTCCCCTATGACGTTTCAATGCGATGGCCGCCGTACTGACATTTTGCTGGCAGGCCGTGTACAGGTCGCTTCTCCACCTGTCTTGGATTGACAAGCTGGTCGACAACATTAAGACGCTCTTCGTTGACCTTTATGGCGAGCAGCTTACGAAGCCTCATACGACACTGGTGGAGTGCCACAAGTTCGACGAGTACTTCGACCAGCAAATGCGCGAGCTGGAGACGACGGCGCACAAGGGTGACTCAAACGTCCCGGAGGCCGACTTCGCCCAGGAAGAGAAGACTTTATCCGGCAACCTCGGCGATGACCCCCCGATCCCCCCAGGTCTGCATTACAGAGGTGAGCAGGATGTCCACGAGGTCGTCTATGTTACCATGGCGGGGTACACAAAGCTAACAAAGACACTCTAGGACGTGGCCTCAACGGCGCAAGCGGCGGCGCCTCGACCAATGATTCCACCCCCGTCGCAACACCGAGCACCTCGCGTCCGTCAACCCCCGGTGTCGTAGTCGGAAAAGCGGGTCCTGTCGCAAAGATGTCCCGTCGCGCTCGCAAGTCCCAGAATACAGGAAGTTCAGCGCCGGCTTCTTCGGGCGACGAGTCCGCCGGTAGACGGCCGCGCCCTGCGACACGGTCTTCGACTAAGAAGGGCCGCAAGTGGGATGCCGAAGGCATGGCAGACGAGGAGGACGACGTTCAGCTCGACTATTCGGCCGCTCCGAGATCGGCTACCAGTGACTCGGAGGCCGAGACCACTGCGCGCTCTTCCGCCGTCGAGCACGTTGACGCATCGACCTGGGGCAACAAGACGGCAAAGGGCCAGTTCGTGCTTAAGGACCTTGATGATGAGGTACACAATATTCTCGCGTCCGCACAATCCAAGACCGGCTCTTCTTCCAAGGCCGAACCTGCGGGTGGACTCATCGGCTCCGGTCTCAGCACCATCGGTGGCCTCTTCCGTAACGTCGTGGGCGGCAAGACGCTCACCAAGGCCGACCTCGACAAGGCCATGAAGGGGATGGAGGAGCATCTTCTCAAGAAGAACGTGGCGCGTGAGGCCGCCATTCGTCTCTGTGAGGGCGTCGAGAAGGAGCTCTTGGGCGCCAAGACAGGCAGCTTCGAGAGCATCAACGCCAAAATCCAGTCCGCGATGGAGGCATCTCTTACAAAGATGCTCACGCCAACCTCCTCGCTCGATCTCCTCCGCGAGATCGACGCCATAACCGCACCGCCTGCTACCTCCTTGCGCAAGGCCCGCCCCTACGTCATCTCCATTGTCGGCGTCAACGGCGTCGGCAAGTCCACCAACCTCTCCAAGATCTGCTTCTTCCTCCTCCAGAACAAGTACAAGGTCCTCATTGCCGCAGGCGACACCTTCCGTTCCGGTGCCGTCGAGCAACTCGCCGTCCACGTGCGCAACCTCAAGGAGCTCACCTCCCGTGAGGGAGGTCGTGTCGAGCTGTACCAGAAGGGATACGGCAAGGACGCCGCCACCGTCGCGCGTGACGCCGTTTCGTTTGCCGGGCAGGAGGGCTTTGACGTTGTTCTTATCGACACCGCTGGCCGCAGACACAACGACCAGCGCTTGATGTCTTCTTTGGAAAAGTTCGCCAAGTTTGCGCAGCCCGACAAGATTCTCATGGTTGGCGAGGTAAGGACCCCTTTCTCCCCTCTGCGATGTGACATGAAATGACTGACATTCACCAAAGGCTCTCGTCGGAACCGACTCGGTCGCCCAAGCCCGTAACTTCAATGCCGCCTTCGGCTCCGTCCGCTCCCTCGACGGCTTCATCATCTCCAAGTGTGACACAGTCGGCAACATGGTCGGCACGCTCGTCAGTCTCGTGCACGCGACCAATGTTCCCGTTCTCTTCGTCGGCGTCGGCCAGCATTACTCTGACCTGCGCAACTTTTCCGTCAAATGGGCTGTTGAGAAACTCCTGAGCAGTTCTTAACAATCCCGTTATAACGAAAATGAAGGAAGAAGAAAAACAGAAAAGCTAAAACAGGGTTTCAACCGCTTTTCTCTTTTATAACTTTTTGTTTTAACATCTTTCTAATATGAATTGAATGAGACTAAACATGGGTCCTCTCGCGTTGGGAGACCCAATGATACCCCCTCAAATACCTGGCCCATCCCCATTTCCTTTTGGGACTTTGTGTGTACGTTTTGTGATGTGATGTAATGCAATGACTCTCATGCCTCGAACAGTATATCCTCAAAACCTCTGGATAAATAACCCAGACGACGCTGATGCCTGTATCCGTTTCCCCATTCGTAAAAACAACAAAACAAATATACATTGTAAGAGCTGAACGTGACCATGGTTCCCCGTATCTAGGGCCTCTTGGCAACAAGTGACTCGGACAATGGGGCGGGGCATCCAAAGTTCTGAAATGGACCACGAGAAGTATACTTCAGCAGGTAAGAAAACGCAGCGGGCACAGCAAGTGATTATCATCAGTCTCTATTCAGCTATAAGCCAGTTTCGGCGTCCAAATTATTACTATATACTCTCTTGTGTAGTAAGTTGTAGTGGTAGTGTAGGCAGAGCGAGCAAGAAAAGCAAGCGGTAGAAAAAGCGAGCGATCTGCATGCCTCCCTCCCTCCTCGAGAAGAAAATGAAGAGAAACAAGAAAACGAAGGAAAATAATTATAATAAAAAGGCCATCCATTCTCTCAATTCATCGTCATTTTGTATTCCGGTTATGCATCGGAAACGGTACAAAGGAAAATTAACTTTAAAAGCTCTCACTTGCGATTCAGCAGGGACCGGCCAAGTAATTTCCGTATCCCAGAGAAAACAAGGTAGGCGAACTGTATCCATCATCCGAGTGCCGTACGTGTGTATGTAAGGAACCCCTCCTATACCACCAGCGGGATGTAACAGTAATTTTTTTTGCGAAAAGGGGGTATCATCATTCTAGTGTGTCCAGTCTTGGGCTCAAAAGCATGCTGCGTGAGAAAGATCGACTGTGGTGCGAAAGACAAAGGAAATCCTCCACGCTTCCACGCATCTTTCAACTCATAACTCCTTAATCTTCAAAGAAGTCGTGGTCATCGAAGTCGCCCGGATGAGCGTCTGAGTCGTAAGCGCTGGACCGCATCATCGGGGGCGTCATGGGCTGCTGCTGGCTTGACGGGCGACGGGGGGGCGGGCTCTTTTGAGACACCGACCCGGACGATCCATTACTGAGTGACGATTCGCGGGCTCGGCCCTGTAGTTGCTGGGCCGTGTAGCGACGACCAGTGGCCTGGAAAGCCGTGGGCTGGGGCTCCTCCGCATGTGCGAGAGGGGTCTGGCGGAGGCCAGAGGCCGGAGGCGTCAGCAGTCCGCCCAGCAGGTTATTGTTGGATGAGTTTGAGACAGTTGATCTTGACGGCGTGTGGTTGCTGTTAAAGGCAGACCTGGACGACGAGGGTCGAGCACCGCCAGACCTAAACGCGGGTTGCTGAGACTTGCGCCAGTTACCCCAAGCGGCAGCTAATGGACCTACGGCCTGAGCAACACGGGGCGTTGCAGCCTCTCGTAGAGACTGCGCAATGTTGGGCAGATTGATAGCTGACCCGCCGTTCATCGCACGCTCACGCTCCTGTTCCTCCATTTGAAGGTTGGCCTTGAGACGGATTGCGGCATCCTTGACAGCCTCTCTGTCAAAGTCCTGAGCAGAAAGGGCAAGGATGATGTCTTGAAGATCGCCATGTCTCACGGCAAGGAGCTCGCGCAGCCAAGTGATCTCGTCGTCCCGCTTGGAAATCTTAGTGGGAGCTTCTGGATCGAGCTTGTCGACGGTGGATTCGAGTTCCTCAATGCGTTGCTCACGGGCTTGCAATTGCTCTTGCAAGACCATGATGGATTCGCGTAGGGCTTGCGGTGAGATCTTCTCCGGAAGTTCCATGGTCTTGGGCGCAGGAACAGCAGCAGCAGCAGTAACAGCAGCAACCTTGGGCTGGATGGCGGCGATAGACTGGGTGGGCTCCACGCCAGCCGACTTGGCGGCCTGGACGGCGGCGCGGGCAGCCTCTCTAGCAATCTCAACCTTCTCTTCCAGGTGAGCAACACGGTCTTGCAGATGCTCCGTCTTGGAAGTAGACAGGCTAAGGCGCTCAAGAAGATGCTGCTCAGTCTTCTGGGCATCCTCGACAGCGTTGTTAAGCTGTCTCTCCCAGCGGGCCTGGATATCCTCAACTTCGTTCTGGTGCTTGCGCTTAAGCTCCTCGATAGTCTGGGACTCGCTATTCTGGGCTGCCTCGGCCATCATCTCGGACTGAGCCTTTGAAGTTTCAGTGTCCATGGCAAGCTGATCATTCTCGGCTCTGAGCTTCGCAATCTGCTCCTCGAGCTCTTCACGGACGGCGTTGACGTGATGGTTGGCTTGGTCAACCTCGTGCTGCATGGAAAGGCGAGTTCGCTGGACCTCGCTTGCCCCAGACTCTCTGGCCTCCTCAAACTCGCGCTGGTATCTCAATGCAGCTTGATGAAGCTTGTGGTTCTCGGTCTTCATATCACCCAGGATGCCCTCGAGGCGCTTGCATTCGTTGACAGCACGCATGCCCTGGCGCTCACCATTCTCAAGTCGCTCAATCTCGGTCTCGAGGCGCTCACGAGTGCGAGCCTCGGCCTGCAACTTGGCGTCGAGAACCTCCTGTCGGGCAACGAGAGCCTGCTCACGCTTGGTACGGCGGGCGTTCTCCTCGGTGATGTCACGCGCAGCCTGGGCCATGTCCTCCTGAAGAGAGACGAACTTGGAACGCCAGCTTTCCCTGACGCGTTCGTTCTCCTGCAGCTGGGTGCCGAGGGTATCGAGGAACTTCTGCAGCTGCTTGTTCTCGTTGGTGGTCTCGTTAAGGTCGATCTGTTGACGACGAGCAGTCTCAACAGTACGCTCGGCCTCGGCTCTCCAGTGACTGGCTTCTTGCCTAGCACTGCGAACCTCATCCTCCATCTGGTTGATCTTATTGGTGAGCTCAGTCTGTGTCTGTGTGGCATTCGTCTGCGAGGCCTCCAACAGAGTCATACGCATCATCTGCGTCGAGGCATCCTGTTCCAGAGCCTTGATCTTGTGCTGTTGCTCCTCTACGTTCTCGCGGAGACGGTTCTCCTCCTCAGATGCAATGCGGAGAAGGCGCTGGACTTCCGAGAGTCTATCTTCGGCGGTACGGCGACCATCCAATTCTTGTTGGGCCCTCTCTTCTTGATGTCTAAGCTTTTCCTCGAGGTCACCAATACGGTTATCAAAGATGCTTCTGTTCATGATCTCAATTTCAACACGAGTCTCGGCAGCCTGCAGCTTCCGCTCAAGTTCTGCGGCAAGGTCCTCGGCGCCACGGCGGTCAGTGACTTCCTTTTCAACCTTAGTCTGTTCAGCATAGAGGCGCTCCTCGAGGTCAATGACCTTGGCCTGAAGCTCGCTGAGCTTGTTGTTGACAGCCTCGTCGTGATCACCGGTAGTCGTAGTCAGCTGCTGAGACGGGGTCGGCATTCGCTTCTCGACAGCCTCCTCGACAATGTTGCGGAGGTCCTCGCCACGGAAGTCCAAGCGCATAGACGTGCCGAACTGCTCCCTCATCTCCTGCAAAGCTTGAAGGATGGCAGTGTTGGCATCATCCGAGACAGGGGCGGAAGCAACCTGAGATACGGCAGTAGAAGGCATGTTGCGCTGCTGAACCGCGAAAGCATCGAGGACGGCGGCACGGATCTGTTCCATCCGTCTGTCGCGACGCGGGCTCATCGAGCGACGAGGCACAGGCTCCTCATCTTCATCATCCGCATCGCTGTGTTGTATCTCTGCAGAAATACTGCGACGGATGGAGGACGACTGTCTCCTGCGCGAATCACCGCGGAGAGACTGCTGAATGGACAGCAATGCCTTCTCCATGGGGGCAAGCCGGTCAGAGAGAAGGTCACTAACAACCTCATTGACACGACCGTCGAAGAACTGAACCCGCTGTTCCAGTTTGGCCTGCTCCTCGTCGCTGAAGGCACCCTCCCAATCGCTTTGCTCCGCACTTCCAATGTTCAAGTTGGTAATAGGCGCGTGATAGGACTGAGCGCTCACAGGGGGGTCAACGAAAGGATCCTCAATTTCAGTAGTCGGCAGGGCAGAAGACAAGTCTCCAGGGAGACCGTGGAATTGGCGAGTAGGACTCGAGGTGCCGCTGCGGTACTGAGCTGCCGGTTGCAAACGGTATGGGGAGGTGTGAGTGACTTGAACGTTCCTGGTGGGGCTGGATTGACGCCAACTGAGATCACTTTTGGACTTGTTCACGCCAAAAGTAGGGTCATTCTGGTTAAGATGGTCCATGATGGCATCAATCTCTTCGAACGTTGGCTCGTGTTGCTCCTCGACAGACTCAGCAACGTTGTCTCCGCCAAAGGTGAAGGCGGGAGCTTGAGGCTCGTCGACATATTCCTCGGCATCGGACACCACGTAGTCTTCGGGAATCTCAGACTCGTCATGTTCAGGCTCACGAGCAGGCGAGGGAGATGCTGCAAATCGAGATGCCGCAAGGCCCTTAGCCTTGGGGGGACTGGCGAAGCGAGAGGCACCCAATCCCCGGGGAGCGGTTGTCTTCTGCGGCGGAGGCGACGGCACACGGGGTGAGGGATCGCGTGGAGGCGACGGAGCAGCAGCCTCGGTACTCGGGGCAAATGGCTCGATAGTATCTTCTCTATCGCGCTCGTCATCCTCCTCTTCTTCGGTCTCAGTTTCCTGCGCAGCGGCGCCCCAGCCTCCACCAGGGATGAAAGCCTTGGCAGTCGCAGACAAGGACTTGTTGTGGCCCTTCTTGTATGTGTCAATGCCGAAGGGTACCGCATCGTTGAAGTTCTGGAGCTCATCCTTCGAGTCGAACTCGAAGGGGGCCCAGTTGCTCTGCTGCTGGTCAGGCGACGTGTCGGAGGGGCTTGTAGCAGTGACAGCTTTCGAATCAGTGGGCTGCTCAGACACAACAGTTGAGGACATGGTCGTGTCAGCCGGTGTATGCGCTTGCTCGTCACCGGACTTGTGCTCCGAAGCATCCAGTTCGTCCTTGTTTGATACAGGCTGCAGCGATTGCAGCGAAGTGGGTTCGGGTGACGGTTCGGCAAACAAAGGAACATCGTCCCCGTCTCCTCGAGAGGCCTTGGCTCTCTTGAAGCGAGATTCATCAATCAGACGACCATCAGCATCATCCTTGACGCCATCATCCACCACCTTATCCTCGTTGCTTGGCGGAACAATGGGGATGGCCTTGGATTTCTTAGCAGGCTTGACAATGTCGGAAAGGTTCAAGTCAATGTTGCCGAAAATTGAGCTAGTGTGGTTGCCAGTGCTCTCGCTGCCCGACACAGGACTGGCCAGTGAGTCTGAAACAGCGCCATAGGGTGTGAAGGCGGGCGCATCCGGTCGGAACTTGGGACCGCCAGAAGCCGAAAAGCTAAACTCGCTCTGACCAGGCGAGAAGACAGGGGCCGCAGCGTTAATCTTGGATGAGATGGACTGTGCACCGAAAGAGTGTGTGGAAGGAGAGGAGACAGATGGTGCGAAGGACCCGGCCTGGAACACGGTGGTGGGCTGGAAGCTGCTGTTGCCACCGAAGCTGAAGCTAGTCCTTGACTCATGGCCGCCAGGGTTGAACTTGAACTCAGGAGCCTTGACGTTGAGCTTAGAGAGTGAGGGTTTGCTGACGTGGCTGCCTCTTCTGTTCTGGCCTGAACTTCCGTTACTTGATGGCATATCATTCCACGGGTTGCTCGCCGTCGAGAAAGATCGCTGGTGTTGTTGCAGGAGAGTCGTAAGATTATAGTCTTGCACAGGCGTGCCAAGATTGCTGGGGTTGGTCTCAATTTCGGCAGCTTCATCGATCCGCTGAGCATCAACATCGTGCCAACCTGAGAAGCTATCGTTTCGTGGCCGGTTCTCGTCATGGTGAGAGAAGAAGTTTTGGGACAATGAATGTCCTCGGCTGTGAGGACGCGGGTGGTGGAGAACCGGGCCATCTCCAATCTGTTTGGAAAATTGTTGAGGCGCTTGGAAGTCTTGGAATTGGATGGACTGGTCCATGCCGTGGGTCAAAGGCGGCTGTTCGTCTGGGATGTTGGCGAATTGCTCCGCGGCAGCCTCCTCGTTGTGAGGGCTGTAGTCCTCGTGCTCCAGCTCGTTGCGCATCTGTTCCTCCAGATGATACTCTGCTTCGTCAATCTCAGCTTGGAGATCATCGCTGTTCCTCTGCGCAGCGTCAGAAGGTTGTACGTGCTCCTCCTCAATGGGCTCCTCCTCATCCTCTCTAACTTCTTGCAGGCGCGGGGATGCTCTTGCAGGCTGCTGCATGAACTGGTGGGGTAACATCGGGAACTGCAGAGACTGGTGTCGCTGATGGGCGTTGAAGGCAGGGCTGCCACTCTGCGCAAAGCCTTCGGGAGTGAACGGAGACACAGGTGAAAGTATTCCGTTAAGCAATGAGGGCGAGTCCGTTCTGTGTTGCGCGGACCAGCCCAAAGGCGAGGGCTGGTTTGCGAGCTGGAATGGGGAGTGGCCCATGGGGACTGAAATAGACTGTCTGGCATTGTACTTGGCTGGGTGGCTTCCAAAGCCGACTGGGGAGGCAATTCCGGGGCTCTGTGCTGCGGAAGAAAGCCCACCAGGCATGAATTGCGACGGGAATGGAAATCCTGGGATGTGATTGCTCGACGCGGAGGACGTGGGCAGCGGGGGGGAGAACGGCAAAGGTGGATATTGCGCCGAAGCCTGCCGGCTAGGTTGCGATGCTGCAGGCGATATTGATGGTGCGGGAGGTTCATCATCACCAAATGACACTCCAAGAGCTCGCAGTTTGGCTTCGTTAAGCTCATCCACGTAGTTCTTCCAAGCTGCCACACAATTAGCATGGTCATAATCGTTTGGGGTTAATCATTTGCTTACCGTTCAAATCAGGCAATACGACCTTATACGCCTGTTCTGCGCGCTCTCTGGTCACATCCTCAAAAGTGGGCCAACCGTCTCGACTCTGCGAATATCCGGTGGGTTCCTGGAAGGTACCCTCGGCCGCGTCCAGGTCGAAGCCACTAATGTCGTATCCAAGCTCTTGCCATTCTCTGAACATTCCCTCGACCTCGGTCTGATTAAGGGGTCTGGGCGCATGGCCAGGGCGTCCTCGTTCGTCATCTCTAGGTAAAAGCACCATGATATTCTTGCCCTTCCAGGGCACCTTCTTTTTTATGCGTGGCGTCATTGTCGGGTCTTTCGAGGTTACTCTTGCAGATGCGCTTCTCATTGGTGTAATTGGCGTCTTCATTGCCTCACCTACTGCGGCACTAGCGCTTCTCCGAGGAGTTGAAGGGACAGGCAAGTCCAAAGACTCGCGGACCAGTTCGGCCTTGGGGAGGTCGGGGCTCTCCATGTTTGCGGATGACGATTCGGATGGCTTTACGTCTTCGGGCTTCAGCGTCTCGGCGCTGGAGCGGTTACGGGGATGTCGCGGTGCCAGGTGCGGCTCGTCGCGTTGTTGCTTAGCCTTCGGGGTTCGCAACAAATCCTTCTCGTGCCAAGCTTCGTCTGCAGATCCGGAGCCGCTCAGTGAAGAGTGCTCACTACCGTCGCTGAGCCAATGCCGACTTTCCGAGTTCTCGCCCGCAGTGTGCTGGCGGATCCAGTCTTCGGTCAGTCGTCGGGCAGGCCGTCGAGCACGATTCGCAAGGACCTGGGCGGCACTTAGATATGGCTCAGGTTCGTCTTGACTATTTTCGTCTCGGGTGGCGACGTCGTCGTCGTCTGAGCTCTTTCCGAATGAAAGCGCAGGAGGAGGACGAAGGAAGGGGGTATCAATCGCCAGGTGATGGATTGGTGAGCCTTCGGATTCGTCGCTGGAGCTCTGTCGTCGAAAAGCCCTCGTTTCTTCCGTGGAGTAAGGTGAACCCCAACTTGCAGTCACGTACTGTTCTTCGTTCGGTTGGCTACTCCTCAGAATGTCCCGAGCCCGGTCAGGTAGCCTAGGGGCCGGGAGTGGAGGCAGAACGGGGGAGGACCCGAGGTCCTCGCCGTCGGCGGCAGTAGAGGTGGACGAAAGGGCAGGGGACGTCGGGACCGATGGTGAACGAGGTCCAGTGCCGTCCTGTGCAGATGCAGCAGGAGGAGGGAAAAACGGTTGCTGTTGAGGAGACGTCTTCGTAGGACTCTGTTTCGACGGGAAACAAAGGTTAATGTGGCGTTCTTCTCGTGCGATCAAGGTACCGCGAGGAATGTTGGCAAGGTATGTAACTTACCACGGTGAGATCAGCGCAGACGATGTAGTCGTCTGCAGCCAAGTCTCTGTTCTCGCGTCGAGGACCCTTTGTTCAACAGCCCTCGTTCGGAACGGCATGCACACACAAAAGAAGCAGACCGCAAAAAAAGGAGCGAACGGACGGGCGGGCTGTCGAGATTGTTGACAGGAATAAGGGGGTGGAGGAGATGGGCGGCCCGTGTGATTGGAGACGGGGACAGATTGTGTATATTTGGGGCCGGCGGTTTTTTTTTTGGTCGCGACGCGTATTTTTTTTGGGCGGGTGTGGCAGCAGTAAAAAAAAAAAAAACAGCCAGCAGGAATAAGGTATTACTTGCACAGATTGGCCCCCGGTTCAGGGATTAAAGAACGGGGGTTCGTTGCAGAAATGAACTGGGGGAGAAAATTATTGAATAAGGAATGACATAAAGGCAGAAGAACAACAACGGCGGCTCGCGGGTACCAGACGCATCGGGATCACAGCTTGAGCTTGACGATGATGATATGATCTTGATAGTTGACAGGACGTCGGTTGGAGGGGAACGACGGGATGAGGAGGAAAGAGGATAAAAGAGGTGACTGGGTTTAGTGTGACGCGAGGTGTCGGGAGGGAGGTGAAAAGAAAGCAAGAGGACTGGATGGGACGGGGAGATGACAAGGTAAAGCAACGCAGAAGATGGTAAGGCAAGGCAAGGCAAGGCAAGGAACGGCGAGCCAGAGGTTACTTTTCCTTGAAGATGGTCCCAGGCGGTGGTAGTGGTGGTGGTGGTTGAGTTTCTTGGGTGGTTCGAGGTACTTGCTGGCTCCCCAATCGAGTCAAGGTACATGGATGCATACACAAGGAGCAGGGACCAGACGAGCTAGGCAAAGTACAGGTACCGATGACAGCAACAGGCAAAAAGGCAGACAGGAACGGTGCAGCCAAGAGCTAAAAGAAACGGGCTCGGGTAGCCGTACATTACAACGCAAAGAACACTTGTCTGCAGCCTAGCACGGGAATGATCTCTTGAGCTACGTAGTATGGATACTGCATAGGCAGCATGGTGGGATCCGGCACCAGGAGCACCCAGTACCAGCATAGCACAAGAATGGAACCGTCAATCTGCACCAGCGTGGGTTCGCGGAAGAAAAGGAATGTCCATGATGGGACGGGATGGATGAGGACGTGGTTTTTCTGGGTTGCTTTCGTGGGGCGCCGGTACCAGTGGCACGATTAGATTGGTCGCCGCTACAAGCTGCATATGCACAAATGCTGGGGTTTCTGCTGGAAACAGCAATAGACCGCCACTGGAAGACACCTAGCAGTAGACAACTGGCACTAAACCATCCTATTGGGGAGGGAAAGCGTGCGTACTTGGTGTAGCACATGAAGACGGGCCGTCCTTTGGGAATTGGGGAGAAGGAGGGCCCGACGGGGTTCCCTGCCTGCCTTCAAATGGGATGGACCGGGGCGTACCAGGGACAAGCTGGTTAATCAACGCCAGAGCCCAAGTGCAGTGAGCGGCCCATGTTTGTTTTAATGAGATTCCCCGCTGCACCACGGGCCTGAGCTATGACCAGCCAATCTCGCCTCTGAGTTTGATGGTCTATACTTCTGTCTCTCATAGAAACGATCCCTGAGAGTATGTATACCTTAACATGACCGTTACCCCCCCCGGAGTCGCCTCCCTTATTTTGCATCACTTTGAAGCTATGGGTGATTTCCGTTGGATGAGAGCCCCGCTGCTTGGATTCCTAGACGACATCGTATTTGCCAATGGCTCAGTGACGGTCCGTGACGTCCTGGACTTTGAATTACACACATGCACAACTTGGTGGCTACTTGTCCACCATATCGTGCCTCTTCATACACTGCTTGTCATCTTGTCCTGCGTCCGACCTTGAAATGATAAGATTCTAGAGACGCCTGATAACACAGACTTTGTGGCTGGCTTGAAGCGAAAGTGCAGCATGTGTCAACTCCATGAGCACTCGGTCTCCCAACGACTTTAGCTTGGAAAGGCCGTCAGCGTATACATGATAAGGCAAATGAATTTCACCGTCCACTAACGCATGTCCTTGGCCTCTCAGTTCCGGAAACGATGAACGCATGAGGTGATAAACGCCGCATCGAGCAAACACACTAAGAAACGGCGGGCTCACCCAATGTCCAATGTCACCCGCACTCACCCAAAATAAAAAAAAAAAAAAAAAAAAAAAAAGCCACCTGCACGGGAAGGTCTCCCGCTCGTCAGGAATCAGAAACCCACGTGTTGCCCAATCTGCAGAATGCGAACGGAGAGCCTCTCCGACGCGGCAGCCGTTTCGGACCGTAAGATCGGGATGAGGGGGCAGAACAGGAGCAGAACATCAGAGCACGCGTCTCAACCACTTACCCCAGGCCTCAAAACCTTCAGATTTGCGCAATGCACCATATTCAGGTGATGGGTCCTGTCTCTCCTTCATCTAGACTGATAATTAAAAAAAACACCCGTGAGGTCTGAACTTCGGCATCTCGTATCCCATCAAATATGCAGGCCGCCTGCATCTACCTGTCTCACGTTTTCCCGATCCGCAAAATAACATCAGAGAAGAATCCAGTCGAATTAGGTTTTCAAAAGTCAGACATGTTTGTCCTAGTCACTACGCGGTTCAAAGAAAATTAGACAGAACGCGTCGGAAACTAAAACCGGGGCATAGGGAGCTTTGGGCAAAAACATTCCAGCCGGAAAGCAGCGTTGTTCCTGGAGTTTGTGATATTAAAACCTGTGGCTCAATGGGTGGCTCATTGATTTAGAAAGAGGGAGGGGGGGGGAAGGCACATACCTCCTGACAGATTAAACAAAGCGTGCCGGTGACCTTCATGACGTCCTTACACTGGCTCTATCCATGTACATATCATTTCCTCTCCAGGGCTTTCCCAACTCATCTCATGATGACCCCGTTCACATGAGTTGAACTATTAGACCTAGTCATTACAAGAAAGTGAGGCTGATAAAATCTATTTATTGCGCATCCACTACGGTAGAGTCCCATTATGGTCCAACTGATCCATCAATTTCGGGGTCATGAGAAGCCTAGTCGCCCTAGGCCGACCATGAGGGCGTTCAGAGGTGAACTTCATCAGCAACAATATCTATTCAGCTCATCTTCACCAGGGTATACAACTCAGATAGCTACGTTTTGACATTACTCATAGAGAAAGCTTCAAGCCCCTCAGTCGCGCAACGCCGGGTATTAACCTCGCGATGCTTCTAGGGCTCAAAAATACCAAAAGAATCCCTGCCCAATATGTGCATCTCGAATACAACGTGTTTCCCATAACTTCCCTCTCTGGTCATCCTAAAGTTGTTTGTTCCTTCGGTTCGTGACCTCACGGTTTAAAGAAAGCCTTTCCATGTACACACACCGTACGCCATCTGGCAAGCCACAATCGAATGGCCAAAGTTACATCCACAGATTCAAAGCAAACACATGAGATATTTGCTCCTCAAGGGTCACAAAAGATGTCAAAGTTCCCATCCGTGCCCGCAAACACCGGTTCACCAAAGCTCTGCTTCGATGTTGAGTCGGCCGCATTTTTGCAATCAGCTGTGACCATTCCTTGTCAGCTGCTGGCTCTCTACATCGTGCAACCTGGACTTTGACAAGAGGGCACTTACTAGCCTGGGTATCACATTTTGAAACATCAAACTTGGAAGGGCCGTTGTTCGCGGCCTGCGAACACTTGTTCTTCTGGTTGTCGCAAGCACGATTGGCAGCAGTCGAGAAGTCGGGCTTTCTCATCATTAGTAACTCCAGCCAAGCATATAATATCACCTTCTGGCGGGTGAGAACTCACAAAAGTGTCTCCTTCAACCTCAAATGGCCTGTCGGGGTTGTTTGATTTTGTAATCTGTACGCCACCCGGTCGTTAGCAAACATCCTTCCTATCATCTTCGTCCTGGTCCTGATCCTGAAACCCCGCGCGCGCACGCCACAACAGAAGCCACCCGGCTGGAGGCAAGCATTCTCTCCAAAAGACGAAAGCTTCATCGGACCCGGACACGAGAGAGTGGCACTGGCCAAACTTACCGCGGACGCCTTCACGCCTCCCAAATCTCCAGTAAAGGTCTGCAAGTTCTGGGACGCCTGTCTCGGCAGCAGCCCCATCTTCCATCCCATGCCCAGCTCGTCGCCAATATCAAGCGCCCTCGCACCAGCGCCAGCGCTCGAGAGCACCAGCATCACCGCCGAGAGTACGTGAGCTGTTGTCATCCGCATCGTGGCTCGTTTTGCTAGATGTTGCGATAAGATTTGCGGGGTAAGTCGTGAACTTTCGTGTCGACGTTCCTCCCTCCCTTTTTACCGGCCCATTGATCAGGATGCGTGAATTAAAGAATAAAGGTGTTGTCGAGGGTCAACCTCTTGTCGGATGGCGATCGCGTCGTCAACGAGCGCGGGGCTATAGGTGGGATAATTGGCGACACAGCGCTCAATTGCAATATCCAAAAACTAGGGTAGTGGAGGATGAAAAGATCTCGAGAATTAAACTCTCCATCAATCGGAGAACGTTAATTAATGTCGAGGAGAGGAACTTGCATACACACGCTGGGAAGAAGAAGGAGAGAGGGAGAATGTGAAACGTCAAGATCCCAAGCGCCCACTAAAAGCTGGGATGCAACACTACCACCGTAACCCGAAACACCACTGAGACGGGAATAATATTGCGACGACCAACGGCTCTCGGGCCAACCCACGTGATTGCGCCCAGACGGGATGGGTTCCCGGACGGGCGACTCTGCCGGGTCACGATTAATCAGATGGCAGATGCGAATGACGGACGATTGATTACATACTAGTAGCATACTAAGAATGAGTGGGTGGATGAAGGGGATAGAGTTTGCGATGGGCCAGATGAACTCTATCTAATTGCCCCTACTATGCGTCTTAGTCTTACTTCTGTCATTATGTCATTTGGATATTGAGAGTAACAAATGTTTGTGATCCCGTAATATGGCCGTTCTGGCATTATTAAAAGTGTATCTCAAGGTACATACTGTCTTTTTGCGCTGGTCGATATGCGACTCGACTAGAACCTAGTCGGCCATTACCATAGTCGTTTCCAACTGACAAAGGAAGGAGGGAACTCTCTGCTCTATGTACATAATCTCTATCCGCTAGTCCTGAGACTCTGTGATAATGCAACCATGCCTGCCGTAGTAAGCTACTTGGTGGCCCGAAACTCCGCTGGCCGGTCAAATATGCCGGCCGTAATGATAGAATGAAGGAATGGTCATGGAACGATATGCCTGTTTGTAGGCAAAAGACCGTGGGGAATCAACGCTTTCTTCCGCAATAAACAATCATTATGTGCTCGAATAGTATACGCCGCAGCCTTAGAAGTTAGACGACGCGTTTACTTGGTTCGGTGCGTGGTAGCTCTCAAGAGTTGACTGGAAAGGCGTGCGTCCGGCGCCTGGGCTGTTGCCCGCCTCGGCCTTGGCCTCATTGCCATACTGATTGTTGTACTCCATCAGGCCGTCGTTCTCCTCCGCCTGCTTCTTCTTGCCCCAGATTCTCCATGCCACAAAACCGAGGGCACCAAGAACAATGGCGCCACCAACACCAACGACGACGCCGATGACAGTATTACGGGTGGTCTCAGACATGCCAGAAGAAGATTCGCCAGAGTTTGATTCATTAAGACCAGGGGTGCTTGTAACGGTAGACTCGGAGGTAAACGAAGTAGCCTTTCCTTCGGAGTTCGTCGTCGTGATAACTGTTCTAATGGTGGAGGTAACGGGTTTAGCAGTAGTGGATGGGGTCGAAGATGTGGCAGCGCCAGAGGTGGTGTCCTGGTTGTTGGCAGCTGAGGTAGTACTAGTTCTCAGCGTCGTGGACTCCGGGGCAGCGGGGGCGGAAGTAGACGGGGTAGCAGGCGTGGTTGCGCTAGAACTGGGAGCAGGGGCGGTGGTGGTTGGGGCGACAGACGGCGAGGTTGTCGTCGGTGCGGGAGCTGCTGATGTCGAGGTAGTAACAGGCGCCGCGGATGAAGTGGTTGGGGCGGCGGCTGATGTTGTGGTCTCAGCGGCAGCTGAGGTTCCCGATTGTCTCTTGATAAGTTCATCGCGAGGCTGAGCCTTGTTGTTGAAGTTGAACCATGATGCCTGGGCCACAGAGGCGACCATCAGAAGTTGGAGAACCCGCGTAGGATACATTGTGTGGATGGGTCGGTCGGTAAATGCTCGAAAATGTAACCGAGGCTGAAGGGGTCGCGATACCGTGACGGAGTTGTCAGATATTCGTATAAAGTCCTCCCCTGACGTTTGTCAAAATATTTGGGGATCGTCCGTTTTTTGTGCGACGACAATCTGATTGTCTGGTATGTGTGTCGTCAAAGGGTGTGGCAAAGCTGGCGGGCTGGAATCTGGGCAAGTTCTTGCCCTGAACCGGTGGGTACGAAAATAGGAGACCGGCACGGACGGGTTCGCGAAGAATAGGGCAAGGCGAGTGAACTGATGACCTTTGTGGAAGCGACCGAGAGGTTAAGCTAAGGTTAAAAAGAGGTTCTTGGTGAAAGTGATGTAAGGTTAAGTCAGGGAAAACGAGGGAAAGAAGCCGAAAGACACGATAGGGAAGAAACAAGCGAGTGAATGGTTTTTTATCAATGTGTGTTGGATGGATGGGATGAGTCCAGGATAGGATTTTGGGATGGTGTGGAATGGGCGGGAGGGACAGAAAAACAAGACTCGTATTCAGCCAGGAAGAGGGTGGTCTGTGGTTCAGTGGTCAGAAGCAGGTGCCGGTGCCAAGTAAGCAATGAGCAAGCGCAGGAGCAGGGGTGGCAGGGACCTCGTCCTCGACTTTTCTTTCCGTCGCACTGTCCGTGTTGTGGCTGTTCCTTGGGAACCGTCAATCAACGGGAACCCCAAAAACATACGCTACGTTGCTTGGGGGGAAACACCACAGGAGGGGGGCAGAGGGGAGCAAGGGCCACAGGGGAGGGTGCAAGGGACAACGTGTGGGTGGCGACCAAAAGGTAACGATAGTGAGGCGACTGTCCAACGCCTCAGGTTATGTGTACGTAGTGTGTACAGTTCTCAAATTTGTCGGCTTGCTGCGGGATGAAAGGAGCTCATTGGTCTCTATGTGGAACCCTTGGTCCACTGACGGAGCATTGTGGCACGCGATCTTCGGCGTTGTAGCCATTCAGCGTAAAGTTACGAGATGGCCCCATTTCGACGCCGCCCAAACCAGGTGCCTATGTACGAATGTAGGTAGGCTACGTATACTACGACTGTTCAGCGTCTCTGTGCTGGGGAATAATGTTGCTTCGCACTGTTTCTTGTGTGTTTATCCCCCTTCTGTTCCCTCTTACCCATATTGGCGACGGGCGGAGCTGTCAACTACGTTTCGCAGCCAGGTCGTCGTCGGTAAACGCCCCTCTTGGACTTCTGAGGCCCTAAAGTACTGTTTCGGGCCGCAGCATCCGCAGGCGGGCGATTCGCCGCCATCGCATTCCTCCCTCAGTTGCCGCTGACTTTCTGTCTCTGTTTGCTTATTCTTTGTCTTCCTGCAGGCAGCCCAGTTTTAGATCATGCTGGCCTTTGTCATCAGCAGATGTTGGCTCCAAAAATAACATGTTTAGTTGCGTCGGTCGCCGGCGCCGTCAAAGAATAGCATTTGCAGCGAGCGGTGTGAGCAGTTGGCGATGACGATGCGCCGTAGAGCCCTCGGCTTCTATCTACTTCTTCTGACCGAAGATGGGAACGACGGATCTTTTTCGTCCCCGTTCAAGATCCGCCGGACAGAGCAGGCCCAACTTCTTATCCATCATTGACATAATAGTCAAGCTCAACAAGCAATGTGAGCTGTAAAAGGGATACCACTCAGTGGGCAGAACATCTGCAACGGACCTTTAAGCGTGGAAAAGCCAATACTTACCAGGGCAATGCCAATACAACATGCTTGTTCTAGGCCGATCTTGTCTCTATTTTGAGCACCACCCCGTGGCTCTTGGCCCGCGTCCTCCTACGCCTCTACCCAGTAAAGCCCGGCGACAACCCTTTCAGGGTCTTCCAAGCCATTCTCCACCATGCCGGGCCCTTCCACCTCGCATCATTCGTCTTTCCTGCCGGTCATTCGCAGAAATCCGGATTCCACTCTTCCAGAAGCCAGTAGTTGCCTGTCGCTCACCATCTCTCTTGCGAAGAGCTGGGCAAAACACCCCATTATGTGAAGGGTCTTATAGAATGCGGATCAGGGTCGTGAGGGGTTTCGAGCAAGGAAAACAATATGCCATGCATGCCTCCAGTGTCGAGCATCGCCTCACTGGATCGTTAGAATTGCCCTTTACATCGGCCGACGTCACTTCCGGGCTCCATGTTGTTAAACTTCCCCAGTGGTTGCGGAGTCCACAGTTGAGATGCTATCGTCTACCGTCATACCTGAATATCGCGCTTGAGCGCCTTGATGCCAGCCTTGGCAGGATGTCCTCGGCCAGTGGGTCTAGCGGCTCAGTGCTATGTACCTAACAGTAGTAGACACCTCCCCGTGCGCCATTGCCTCAGTGACCACCGATTTCCAGATGAACCTCCCGAAGCCGAGCTGATGGGCAGTGAAAACCTTGACATAGAAAGCCTTGTTTCGCCCAAATTTGCCAGTTGGGGACATCCTTCCTTGGGAGTTGCATCTCGATTTCTCTTCAGCATGGGTTCCTCTTCTTCCCACCCACATCCCGGGGTTATTGAATGGATCTCTCATCTGGGACTGATTCCGGGACAAAAATCCGTCCTCCCGAGAGACACATCTGCCTGCAGCCACGCAACCGGAGGGGCCGGTACTCACGGAAATTTACAGCCTAGTCTGTCCCGTAGTCATCGGGCAAATTCCAGTAGTCTTTTAAGAGACTTTGAGCCGCAACACTACTGACCTTGCCGTGAACCGCTATCGACGTTTCTTACGATAAGACAGGTGTGTATTCGCCCTCCCGTTGGCATAAGGGACGAAATATCAGCCAGACGATCATCAGCCACAGTTGAGCATTAAGTTCTACACGCTAGCCAGGTTGTCTTGACAAAACACCGCGCTCACCGTGCGATTTAGCCTTCCGCTCCCCCCCCTCCTCTCTCTCTCCACTTCTGTGCGGCCTCCCGATGCCGTGGACAGTTCCATAACCTACCTAACACCCTGGTTCAGTCTAAGCCATCCGAGCTGCCAGGAACGGTAAGGGAGTCAGTCCATACGTCAGCCCAAAGGCAGTCAGTCTCCCTCCAATCGTCAACCTCCATCTGTTCACCGTACAATCAAAAGTGTCTCCTCCATATTGTTTGATGCCACGCATTCATCTATCGGTTACGGATACTGTGTTAAACACGCTCTAACTCCTGGTACTCCCCACAGCGCAGAAACATCTGTCAGGTACCAGCGGCCCCCAAAGCAGCTTTAACTTCTGTTTGACGCGCGTGTCGAATTTTCACATCTAGATAGTCCCTTATGTATCCCGAGGTATCTCCAAGCACCATAGTGCACACGTCGCTGCTTTTCAACTCGAAGAGCAAGACATTCGATAAGAACACTTCAATAACCATCGATCTGAAGAGTGGCCTTATCGTCGACGTTTTCAAACGAAATGGTGACTGTGATATCAATGTGAAACGGGGTGACATCGACCTTCGCGGGAAGGTCGTTATGCCAGGATTCGTCGATGCTCATACGCACGTCTTCTTGCATTCCTACGAGTGAGCCGCAAAACTCGGGGTACATTTACCTCTCTTTCTGACAATGATCAGTGAAGCTTCTTCCACCGTGCAGGAACGCGATGAGAGCATCGTGGAGCGGATAGTTCGCGCTACCAACCATCTTCGCGCCGCCCTGCTCTCTGGATACACTACCTACAGAGATTTGGGTACAGAGGGGATGTGCTCATTCGACGCGAACTTGAGGGATTGCGTCAATCGCGGGCTGTTGCCCGGTCCTCGCTTGTTCGTAGCCACGGAGTGTCTTGCGAGCACCGGCTCCTACGAGGTTCGTCACGAAAACTCATTGGCGGTCATGCCACGCATTGCAGACGTTTGTGATGGCCCAGACGGCGTCAGAAGGGGAGTCCGACGCCGCGTAGGCGACGGCGCTGATGTCATCAAATTCTACGCCGACTACCGACGGAAAGTCATGCGGTTCCCGCCTCCCATTGTGCCATCTCGTGATGTAGTTCTGTTTCCGCCCCCGGATCCTAACCCAGCCGCAGTGATGTTTAGCCAGGAGGAAATGAATGTTATTGTACAGGAAGCCAAATTGGCTGATTTGCCCGTGGCCTGTCATGCGATGACGACAAAGGGCGCTCTCATGGCTATCAAAGCCGGGGTAGACACCATCGAGCATTGTAACGAAGGGTCTGACGAAGTTCTCCGCGAAATGCGACGGCAAGGGACCATTTTCGTGCCGACGTTGGCAGTGATGCGGCCCTCGCCTGACTTTGACAACATCCTCAAGAGAGTCAAGAAAGCGCACAATCTTGGAGTGCGTCTAGCTGCTGGTGGCGATACCGGTGCATTTCCTCACGGAGAGGGTGCTTTGGAGTTGGAGCTTATGATCCGGGCCGGGGTGCCTGTTGTGGACGTCCTTGAAGCATGTATGGTCGGCGGCTGGGAGAGCTGCGGCAAGGAGAAGAGTGGCTTTCTCTTTGGTTCCGTTGAGAAAGGCTACAGAGCGGACATCATCGCTCTGGAGACTGACCCCCGAGATGATGCGGGAGCTCTGCGAAAGGTCGACTTTGTGATGAAGGACGGGAAAGTGTGGAAGAAAGACGGGTGTGCAGTCGGCTTCGTCGAGGACCCGGCAGGTAAACCATCCGTCAACACTACTGATGATTCGGACTGGGTTATCGTTTGATATTTTTTTCAAAAAGGGACTGGCCGGGTATGTGTAAACGTAAGCGTCTCGGTTGCATTCCATCATTTGTCGTTAGGCCATCATAATAAAGTCACAAGAATGGGCTTGAACCTTACAAAAGTAGGAAATAGCACAATGGCTTGTAATTTTGGTCTTGCTGAATAGTCTTGGGAATCAAGGTCAGATAGCGCATTAGTCGATCTTGGAGTCATTTCTAATGTTAGCATATGTAACGATCCGATGCAACATTGCATCGTCAGACCAGCTCCGCTCGCAGTCCGCCGAGACCCTTGACTAAAACACGTCAAGTAATTATCTCCGCCCATCAGAAAGCTGCAATGATTGCCGGTAGATCGCCGCACGGATTGTGGCGTGCTAGGCCTGCGAAGCCCTGTAAAGCTTATTTTTGCCTTTCTCGTCTTGGCTGTGTGGTAGAGCTTCAGTCGAACCACATCGTTCAAACCTCCAAACACACAGGAATCGGACGAACGTTTCGCATGTTAAGCTTTTTCTCCAGACGCGTTCTTCCGGATTCCTTCGATATGAACGCTGTCGGTTTTGCCGCGAAGGCGCTGCTGAAGCGCGTAGAAGGACCCCGAACTGTTTTCTGGGATTCTTGAGTGGGAAGGTATAGACTACGACTGCTTCCCCACGAGTGCGACCACGGAGGCTAATACTTGATTGCTGCTTTTGCACTTGAGTTTGCACTTGCCGATGACCTGCTTGTCCTGGTCATTTTGGCGTCGTCCGTTTCCAAAGTCCTTTTCCTCGTCCAGCAGCTGGTGGCGTTAATGACGTCCAAACGCCGTCTACTCCTAACGTCTCCTTAAGGCCGTGACAACCACCATAAGGCTCCTGCCAGTATGAGATTATCGGTTCTGCAGATCTTCTCATTGGCTCTTGGTTACGCATTTGCTTACTCGGGCGCCATCGCAGGCCGTCCATCATCCATAATTGTCGATGCCCACAAGAGGGAACGGCTTCAGGATGTCGTGACATGGGACGAGTACTCACTCTTCATCCGTGGAGAGCGGGTGATGATCTATTCCGGAGAAATTCACCCATTTCGCATACCCTCACCATCTTTGTACCTGGATCTCTTCCAGAAGGCCAAGGCTCTCGGCCTCAACACGATATCGTTCTATGTCGACTGGGCACTGGTAGAGGGGAAGGCAGGCAACTTCAGCGCGGAAGGAATATTTGATCTTCAGCCGTTCTTTGATGCTGCGACCAGAGCGGGTATCTATCTCATTGCGAGACCAGGGCCGTACATAAACGCTGAGGTTTCAGGTGGTGGCTTTCCCGGATGGTTGACAAGGCTTCAAGCTCGGTTGAGGACGTCGGAGCCTGAGTTCCTTTCCGCAACGGACAAGTAAGCCTCGAGGAAACCCATGTGCCCATAGGTGGCTGACGATGCATATAGCTATATGGCAAGGGTTTGTGACATAATTGCCAAGGCACAAATCACCAACGGAGGCCCGGTCATCCTGTTCCAGCCAGAGAATGAGTACACCAATTTTGAAAAAGAACGGAAGCCTGATGGCGAGTACTTTCAGTATGTCATCGATCAAGCCCGAAATGCCGGCATTGTTGTTCCGATGATTAGCAACGACGCCAGGCCAGAGGGCCACAATGCTCCTGGGATGGGCATTGGGTCTGTCGACATTTACGTAGGTTAATACTCCAATGTGTGGAAGACTAGTAGCTAATAGGTCTAGGGTCACGATGACTACCCACTGGGATTTGATTGTGTACGTTCCAGTTCAAGAGTCTTTCAAGTTCTAGTGATATTAATGTACCCAGGGGCACCCTGATGTGTGGCCGGCTGACAGACTTCCCACCAAGTACCGCCAACGACACCTGCAGCAAAGCCCCGACACTCCGTACTCAATATTAGAGGTATGATGTACAGTTTTTGCAAAAAAATTTCCATCTGACAATCAACAGTTTCAAGGCGGATCTTTCGATCCATGGGGCGGACAAGGTTTCGAGCAGTGTGCGGCCCTTGTAAATCATGAATATGAGCGGGTATTTTATAAAAACAACATGGCAGCTGGCGTATCCATCTTTAATGTTTATATGGTTAGTAAAAGTTCAGGTTCCTTAAACCTCGAACGATAATACTAACTTGACCAGCTGTTCGGCGGGACGAACTGGGGCAACCTGGGACATCCTGGAGGTTACACTTCCTACGATTACGGAGCGGTGGGTTTGAAGCACTTGAACCAAATGGCGTTACCATGCTAATAATCTGTAGGCAATCAAAGAAGACAGAAGTCTCACAAGAGAAAAATTCTCTGAGCTCAAGCTCCAGGCCCAGTTTCTAAAGGTTTCGCCTTCATACTTGACAGCACGGCCGCGCAACATGACCAGGGGATTCTACAGCACAAACACAAACGTGGTCGTGACTCCATTATTGGGAAATAACACAGGTTCATATTTTGTCGTTCGACATTCGGACTATAACAGCACGGCCACTACGTACTACACCCTGCGACTACCGACATCAGAGGGTGTCATTGCCATTCCTCAGTTCCCTAGCCAGCTTCAAATCGGTCGTCGCGACTCCAAAATTCATGTGGTTGACTATCGGGTTGGGAACATGACTTTGCTATATTCGACGGCAGAGATATATACGTGGAAACAGTTCCCAGACAAGACGGTCTTGCTAGTTTATGGAGGACCTGGTGAAATCCATGAGATGGTCATCAAAACGACAGCATCCCCCTTGCTTATCGAGGGTTCAAACGTTAACCAAAATTACTTGAACGGAAACTTGATGCTAACGTGGCGGACGTCAACTAGTCGCCGCGTTATACGGGTTGGCCATCTTTATGTTTACCTGCTGGGTCAGTAGTGTCCTTTCGGCATTACCTTGGTGATGATCTCCGCTGATATGTAGCAGACCGAAATTCGGCATATAACTACTGGGTACCAGACATGCCTGGAAAAGGTGGTCAACCTGCATACGGGACGTCGCTCATGAATCCTGATTCACTTATACTTCGAGGCGGCTACCTTATTCGATCCATATCAATTCAGGGCGAAACCCTCAAGATACGGGCAGACCTCAACCAGACGACAGAGCTGGAAATTATCGGCGTGGGCCCCGGGACTACAAAGCTGGAGATGAACGGCATCTCAATCCAGTACATGCAGAACAACCTCTCCAACTGGGTTGCAAACACATCTCTTGTGGATAACAAGCCTGCTGTGCCAGAGTTGGCCGCACTGAGATGGGTTTACATGGACTCTCTCCCAGAGATCAGCCCAGGATACAACGACTCGGCCTGGACGATTGCCAATCACAACACATCCAACAACACAGTCGCCAACATCACCACGCCAGTCTCTCTCTTCACCTCAGACTACGGCTTCCATGCTGGTACCATAATATTTCGCGGCTACTTTACCGCAAACGGTACAGAAAATACGTTTAATATCACGACCCAGGGTGGATCGGCCTTTGCAAGCTCCGTGTGGCTCAACGATACCTTTCTCGGCTCCTTCTCCAACGGCCCAGACGCCTCGGGGGATAACAACGCGAATTACACCCTCCCGGAGCTCACCGTGAACGCGACTTACGTGCTCACCATTCTCGTAGACACAACAGGACTCGAAGAAAACTTCATAATCGCCACTGACACGATGAAAATCGCACGCGGAATAATGGACTACAGCATCACCTCGCCATCAGGCTCCCAAACGAACATCACGACGTGGAAACTTACAGGAAACCTCGGCGGCGAGGAATACGCTGACCGTTTTCGCGGGCCTTTGAACGAGGGAGGCCTTTTCTTCGAGCGCCAGGGCTACCACATCCCCTCACCCCCTTACTCGGCTTTCACCCTACGGTCTCCATTCGATGGCACCAACGCACCGGGGGTATCGTTTTACGCGACAAATCTCACGCTAGACCTCCTCGCAAGAGACCTCGACATCCCACTATCATTTGTCTTCGACAGTATCACCACCGATAGCGGCACAATAGGGGCTTACCGTGCCATTCTCTACGTCAACGGATTCCAGTATGGCCGGTATGCAAGTAACATTGGTCCGCAGACAAGGTTTCCCGTTCCAGAAGGTATCCTCCGTTACCAGGGAAACAACTGGATCGGCCTCGCGGTTTGGGCCCTTGAGAAGGGCGGGGCAAAGGTGAAGAACTTCCGGCTCGAGGTCGATGGCACACCCGTCACGACAGGGCGAGAGGACGTCGAGATTGTCGAGGGACCTGGGTGGACGAAACGAGCCGGGGCATATTAGCCCATCCAAAGGTAACCACATTCCTCTGCCGCACTTCAAAACATAGTCTTTGAGAAATACATTTAACTTCATGTTCCTAAAATCGCCGCGGGTAATCAACCTACTGAAACCCGTACGTCATATCTATACGTCAGTACCACCTTGCTTTGTACGCGAAACGTTTTCCGTCCACGTAAGTGAATTCATGTTTCAAGACGAGTTCGAACCGATTCCTGTGCTTCCTACCGTCGGAGGGGGAGACCACACGCTCCATGCTCATTCTTCGACGGGCCTCGTGCTTCCTCTTATCCTGCCACCTCGGACCGTGGTTGCCACCGGGCGCAATCTGTCCTACAGTCACTTCAGCCCCTGCCTGTGCTGCTAGAAGCATCATGAATTTAAGACATTCAGCTTCGTCAGAAATCTTCCTTACGCCGAGATATCAACTGGTAATACACGAGTGCTATTTCACTGTTCAATGGCCGAAACTGAAACTCAAAGCGGTCAGTCACAGACTTTGCGCCCTGCAGTAGTCACCCATGACAACGAAGAAGAGTTCTCATGAAAAACGATTTTAATGTCAGAGCTATCTCTAAAGCCTCCACAGACGAGGAAGGGCTACTCTACATGCATAAGAGTTTCCTAGCTGTACTAGCAGACCCCTGAAACGAGTAATGTCGACTCCTCCCTAAGATGCTAAGAGAACAGAATCGAATGTCAAATAACCACACCAACCACTTGTGGGAAACCTTTACTCCTGGGACATGCCTCATAACTATCCGAAGAAGAAAATCCTGGCTTGTTTTCTTTCCCTGGAATTCAATATCCCGGTGCAAGTAGATGCTTGTGAAGGATGGAGCCTTAGGCGGAGCGGACGCTAGCCATGTCGCTCATCTCTGTTCCATGGTTGTCATAACGACCGCCCTGCTGGCTTGCCTTAAGAGCTCGCTGGGCGTCGGCGGCAGAGCTGATTGGCTTGGGGCTTCTCTCGAAAGCACAAATGGCTGTGACGAGCATGATGCCGCTGATGCATGTTAGAAACACGGTCTGGTCTCTGAATGCGATTATGTACACCTCCTGTATGCGACGCAAGAGACCATCGGGCCAGTCAGCGGAGGCAGTGGGTGTCTGTTGAAGCGTGGCAAGCTGCTCTTTCGTAAGGTGTTGAATGATGGCATCAAGCCGGTTGTTGAAGAGAACAGTGCAGATTGATAGGCCGAGGCAACTACCAAGAACGCGAGCCTGAGCAATGGCGCCCTGGGCGACAGCCTTGTCATCCTCAACCGCTGCAACAATCGTAGAAGCGCCGAACGACACGCCGACTCCCAACCCGACGATGAGAGTGAAACCATAAGCAGGCACAAAAGACGACTCGACGTCCGTGAGAAGAAGCATGAGACTGACACCAATCACCTGCATTGCTGACGACATTATCATGAGAAAGGCTGTGTGATTATGCTTGCGGCAGATTGCACCAGCCAGGAATGATCCCACGGCAGTGCCTGTCAGCATAGGAAGAAGGTGAACACCGGCGTTCAAAGGATTTTCATGCTGAAGTACCTGCATACGCTCGGGAATCGCGACGGTCAGGACAACGTATGGAGCTCCGGTTAAGAAGGCAACAATCAAACCGCATATGTAGGGCCTTCTTCTCGCGAGCTTAGCGGTGAAGACGGGCTCAACGTGGCGGCATCGTCTATGGTCGGTAAGCTGACAGTATGTTTTGTTGAGGTGTATCTCCCAGCAAATGAACACAATCCAGGAAATTCCAGAAACGACGAAAGACGATATAATAGCCTTGTGATCCCAACTGTACACTCGAGCACCACCTCGCTCTATGCCAAAAACAAGGGTGACGGAGGCACTTAAAAGGCTTATCATGCCAATGAAATCGATTTTCCGAAGAGCCTTCAGTGAGAGAATGCTGTGTGCTCGATGCTCGACTGGGAAGAACAAGAGGATGCAGAGCGTGGCGAGGCAGCCAAACGGGATGTTGATGGCGAAGATCCAACGCCACGAGACTCTCGAGGTTATCGCCCCCCCAAGTATAGGACCCAAGAGAAAGGCAAGAGCTAGCGTAATTCCAATCAGAGCTCCCATTAAGCTTGGGTTTCTAGCAGGGCCGTGTTCCAGAAGACAAATCTGAGCGAGGCTATAGAGACCAGCGCCACCGATTCCCTTGAAGGCGCGACAGATGATCAGAGTTGGCATATTCGGAGCACCGGTGCAGCCGGCGGAAAAAGTCAGGAATATGCCCCAGCTGTAGAATAACACGGTGCGGCGCCCATATATGTCACTCAGTTTAGCAACGCCAACGGAGCAGCCCATGTAGGTAAGAAGATACGCCAGGAGGATCCAAGGGGCATTGGCATGGTCGTGGAACTCAATGGAGATGGTGATGAGCGAGGTGGCAATGATCGAGGTGTCGAGTGTAGAGAAGAAAAGGCCCAGAAGAAGACTAGATGGTTAGCTAGGGTCAGTGGATGAGAGTTATAGTCTCTTACCTGAGGATGAGAAAAGAATTACGGACAACAGCCGGAAGTCCCAACTTGCGAGCTCCGGGGATCAGATCGTTGGAGTAAGCAAAGTTAGCGACAGCGAATCCCGCTCTGTCCCCTAGGGATAGATTGGGATAGGGCAGAGGCTGCTCTATCCGCTGGAGAGAGGTGGAATGAGATGTCTCCATTGCTGCGTTTGATGATTGCCTTAGTGAAGGGAGTGCAATACGGCCTTTTGTTGCTATGCAAGCGCGAAAGCTGCGAGTAGCTTTGATCAGCTTTCAGAAGAATATGATCAACGAAGTCTTTGATGCTTCCAAGCTGCGCTTCCTACTAGCAAGGAGGAAAGAGTTGGGATTAAAGAAGAGAAAAAGGATGAGATGTGACAAGAAGGTGGTGGGCGTTAGTTAAGGGTTGATAGCTGTAATGGGGATGAGCTTAGATTGAAAGGGGGCAAGCAATGGGTGTTGGGAAAGCTTTAACCAGGAACAAAATGTGCAAGACGACTCGTAGCCTTCTTCGTCCTGCATGCAAAAGTAGAAGCACCCAGCCTATCGTTATGTGGAGAGAAGAGGGCTAAAAGGTAAGAGTATGCCTCTCGTTAAGCCTTGCTCTTGCCAGAAAGTGATCTCCTCTTTGGACAAAAGGAGATTTGTTAGTAGGGGCACAGGTTGCCTCGACGATACAAGAATGGCTGAAGGTGCAAGGAGAACGTCGCCTGGCAGTGTCAGCATCTAAGAAAATGAGTAAGAGATCTCATCACCGTCAACAAATGGAAGACAAGGCAGAGTGAAAAGGGAGGTGACGGTGCACTCAATAGCCTTCGGCGTCGGTGGTGGCGACCGCAGTATATACATGTAATTCTAGAAGTCTGACAGCAGCCCTTCGACCAGAGAAGGCCCTCATGACTTCCAACAAAACTACCCAAGACGGTTAGTTTCTGTGAGGGCCGTAGTTGATTAGATCAGACTGAGTTTGAGATTTCCCCCAGTCTCACACTGTCGAAAACACGGATGATGACGGGTGTTGTGCAAGGTTAGACCACCACTTAAGACGTTAAGACTTAACGAGATCCATGAGATCCATGAAGTAGTCACCTTCTTGCAACCGTCACCAATAATTGCATACTTTGAGACAAGTAGCCTTCCTTGAAGCTTTGGGGTTGAGGTATATGGACGAACGAGAAGCGTCTTTGCCCAAATCGTCATTCAAACAATTTTTGTAACATCAGGACTCACACATCCTGTTGCTTGAGAAGAGAAAAAGTTATCATTGCTGGACTCCCAAAAACAGTACAGTAAAGTTGAAGCAACACAACCAAGACCACTAAGTGTTGGCGTAGACCCAAAAGGCCTTCCGTAACCGAGGCCGTAGCTTTCGTAAACCAACCACTCATGTGCGTTGGGGAAAGAAGAACAGTGAATTCTTAAAAAACAACACTGTCATATACCATTAGTTGTGCTTGATTAAAATAAAACTGACTGGCTGTATTCGGCTGTTGCTGCAATAATCCGGTGGTGTTACCTTGTACACGCTCGGTTCGGTTGCTTTCAAAACCACGAACAAGACTGAATGACGAAAAAGCGGCTAGATTGGTACGTCTCTAATTATACCGCCACTGGCATGTACTGAGTTCCACTTGCACTCTGTACATCAAGATGCCTCGTGGTTCCTCGTGGTTGAGTGACCACGACCCTGAAAGTTGGTTCACATATGAGTCACAGGGTTCCTCGAGGGCCTTAAAACTTCTCATGTTATTAGAGCTCGTATCATGAAGCGAGAAAAACGAAAAGAACAAGAAAGGACGAAAGAGTCATTGGGAGAATTCTTTCTTCTAATGCCGAGACTGTGCAGCATGTTGAGAGCAAGGTTAAAGGAGTCACATTAGCCCCCTTACGGCTTCGCATGGGTTTCCCAACGAGTTTTGAGAGGGTGATAACATCCTCCAAATCTCAGAAAGTCTGAGAATTCATTTCATTGTAATGGTGTGTAACACAAGCCAGTGGAGACGTCCTGCCTTCACCCTGAGTCTTTGAGCGTTGTACACTATCTTGTCAGACAAAACTAGTTCGTCTTGGTTTGCAAGAAGTTCACCTTTGGGCCTTTGAGCATCCGCATTTGATCCAGCTCTTTTGGTAGGCGCTACAGACAAATCTGCCAGTCTATCAAAGAACATCTCACGTTGGTAGAACTGGATTTCTTTCAAGGTCCGTGTGACTGAGAGGATAGCCGAGAATGGTTCATAAAGGTGAGAAAGGAGTAAAAACCTTCTAATGAATTGAAACCCCACATATAATCAAAGCTACTGCCGTGTAATCTGTCTTAGCTAAGGTAGAAGATACAAGAATTTGATACTGGTGTTTCGAATTCAACAAGATTTCCTGCAAATCATGCAATTCCTTTTTAAATAACGAAAAGACTTGCATATATTTTGTTCTATTCAGTAAGATCAGAGGACCTAAGACCTTCAGCTCGCTGGACACGCCACTTTTTATGATACTTAATGTGTGGTTTGGTCGCTTTGTCTGACATTTGGCCAACATTCATGTCTCAATAAGGGTTCCTGCATATGCCAAAATCTGTATCCAGGAAGGCTTCCCTTCAATCAAAAGATTGGTGTTTATTCTTTAATATTCAAAAGAGGTGAGATGGGGGAAGGAGTTGTGGAATGGCTGAGAACCCAGTTGTTTCCATAATTTAGACCAGTATTTGGTTAAGTTGTGTCTGTCCAAGCGCAAACGTCATCCCATAGCCTGAAATACTCTAGTCTACTAGGTTACAGAGTATCGCATCAATCACAGCCCATCTCCAGTAAGTAGGGAGTCACATATCTCTTCACCGTGGAGAAGTCAGTAGTAGTTGTGGGCCAACGCCGCCACAGAAAGGTGTAATCGGCCATTCTTCGGCCAACCAAGAGTTGACAGCTCGATCTAAGAAGTGAGATACCCTGGGTTCTCGGACCGAGACTTAGTTGTGCAACGGGATATCCAAGCTTTTTTCTCCTACAGCAGCTGAATACCACGAGGGCTTTGTCCTCGTAGCTCATCATCGAAAGATAACCTACTTGACATACTTTTACAGTTCATCTGCCCGAGTCATACTGTCAAACGTCCCGTCCTCTAGGGAACCCGAGACGATGCCCAACACCGTGGCAAAACGTGCACCAAGATCATGTTGTAAACCCTGAGTCTGACTCGGAATCTATTCCCTGGGATAGTCGAGCTTTGTCGGCTGTTCTACAAGTCTCCTACATCATCTGGGACACTTGAGGTGTCGAGTCAATACCGTTAGCAGTACCAGAAAATCATGATATATCAGTGCCAGCCAAACTAAATAGACGGCGTTAGAAAGTGTTCTGTGTACATTTTGTTTGAAAGCCACGCCACAGAAAGACTTTGAGGTACCATGCAGCTCAAAATATGGGGATATATGCAATCTGAGCTTAGTTGCCGCAAAGTACAACAAAGTTTCTGTCCTATTCTCTGTTTTCTAACCGGCCCTATGCTAGTGGGCTGATTGCATGTTAGACCGGACTGCGCCTCACCTTGGTCTATTTCAAGCATTGATCAAGTGATGTTGAGGCCAACAAGGGGCTTTCTACTGTTTAGGCCCTGGAAGATTTCCGGGCGTCTTAGCAACATTCAGGTTAACCACCTAAACGGCATGTTATTAAAGGATTCTTCGATACAGGGCTTCTGCCCAATCATTATTGATAAAATGAAACTGCATAAAGAAGTCTATCAACAATGATCCTCCAGCTTGGGTTGAAACTGGCGTTTGCTCATGTCGCCACCCCCTATACCAGGCTGAGGGAAACGCAAAGCCACAGGCCAAAAGACGATATAAGTTTGCTGGATAGATATTGATTCACTCTAAAAGAATTCTTGCATCCTGCTAGAAGGGAGGGTGCATTCACTGGCTGTTTTTTTCACCTCAAAGCCGACATTTTCACCTCACTTCAGTTCACTTTTCCGTTGGCCGGCAGATTGCCTACGTTCACTATTTAGCCTCAGTCTCTTCGTGCAGGCTGGTAGAAAATCCTGACTTCTATCATTCTGTCCAGGCCCGCATGTTCTTTCCATGTTCTCCTCTTTTGTATCTCTCCATCACCGAGCTTCCTTGCCTCATGTCAAAACCCACACAGTCCTCTGAGAGTACAAAAACCTTCTCGTTCTTCTTCACAGCTGCTCTTTGGGATTAATCTTAGACGACCGTTCTTCGAGTCTCTTTCAGTTACGGTCCCAGTTTCATCTCTGGACGAGATGGAAGATATTGCTATCATCGGTATGGCTTGTCGCTTCCCCGGCGAAGCTACGTCGCCCGAGAGGTTGTGGCAGATGATGGTCGATAAGAAATCAGCTTGGTCTGAATTTCCCAAGGATCGTCTGAACATTAACGGGTATTATCATCCGAGTGGCGATCGCCAGGGCAGCGTACGTATTCGGCCAATTGAACACCGCTAATCATCTTTTGGGTTGTCCAACTAACTCGCATATTTAGATATCGTTCAGAGGTGCCCATTTCATTCAAGAAGATGTGACTGCTTTCGATGCATCAGTGAGTCCTGCGGCAGAAAGTTCGGTTACCATTACCAACTGTACTTCTAACAACCAATTAGTTCTTCTCCGTCATGTCCGAGGATGCGAAGGCCATTGACCCTCAGCAGCGCTTCCTCCTCGAAGTATCCTATGAAGCACTTGAAAATGGTATACAGAGTCTTCTTATGAACAAAGATTCATGTTTTAACATTCTATAGCTGGGCTTCGCATTGAGGACCTCAAAGGCAGTCCAACAGCTGTCTATGTTGGCTCATTTGTCAAAGGTTGATTTCCAAAGTTTACGCATGAACTGCCATGCTAAAGGTTTCCAGATTACGAACAAATTTGTCTCCGTGACATGGACTGGCAGCCTCAGTATGCTGCAACGGGCACTGGCAACGCCATCATGGCCAACCGGATTTCGTACACTTACGACTTCAAGGGGCCAAGCATGACAGTAGACACCGGCTGCAGTGGAAGCCTTGTGGCGGTTCATTTGGCTGCACAAGCCCTCCGGACGGGTGATTGTGATTTGGTATGATGATCCTCACAATTCTTGCCTATTCTGTTCTAACTCTAAAGGCTCTTGCTGCTGGTGCCGGCCTGATTTTGACCCCTAACACTATGATGCCCATGACAGCCTTAAACTTTCTTAGCCCAGATGGAAAATGCTTTGCATTTGATTCTCGCGCCAATGGCTACGGACGCGGTGAGGGCGTTGGCTTTGTTGTGTTAAAGAAGTTATCACACGCTCTGAGGGACAACGATACGATTCGAGCTGTCATACGTGGCACTCATGTGAATCAGGATGGTTTGACTACAGGTCAGTAATGGCAAATTGAGTAACCCGAACCATTCAACCCTAATGAAACATTCAGGTATTACCCTCCCAAGCAAGGAAGCCCAAGTCGCCAACATTCGCAGTTTATACTCTAAGTACGACTTAGACATGCAACAAACTGCATTCGTCGAGTGCCATGGCACTGGAACCCAAGCTGGTGATTTCAGAGAGCTAAAGGCCATCTCAGAGACTCTTGGTGCCGATAGAAAGATTGAAAACCCTATCTTTGTCGGCTCCTTGAAAACAAATATTGGCCATTTGGAGGGAGCTGCTGGTGTTGCCGGACTAATCAAAGGCGTCCTTCTGGCCGAGAAGGGCAAAATTCCGCCTAACATCAACTATGAACAAGGGAACCCAAACATAGACTTCGAAAACTGGAAAGTCAAAGTAAGTTCCATGGTCATTGCACCAGTATGAATGAGAATATGTATTGACAGAACTACCCGAGGTGCCCACAGACCTTATCGACTGGCCTGTCGAGGGTCTCCGCAGAATCAGTGTCAATTGCTTTGGCTTCGGTGGCACAAACGCTCACGCAGTACTCGACGAGCCTGCTCTCTACTTTGCTTCACGCGGTATTGTGGGCAACCATAACTCTGCTATACACAACTCTGCAAAACAGAAAGTTCCCGCGCCTGAAGCCAAATTACGACCTCAGCTTTTCGTTTTCTCTGCCAATGAACGCAAAGGGGTTACTCGCGTGATGAGGATGCACGGCAAGCATATCAAACACCTCATGAATCTCGGTCAAAATGAAGCTGACAACTACTCTTATACCCTGGCATGCCGTCGCTCTGCTTTAGAGTGGAAGAGTTTTGTTGTGGCAGCTGACACATCCGACTTCATTACAAAGCTGGAGGCCAAGGATGACACCAGTGTCCGCGCCTACCGGTCAGCTCGTGAAAGCAACTTGAAAATTTCTTTCCTCTTCTGCGGTCAGGGCGCACAATGGGCCCAAATGGGCAAGGAGCTTATGTGCTTCGGCACTTTTCAAGCTAGCCTTGAGGCTGCAGCCAAACATATCAAGACCTTAGGAGGGAATTTTGATCTGATTGAAGAGATCATGATGGATGAAGACAAGTCCCGAATTAGTGATCCTAGAATCTCACAACCAGCAACAACTGCAGTCCAAGTGGCACTTGTCGATCTGCTACGCTCTTTCAACATTGTCCCCAGTAGCGTTGTTGGCCATTCCTCAGGAGAAATTGCTGCTGCATACGCTTCTTCTTCCATTGGCTTTGAAGCCGCATGTGCACTCGCCTACCACCGAGGCAGCTGTGCCTATCTTTTAAACTCTATTGCACCTTACCTTGAGGGGAGGATGTGTGCAGTGAGGTTGTCTTTCCAGCAAGCACAACAGTATCTTGGGCATACTGTTAGGCACAAAGACCTCGAGATTGCCTGTATCAACAGTCCTACGTCAGTGACAATTTCTGGCGGCTCGAAGGACATTTTGTGGATGAGAAATGACTTGAAGATGCGCCAAATTCCCTGCAAAATACTGGACGTCGACATTGCCTATCATTCCCGCCACATGAAGCTGATAGAAGAAACATACAAGGACTGTATCAAGGATATTGGTCCAGTCAATTCTCCCTCGAATGTGGACTTCTTCTCCTCAGTCTTTGGCACCCTTATTCCTGGTTGCCGTCTCGATTCGTCTTACTGGGTGAAGAACCTGGTCTCGCCAGTGCAATTCGTCGAATCAGTCAAGGGTTTGATGGCGTCCGACGACCGACCAGACTTACTCATTGATTTGAGCCCTCATGCCACTCTAGGGTCGGCCGTATCAGAAATCATCTCTGAGCACTGCTCTAACTTTCAACTACATTATGTGTCGCTCATGAAACGTAAACAAGACGCTGCCGTTACGACCCTCGAGGCCATCGGCGAAATTTGGGCCCGAGGATATCCTGTAGATATGTTTGCAATCATTTCCAAGTAAGTGAATTTATTAACCCTTTCTAGAACCGAAGCTAATAGCTTTCAGAGGCAACGACACTGGGGTCTACAAAACGCTCGTTGACCTGCCTTCATATCCTTGGAACCACTCCAAGAGTTTTTGGCACGAATCCCGCACCTGTACTGAGCATCGTTTCCGGAAATTTGCTCGCCAAGACTTGATTGGAGCTCGTTTGCCTGATGTCACGACTTTTGAACCCTGCTGGAGAGGCTTCTTTCGCATCTCCGAGAATCCCTGGGTTCAAGACCACCGTGTACAAAAGACCATTGTATATCCAGCTTCGGGCATGGTGACTATGGCTCTGCAAGCCGCCAGTCAACTATCTCAGGATATGCTTGATGTGATTGGTTTTGAAGTAAATAACCTACGAATCGAGAGAGCAATGATCATCCCTTCTAATAATTATGGACTCGAATATTCTCTCAGCCTGCGGCAAGTTAGGTCGAAGTCGGATTTCGAGCCTGAGTGGAACTTGACCATATACTCGAGAGAAGAAAATGGCGCCTGGGTCCACCATGCCGATGGAAGCGTCAAGATTCGTCAAGCCACGATGCCGTCCGCTGCGTCTATGGGCAGATACAGGGAGAAGTACTTCAAGGTTCAAGAACTTTGCGATAAGCCACTCCCACCTCGCCAGCTGTATGAGACTCTAGACACCGTCGGACTCAATTATGGACCCTGTTTTCAGAATATCGCATATATCGCAACATATGGCAACTCTTGCATTAGCAAGGTCCGAGTTCCGGATACGAAGTCCAAGATGCCTGCCAACTTCGAATACCCCCACATCATTCATCCTGCGACCCTAGACTCGATGTTCCAAACGCTATTTGCCATTGACAAAAAACCCATGGTACCCTCTCATATCGAGAGCATTTTCGTCTCCGCGGACATCTCGCACGATATCGGCCACGAATTCACGGGATGTGCAACGGCCGAGATGATCGGTCTCCGCGAGGCCACTGGTTCCATTGCCATGGTGTCTGATGCACATGACTGGGCATATCCCTCTGTCTTGGTTGAAGGTCTTCATTTCAAGGCTCTTTCTACCCCTCCCATAGAAAACGGTGGCTTCATCCCCAATTACCGCAACCTCTGCTCCACCGTCGTCTGGAAAGAGAATTATGCAACATCCACAACAGGAGACTTCAGTCAGATGCTGAATCTTATGGCTCATAAACGCCCTTCTCTCGCTGTCCTTCAATGCGGTGGCAATGAATACTTGGCTAAGCATGCTTTGGAGGCGCTCTCTGAAGGCGGTACCCCGCGGATATCTCGCTATACCCTTACCGACAAATCAACTCATTCTGTTTTGCAGAAATGGTTTGAGAAGTCGAAAGTGGCTAACCTACTTGAGCAGCGTGATCTTTCTGCCAGTAAGGACAACTTCCCTCATTTCGACTTGGTCATCATCTTCAAGGATCTTGATGTGAGCCCCAGGGAGGTATCTCAGCTTCTTCTTCCAGAAGGCCTGCTTCTGAACGAGGTCTCGAAGGCGGCATCCAATAGAAATGTGGAGTTCTCTGTTGGAAACTCGCATTCATTAGAGTACCATCATTCAGTTCAAGCCTCGTACGAGTTGAGGTATGGCGATGATGTGGGTCACTGGATTTTCGAACAAGAGTTTGATGCATACTTTCTTGCTGGCGACGTCCGCCCTGTTCCGGCTCTCGAATTTCTCATCATCTTTCCAGACAGGGCGACGCCAACCATTCACTGTCTTGTTAACAATATTATCAGGTTCTTCTCAGACAAAGGCTTTCTAGTGAGCACAAGCACTTTGTCTGATGCTCAGCCTCTTGGCAAGACATGTATTTCCCTTCTTGAGGTTTGCGACAACTTCGTCTATAATTGGAGTGAATCACAGTTCCAGGAGTTTCATAATCTACAGAACTCTGCAAAGAGCGTTATCTGGGTTACTCGAGGTGCCAATCGGCGTACTACAGATCCGAGAAACGCTCCCATTATCGCGTTGGCCCGAACCATTATGTCCGAGGACCCTCAGAAGATTATTGCCACTCTTGACCTGGACGAAAACACATCCGTCACTTCACCCGCGCTGCCGAATATTATTTTAGGTATTGCGAAATCGATACTTACCGGATGTCTAGAGACAGAATACGCTGAGGAAGGCGGGAAACTCTACATTCCTCGCCTGACGCCTCTGAAGGAGTTGAACGAGTTGATCGAGAACGACTCGCGTGTCCAGCTTGTCCAGGAGCAAATATTCAACTCTCTTTGTCCTAAAAGCTCTTATGAACTGGTCATCTCCAAGCCAGGCCTGTCGAACGACAACTTCCATTTTATGGAGAATTCCTTCGCATCACAGCTCGGCCAATACGAGGTTGAAGTCAGAACACTGAGTGCCGCATTGTACAACGAAGACCTCCAAACAGCGATGGGCCACACTGCTGAAGACACACTTGGTCTTGATGTATTTGGAGTCATCTCCAAAGTCGGATCTAAAGTGAGGGATTTACGCTGTGGCGATCAAGTTCTGGCCATCGTTTCTGGTGCTTTCAAATCGCTCCATCGGGTTGACTATCGTCTTGTTAAGTCTGCACCACCACCCATCGACTGCTGCCAGTACACTCCGAGTGTCTTTATTGCTGCATATTATGCATTATTTACCATCGGCCGCCTTTCACCTGTGAAAAAGATACTCGTCCATGCAGGAGCAAGCGCAGCAGGCCAAGCTGCTCTTCGGATCACAAGCTTCATTGGAGCCGAAGTTTTTGCTACGGTACTTGGTGACAATTCAGGCGCCCAGAGGAAGACTCTTCAGGAGATTCACGGTCTCGCGGATGATCATATTCTCAATGCGGATTCTGAGTCGTTCGTTTCTGCAATCCTGGCATCAGGCAAAGTGGACATCGTCTACAACCCTACCCAAGAACACATAACACCGAATTTCAAATGCGTCAAAGCCTGTAAGTCTATTTGCCAAAGTTAGAGAGTGCTTTAAACTAATAAACTTAGCTGGCTGTATTGTTCAGGTCGCGAGCAGAGTGGGCACAGCCACACATGTGCCCGTTGCCGCCACTGCCTTCATTCAGCTTGACATTGGTTTGCTTTTGAGGGAGGATCCAGAACTTATCATTAATATCTTCCACAAAGTCGACGAGCTTGTGTGGAAATATCTCGCGAGGTACTCAAGCCTCCAATGCAAGCCAATTCGCCGCTTCCCAATGTCCGACTTTGAGGGTGCTCTCAAGCAAATCGAGAAAGAGCCTTACAATGGTCTAACAATCATGGAAGCGAAGTGTGAAAGCAGTGTACGGGTGGCTAAAGAGATTCAAATCAAGCCTCTTGCAGCTTCCGTGGACCCCGAAGGTACCTACCTTCTGGCGGGAGGTCTCGGCGGCTTGGGAAGGAGCATTGCAAAGCTTCTTGCCGATAATGGCGTAAAGAAGTTAGTGTTTTTGTCACGGTCCGGTGGTACCAATGTTGCCAAATCTTTCCTACAGAGCCTGCGAGGAGTCGAAGTTCGTACAATTTCAGTGGATATCACGGATCGCCAAGCCCTTCAAACCCTCAAACTGGGGAAGATTTCTGGGGTTGTTCAATGTGCCGCTGTGATCAAGGTAAATAATCTCTGTTATCCTTGTACTTGTCCGGAAAAGCTTTTCTGTTTATTCATAATCGCCGCTAACGATAACCGCAGGACGCCATTTTCGAGAAGATGGCGCATGCCGACTGGACAACCGCTTTTGGGCCCAAAGCAGTGGGTGCTTTTAATCTCGTATGCCGTCTTCGGCTCCGGTCACCTATCGTCTCCTCCCTGGTTTCTGTTTCTTTCCAGTGCCTCAGGAATAATCGGAAACCGTAGCCAAGGAAATTACGCGGCCGCCAACGCTGTACAAGATGCTCTCGCCAAAAGTGGTCGTATAACGGCCTGTTCCCTTGATCTCGGCCCTGTTCTCGAGGCGGGCATGCTGGTGGGAGATGAAAAGACGCTGGGGAAACTCCGCGGGGCAGGATTTTACGGAATCCGCCAACAAGACTTTCTCAAGATGGTGGAATGGGCTATCACTGGCGAAATCGTGCCAGGCGTTTCTACCCCGGCCCAAATAGTATCGGGCGTAGGCACCGGTGGCCTTATCCACCAGAACAACCCTGGAGACCCCTTCTGGTCTCGCACGCCTATGTATTCATACATGAATACCGTAGACATGGTGTTGAAGGTATCGGACGACGATTCCAAGAGCACTGCCAAGAATGATGTCAAGGAGATGCTGGCTGCCTGTTGTGGGCGTGATGAGGCCGAGACCATCATCTGTACTGGTCTTGTCCAACTCATGGCGAAAGCTATGAGTCTCCTCCCGGAAGAGATTGACCCGGAGCGGGCACCTAGTGCCTATGGTGTCGACTCCCTTGTTGCAGTTAGCGTGCGAAACTAGATCTTTCGGAACGCCGGGGGGGTCGACGTCTCAGTGTTTGAGATCCTTGGGGAAGCATCTCTCCGCAAGCTTGCTGGTGTTGTTGCAGCTCGCAGAAACTGGTAAAGTTACTAGTCAAGTGCAGTGTAGGTGAAAGGCAAAGGGGAGAAAGGGAGGATAGAGAAGATAGTGTACATGGTTCATGGCTCGCGTGGCTACTGCTCAATGATGGTTCGTGACTGGATGCAGATTCATGTGTATTAGTGCAACAGTTATGAGATATATCAATAATGATTTGCACTGGTCTTTATAAGCGCTAAGCTCTGTTAACTCAAAACAGACGTCTATTCTTATCAAATCAATAAGATATGATATGATTGTGATTTCGGCGCGCCCCAGTCAACGGGATAGGTCTGAAGCGAAGGTAAGATGGGTTAGCTCGTATCTCCAACCACTATCTAAGTTGTTATTCACTTAGTATGACTTAAGCGATCGACTGTAACTTGATCATCTTGGACGAGGGTATGGTCAAGGCGACCATTGGGGGGGGGATAACCTGACCAATTACCCACTTATTTAAATGAATTATGGGTCTATCTGACCAATTTTATGATTGGCTGTATTGAGGTGAAGTGGGTCCACCTGACCATGGAATTTTTAATCGGTCAGGTGCAGGTTATCCCCCCCCCCCAATGGTCGCCTTGACCACACCCTCATCTTGGACAACTTGGAGCAGGGAGGTACAAGGGTAAGTCGCGGGTTCTACTCGTCTACCTTCCCGCTGGTCTGCAGTATCCCCGAAGACTGGTACAAGTTCCCTTAATGCTGTCAGCATAAAATAGCATCAGAAGCCCAAATTAGGCTCTTAAGGGGGCGTGTAAACACAACTTTTCCAGGTTTGACTGCTTCCTTGCCCTGCGATTTCTTTTTCTTTAATCGCTGCACTTGTAAACTTTTGGACAAAAAGCATCTACTGATATGGACATGAGCACAGAAGACGTTTTCTCTTGGCAATGCCTTACTTGATGCCCCTCATTTGATGTCGCCGTGGGTGTCGGCCTCTCCTGAGAGGGAAGGGACACAACAAGCTGTCAGGCTATGTGCCTAATATATCAGGGTACATGCATTTTAACAAGATGCGATCTGGTTGATAGACCCAGAGAAGTAAACAATGGAGAGAGGGTTGTGCAAGGGGGCCTCCCAAATTCCAGAAAGTTCAGGCTCGGCAAGGCAACTGGTGAATGAGGCTCCAGCCTGGCGAGAGGACTATGCTTAAGCGTCTTGGTACACTTCTGGCGACGTGACTCACTTTCTCCTGGCGGAACAAGCGAACAGAACAGCCGTGGGACCAGTAAGACTTGATGGTGGCCTGGCCAGGAGTTAACTGTGTAGGTTACCGATACTTTTAACATCCTGACCATCGTAACCAGCCCAGCTGGACAAGAGAGAGAATATTGTAGTTCGCAGAAAATATTCATTCAATGCCAAAGGGAATAAAATATCGCCTCAGATTAGACATACAGTAGAAGGATAGCACAATATGTGGTCCCTTGTGTGGTGGCAATGGAAAATCAAGGCGCAGGGTAGCAACACCAAGGGCGACACCGAAAAAACTGGCATGTGGAAGTCTATTCCTGTGCAGCCTCACGATCGAATTAAGATATTTGCAATACACACATATGCTAAAGTCCCGGTGTGGTACCTCAGCCGCATTGTAGGCATGCATGTACCTAAGGATACGGATACCTATCCCTGGACACACACGGCAGGCAGGCCAAAGCGAAGGTGGGGTATCCACCGCAAGGTATTTTCCAGTGGTTGCCACAGTACCAAAAACGCAAAGTGCACGCCTCAATTAACGCGCTGCGCGCTTTCCTCTTCCTGCGCAACATGACATCAATCATAGAATAGCTGCGATAAGATAAGCAACCTTCGCAACGCACCTGTCTACCTCCCATCTGGGTCAGGTACTTACTGTCTCTAGTGATTGCAGAGCCGATAAGGCATAACTTCTTTTTCGTGTTTGCCTTCACAAGAGCCACCTTCACGTCAAAGCTTGGGGAGCGTCAACCTGGAACCCGTCTGGGCAGGTCAGACTGGACAACACCTTCCTTCTCTTGTCCGAAATATTTCCGTCGCTCTTTCCATCGTTATTCTCTCTTTCTCTATCCCTTTCCGTTATTCCATTCCCTTGCTGCCTACACTTCCACTTCCAGAGAAGCAACTCCGTTTTGAGGGTACTGCTTGGGATACTTGAGCAGCACGAATCCCACACACACACAGCCTGCAGCGCAACTCGACTTCTGAACCAACAGATGTTGCAGCACCGCGCCACTCACCAACACACTTGGTCGCCTTGTTCGACACTGCCCACCCACCACCGTCCGCCCCTGCGTGACTAACCGACAAAATGGCTGACGGCTCAGCCGGCGTCAGCGATCGCGAGGCTCTTCGCGCTGTCGCCAACGAGCTGCTCGACTTGGAAAGCGAACGAGACTATAAGCAAGCCGTCGCCCAATCCTACGACACGGCACCGGGCAATCCGCAAGCGTACTCCGAGTCGAAGAAGGAAACTTTGAAAGAATATAAGGCTTTGCTAAAGAAAATCGACGAGAAAAAGCAGCAGAAGCAAGCTCTGGAGCAACGAGTACGGGCGGCCAAGAACGAACGAAACCACTCGAGTACCGCAACTACATCTGGCGATATGAATCTTTGGTCGCCGAACAACAATGGTTGGGAACAAGGTATGTGGCTCTAGTTTTTTCTTGATCTGCTTTCGGAGACGTCTTCGAGACTCGCGGACTGGTTGCCGCCGCAATATAGGCAGCTGTCTCGGGCTCGCGCCTGCCCATTTTGCCTCATTCTTGCCCAAGCTAGGTCCTTTTTCTTGGGCATCAGTTCTCACTTTTCCCCTCAAAAGCTATCTTTCACTTAAAGGCGGTCTCGCCCAACCCAGTTTGCCTTTCTTCTACACTACTTCGTCTTAAACGTGTCCGGTGTATCATATAGAATCTTGAAAAGCTATTAACGTATTGCAGCATCGTATCCGTACAGGATGTCGGCTGGTACTAGCTCATCTGCATCCCAAGGAATGCCGAGAGCTTCTTGGAACATAGCCAACTCGTCATTCTCCCTGCCCGCTCAGAGTACCAGTTACTATGGAGCCGACCCCTTCGGCTCATCAGGTCGAAACACACCTGTGAACAACAAGAGATCGTATGGAAGTACCTCCCTTGACGTGTCCAGTCCCGGTCGCAACAAGACTCAGCGCATAAGTGATGTGCCGGCAGATGTCATTGACCTTACTGGGTAAGTACTCATCCTAGCATGAATAGGGCAGTGATAGAATAGGACTGTTCTAGCAGGCGTCAGTTCAAAGACAATACTGATAAATGACAGGGATGATGATGATATCAGCACATCGATCTCGCTCTCAATGCCACATGGCCAGCAGGCACTTAGTGGCAGGCACGCCTTGGCTGCTTCCAACTGGACAAGTGGCCGCCAGCGGGACTCCCCATCTATGGCGTTGCCTTTTGGCTCTGGATCGAATTTGGCTGCCGCTCAACCAGGCCGCAACGGCTATCTTAACGGAATGCCTGGCTCATATCCTAATTCCACTTACGGAAACGGCTTCTCGGGACCACTTTCCACACCTAGCGCAACTCTTGATAGCTCGGATCTTAGGACTCTAATGCCCGGGACTTTTGTGTCGGACGATGACGATGACTATGGCTCTCCGTTCACAACTGCTGGCCGGCTTCTTAACTCGCGAACGAATCCTTCTTCCTTCCGGTCATCTCTCAGTACTGCCGACGTAATTAACAGAACTAGGAACTTCAATTTCATGGATCTGACTGATGGATATGGAAACCCATTGGATGCCCGCGTCGCGTCTATAATGCAGGATATCAACGACGATCCACGCAAATCCCGGGAAGAAGTTGAAGCACTCTTGAGAAATGTGCACGCAGGTATGGAGATCCCTGAGGAGGACCGTGAGGGAACACCAGACGCCATGAGATATCCTCTTTACGCTCATCAGCGAGTCGCCCTCACGTGGATGAAACGCCAGGAAAACAATACTAATAAAGGGGGGATTCTTGCTGATGATATGGGCTTGGGAAAGACCATTTCCGTTCTGTCTCTGATGGTATCTCATAAACCGGAAAAATCTCCCAAGGTATGGTCATGGATCCTTGAACAGTTTCGCCTGCTAACCTGCTTTTGTAGACAACTCTTATTGTTGCCCCTCTTTCTCTCATCCGGCAATGGGAAGATGAGATTAAAAAGAAGATTAAATCTTCTCACGCTTTGTCTGTACATGTTTACCACAACACACAAAAGATTAAAGCAACGGAGCTCATGAAATTTGACGTTGTCTTGACCACTTACGGAACCCTGGTTTCCGAAAAGAAGAAGCTGGCGAACTGGTGGAAGGATCTGAACGGCCGTCAGGCCAACACGAAAACAGACCCAACTTTGGCTAGTTCGGTATCCCTCTTCCACCCCAACTACTCAATGTTCTATCGCATAGTCCTTGACGAAAGCCAAATGATCAAAAACCGCAACGCGCAAGCTGCTTTGGCAGCAGCTGCGCTGCAAAGTAAGTATCGTTGGTGTCTTTCTGGGACTCCAATGATGAACGGTGTCGACGAGCTCTTCTCACTGTACCACTTCCTCAAGATCAAACCATACTGCGATTGGAATAAGTTTCGGGTCGCCTTTGGTGTACTATTTGGCAAGCGAGGAGACCCCAAATCCCAGGCCATGCGAAACCTGCAGGTTCTCCTCAAAGCCACATTATTGCGGCGAACCAAGACGTCGGAAATAGACGGCAAGCCTATTTTACAACTGCCCGAGAAAACCGAAGAGATTGTCTTTGCTGTTCTCGATGAAGATGAGCGGAAGTTTTATACCGATCTGGAGACCAACTCGCAAGTACAAATCAACAAGTACCTTCGGAAGGGCACCCTGGGCAAACACTACTCTCACGTCTTGGTGCTGCTGCTTCGTTTGCGTCAATCCTGCTGCCACCCGCATCTGCTACTCGACTCGGATGAGGCAGTACCCGAGGTGGATGACAGAATGCTGGAACGGGTGAAGACACTGTCTGACGCCGTCATTTTACGACTCACCGAGAAGTCCCGCTCCCTTGGAAATGCCGACGCTATCGACGAAGGTTTTGAGTGCCCCATTTGCTACGACATGATGCCGGACCCTACCATTCCGCTTCCCTGCGGACACGAGCTCTGTGCCGGCTGTTTAAAGCAGCACATTGACAACGCCAAGCGTGACAACATTCGGAACGGAGAAGAGAATAGTCAGGTTAAGTGCGCTGTCTGTAGAGGCCCTCTGGATCCGGAAAACATCATTACGTTTTCTGCATTCAAGAGAGTTCACATGCCTGATGAAACCAATGGAAGCTCTGATGACGAAGATGAGTCTGATGGCTCAGTTTGGAGCAGTGACGAGGACGAGGCCGATAAGAAGGAAGAAGATGATGAAGAAGTCGACAAAAACGGAGACCTCAAGAACTTCATTGTTCCTGACAACATCTATGACAACATTAGTGATGCCGATGAAGAAAAGCTGTCTGTTACCCCAGAGCCGAAGCCGATATCTAAAATGGCTAAGAAGAAGGAGAAGAAGGTTGTGTCGCCTAATAAAAAGGCACAGAAAAGATTGAAGAAGATCAAGGGGTCAATGCTGTATTCTCTTCGTAAGGATGCAAAGAAAAACGCCGCTGCCTGGAGGGACTATACGAAGTACCTCAGTCACCATTGGCTCAGCTCGGCAAAGGCTAGGGCGTGTATGGAGCTTCTTAAGAAAATCCAGGAAACCGGCGAGAAAACCATTGTCTTTTCGCAGTGGACCATGATGCTGGACCTTCTGGAGGTGGCTATCAAGAAGGAGGGTCTCAATATCAAGCATTGTCGCTACACCGGCGAGATGTCTATGGCCGAGCGCGATGATTGTGCAACAAGGTTCACGACAGAACCTAGCGTCAAGGTCATGATGGTCTCATTGAGAGCTGGCAATGCTGGTCTCAACCTTGTTGCAGCGTCGAACGTCGTCATCATGGATCCCTTCTGGAATCCGTACATCGAGATGCAGGCTGTGGATCGAGCCTACCGAATCGGCCAACAGAAACCTGTCAAGGTGTACCGTGTATTAACTCAACAAACAGTCGAGGATCGTATCATCCAGCTTCAGGAGAAGAAGCGAGCTACAGTTGATGCAGCTTTGGATGAACGGGAGGGCGCGAAGTTGGCTGGTCTCAGCATGACAGAGTTGCGCTTTTTGTTCAACCTTTGAGGAAGAATCATGACGCAAGATTAAGCCAGATATGGTTACTACGATGAACTGAGCATCCGAATTACATTGCTCGCTTTTCATTCTGTGTCTCTGGGGGGGAAACCCAGAAGAATTTTCAACGTACTCACGATTTTCTTGCTCATTTGCATTACTATTTGGATTGGAAGAGGGGAGGGTTGAGAACAGATACAATCATAAAGAAGACGCTTCACAGCGGGGAATTGGTGATTGATTGTAATGGGTACTATCAAGAGGCCCCTAAGATGACAATTTCTTATGTTGGGGGAACACAAAGATTATGACGGATGGTGGCGTCCAGGTTCTGGCTTAGAGCGATAGAGCGCGGCCTTCGAGTATGCGCGCATCACGCACAGAACTTATTTGCTAGGTCTAACTAGAGATCAATACACTTGCTGACAACGTACCCAGAGGTACCAAATATCTTACCATGTGTAGCATTTCATCAGGAGTTTCGCTGCTAGATGATGGAATGGAGCTGGTGATCTCAGCATGCGAGCGGTGTTGTTTTTTGAAACCACACCGCGCATAACGACTCACAAGATGCATATGAAGTTGGCAAAAGTGACTTTGTATTTTGTAGTTGGATGGATGGCTGGTATCATAGGACGAACTCATGGTGAACACACTAGGTAACGTAACCTTAGTTTAGTAAAGAGCAACTTGCCCCTTGACGCCATCGTACGATTTCTTCCTAGCCCGCTCATGTTCAAGGTATGTGAAAAAGGCTCACTACAAGTCGAAGGGGGTTGCGGCCAAGAGAGAGAGAGAGAGAGAGACAGTATGCATCATGGTACCGTGGACTGGAGGAATACAAGTGATTTGTGAATTTAAAAGCCCGTAAGCTAAGGTTTTATGACTGTTTGCTTGCTTCATCAATGTTCGGTTTCCGAGGTGTAAGTCCTCTCAGACACCTCGTGTCGCGTCTTCCTCCGACCCTGGATACAATGGGACTGGATCCTCTTTCATCCGCGAAAAAACAATCTCCTAGATATCTTTTGACTCAACGACGGCGGTCACGATGTCGCTGATGCGGACGATCGTAGGGTTATCCTGGCTGGCCCCGGCAGACCAGGTCCAACGCTTAATACGTGACTGGTTATCGCTTGTGCGCCAGGCGGCGCCGACTTGAAGGGTCGGCCGGCTTTCGGCGCCGTCGACAATGTCGAAGCGGATCTCGCGAATCTCTGTGTCGATGTCGCGGATGGCGGTGCCTCGGACGTTTTTTACCCATTCCGGGCGGGCAGGCTCCGAAGAGTTTGACTGAGGTGGGGGAATGAGGGTCATGGAGAAATCGGTTAATGCGTGCGCTGCGGCGTTGGCAAGGTAGAGCGTCAGGGCAGATAGGTCTGGGTAGGAATCGCGGGAGGGCGGGTATGACGTTTGCAATGAATTAGGGACTGGTTCCGGGTTGGCCGAGTCGGATGTGTTAGGGAGGAGTTGGACTTGGAATTGGGTTGTTGTAAGGGGCGTCAGGAAAGTACGGCCGCGGATTTGGAGACGAGACGTGGGAGATAGGGTAAGTTCAACTTGAAAGTCGGCGGGTGTGGTTGTGAACATGTTGGCGAGAGCCTGGGAAGCGTTGGGACGGTTAGAGGCGCCACCAGAGTTGTTTCGCAGGTCCGTAGTCGGGAAAGGAGAGGTGTTAAGAATGAATGAGGCTGCATCGACGCCCGCTTGGCGAAGGATAGTGGTAAGGTCACCAACGAAGCGGGTCACTTGCTCTATCGACCGGTCGTGGAGGAGCTTGGCCACTATGGGACGGAGAAGGTGGTATTGATTTTGCGTTTGATGCCGACGCTGATGAGGGGGCGTGGGTCGCAAACGTTGAAGCTCATTCAGACGATGGGCGTGGCTAAGGAAGATGTGTAGTCCCAGATGTGTCGCTTCCGCGAGCTTGTTGTCGGGGTGGTCATCAACCGTGTTGGCGCTGTCTTCGAGCGTCTCCAGCTCGATGGTGAGGCTTGGCCCTGAGGCGGGGTTGAAGGATATCGCGGAATTGCTTGCGCGAACTCCATAAGATGCGAGTGAATGGGCCTCGCGGTGCAGTTCGTGCCAGAGTTCTTGCGCGAAGATGGTGTTTCTGGCCTCAAGGACGCGATCTTGCAATGATGCGCTGTCTGGGACAGAGGTTCCAACGGCAAGGCGGCCGGTGGATTCGCCCGACCTGCTTATGGTGATGCCTAGGCGTTGGCAGCCTGAGCCGACTCTACCATGCTGAAGAAGTGCTGAGCCATCATCACCACGGCGCAAGGGGGCAAGACTGCTATTTCTGAACTCGGGTGACGCTAAAAAGGGTCAACAAGTTGACAATTAGGTGCTGCACATTCGGCTTACCTTCTGAAAATCCGAACCGCACGCCAAGAGTATGCCTCTCCGTCGGCATCCGGCACATCGACCATCCAGCCTCACGTACCGCCAACACCTCGGCCCAGTACTTCTCCTCGCGCTCGATCTCCTTGCTCAAGTGGCTAGCCGCCTTCTCTGCCGACGCCTTCGTCGTGTTGATATCAATCAAGGCCCAGCCGAGCGAGATGTCACGGTTGTCCTTGGCCTTCTCAGCGTCGCGTTGCTTCTGCTCTTCATTATCTTCGCGTTTGGCAATTCCTAAAGTGCCAATGCCAGTCCATTCTCGCAACTGCTGGGAGAGGGTAACACCAGCCTGGGCGGGGCTTTCCTTAGAGAGCAGCAATGATATAAAGTCGAGAGTCATGAGAGCAGCGTTTTGAGCCACACTATAGCGCAACTGTCAGACTATATTCTAGAGCAATACGGTGATCAACGTACTCAATATTCTTTAGCACTTCCATTCGCGCAGCGTTAGCATCCGCCGGCTCTTCCTCGTTCTCCTTTTCATCAGCCATGGGGGTATCTTCCTCTTTCACTTCGGCGACTCCATCATTCCTGTCCTCAATCTCCTGCTTCAGACTTTCTTCTGTGACATTGCGGAAACCACGCTCTGCTTGGACACGCGCGATGAATTCACCGAGGTTCTTGGGTTTGCGGCCACCATTCGGGGTCGGGTGGAGAGAGGAGAAGGGCATCGAGCTGCCCGACGCCATGGTGGGCAGATATAGATTGTTCGTTTGCTTTCTGTCGAGTCTAGTATTAGTAGATGGAAAAGAACGTGAAGTTTAGCGCCTGCGATGCGCCTGCATGTTGCGAAGGAGAGTTTGCGGGACAGTGGTGAGGCTGCCGTGCAAGGCTGGAGGTGAATGCTGAGAATCGTTATGGATTGGCTGGGGCCACCGAGACGGCCTTAGCTCCACTCAGCTTGTAGCCAATCATCGGTGTACCATTTCGGTCAATGTGAGCTTCACACCAGCTGCTCACCGAACCCAAGTTGGTTAGGTCCAATTGAAGTCGGAGCTTTGCGATATCAACACTTTTCTTCTCCCCCCCCCCAAATAAACGGAGGGTGATGTCAATTAAATAGATGAATTTTACGGTAAGTTAGACAGCTACAATGGCCGGCATTTGGGTGCTCTGTGCAGCCTTTACGACATCATTCAATCAACAGATTGATATGGCAATGAGGATGTCCGCATAAATGGAGCAAAGGCGCTGAATGCTAGTGTAAACATAATCATTTATTTCTGCATTCCGCTGAAGAAAGAGATATAAAGACCGGACAACTTGACTTGTCACTCGAGCACCAAAGTTGTCGGGAGCTAACATTGTTCGCTTTCACTTCGGAGGGTCATCCCTGTATCCCTGCCAGTGGCTTGCCTCCACCATCATTAATATGTCTCTAGCTCAACCGTGGGATTGGAGCGCAGCGATTATCGGAGCGGTTTGTCGACAACTCCGGACGCCGTCATCTGGTTGAGAGAGACAGTCATTTCAGGAGGCACAAAGCAAGATCTAAGACATTATTGGTGGTGTTAGTGTCTGAAATGTTGATATTAATTGACAATAAGGTTTATTAATGTAGGACGTCCGCGTCTATCAACGAAACCTGGATGACCCCTCCAAAGGCCGCGGAGCCGCGCTCACCAAAAAGCTCCTTTTTGCTGTGGTGCGCACGGCATGCGCTCATCCAGCATGTTGAACCCTGGACTGGTCCATCCACCAGCCCCGCACTGGAGCTTGATAGAGGGGCAGGTTGAGGTTGGTGACAAGTCTGGGCCAGGCAATAGTGGTGGATATGGGTGAAAGGAGCCCAGAATAAGCCCGAAGTGGGAGACGACCGAGGGAACCTTGTAAGGTGTTAAACCCCTCACTCGAGTAACAGCGAGAAAAAAAAAAAAGGCAGCACTGACCAATTATTTCCCTCACGAATGGGGATCACTGGAAATGGTTTGACACATTCATTCTTGCAGTGAGCGATTAAACAGACCGGGCGACTTCTCATGCCCGTCACACCTGGGCATTACTTACTCTTGTGAGGCACCGAAATGTCAGTGAAGATCCTTCTGCAACAAACGCTCAGCTAAAAGACAGCCCACTGTAACCAGGCTGGCCAGTAAGGCGCTCCCTTGTACCTGATTCAGCGACGTAAAAGGTTTCTATAGGCTGCCTGTAACGCTAGCCCTTGCAAATGTGACGACGCTCTGCGGCTTTTGCTGGGCTTGGCCGGAGCTCCCCCGCGCCACGATAAGCGATAAGAGCTCTCAACCCACACGTCACTACCCTGTTGCTGGCTCTGTTGGGAGGGGTGAACTGCTGGTTGCACTAGGGCCTTGCTATTTTTTATTTTAATTTTCCCTGCCCTTTTTGCGGTAAGAGCCCGTTGCTGCATGCTGTTTGCCCATTGTTCCCCGCCATTAAAACACAAGGGCGCACTATTATTATCTGCTCCAGGACGACTGGGACATCTTTTTCTACGTGCCTCTCCAAGCCTAAAACGCGGCCGAGTGTGTCTCGCAGCTTTCCTTCGCCCCGTTCCGAGTTCCAAGTCTAGCCCTCCCTCAAGCTTCCAACAATTTCGCAGCTTCCAAGAACTTGGCACCTGTCTCGCCTGGCCTGGGAGAAGTTCATGATCTTTTGACACTACCTCCCTCTTCTCTCCGCATTTCCCTGTTTCTGCGCACGGCCGAACAACTCGTACGATCATCCCTTGAACATATTACGACTATCCGTATCTTCGTATGGTTCCCTTTCCATTCCGACAACAACTAACCATTTATCTGTAAAGGGTCTTCTATCCCTCCCCCCTTTTTTCTCCTCCTACTGATCCCGGCGTCCCGACAATCTGCGAAACACCATAATTTGACCACTGCAACCATGGCTGCTAAGAAGAAGATCGCCATCATGACCTCGGGAGGTGACTCCCCAGGTATGAACGGCGTAGTAAGAGCTGTTGTCCGAACAGCACTTCACATGGGCTGCGATCCCTACTGCGTGTACGACGGATACGAGGGTTTGGTACAAGGTGGCGATCAGATTCGCAAGGCCTCTTGGGGAGATGTGCGTAACTACCTCGGACAGGGCGGCACTCTGATCGGAACCCGCCGCTGCATGGCATTTTACGAGCGGCCCGGCCGATTGACCGCAGCCAAGAACATGATCCTTCACGGCATTGATGCCCTGATCATCTGCGGTGGTGACGGTTCTCTGACTGGCGCCGACAAGTTCCGCGCCGAGTGGCCCTCCTTGGTTGAGGAGCTCATCTCAACCGGACAACTCAAGAAGGAGCAGGTCGAGCCTTACAAACACCTCAACATCGTCGGTCTCGTCGGTTCCATTGACAATGACATGTCCGGTACCGATGCAACCATTGGTTGTTACTCTGCACTCGAGCGTATCTGCGAGATGGTCGACTATATCGAGGCTACTGCCTCTTCTCACTCTCGGGCTTTCGTTATCGAAGTCATGGGTCGTCATTGCGGCTGGCTAGCACTCATGGCTGGTGTTGCGACGGGTGCTGACTTCATTTTCATTCCCGAAAAGCCTAGGGAGGAGAACTGGGAAGACGAGATGTGTGAAATCGTGAAGAGGGTATGCATATTCCAGGGATCCCATATTGCAAGGGATAAACTAATATCTATATAGCACCGGAGCTACGGAAAGCGCAAGACGATTGTCATCATCGCCGAGGGTGCCAAGGACAGCAACGGTAACAAGATCACTGCAGAGATGGTCAAGGATCTACTTGCGGACAAGAATGGACTGGCACTGGACACTCGCGTCACAACACTTGGGCACGTCCAGCGTGGAGGTACTGCTGTGGCTTACGACAGAATGCTGGCAACGCTTCAGGGTGTGGAGGCTGTCAAGGCCGTCCTCGAAGCGACCCCCGAGACCGAAACGTGCTTTATTGCGATCACCGAGAACCAAATCATCCGGAGACCCCTCATGCAAGCTGTCAAGGACACCAAGACCGTTGCGAAGGCAGTCGAAGAGAAGGATTTCGAGAAGGCAATGTCCCTCCGCGACGCCGAATTCTCTGAGATGTTCAGCTCTTACAACTTGACCACGAACGTCAGAGTAGACGATCATCATCTCCCTGAAAAGGAGGTGGGTACCTTCTGAGGCCCTTGTGATAGAACCATGTTAACGCTGTGACAGAGGATGAAGATTGGATTTATCAACGTTGGCGCGCCAGCCGGTGGAATGAACGCCGCTGTTCGCGCAGGTGTTGCCTACTGCTTGTCCCGCGGCCACGAGCCCGTTGGCATTCACAACGGTTTCGCCGGTTTTGCAAGACATCATGGCGACAAGCCGGATGGTGCGGTGAGGCCTTTCGATTGGCTCGAGGTCGACAGCTGGGCCAGCAAGGGAGGGTCTGAGATAGGAACCAACCGAGAACTTCCGTCTGAATCCGGCATGGAGCTCATTGCCAACCTCATCGAGAAGTACGAGTTCGACGGTCTGTTCCTGGTTGGTGGGTTTGAGGCATACCATGCGGTCTCGCAGCTGCGCAAGGCCAGAGAATTGTACCCTTCCCTGTGCATTCCCATGGTTCTCTTGCCCGCCACCATCTCGAACAATGTTCCCGGTTCAGAGTACTCTCTCGGCTCTGACACTTGCTTGAACGAGCTAGTGCAGTACTGCGACAAAATCAAGCAATCCGCCTCGGCTACGCGTCGGCGTGTTTTCGTCGTCGAGACTCAGGGCGGCAAATCCGGCTACATCGCCACGCTGGCCGGACTTAGTGTCGGTGCGAGCGCTGTTTACACTCCAGAGGAGGGTATGGACCTCGAGATGTTGGCTGCCGACGTTCGTCACCTCCGCAATATCTTTGCGCACGACAAGGGCCAGTCCTCTTCTGGTCGTTTGATCCTTATCAACGAAAAGGCCGACGACGTGTTCAACGCCAAGCTCATCGCCGACATCATCCGCAAGGAGGCCCGCGGCAGATTTGAGTCTCGCGACAGCATTCCTGGACATGTCCAGCAGGGTGGTGTCCCGTCCCCCATGGACAGATGCCGTGCTGTCAGACTGGCAATCAAGTGCATGCAGCACCTAGAGGAGTTCCGGCCCAAGTCGCATAACAGGTGCAAGAGGGACCCAATGAGCGCCTCTGTTATAGGAATCAAGGGTGCCAGCGTTGTCTTTACGCCCATCCTCGACCTCGAGGACCACGACACGGACTGGAAGAACCGTCGGCCCAAGGACGTTCACTGGGCACACATGACGGATGTGGTCAACATGCTCTCAGGCAGACCCGCCCACCACAGGCCGGAGGAGGTCCTTACGGGGTTGAAGGCTAAGGACGTCAAAAGAGGCCTTGAGGCATGAGGCGAAGATAGAGATAGAGTAGAGCAAGCGAAGGAGGTTAATGCAGGGAAATATGGGGGAGGAGCAACGGGTGTTGTTTGACGGGCGCGACGGGGTTTGGCACTGATTACCTAGGGAAACTTAACGAAATGGCATTTTCTATTAGACTCAATTTTCTCCAGTCCAGAGAGCCGACGCGCGTGGGATGAGGGGTGTGACTGGCATGGGCATCTTCTCCATGGCCTAGGACCGTTGCTTAGACAGCGGTATGCTTGAACTTTCACCCTCAGGGTCTAGTATGTCCCTGAACCTAGCCCTGCAAAAGGACCTACCTAAAAAACACACCCCCCGGGACCCGGGTAAGCAATCACCAAGATACGCGGAAGCAAGACAACAGAGACGGTCCTTCCCATTAGAGAATGGGACGCCCGGGCGAAGTCGCCCTTGCATCCCCCCCCCCCCCCCCCCCCCCCCCCTCCATGGGGAGGGGAGAGGGGAGGGGAGGTTCGGTATCATGGTCCCCCGGAAAACTGGAAAACTAGTACCTGTGCCCGTCGTTGGTTTGTCCGTCCAGTCATGGCAGCCAAATCCCGATCCTGATTGATGGGTTATTGGACCCGCGTGCCGCGCACGCTAGAAACCGATGGATTTTCTGCAAGGCCATTTTTGGTAGAATGTACTGGGGGAGGGGGTGAGCGAGCGAGGGAGGGAGGGACTTCATCACATGGGTGTATGTTCTTTGGGGGTGGTCCAAGGTGGACTGGACTGCGGGTTAGTCCGGTCAGATCGCCGGCATGTCAGACTTGGAACCATATTTCAATAGTCGATTTTCTTACATGCTGCGAATAATCACGCCAGTGTTTTTGAGAACTTGTTGAGTTCACCGAAGATTCCGTGTGTGTGTGTGTGTTGTGTGTACACTATGTCTAAGTGTTTGTATGTGTATGTATGTATATGTATATGTTTTACGAGGTCGGATGAAAGGGCTGAAACAAGCGCCTCATCCAATAGTTGGTGGTGTGCATTCTTTCCATCCTGCTGATGTCAGATGAACATACACGCGAAGGGGGCAACCCGGAGACATGGTAGAACCGGTCTATTGTTTTTGGGGTCCCTTTTTTTTTTCTTTTCTTTTCTTTTTCCCCCCTTTCGCCTTCCCCGCCAAGAGCGATAACCGCCCAGCTGATCGCGTTTCCAAGTTCTCGGTTCCCCCAAACAGACAAGCGCGCAGCTATGTAAAGAAGTGTGAGGGGGGAGAGATCAGACAAGGCAAGGTCTGGCGGCGGCGGCTGTGTGTGAATCACGTAAGTGCAGAAACGAAGCGGCTGAGGTAAACCAAAAACACCACAGCTTGCTTGTCTGGGGAGAGAGAAGGGGGGGGAGGGGGGGCCGTTTGGATTACTCAATCCAGGGCTGAAGGATTCGTATGGGCAAAAGTTTTGTAGAGTTTACGGGACGCCGGGTGGCCCAACGGCCGCATTAAGCTCGTGTGGCTGAGGCTGGGTTATTTTTCTGGTTCTCTTGTGGAAAGAGATCTGTCAAAGGAGAGAGCCCAGGCACAGGCACAAGCGGGCGAGGAGATCTTCAACCTTCTTTTTGCTTGATCGTAGACGACCCCTGGTTACAAAAGGCCCAACTGACTGATCGTTGGTCCGTTTAGCGCAACCCCTGCCATGGTGGGGGCCGGGCGCTCAGTAAGCACCCACGGCAACTTCTTCATCCAGACTCCACTTTAGAGTGGTTACCGGGTAGAGATTTTCGGGTTAGGGTTGCAGCACGGCTTTAAACCGTCCTCAAAGGAGACAGATGCAGCGAAAAGAAGCGAGAAAGGGCCATTCTGGGCCCCAAACCCTTGTCTGTAAACCCATGTTCGCTATCACGAGGGTGGTTGGGGAACAACTCTAGTGAGTCCGGTTCGGACTTGTTATCGTGACGGTGAGACTGGGTACTATAGTATTGTTTTTTTCTCTTCTTCTCTAAAGACTTGGGCAATTACTTTGTGAGAAAAACGGGATATTGTTACCTCAGCCTGATATGATGAGCCCCGAGTTGGATGTCAGAAACAAGCCCTGAGGCTGAACATGCAGCACTTCAGCCGCATATCAGCCTTTTTTCCCCCCCCTTAATTTGAACAGCACGTTGTCTCCAGCAGATTCACGAGCTTGTGCTGGTTTGTCGTGGCCCCCCCGATAAGCCTGTTCGCCAAACGGCTAGCCCTACCGAGAAGCGTAAGAACGCCACACCCGGAGTGCTGGGGCATATCCATGCCAACACTATCGTTCACCGGCCGGAATTGGGTAGCATCTTGTCTCGACAGACCCTTGATCGTTGTCTGCCTGGCCTTATTTTTTTATTTGTCACCTTTTCCCTTGCTCAAGCGGCACTTCCTCGGCCAATGACAGCTCTTGCACCGACGACTCCGAAATAAACTGGCGCAATCTTCGGGGCCGTTTGCTGCGTCAGCAACAAGGGTAGGAGGACGAGCAAGCTGAGATTTCTTTCCAAACCAACGAGCGGTCGATTGAGGACCCGTCGAGGTGCAGTGAAGGACGCTTCGCCTTCTGGGTCCCCCCCTGGGGTGACCCGGCAGTAGTGCTGCTGCTGCTGCATGTCAAAGAAGCGATTGAGCTTCCCGAGTTGGGTTTGGGGGCACATACTAGAGATGGATGGAATTCGGTGTTCACTCCCAGGATGCCGTCGGTAGAGTACAACCCCGCGGGAAGATTGATAAACCCAGCCCGTCCCCGGTTGGGGCGGTGGCCTGCTCTTTTGTCTCCCGACCCTCTCCTCTGTTTCGTTGAGCAGTCCGTCACGGCTACAAGGTCCTGACCGAATGAGACCTTTGAGTCCTTCTTAAAGAGGTCGATACGCAGTAGACCTAATTCCTGTCGTTCACCGCCATATCTAACAGGTCACCACAATGAATCGTTTCGCCTTGAACATCGTCCTCGGGGCGATGCTCCTCGTCTCGCCAGTGTCGTGTTTGGTGTCGTGGTGGACGGAGGTGAGCCCTCATGTGGCCATGCAAGATCCCGCCACGGGACACATCTTGTACAGTTTGTGCAACAGCAACCACACGCCCATCTTCCCCACAGACGGGAAGAACGCTCTAAATCTGCTGAAGAGAGCTCGAAACGGCACGGCCCTCGCCGGGGCTGGGTGGTACGACGCGAAGAAGTTGAAGACAGTGGTGCGTCTGCCTCCTTCCCCAAACTCATTTGTATGGTGGTTAACACAGACTTAGGCTTCACTGTTCTTTATCAACGAGGACGGCTCAATCGTAAACGGATATTTCGAGTGCGATATGAACACCGGCTTCTACGCCACCAAGGGTGAATATGTCATCTCCTCCACAGCCGGCGTCCAGTCCATCCACCCGCAGACCGGCCTGACAGTCGAGCTGTTGGGCGCAGAGAATGGTTACCGGGTTTTCTTTCACGACGAGAAGAAGAGGGTCAATGTCTTGTCGTATACAACAAAAACGGACTGGCAATTACAGGGCCAGATTTCCCAGGAGGTTGTGCCCACCATGGCATTATCGTCGGTGCACTCCGGTGTGGCGAATGTGTCCGTCATCTTCCCCAAAGACTCGGAGACACTTGAAATTTCGAGATACTACAAGGATGACAGTTGGCGTATTGGTTTGTTGCCCATGTCTCGGTTGAAATCGTTTGCGCGAATATGCTAACTGGAGCAAAGCCACGCTACCTCGTCCTCTTGCAAACAACACAGTCACAAACAACACAGATGCGGCCAACATCCTGCTCGATTCCTCGATGACGCCGAACTTCACGCTGCCGGCGTGGCCACGTAACGTGACAAGCTTCGCCGCATCGGTGGATCACTCGTACGTGAGAAGCATCTTCTACATAGGAACAGATGCCAAGCTGCACCAAGTGTCGAATATCAACTGGGCGTGGACAATGATGCCGGGACAAGCTGAGCGCCTGTGGCCCGTGGCTGACGAACCGGCCGGCGCACTGACATCAACGAACAACTTCGACACGAACGAAATATGGCTGTGGTATCGCTCGAACGGCAGCCTGGTACAGGTGTACCACAACCCCCAGGGACTCTGGGTTGACGCAACTACAGTCCCCAGTTTCAATACGACCCCGCCAGCAGACGGAGGATCGGCATCGCCGACTGAGACATCGGGCGCAACGGCGAAACCGGCGGTTCTGTCCATGGAAGCCAAGGCGGGCATCGGTGTGGGTGTTACAGTAGGGGTTCTTGCCATTGCGGGTATCGGCATCTTCTTCTTCGTGCGACGGAGAAGGCAGCAAATAGAGGCGGAGGAGGCCCGGCTGAAGGAGATTGAGGCTGTCACTCGACAAACATCCTTCGGGAACAGCATATACGGAGCCGGCGGAGTGGGGCCGTACTCAGAGTACGGAAACCTGGTGTGGAGTCCCGAGGGCCCAAGAGAGAAACTCGGGACACCAATATTGGAGGCAGACACTAGAGATATAATGCCGCCACAAGAACTACCCGTCGGCGAGAGGCACGAGCTTGTCGGAGAGGGTCACTTTAGAGAAATGGACGCAACAGGGCAGAATGCTGCCAGGAGAAGCATTGGAGGCTGGAGGGAGGCGCAGGCCGATAGGCAATAAGGCCATGGACTTGGGCCAAACGAATTACCGAATAATGAACGCTATGAATGACTTGATGCCAAAGCCGCTGATTCCGGTTGACAGCCGAGAGAGATATGTGTCGATTGTGTGAAGACGTGTTGAAAAAGTATGAATGAGTAACGGCGGACTCGTCCATCGCTTACAGCTTGTTTAGACTAACTGACTACGCCAGCGGGTTTCCCGAGGCCACCAAACCTTGTCCCCTAAGTTCCGAGGGCCTGGACGCTCTAGTTTCAGCTTCCCGTTCATCACGAAAAGGCCAGGGAGAAGAAAGGGGAGCTCCCGCGCTTACCGAGCGCTAGATATTGAGGTGTATGGGTAAGCTGGTCTAGGTCCGTCGGCAACGCTCCTCTTCCTCCTCATCCTTGAGCGTTTCCGCCATAATTAAGGGATAGCCGCCAAAGGGCGGCGAGACGGAGCTATCACTGACAAGGTAACCCACCTCTGACGTTAGAGACAGGCTGGCGTGAGGGTGGCAGTAGTCCGTTAAAAAGCGCTTCATTACCGCTGGCCAATAAATGGCCTGGAAGACGCAGTTGCCCTAAGAGGTATACATGAATTTTTTCCGAAGAGTGCAAGCTGGGCTGTGTCTCATGATGGTGTGGGAGGTCACCAACAACTCGTGGACGGGCCGGATGATGCCCTGTTTCTCTTCAGGGTCCCTAGGGATGTCAGGCCAGGCCAATCAACGGCGGTATCCCAGTTACCTCCTGGTTGATTACCGGTCCGGGTGCTAAACAAGTGAGATGGAGGGTGGAAAGGCCAGACGCAAGAGCAACAAGATGAACATCTGATGAGCGGACTGACGAACTGGTCTTGGGGTCAGGCTCTTGACATGAACGTCTTTGGGTTGGTCCCGGCGATCAGGCTGAAGCAAGAGCAGCGATATCCTGGTTTGGTCGCCGAAGGCAGAACCCAACTGCGGAGTCTCTGGCAGCAAGCGGTGGCCAGGAAGGATATCCCGCAAAATCTTTCTCTACGTAGTGTTTGGTTCGGGCACTCGTTCGATTTGCTCCGGAACCTTTTGGTAGATGGGTAATGGAGGTGCTATAGCCTTGAGCTCATCAAGCAACGAGGGATGCGACACGATAACGGAGAACTACAAATTTGGAATATGGAAAATGGGCTCAGGGCCAGGGTAAAAGGTGCTCTCAGGGTCCAGGCCATCCCCGGCAGTTGGAAGGATTCTAGAATTGGGTTTGAAGGGTGGGAATTGGCAGTTAAGCGGTAGCTACGTCGACTTACTCGGTAGCCTGTCGCACCGGTTCCAACTGTGCCACTATCGATGTCCGGTAGCTACCTTGGCATGAGAAGGGGACGAACGAAAGTGGGCAGAGAGACAGGCCCTAGTGACGGTAGAAGAGGCGGCGGGAAATGCTGGTTGGAGTTGGTGTGCTTATGCAGAATTGCGTCAGTGTCTTTTTTGGCGATGGACTGGAGACAAGCTGACAGCGGGGGCTGGGCACGGAGGGAGGGGGAGGGGGAGAGGAGCTCTGGCTTGTGATGAGGAAGCAGAAGGAGATGGGGGGAAAAAAAAAAAAAAAAAAGAAGTTGGATACCTCCAGCGAAGGGGATCCACTTTTCCAAGGCATTGGAGCTCCTTCCCGCGCTTTCCACAATTAGGACTTGTTCACTGCCCCCTTGTTTGATCGGCCTTCCCAGTAATAGCAACACAGAAATAATAATCTAAATCAGGTCTTTGGACGAAGCAAGCCAGCTTCATGCACCTGTTGGCGAGGTCTTTTCAGGGACACGAGGCTCCATTGTCCCAAACTTGGGGTATCATTGACTAGGTGAGATGGAACGTTGGTGGAAGCAGCCAGACCAGGCCTGGCGATGCTGAATCTGCCAGCCTGCCTTCCCCAAATGGAAAAGTGACAGAGGGAGAGAAAGAAAGAGAGAGACGGACGACGCTGTCAAGTGTAACCTTTTGCCAACCAGACAGGCCAAGGAAAGTGCAAAGTAAGGTATCCGTACCTGCGCATACGTGCTTGCCTGCTTCCGTTTTTTTCTTTTTCTTCCCTTGTTCTACCATACGTAGTAATCCCTCTTTCCTCGAGGATACAGGGTCGGCACTTTCCATCTGCAGTGTGTCATCAACCGTTGAACACACAACTGCCACCGCCAGATCAGTTCCCGTCCATACGGAATCATGTAATCAAGCCGCCAACCGGTATTCACTCGAACTCGACCTGGGACTGGTCTTTGCTTTGTGGCTCTGCGTGGCTGCCTGCTGCTGTTGCTGCATCTCGACCTGCGAGTCACAAGTCAGGGCCTTGCTCATTGGGCACCCGGAGATCGGTGAGGGACACCACGTCCACTGCCCGAGGACTAACAAGCACTCAGTCTGCACCACCAGAGCCCAAGTGGATGCCTCGCATGCATCCAAGTGGATGATGAATCAATGAGGACACAACAGAAGACTTGGATCGCCTTCTCTGCATCTCTGTGCCTTTCCGCTACTTACTGTCCATTCGGCTTCTTTCGTCCTGCTCGTCATCCACCGCAATCTGCCTCTGTCCAGTTCTGCTCCAAGTCCAACCAATCTCCGACCGGTGCTCCTTGCTTTTGCTTTGCCCAGCGCAACCCAAGTTGCATCGTTGACGTCCAGTTCCAGATTACCGGAGCCCTCTTGTCGACTGCCTCCTCATTCTTACCTTGTTTGACTAGCCGGACAACGTACGCCGCCGCAGATCCGCTCATAGGGCTTCCTTACCTTAGAGATTCGCGCCTTATTCAACACTTTCTCTTCGTCTCAATATAGGGAAACTCGAAGCTGCCCAAAATCCGGGGCCTCAACACCCTCAATCGCCTTTGCGACGGCATCCCTACCGTCCCGCTTCCCGCAGCAACATATACAAAACGTCGGGAACACCCCTGCTCAGTGACAGCAGACTGAGCTTCACCGCGCCGCGCACGCCCACAGCTGGAACTGCGAAGAACAAGCCAGGCCTGCTCACCCCCGGCCAGCCCCTCCCATTTCGCTGCCCTCTACCCGCCCACCCTTCACCTCCCCCTCCATCCTCCCAAAGTCCAAATCCAAATCCCCCACGAACGGACGGCACGCAGCCTGCTTGCTCTGCAGGCCTATATCACCTGTCGGTCGCCTTTATTACATACCACCTACCTACATACGCACTCACATACATACCCAGCTTTCGCTGTGGTATGACGACGTTGCTCCCACTCTTACTCCCTCTTCCTCTCACACTCACTCCTTCTCATCCCCTCCTCTCACTCTCAGCCGGGCTTGCTCCAGACTACTCGGCCTGTGATCAAACTACATCCCTTCACCTACGTTTTGTCGCTCATTCCTCGACCTTCGAGGAGCGTTTGATTTGAAATTTCGGGGTCGCTTCACCTGTGGCACACAATACCCGTGTCGTGCTGCTCAAGCGTCGCTAAGCACTCACGCTACTCTCTGCGATAAACGACCATCTATCAACGGCCTTTTACCCCGCCATTCATCCCACTTGCTCGGATAACCTCTCCACAAGCACACACACAGACATCTCAGCTGCAGCTACCCGAGGCGACTACGCCCGTTTTTACGTCTAGAAATCATGGCTTACCGTTCGAACGATTTCGAAGACCGCTTCTACGAGCCTCGCCGTGAGAGAGCTGAGAGCCGGGTTGCATTCAATGACGTCGACGTGCGCGACAGACCCCGCGAGCGCGAAGGCGACCGCCTCCGTTTTCTCCGCGATGAGCGCCCTCCTGAGGCTGGTGCTCTTGTTCTTAGCCGTCGGGAGGTCGAATCACGGGAGCTATCAAGACCTCGACAGCGTTCTCCGAGTCCTGTTTACCGTGAACGTGTCATTCGCAGGGCTCGCAGCCTGACGCCGCCCCCACACCATCATCATGACCAGGAGCTTGAGCGTTCAAGAGTGCGCATCTCTGAGCGTGAGCGCGAGATCCGCAGCCCTTCCCGCGGCCCTCCTCCCGAGATGGTTCGCGCTCGTTACGTCGAGCGGCCACGGTCGCCTTCTCCCCCGCCTCCGGCTAGAGAACGCAGTCGTGTCGGTGTGCGCATTGTCGAACGTGAGAGGGAAAAGGAGCGTAGGCCCTCTCCTTCTCCATCGCCTCCACCTCAACCTGCGCCTCCTCAAGTAATTCGTGGACCCACGATCGAACGAGAGGTCATTACTCACTATCGTGACATAGATCATGGTAAGTTTACGAAAAGTTATGAGACCGCTGCTCGACAAGCACTAACGCAACTAGGTGTCACCCGTGTACCCAGCCCCCCTCCCCCTCCACGTCCCGCACCTCGACCTATTACTCGTACTGAGGAACGGGAGCTGGATATCGACATCACCACATCTCGCAACAGGACCGACATCGATATCCACCGATCAAGAAGCCGTCACCGCTCCCCCAGTCGTGAACGCAGGTCCCCCGCTTTCAAGGACAGCAGAGAACTTGTCTCGAGCACCGACCGCCTGCGCATCGATGATCGTCAATATCAATCGCGCCGTCGAGCTCACTCTGCTGCTGCTCGCACTCCCGTTGACGAGGAGGCCGAGTACATCACCTCCAAGATCGATTCGCGAGGCAGGATGGGCGAAGCCTGGGGTGGCGCCACCAAGGACTGGACCATCGTGGACGTGCCCCCCGGAACTGAGCGCGTGAAGATGGACGGTGTGGGCGGTGGCTCTGCGGAGGTTACCTGGCAGCGCTACAACGGGGTGAGACGCTCCAAGTTCATTCCCGAGCGGGAGCGAGAGGATGCTCCGATCTCGGTTCCTGCTCCTGTTCCCCCTTCACCCCGGGAATCGCGTGACCGTCTCAGTGTCCAGGTGTATGACCGCGAGACTGAAATCGATATCGAGAAGACGAAGGAGCGTCGCCCACGCCCGTCTCAGAAGCGTAACGACAACATGTGGACAGAGATCACCAAGGATCTTGTCATCCGTGACGCCATTATCGAGCTGGGCTATGACTTCGAGGAGACGGAATATTTCTTCTACATCATGCAATATCTGAAATACGTAAGTAAATCTCTACGGCTGTACACAGTACATACTAACAGGACGTAGGATGATGTCTTGGAGCTGGTGCAGGTGTCAGACGAGATCCGCCGCTTCCGCAAGGAGCGTGTCCGTGAGATTGAGTATGAGAAGGAGTGGCGCGACGACTGGGATCGCCGCCATGGACACCACCACCACCATCGTCTCCCTAGCAAGTACGACGATGAGCGAGTCTACGAGCGCGAGGTCGTCTACGACAGCCAACGACCCAGACGTTGGTAAGCGCGTGCACGCGACGATATACGGATCATGAATGCGGAAACCCTGGCATCATCTAGGATGTGAGCTTAAGGCGGAATGGCGCTCTATGTTGGGTTTGGACTACAGAACATGTCACTTGGTATGGATGTACTGGCATTAGAGGCCGGATCTGTCGGGCTATGTGTGTCTTCTTTTCTCATTTTTACCCATTTACTGGCTTTCTGCCCGGCACATGTGTAACGATTCATGAATACTACATAGCGGCGGAGAATAGGGCGGAGTTAGATTGTATTAGGAGCAATTATGACTTATGATTCAACCGGGCCGTTTACGTTGTGACTTTTATCGGCGTCTCGTTTAAACGAAAGCCAGTGTATGTAGGGTTTAAAGACTATGGTTCATTGCCATTCTAATGTAAAGGCTATCATGGCAACGACGACCCTTGATCCATGTGTAGCAACCACTCCGTTCTCATTTGTATAGCTAGTTGTCAGCGTTGTACAAGGTTGTCATGTTTGCGACATGGGCTTGCGAGCATCGAATCGCTCACTTCTCCATTCGCAGGCACAGTCGTTTGATAACACGGTCGTATGCGAACTAAATGGTTTCCGTCTTAATGCCATCTTTGTTTACATTGGTCTCACCAGTTAATAAAACCTACACGATTCATCACGAGTTTAAAGACGGTATTGTCCTCCTCTTCAGTTGCTCCTCATGGATAAGTACCCTTCTCGAAAACTTGAGGGCATCTCATAGATTTCTGGTATTGCGACATGTTGCAGATCTCACCAAAATAGCATGCTAATCACCATCAGCACATCATATCTCATTTTGCCGAATGAAAGGAAACCAAAAGAAAAGCAGAACTCATCTCAAGACATTCTGCAATGTCATCACTTATACCTCGGAACGTGCCACACGCAGTCTACGCCGGCTTAAGCACAACATCCTGACAATTGGGAAAGTCTCCAACAGTCATGTGGCTAACGGGTGTAGCACCGGGGGCGGCCGTAACAGGTACTGCTGACGTGGTTTGCCAGATCTTACATACTTCCATGCCCTCTGACCAGTAAAGGTCAATAACCCCATCTCTCGGACACCCAGTTGCGGAAAACGCTCTGTTTACTGGACGATTCTGTTAAGAAACACATTGATGTAGGTCCTTATGGTCAACTTGCCCATAACACTAGGTTGGTAGACCCTCCATGTCTTCGTGATGGTCGTGAAAAAAATGAGAAGGGGCCGGCCGACCTCGGTCTTCGTGGCTCATGCTCCATCTTCTCCGGGTTTTTTTTTTTTTTTTCTTCTCGATTTCCCATCCTGCATTGAAATAGGATGCCAATGAAACCTTTTCAGCCTGCGAAGACAGCACTTCGATGAACGACGGCATAGTTAAGGCACACAGGTGGCAATGACAATATCTAGGTCATCCTTGTCGGCTCAACTTACACGGCTCACATAGGCAAAACACCAAGAAATGTAATCACTCAGAGAAAGACTCAGTAAAAGAGACTGCAGTCTCGTCATCATTCAGCTACCATGAGCGCTCCGACCTACTAACCCCCCGAACCCCTCGATAATTAACAGCAAACTTTTCTGGCTCCTCATCACCTGCAACTCTTCAACAAAACAAGTAATAGTGTACATCCTCCCCCAATCATTACAGTCGGGGTTGAGTCGTCGTATCGGTGGGTATGAACTTGAATAGACAAACGACACAGCAAGAAAGTAATAGTTCGACGTTCATTGACAAGGAGATAGAACCCCCCCCCCCCCGTTCTGTCGAAGTCAGAAAGCGATTGGAAGATCCAACAGCAAATCAATCACAAGCGACCCTAGAGTTTACCTGTATCTGTCAGCTTCGCCATCCAACACTCAAGCATCATTTAAAAACTCACTTGCGGGCGCGAGTAGCGCGCTTAGGCTTCTCCTCAGCAGCAGGAGCAGCCTTCTTGCGGCCCTTGGAGGCAGCCTTTTTGGGGGCAGGCTCCTCCTCAGATGCAGACTCCGGGGTAGCCTCAGCCTCTGGCTCTTCCTCTTCGCTCTCCTCGACCTTGGCCTTCTTCGGGGCAGCCTTCTTTGGAGCAGCCTTCTTCGCAGCACCGCGCTTGGGCTTGGCAGTAGGCTCCTCCTCCTCCTCGGATTCCTCCTTGACGGCAGACTTTTTAGCACCACGTTTGGGCTTGGCCTTAGGAGCCTCATCTTCGTCGTCAGCAGCGGCGGCTTTGGCAGCAGTCGCAGCCTTGCCTCGCTTGGCCTTAGGCTTAGGCTTCTCCTCCTCGTCGTCGTCCTCAACCTTGGCCGCGGCCTTTTTGGCGCGCTTTTTGGGCTTCTCATCAGCCTCCTCGTCGTCAGCGGCAGCCTTGCGGCCGCGCTTCTTGCCGTTGGCAGAAGCAGGAGCAGGAGCATCGGCTTCAGCCTCATCCTTTAACTGCGTGAGCCAAAACAACTTCATAGCATGCAAGAAAGATAGCGTACCTCATCGCCATCCCAGTCCTTGGGCTTCTTGCCGCGAATTCCGCGCTGGCCAGGCTTGTTCATCCACGGGTCACCGTTGAAATCCTCAGCCGCGATGTGGCCTTGTTGGATAGCATCACGGATCTTGGCCTGCAAGTCAGGGTGGGCACTTGAAAAGATCGTCAGTCATGTATGTTCGCAGGTATAAGGATCATAGCATGGGACAAGTTCAACTCACGACATCTCATCATAGCCATCAAAAGCATCGTAGTCAAGGGTGCCGTTGTGCTCCACAGCGTCGCGAACATGTTGCATCTGCTCGCCAGAAACACAACCCCTGGATTGAGTGTCAGCAAGAACTCAAGAACGAAATGAAAACATAAATTCCCGTTTATACAACCTAAGCCTCGTATGGCAAAACAAGGCCGCAGACTAGAGTAAGCAAAGGGAGTGGTGGGTTAGCTTACCAATGCTTCCACTTCCAAGACTCATGATCCATGATCTTCGTCCAAGTGCCGAAGCGCAAAGTACCTTTCAGACATTTCTGGGCATTTTTCTTGCACACAGAGTCTGTACATCCGGCGCGGTTGTTGGGAGAAACCTCTACATTTGGAACATCGTCAGAAGAGCTAAGGCGGATTCGTCGAGTGTAACAATTTGTTGTGAGATGAAGCATGAGACGTATAGTGTCCCTCATCATATGACGTAAATGTTCGGGGGAGCTCGACGCGTCGGCCGCCTCCAATCACCACCAGTCGCGCCGGTTTCGCAGGCGACTCGTCGGCAATAAATACGTTGAATAAAAGAATACCAAACAATAACTTACCAATCCGATAGTCAGGCATCTTAATAAACTGCTGTTCGTTCAGTTGTATAATCTATTTGTTATATGGGTGAGTAGAGAAGAGGAGAAAGGTTGGAAAAAAAAGAAAGAAAGGGGAGTGAGAAGAGGGAGATGAAATGGAAAGAAGGGGGCGTCGCAGATTGCGAAGTGGTAAGATGGAGAAGGGTCCCCGTCGTTGGTTTAAGGTGAGTGAAGCTCCCCCCCGTATACTTACCTGTGCTGGAACCCCCAGTTTAGGCAGGCAAGTGCCCCAAGCTTCCTGAAGCTTCAGTGTTGGTGGCCCCCGACGCCAGTAGCCTAACTCTCGCCAGGCAGCCAGTGAGGCACAGCAGCACCCCCTCCCCCCCCCTGTTTTCACTCGACACGTGTAGGGGCGGAGGAATGCGTGTGAGCGGCTCATGTTGTCTTCGAATCAAAAACACATTGGCGTTTTAGATGGCATTCTCCACGAAAATCAAGAAGAAGACGTTGGAAACATAGGAAGTAGGCGCGTTCTGGAACACAGGCAGAATACAATGCTTTTCTAATGCTATATATAAACCGAGTATTATACAAACCACCAACACCAGGCGTTATATCTGCCTTTAACCGTGGTCTTCGTCTAACTCCAATACCAGCGTGTCATATATACCCTGCCTTCCAAAACTCCTTATTACAAGAATGGACACCAGCCAATGTACATGGCCGCGAGGTTCCTGGGGTCGACTGCCTGCTTGATCAACTCCTCTACCTGCCCCTCGACACCCAGCGGGATGGGATCGGGACCCATTAGTCCCCTAACCTTCCGCTTGATGCTGTCAACAACAAGCTGCGGTTGCATCCGCGGCGCCCCATCTGATCTGCGACTCGTCTTCTTCTCCTTCTGCAGATCTAACGTAGGGTCATAGATGAACGCCTCGAGAATTGTCATCAGCGTCTCCTCTTGTTGTCGTAAAATTCCTAGCGTCAACTCGCTGCAATGCCGGAAAGGACCTTCGTATCCGTAAATGCCCATCGCCGCCACCATGTTGTGCGTCAGTCGGAAGGGCACCCTCTCTGGCTGAGCAAACGTCAAACCCTTATCAAACAGGCAGTTGAAGTCAACGTGGAAAATGCCACCGTTGTCCCGTTCGAGAAGTACGTTCTCGCCATGTCGGTCGCCCAGTCCGAGAATCGTACCAACCATCGACATGACAGCGCAGGAACGAGTATACTTGAGCCGCGCTGAGAACCAGGCCGAGGGATGGGGGAAACGCTGGACGAACCAATGCTGCAATACGGGCGGAAAAGTTCCCAGTACACCCTCGGTGAAAATTTTGATATTGTTCGGCCCAGTCACCGCCTCAGCCATCATCCGCTTGATTTGGTTGTAGTCGGGGTGGACCGAACGAGCCTTGTACTGATCCAGGAGAATTTCTCGCAGCGTCTTCAAGCCGTCTACCCACTCAATGATACCGCACTCCTCGTTCAACGGCACCACAGCATACGTCTTGATGTAGAGTTGACGCCTACTAGCCTCCGGATCACGCTTGAGTGAACGGTTGATCATGCCGTTGAACTCCATTAGACGCTGATCCGTTCGCAAGTCATCCTTCGGCTTGATCATCAACATGTAGTTCTTGCCATCCGTTCCGCGACATGTCAATCTTCTTGGTTTGGCTAGAGATCCGAGGACAAGGACCTCGTCCAGGAAGGAATCGATGGTAATGACATCCTGAGAGAATGCTTTGTGTTTCTTGACGTTGTCCGTCAACGTCGGCAAGGTAGCTGTCAGGCATGATTCGATAGGTACCACCAAGGGACAAGGGGTGCATTTGTGGTTGAAGTTCAGGTCCCGCGTGATGCTCGCCACCGTCGTTCTGTTGCTCTGGAAGTCTCCGTTGTTGCAGGCCAACAAAAGCTGCTCTGCAAGTTTCTCGCCCATTCTGAGAAGCTGCTTGAGGTCGTAACTACTACCTTCCACTTTCCTCGATATCCCCTTCAGCGCCTGTAGAATATGCTGGCCTCTCACTCTGCGCTCCGAGGCTTGTCTTGTGGTCATGAGACCAAATAAGCCCCATAAAGCTTGTCGGGGATGAGACTCCACGACCTTGGTAACAATGCGCGTCAGCCGCTCGAATACGTTCTGGTTCTGGTGAGCAATTCTAGCCACAACCTGCGGGAGTGCTGTGTAAAACATGTAAGCAGGAAGGCGAGCGATGTATTTATCGAGGAAGGCGTGAAGAAGATTGAGTTGCTCCGTTCGCCTCTTATGAAGCTCGCGAGACAGCGAGACCTTGCCTTCCGGGGCCTTGTCTACTTGCGCCGCCAGTTCGAGCCATAGTGTCAGTATCCTAGGCAAGGTCTGGTAAAGATACTTGGTGCCGTAATTCAAAGACCGAAGGTAGTTTTCGATAACTAGCCTGGCGATCTCACCTTGGACGTATGAGTCACTCTGTTCGTCCAGTTTGAGTGCCTTTTCTGTTTCCAGAAGCTTTTTGTAGTAGCGTCCCAGATAGTAATGGCCCTTTTCCCAAGCCGAATTTGTTTTGGGGGGCTGTTGATACTTGACGCGCAGAGCGGCATTGTTTGTTTGACCAGCGGCGTCCAACCACTTGGCTAACATGAGTTGTGCTCTGGCTGTCAGAAGTCTTTGTTGTGCGTCCAGTCCACGAAGGGAAGAAGTGCTGTTGGTCTGTGTCATGAAATTATTTGACTCAATGGCACCCTGCAAGACTTGAATAGCCTTGCGGGTGTGGCCATCCTTCCATAGTAGCCTGGCATTCTCAATGACTGCTGCGTCATCCCCAAGCTGAGAAGCGTGGAGGACAGCGTTGAAGGATTGATGCATGGAATTCGCCTTCCTGGCCAGCCGAGCGCTTGAAAGCCATGACGAGGAAATGTCGAGATCGGAAAACTTGGGACTAAAAACCATTAGAACAGGCTTTTGACAAAAAGCAAAGACAAACGTACCGTGAAATTTCCATGGCGGCTCTGCGGATGCCGAGGAGATACTGTTTGTCGTTGACGTACGCTCCAAGAACCTCGAGTCGTCGATCGAGCGTGGTCAGCACCTCCTGGCGTGCTCCGTCCTCCGCAGCTTGCGTGCCTGCAATAATCTCCAAATCGGTGAGTACATGACATCGGAGCCTCAATTCGTGACAGGCTTGTAAAGAGGATGTGGCCGAATAAGTCATTGCTGAGGCGATCTTGTCTCTCATGCTCTGCAGCATTTGAGGGAAGTCGCCTCCTTCGCCGCCTCCCTGACGCAAATAGTTAAACAGCCTTGCAACACTGACGTTGAAGTCTTCCAAAGGACTGCCGTGGAACCTGCCTGTATACTTTGACAGCGTGTCCCACCTGCGTGTGGCCCAAGCTGCCTCGACTGCGTAAGGCACAATCTTGTTCTCTGTCGACGGATCGGTCTGCATGCCTTCTACGTAGTTGAGTAGCACATCTGCGCCTGTTAGCTTCGTGACTCTCACAAGGATCACTCTGTAACGCACCATGCTGACCAGACTGCTTCAAACAATTGAGCAGATCCACCTGAACATCAATGTTACTGGGCTCCTCCGCCAGCTTGATCTCATACCAGGTTTGAGCGGCGGTATATCTCCCAGCTTTCTTGTGACTGAGGATTTGTTGATTGATGTCCAGAACATGAAGGTGAGCTGAAATGCCCTCCAGTCCATCAGGCTCATCAATCTGGGTGTAGATCTCCTGCAGTTGTTCAAGGAGTAGCGTCCTTTGCTTCGGGTCGCTTTGCTCAACTTCCATCTGCTGGGCATGTTGCTCAAGGTGGAATAAAGCCCGTGGGTATTCTCTACAGTCCATTGCTCGCTGAGAAATAAGTACTGGCGGGATCGTGCTCAGCAATTCCTCCACCCGAGCGATGGCCGGCAAATCACTGTCGGATTTACGCCTGGCATTCTTCTCTTGGAGCCACCTGCTCGCATAGTCAAGAACCCGGAAAACAGCCTCCCACTAATCAGTTCAAAAATTCCACAGTGACCTTTTGCAGTTACTTACCTCACAATAGAGCTTCATATCCTCCCGTTCCGAGTAGGGGGCATCCTCGGCAGGTTGGTGTTGAAGGATGCTGACTAGCTCTCCAATGACATTGTCACGCTCCTTCCGCGTGCTCCTATTGCCTATCATGACATGGAGGACCAAGTAAGGTAGAAGAAACTCTGCCACAGCAAGATCCTTCACCCGGATGGTACGGCCTAATGGCTCAAATATGAGATCTGCATGTCCGTTTTGCCCCTTGCGTAAGAGATCTATGCTGAACGACCGCATCCAATTTCCATAAGGCTTCCCTGGTCGGAAGATGGGATACTCAACTGGAGCCACAACGACAGCCATCAAGATATATTTGGAAGTCAGGAACGGCGTCAAGATTTCGCGGATGCTTTCTGGCAGCGCCAGCCATTTCCTGTAGATTGCAGCTCCGTCTCTCATGCCAGTCTTTTGCATGGCACACGCCGCTTTCACATCAACCCTGTCTAAGAGTTCTTGCATGGCGAAAGACAGGAAGCCTTGTAGTTTTGTGTCCGTCGTGGACAGGAAGGCCTTGACCAGAATTTGCTCCAGGATGAACAACACGAAATCGGTGGTCTCGTCTGCGTTCTCAAAGTTGTTCAAAATCACCATTGATTTCTGCTCCCGGACAGCCTCGACTCTGTTAGAGTCAAGGCATCCGACCAGACCGATGCACTGGGTACAAAGACTGGCTATATCAAGCTGCAGAGTACTGTACTTTGATGCGCAGTCGAGTAAGGCACGTAGGAGCGTAGATACCACGGAATCCGGTTGCTGTCCGATCGCTGACGTTTGAAGATATCCTCCGCTTTGTTTGAGATATGTCACAAGTTCGGTCAGGGCTTGGAGCACAACACCAGAGTTCTCATGAGACACGCGTTCTGCGAAGATGGCAAACGCGGTTCTACTGGCGATGGGCTGCTGTCGCCGTAGTTCTTGGAGCTCTGCCTCGACATCCGCAAGCTCCGTGATGTGCGCCAACGACGGCAGTTTCCAGATGTTGTCAACAATAACCAAGTTGAACTGTTTCAAAAGTGTAGAAACCAGATCTTTGGCCATAACCCTTGTTCTTCCATTGAAGAGTGGCCAGTAATGATTTATGATGAAGAAGGTCGTCTCAAGCAAGACCTCAACATCTTCTACCTCGAGGTAGGTAACAAGTACAGCCCAGCAGGAAAAGGCTTCTTCTCGCAGCTCATCTTGGGCAAGAGCAGACAGCAAGCATGCAGAAATCTGAGAGAGTTAGCGCCGAAAAGCAACAATGGGAATTTACCAACACACCTGTGGTCGTGCAATCCGCACGTACGCCTTGCACAGTCTGATCATCTCCTCCATGGCACGAATGCAGCGCCTTTGTTCCTCGGGATGCGGACATACCAGGGGCATATCGTTGATTACATCCGCTAGCCTGGCCATCAAACCTAGAATGTATGACTGAAGAAACCGGCCAACAACATTTCCTTTCCTTGGCCTGGGCTCCTTGTTTGCGACCATGATGATAGTGCACATTGATGTAAGGGCGTCAATAATCTTCATACCAGTCAGCAACTGTACCATATACACAGAGACAGAGATGTAGCTTACCCGAGTCTTACGAGCCTCGTCTGCTTCACCCGCAGCTTTAAGCAGCTCGAGAACAATGCTCACAACCTCACTTTGCATCAGCTCGACAAAGCTCGAGGACTTCATGTGAGGTGAGACTTCGCTGAGCCTTGACATGACGAATTCCTCGATGTCCGGTACCTCTTGTACCAGTAGCAACGCATAAATGCCTCCAGCATTAGCGCCGTCTATGATCGGGACCCAGATGTCCTTTTCCCCACGTGCTTCAGCAATCTTCTGTATGACGTCCTTCTTCTTCATCAGCACCAGCCATGGCATAGCATGGCTTTGAATAAGCAGAAGAAACTCGTTCACTGAGATTTGCATGAGCTCGGCAAGAGAACGGCTGATCTGCGGTCGAGCCACCATATCCTTGACAGCAAAATACGCTAGGTTTCTCCAGAAAGGTTCGAACAAACGGCGCGGTGTAACATTTAGGGCAGCAGCCAGGTTCAGAATCTACGTTTTTGTTAGCTGCTTTTATTATGCTTGTCGTTCAGAGGACATACTTCGCTGAAGGCGCACGACGATACGAGGTTGTTTCTGCTTCCCAGGTATTCTAGCAGCTGATGCAATACTAGATTAAGCTCGTTCCCAGTTACGACCCTGAATCCTCGTCAGTGACAGACTCTGGAATGATGCCGACCATGCTGATGCCTACCGTCCAAGTTGGCCCCAAGCCAATACCCCCGTCTCGTGAAAAATTACTGCGTCCTTTTCGGAAGCGGATTTGAGAAGGCTAAGCGCATTCTTCCGGTTTCGACGTACAACTTCTGAATCTATCTTGTTGGAACCGGACTCTTTTAGGAATAAAGCCAAGGCTCGTCTGCGGAAATCTGGTTAGCTATGGAAAAGGGGGCGCGTATGACGGTAATACCCTGAAGCAATACGCAGCTCTCTGATGGAGCTATGCAAACTCTGAAGACACCATTGTCCAAGCGGCGAGGTCTCGAGGTCGAACAACTCAAGATCATCGGTGTGGTTGATAATCCTCCTCAAAGCTATCATAGCAGCCACTCTTGGTCGCCTGGACTTTTTGAACTCGTCCAAATTAATGAGCTTTGTGAAAATGAACTGGGCTTCCTTCTTCTTCGTACCATCAAGAGCCTTTGGTCTTTCAGGTCCTTGGACTCCCTGGTCGCAAGAAGCGCATAGCAACCTCTTGCTCTGGGGAATCATGCCGTCCACCGGCAAGATCCTATCGGCCGCACAACAGATACGTGAAAGAAGTTCAATGGCTAGGCATTGGCTCTCCACATCTATTTCTGGAAAAGCGGCTCTAAGACATGTCAGCTTCGGTGTTGCGCTCGCAAAGGCGTAGTTACTTACAAGAAATTCTCATGAAGCTCTCCAGGTGAATCATCAGTCCCAAGGGCTTCGTTGAGTTTCAATTCTAAACTTGCGAGCTCATCGAGTTCTTTCAATACTTTTCTCCGCTTTGATTCAGGCTCCACATCCTCAGAAGTGTCGTCTGTGAGACCCAGGCGTTCAACAAGTTGACGTAGTTCAGGGTCGGCGAAGTGAGCTGGCTGAGTATCACGGGCGAGACTCGCTGGTGCCACTGGCGCCGAAGCCTGTTTCAAGACCCGAATGGAACGCTTGAAGTGTTAGCTGGGCGGCCGGTATGGGGAGGATCAACGTACAGAAAAGTCGTTTGATTCCCCTAATGCGGGAACTTCAATACAGAGCAACTCCAGCGGCAACACAATTTTAGGTGCCACTAGTCTACCAATTTCTCGATCTATCAAGGATGCTTGGGCAAGTCGAAGGAGGGCTATAGAGAGGGTTTTCCTCGTGATTTGACTCAAGTCATCTATGCCTGCAATCTCGTCCGGACGTGCTGCAAGCTCAGCGCAGAGCAATGGTAGACAAGTGTATGCTTTATGCAGCACCAAAGCTTTCTTCCTAGTCGACGGTCTGTCCGGGAGCAGATAAAGGGCAAGTTTTAGCAAATCGGCTCTTGTAGTTGGCACAACGGCCTGCCATGTGTTCTGCACAGCACGAAGGGAGAGCAAGGAATCGAGCAGCCATGGCCGCAGCTCAAGGAATGATAACCGAGAAGCGAAACTCGTATTTTTAGCAATCGAAGGATGCGCAAGAATTGATATTATAGCGACTGCTTGACGCGCTGCTTGCGAAACTTGCGGGACATGATATGTAGTCTGTTGTACGAAAAGAGTGCCAGGTTTTCCCAGCAATACCTCAAGTGCACCGGCAGGAGGGAGGTTCATGTCTAAAGAAACATCTCTTCCAGATGCGTTAGGCGACATTTCTTGGAGGCAGGACAGCAGGGCTAAGGCTGTTAGTCGAAGTGGAAGACTTGGACATCACGCGAAGAGCAACTCACCATTGCTTGTTTCCCGGAGGTACATCACCACAGAGGAGAGCAGAGACCACATCGATCCCGTGCGCATGATCACTAGGAGAAGAAACTGGAAGAACTCTTCTATTGCCGGAGTGAGCTCGAGGCAACGAGCATGGCCAAGCAACCTCATGACCTTGGGAATGACCCATATCCAAAGCGGTTCCTCCCCGCGAAACACAAACTGCTTCCCGTCCGTGGTATAGTTCAAGACATTTGGGGTCTCCTCAATTGTGACCTTCAAAAAGTTTATCGCCTTCAGCGCCTCGTTGCGTAGGTGGTTTCGGTCGGCAAAGACATCGTCGAGCTTGATCCCTTCAAGTACGACACGGGCATAGACGTAGATGAGCATATGGTTATGCTCCATCCGCTCTTCCGACGTGCGCAGCAGCTCAGGTTTATTCTTTACTTTCTCTATGACGGCAAAAAGCCGCTTCAGCTCGGCATTCTCATCGGATCGCGTGGATTTCGTCGAGGCGGAGATGTTTTCGACAAGCTGGGCGGCTAATGTGGAGGGGGGCGGCGCGTTGGCAGCTGCGCCAGCAGGCTTGCCGTGGAGCTGCTCTGCGGCCATGATCTTGTCTGCATCGTATGGTGGACAAGAGAAGCTTCGTGTGCAACGGACGAGGCAGGGCAAACTCGGACTCGTTTTAGGGGGGGTGTGGCGGCCCTATGCAAAATGCGCCTCGACGACGTAGAGTCGAAAGCTCGACGCGACGGTGGGGGTGGGATGCCTGGAGCGTGGCGCACTGTACGCGGGATCACGTGCTCAATTAACGGCTCTGTGTAAGCAAATATGGCCCGGGCTTTCTCTGGGCAGAGCCAGACCCTTTGCGGCAGATGCGCCTCAGGATGACCGTCCATCTCACTGACAGAAATTCAATTAATCGCGTCAACTCTCTACCACTAGATTTCCACAAGAAACTCGGCCTTTCTCCTCACATTGATTGACTGTAAATCTCTGTTGATTTGTAATCTTGATTGCTTTTCACAACATCAGCTGACTGCACAGCCAAGAAAGTGACGCCGCCCATCTTTCACAACCCATGAATGAAGCCTTCCTATCTCGGTCTAGCAGACACAGATGTGCAACGGTTAAAGGAGAATTGTTTCTAGGTTTTGCTGACACTCAATTCCCATCCTATGTTGATATTTAACTCATTCTGAGTTCGTGGGGTGAGACATTTATTCTATTGGTATCCAAACGTTCGTGTGTAAGAGACTGTGATTGTATATCAAAAGGCAGAGCTGCCTACATACTTGACCAAAAGATAATATGCCCTCAACGCTGCCAGCCCCAGGCTCTTCAAGTCAAACAGCATTGAACGACGAATTGCTGCACTCATCGAACCCCTCACAGCACCACAGTAGCCAACACCCAAACTCACTGAAACAAAACAACACAGAATACGAGAGCCTCCTACCTCCGCTACTAGACCCCGAAAACCTAACAGGCACAACTTCCCGTAATGTATCTCGAACAAAGGGCGTTGCGGTCATCGTCGCCCTTGCGGGCGTCAACTTCCTCAACACAATGGGCTCAGGGATCCTCATCGCCGCTCTCCCGCGAATCGCCTCGGATGTAGGCCTCTCTGAGAACCTCGCCCTGTGGCCAGCGGCCGTGTATTCCCTAGCAGCGGGCTGTCTCCTGCTCATATTCGGTGCCGTCGCCGACGTCGTCGGGGCGAAGATCATGTGGCTAACGGGAAGCTTTCTCTACGCCGTTTTCACGGTGGCCGTCGGGCTGGCCAGAACGGGTCTCCAGCTGGTCTTCTTCCGTACGGTGCTGGGCATCTCTATAGCGATGTGTCTACCAACAGCCATGAGCTTCATCACGAGTACTTTCCCCAGGGGAACCTGGCGAAACGTCGCCTTCTCAATGAACGGTATCGGCTTCCCTTTAGGATATGCCCTCGGTCTGGTTGTGGGCGGTATCTTCGTGGATACTGCCGGGTGGAGATGGGGTTACTACGTTATGGCAACGATAAACATCTGCCTCTGGGCGGCTGCGATATGGTCTCTGCCGTCGGTTCATCAGCAATCAGAGAAGAAATGGACCCGCCGTCTAACTGAGGATATTGACTGGATTGGGGCCCTGATCATCAGCACCGCTCTGGGGTTGTTGTTGTATGTGCTAGCCATGGCAACTCAATCCTACACCAACCTCAGCAATGCTTCCAACATTGTCCTCCTGGTAGCTGTAGTGGCTTTGTTGGCTTCTTTTCCCGTTTGGATGGATGTCCAGGTCAAAAAGAACCGTCCAGCACTCATACCTAACCACTTGTGGCAGAACACATCCTTCACTTCCATCTGTGTAGGTGCCCCTAAGCCGCTCGTACGACGGAAATCTCGGCCTCTAATCTAACGACAGGTCTCAATATTCCTCAGCTGGGCTGCGCTGAACTCTATTCAATACTTTATCATGCTATAGTAGGTACCATGTGATTATTATACGAGAAGGTGCAACTCTAAGCCCGATCATAGTTTCCAAGAAGTCCAAAACGTATCCGCGCTGCAAAGCTCACTCCGATTCCTGCCTCACATTATCGTAGGCACCGCAGTTAACACAGCATGCGCGTGGCTCGTCGCCAAAGTCAAAGTCCAAACGCTGAGCGGCGTGTCAGCAATTATTACAGTGGTCGCGCCGCTCCTCATGGCCACGGTCGACATTGATGGCGACTACTGGCACGCGCCCTTCTGGGCCCTAGCTCTATCGCCGGTCAGCGCAGATGGTGAGTCCTCCCTACTCAGGGGTTCAAAATGACAACGGCGAGACTAACGAGCAGCGAAACGCAGCCCTCTTTACCATCTCAAATCTAATCATATCCGATGCCTTTCCGGCAGATGTGCAGTCCCTTGCCGGCGGCGTCTTCGCTGAGGTTGGACAGATCGGCAACGCGGTGGGCCTGGCCGTAACGGCGGCCATCGCGGCCTCCGTGACGGCACACTCGGACGCCGATGCCAGGGAGGCACGCATGGAAGGCTACCGCGCCGGATTCTGGACCATTCTGGCCACAACGATTGCCGTTGTTGTCATCACCTTCTGGGGGCTGAGGGAGGGCGGTACGGTTGGGGAGGGGGAGGAAGACTAAGAGATGACATGGCTGTTGGAACTGCTAAACTGTACCGGCGGTCTTGGCCGGTGGGGTTTTATGGCAAAGCGCCGTTGCCGCTGTTGTAGTTCTGGGATATCTTGGAGGTCGAGGGTGTCATTGTGATGCGCCCCATGAAACAGAGAGATTGGTGATGGCGACAATATACGGCTTAGTAGGTATCATAACGACGAGTCCCCTTTGCCGCCGTTGCTGTAAGCCATGGTTGAGGCTGGCCACAATACGGCTGAAGAACGTGTAAGCCTAGTCTAGCTTGCAAGATACACTTCAACTTTTCCAGTCGCATGGATCGCATGATGCGGCTGTTACGATTAAGCACGGCGTAACCGAACCAAAGCCCCGTTTCGATCTGATGTTGATCCAGCGGCAGGGTTTGGCATTCGGACGGCGTCTTCGGACGACAAGCCCAGAAATAACGTCAACCGATGTCAGCTTGGGCACGGACAGAAAATGAGTTGTCTCGGCACTACCACTTAGTAGAAACCAACGACGAGCCTTGGCGATGACTATCAAAGAGAACGAGGTCGTCGCCTATCTCTTCGTCATATCGCATCTCACAAGGTCAAAGTCTCCATTTCGAGACCCTGCGAATCCATGGGGCACTCGGATATTCTGATGGAACTTTGTGCGGATGGCAGATGCCGATTGCCTTGTTACAACTGGGGATGCTGACGACATGCTGACACTACCAAGACCCCGAAACCCCATCAAACAGCCCCATCAGAATTGTTACTGCCTCTTTTTCTGACGGTAGTGTAAATACGGGCCTCTACTGCATTGGTGATCCCCACGATTGCATATCTCCCGTGGCCTGGGATGATTTTAAGCTGAAAAGAAATCTTATGGCGACGCCCCTCTCAAAACGGCAGCCAGATCGATCTCCCAACGAGTTTTACCACTTGGCGGTTTACAAAGCGCCGATCCAGCCTGCTTTTTCTACCAAGTTGGGCCAGCAAGTCCTAAAAGAGCTGAGTATGTAGCGAATACAGCACTACACTCTCCTCGCAATCGATGATCAGTTGGAGAAACCCTGGGCATGTATGCATACACTACACGTCCGAGGCCCAGGCCTGTCTCGGGGTTGCTAGAGGCGTTCAGAGGTGGTCTTGTGAGAGTGGTCTTGTGTCGTGTGCTCGTGTGCCACATTGAGGGCCCGGTGTTCAAGCCACATTTCTTTCATGATGGCACCCAAGGTTGCCAAGAGGGCAGTAGAAGAGGGCAGCGAGCGTATGGGCTGCATTTGTGGATGTAGCGCAGGGGAGCATTTCTGTGGCTGCGGAGACCATCGACGGCTATCCGGATTGGAGGTAGTCTAGGTTCACATGTTCTAAAGGGTTGTTTGGCACAGGTTCACAGGTCTGCCGAGCGAAGTCCACTTTGGTTTCTGCGCGTCAGCATCATCTCGTTCCACGTTCGGGAATAGCATGAAGCAGGCGAAACGAGGTGGCGGTTCGGGAACCCATCTGGGGAGAAATAGAGTAGTGAGAAAGAAGGGGGAAATGATGATCGGAATTTGTCGCAGGCAAGCAGGTTTTGGATTATCGGTGTAGGGCTGCTGGGGAGAATTGTTCGTCATAGTGGATAGGCGGGCTTACACGTAGTGGCTGCAGGGAGAAGCAGAACTGGGGTGTTAGTAGGGAAGGCCTCAGACCTTTGAGGCCTCGTCGTGGCAATATTGATCTTGGACTTGGGAATAATTAAGAGGTGAGTAGCTAGGTTTGCGTACGTACATCGTAGGCGACTTGCAGGCTGGTGAGGTTGTTGGTTAGTGGCCGCGTTTCCCGGTTGCCCATGTCGAGTTGATCAAAGTGATACTTTAAAGTACTGACTTGGGGTTTAGGGGGAAATAGCGAACTAGAGTGGCCAGGCAGGTTCGTTGGCGCCATGGTGGGGTAGGGGCGGGGAATGAGTAACGTGCGGGCACTGGGCACTGCACACAGCACCTCATTATTTTGCCGTCTCATCACATTCTCGCATGCTGTCGACGTGGGGTTGGGGATGGATGCGCACGGTTGTGGTATGAGTACACTACTTACCCGTACTAAGGTAACTAAGGTGGTAGTTAGGTAGTTTGGGTTGGGTGATGACAGTGATAGGACTACGTAGTTGTTCCCATAAGGAGATGGGGACATTCGTTCTCTCTGTATTTGTGCAGATACCAACTCTACTCGTGCGTATCATCAACCGACCCGTAGACAGGCGAGTTTTCTCCGGGCTCTGAGCAGATATCATATAACAACCCCCCTGGTCCCTGCCAGATTCCCAGATGGCTGGCGGGTGGAATAACCCGAGGTGCAACCCCCCGCTATCGTCGTCTGCCTCCTTCTCCCCTTCGCAGTGCTGGTTCTGGAAGGTACAACACGTATCTGCACTACTCTACTACGGTAAAGGACGATGCAGTACATACGTCGTCGGGGGTCCACACACAGCTGGAGTTTCTCCACAGGCCGGCGTTTCCCCGCCAAGCCTCCCACATGCACCTCAGCATCCATCGAGTGGACGACAGGAAACAAAAGGAAAGACAAACATCAGGCACCAAACTGACCGCTGTCACGCTCCGTCGTCTCATTTCTTGCGCGCAACCGTGCGGCGCCGTCTACCATGCTAACTCAGACAAAATTAAAACTTTAAAACTTGCTTTATTTCCCGGGTTGTTGAGACATGACTGGCAGTGACATTGATAGTGACATTTGGTGAGGTTTTTTTTTTTTGGGGGGGGGGGGGGGGGGGGGGTTCGGCGGCTTCGGGGGAAGGAGGCGCGGCGTTGGTGGGGACGGGAGCACTTTCAGTTTTGGCGGTCCTTTGAAGTGACGGCAAGAAGGCGCTGGCCTGGGCTTGCTTGTGGATGGGAGGGGTCTTGGCGGCTTTGAACTGGAGCTGGAACTGGGCTGTGCTGTGCCTTGCTTCTGTTTATCCCGAAGGAATAAACGAATAAACGTGTGCTGCTGCTTGCTATTCTTCTGTTCCTTCTCCCTCCCGCTGTTTCTGGCGCCACTAGAATATACATACATCCTTCCGTCAAATGTCAATAGACAACGGAAAGCAAGACAAACATGGAAAGATAGAAGGTTCATGTGGAGCTTCTTTCCTATTGGCAACCCCGCGCTGGCTGACGCCTTCCCGACCCAGGTCCTCGGCCGTCACCCGCTCTTACCCTGACCAAAAATAAAATAAAAAAAGAAAGTGACTTTCACTTTCCATTGCTTCTTTACCCCCCGAACAGAGACTAACAATACTCCATCTGAGCCATGTAACCAGCCAGGGCTTTTTATCTAGCCAGGTGGTACCTGCTTTGAACGCCATGTTCTGTGTGTTTCTCCTCTCCTCCGGGGCCCAAAACTGGTATTCCCTCTACCAGTAGCTTCCCAAATTGCCCGAGATATTTCTTTGTACAAAGGAAGTACTGCATGGCAAAGGTGTGCCTTCCAACCCCACCTCCACTCATCCTCGGAAAGCCCCAGTCCATGTTCCCCTCTGCTGGTTCCCTCCCCTTCTAGACATACTCGGCCCTTTATCAATCTTGTACAGTTGCTGGTGGCAGAGGGATCCCTCCTGGTCCACGGCCCATGCACCGTACCTGTCGTTCACTCCCGCTTTTGGTTCTCACGTCGTAATCCTAATCACCAATCCTGCCTGCCAGTCTTCGAGCCTCCCCCATGCTACGCCTTCTCTCACCTCCATCGTCCATTATCCATTTCTCCTTCACTCAGTTCACGCCCCCCGGAATCCAAATGGGGCCTTCCATGGCTAAACTGCCAGGTGCTCCATCATCGTCAGCCAATGCTGGGCACCGGCACGTTTGCGCCAGGAACACGACACCTCGGGGCCACTTTCTACCCTCCACTCGGCTTCTCAGCCCCGTAAAGCACACACTCCCAAGCTGATTGCTGATACTGTTGTTGATGCTGATGCCGCTTTCCGTCTCCAGTGTTTTTTTTTTTTTTTTGTGCAATACGGAGTACCGCTTTCTTATCCTTCAACCCCTCTTAGCCCAAGTGTCTCCATCGTCGGCCTATATCAACACTTGTCAGTGTTCCGTCTCAGACAAACGCCGCCGTCCTGGCTGCATATAGCTGACTGCTGGTCGAAACCTTGTCTTTTCTTGTGGGCTTGTTTCTGGATCTCGACCTCGACCTTGACCTCCCTATCCTGATCTAGTATAAGGGGACCATCCACGCCTGACCTGCATACCATCCGCCCTCTTCTATTCCCCCTTCCACTGCCTCGACCCCTCGCCCCTCCATCATCCTCTCAAAAAGGAATACTGCACATCTGACCTGCATCGTTCTGCCCTGTCAAATTCCCACAACAAATCGTACTCTATACAGAGACTATAGCAACCCGCACTCTGCTTTCGATCAGGCTTCTTTCTGCATCGTCTGGCTCTGGTCTCTTCTCTCACGTGTCCCGTACTACCTATCCCGCTCGACTTTCCACACAAAGTCCCATTCCAACCCGGCTTTACAACAGAATACATCCGGAGCCTCGCAGCTAGCTAGCTCCCTGCGCCAAGCTACAAGTTTCCACACCACACCCCTCCTTCCACGCACACCACGCACCAAAGGCACCCACCTTTCGGGCAGAGGCATCCCAGTTCCCGCCAGCGCGGACTTGAAGCTGCAGCCACATTGGGCTGCTTTATCCGTGGGCGTCGTCCACTTTGTTTTCTGTTCGCTTCGTGCGTGACCGACTTCTTGTTCCTCTTCCCAGACCTCCTTGTCTTAGAAGTTGGAGCCTTGGAAGGCATCGTTGCAGTCTAACACGCTCTTTTGCCCTACCTGCTTCAACCCTCGCTATTCCAGGGCACAGCTATCTGTCCGTTCACACCTCTGAAGAACAGGACGTTCCGGCGCTGCACTTGTGCTTGAGCTGCGCTTGCGCCATTGTTCTTGAACCGCCTGATTCTCCCTTCGTCAGCAGATGGTTGTTTCCTTCTGTTCCAACTTCCACGTCCTATACTCGACCGGTTATACTTGAACACCCAAGGCCCCCCGTCTTCGAACTCGCACCTCTTCCCTTCGAGCAACACGATAAACTACAAAAATGGCCGCTGCCGTCACCGAACACCCGCGATTCTTCCCCACACGCACCGATGCGCTGGGCATGGAGGACTTTGAAACAGCCTCCATTAGATCCGCTGCGCCGTCTTACTGTGAGTACAACTTTGTTGGGAGGTCGTGTTGTGGGAAAGGAGCTTCTTCACTGGTGGATGGGCCCAGCGCCTGACACGCCTGGGTTCACCGACGATGACCTCTTCTCAGCCATGACGAACTACGAAAGCTCAAGCTAATATTTGAATCACCAAAAAAGTCTCAGATGCCCCTTCATATCACTCCATCGCGCCAAACCCCGAACCGATCCCTCCCTACTCGCCACCTGCGAACAACAACACAAACACTAGGACCGGCTCCACCCAGTACCCGACCTCTCTACTTCCTGCCGCCCCGACCCCCACCCGCTCCGGCAACTCCACGCCCCAGCCCCGCTCCGGCCTACCACCGATCCCCCCGGCTCCCCCTGCGGTACCCCAGCTCAACCAGTTCCGCATCCCGACCTGGTCGACCGTACACTCCAACCCGACCCTCAACAACGTTGCCCGCCGGCGTATGAACCAGAGCGGCAGCGCCGACCCTGTCGCACACCTGCGGCGGTTCATGTCTGAGCGTCTGGCCGAGGAGGAAGCCGCGCAGCGCGCAAGGGAATTCCGTCCGCTCGAGGACCCATACCTGGTTGGTGAAGAGGCCGCCTCGCGGGCGCGACAGGAGCGGCTTGCGAGGGAATCTGGGGAGGATATTTTGTGGGATGAGGATCGCCGCTGGAACAGGTTTCTAGGTGAGTTTTGCAATCTTTGATTTCTCAAGTTTAGCGCTTCTGATACGTCCACAGCGCAAATGCAAACTTGGGAAGACCGGGACCGCAGTTCCTGGAGGAACATACGCCAGAATGAGCAAACAAGTCAGCGCAAGAAGCTGACCAGACGTCTCGCTGGACGTCTGTGGTAGTCTGCCGCTGACCGCTCATTTGCTACCATGATTCTGACGCGTACGTGATATGACATGGAGAACAAGAGTCCATCATGCATTGGGATAGGAGTATTCGGGTTTTCTATTCATTTCTGCTACCCTTTTTTAAATTCATCCATCGGCATCTACAGATAGTGCATTTGAAAGCCGATGATTCCTCCAGAAAGGAGACGATTTCATCATGGATTGTTTTAGGTAAAGGGGCATTAGCAGCTTTTTAGGGTCTTGCGATTTTTACGAGTCCAAACTTTCAACAGCTTGGTTGCATCGCAATGGACTAGATGCATATGGGAGCGAAGCCGTGAGAAGCCGCTGAGGAGTCGGTGGCATCTTTTGTCTTGCTCAGTTCGCTTTGTATCAAATCGTAGGGAAGGCCACAGAACCTCATAGGGGTTAAGCACATTCGGTTGAATCAAATTGAACAAATCTACATCAATCAAGCACATACAATGCATTTGGCAGTGGACTTTGGAAACGCCAAGGGTACATGTCTTGCTTTCGGTTGGTAACGGATCGACGGCAACGGTCCTCCGCTTGGCATTCCCTGCAGCGCATCCATTCTCGTCTTGCCTCTTTGAGCAGTGGCTGGGCTTGCCAAGCACGATGCTTTTGGGACCGAAGCGTGTCTTTGGTTGGCCGCCGCGGTGTTGCCTACGTCTAACTACGAGGTTTGCCGATGACGAAGTTAATTAACCACGGCAGAAATGTGAGTAACTCATCACGTACAGTCTCTTGTTCTTGTGTATGTAAAAGCAGTAGTTGGCAACGTGTTTGACGAGATTTCTTGTGTGTTTCGAGAGCAATTTGAGTTTTGAGGGGTATTGCGGATTCTTTGTAATGGTGGACCATGGATGGGGAGATCTGGTAGGGCGTTTTTTTTTTTTTCGCAGCATGGTCTTCATGCGTTGGAAATAGATGTGACTGGGTTAAGTGGCTTCTTATATGGCTGTGGCATTAGCATTGCGTACTCCTTATGTGTTTGTTGAATGAGTGCTCTTACTTACTGCAGCCATCAGCATCATTACAGAGTAACGGGGTTCCTGAGTCCGTAAGATAGAGTAGCAACGCCAGCTGCGTTTAGCAACGGGTCGGTATTTTATCGTAGCCTGTGGCCGGGGTATATTGAATTCATGTCTGTGAGTGAAGTTGCGAAGAGGCTTAGTCCATTAGCGTTAGATGAAGTTGCTATCTTTGGGGGAAGGGCCTTTCTGAAAGAAACTCATGGTGTAAGTAGAGCAATTGCTAATGAAGTATGTTTAACAGGTCGCCGTTCTTCTCCATGATTATGTCGTTCTTGGTGGAGTTCGCTTCGCGGAATAAAGCTGTTGGTCGTCATTGGGCGACAACGCTGACGAGCATGAAAGATCAAGAAGCGCCCATTTACCACGAAAGCATTCTTGTGGTCTTAACAAAACTGTATTAGAAAGAATAGGACCAGTTTTTTATCGAGTCTATGTTCATGAGCTTAATAGTTTGAGATCATAGGGAGGCTTTCGTCTTTACCGTTGTGCTGTTCATCCGCGCTGCAACTACATTTATAGCGGTTTCCCGGCTCGGTTCCAGCTGAAACAAGCACATCACTAGAGTCATCGTTCTATCGAATTCATCTGAGGAGTGCCAGAAGACCCGCAAACATGTTAAACTCGGGCTTACTTCGACACCATTCGCACCTCCTGGATGTATCCCGACAAGTAACAGGTCGTGGAGGCCATCAAGAGGGCTGTAAGTGGCACTAGACAGTAATGGACTTGAGAACGAGATCTTGGGCTCTCTGGTTCACAAATGATGCCCTGGCTGTATGACATTCGTTTTGGGCGAACCGGGGAAGCATGGAATCTGGTACATCATGTAGACCATTAGTGTTCTATTGCTGGGTTTGGGCCAAAATAACATTAATCCTAAACCCGGTATTCGGCCGTTACGTCAACCGCTACTCGGTGGGTGCTTCATCAACATGGACTGGCAAAGCACTGACAGAATAATGATACCGGAGAGTATATCATTAACAGACTTACATGGGGTCTTGAATGTTTAGCATGACGACTCGACAACATAGTGGTAAGGGTCATTTATGATAGTAAATGCCGCAGACCAACGCGAGTACATTTGGTAGCATCATGTTTATGAACTGGGATGAGGCATAGAGTATGAATGTTCTGATACTCGCGGAAACGTCCATCTTTTACTTGCTGAGTTGCCGTGGGTCCGTGGTAGATGACCAAGTGAAAGTACAGGACTGAGCAACCGGCGTCGACAAGCATAGAGGGGACGATTATGACGGCTGACATCCATAGGCCTCTACAAAAAGTAACTCTTAGGCAGACGTGGGGGCAATCGCCTGCACCACTGATATTCATCACCTGGTCAAGTACTAGCTAGGCAAGCATCATCGGACGAGTTGTCATTCACATTGCCGTTTTGGAAAACCCAAGGAAATCGATATCCGGCTTCAAACGCGGACTCCAAACCGCCACTCAACGGCATCCTACATCACGTTGGGCTTAATGGTCCGCTGCTTTCAAAAGATTTCAAACATACTAAACCCGAGCCTTATCATACCTTCCGTCCCCTCCCTGAGCTTCTCTACGTAGCCCGCCACACATAAAATCTACATGAGGGGTTTCCTGATAAAACGCCGTGCCATATGCAGCTTTGGACCGGAGACCACCACCCTGCGACCCGTCTTTTGATGTTACCCTTCAACCTCACGTTCAGGCGGGTTCCTTCGCTTAATGTACAGTAGTGTTTCGTTGTTGAAGGGCGCGGCTTGAATGTCGTCTGTGTCTCGCCGTTTCGTCTTCGTGTAAATGAGTCAATTGCTTAGCCCTTGGACTTGGTGTTCAGGATAAGAGCGACGATAAGGCTGTCACGCACATTAGTCCACGATTCAACGCTCAAACAGCATAGGCACGTACCCGTAAAGACCCAAAACTTCGCCGAAAATGAGAATCAGAACCATGCCAACGAAGACGCGAGATTGTTCCATGTAAGCGCGCACGCCCTTGTCACCGACAATGCCAATCGTGTAGCCGGCTGCCAAGCCAGTGAAGCCGACAGAAAGACCGCAAGCCAAGTGCATGAAGCCGCTGTTATATCAGTCAGTAAGATTTGGTTGCTGTCTTTGGCGCGCCAGAACGCCGACATTATACACTAGGTGGAGTAAACTAACTTGAATAAGCTGTATTCGCTTCCAGTGCCTGGGGGCGAAAGATCTTGGGCGATGAGGACGGAGACGACGAGGGAGTAGACGGCAATGATACCGGACATGACCACGGGGATCAGACACTGCGCGCAACGTTAGAAGAAGCTCTCCCACACAACAGCCAGGGTAGCATGCCTTCATGATCAAGTCTGGCCTAAATGTTCCCACACCAGCAATACCGATACCCGACTTTGCGGTACCGTATGCGGCGCCGATGCCTGTTGATGTTCATTATGTTTAGCAGCTGTCTATACCCGTCGCGCCGGAGGGGTCAGATCGGAGGGGATCGATAAGACATACATCCGAAGACCATGGCAGCTGCGATGCCGGCCTAGATGTTGGAGATAAAGTTAGCAAATCATTGTTCCGTCGATGACATAGCTAAATAGCTTGCCTCCTTGCGAGGCAAGCGATGCTTGAAGGGGGGGTAGCGTTGGAGCTTACCATTCCGATGAACGGCGCGAACTTCGGGGCGAGAGCGGAGTCTTCGGCCATGATGGGCAGACTTCTGAGGACGGTCTCGATAGGCGGGAGTGGTGATGATGACCGTCGGAGGGGGTAGGGATGGATATGTGTCGAGGATCCCACAAAGTATGGCTGTCTGCTGCGCTACCTGGATCCAGGACCTTGGAGCTTGGTGACGGTGACGAGGTCCAATCAGGTGCAATGTGGACGGCTGAGAAACCCGTGACCCGGCAGAATACCGGCCCGACAAGCCTCCAGCCTCATAGAATGGATTTAGTGGCTGGTGCCTGTTGAATCGTGTTCATGGTGGATTGCAATGCACTTGCGCGGCGCAGCAGCGCAACGGTCTCTCCGTGGCTCGTGCCGCATGACTACTTTATCAGAGGACGGTCTTATCGCACAGTGTTAGCGACGTGGCGGAGTGGGATCCCTGGTTTCTTGTGTGCCAACTTTCGTATCCCCTTGAACAGCAAACTGAAGTGAGTAGTACGACGTATGCAACCAAGATGACAAGGCCAGAAATGAGAGGGGAGGTAGGCATGAACCTTTTTCTTGTGGGCTTTACAAGAGTGGGAAGGGGAGTTGCCTTGCGTCATTTAGATAAAAATTACCTGTTGTTGAACACAGCTGCCGCCTTGAGGCCAACCCAATTGCCGCTTGGACTTACGGTGAAAGAGACCTCGATGTAGTCAAACCCTTCTACTTTCCCTTTCCAATGCAACCATCTTGGATTCTCTTTCACGATCAACACCCAGGTCATGGCCTCGTATAATTTGGGGGCAGTCCTGCATGAGCCAGCAGGTCCATTTCTTCCGGCAGTTATCCGCCCACCTCACGTAAGATCGGGGTCAGGCTAGTTATTCCTTGTCTCCCCAGCAGAAAAGTCGCTGGTCCCTTACAGAACGATATTCTTAGATACGCAACATGGTAGGATCCGGTCCAAAGAATGCCCAGACCAGGCCACTCGACGCCTTTAATATTGCGGCAACGAGCCCGTCAGCGCGGGCTAAGTGTTGGTCTAAGGTTAAGGATAATGAAGTGCGCTGGCGGTAGGGGACGTGGCTGGTGGATCAGGCCAAAGAGCCAAGGCCCAAAGGCCCCAAGGCCTAGCGCCTCAGTGGATCGTCAAACTTGCACCCTTTTGGGATCCACCATCTTTTTTTTCGATATTGTCCTGTTGCGCCAGACAATTGCCCAGTCCCTTCTGTCGCTACCGCTGGTACTGCTGGATCACTCTAGTGTTTTGTAGACTTGTAGATAGGACAAAGCCAAGGGAGAAACAAGAAGGGGAGTTACTGATTGACTCTGCAGTGTGCCCCGGTGCCAACTGCGCGTAATCAAAAGGGGCAGCAGACTTCCGTCTCGTCTCGTCTCGTCTTTGGTAGTTCTATCCCAGTAATAGACAGCGACAGCGACAGCGACATGCCATCCACTAGGTCCATCCTATCCTATCAATCTATCCCCAGCTTTCCACCCTTGGCCGCAGTCCAAGTCCTGTCCCGACCATTCTAGCCCAATGCCGATGACTTAGCAGCACCAACGCCCTTCTTCCACTAAACTCCAACCACCACCACCACCACCACCACTACCATTACTACTGCCCTCCTTTGGCTCCCACCACAACATTTCGTCGTCGCTTGCACCCGTTTTGCCCAGCATCACTATCGCTGTTGCACGCCGTGCTGCCTCGCCCTCGACACTCCTTTTGCGGCTTCCTGAATTCTCGAATTCTTTCTTTATTGCCTTTCCGCACCACCCCCTTCCCCTCCCCGCCCAGGTCAGGGCCCTGTGCCAAATCAAAGGCCCATAACGTCACCCGGCCCATCCTGGAAAGGAGACGGAGAATAGAACGAAGGGGAAACAAAAAGCAACTTCAAAAAAAAACTCCCTCCGACGACACCGCGGCCACCGCCATTCTGATTACTCGAACATCGTCGGCGCCAGCGATTTCGCAATCGTCACCTTTGCCCTGTGAACGGCTTCCGACGGTATTGTGCTCCCTCATCATAGTCGGCGGCCGTTGAGGCCTCGCGTTGTTAGTACACTTCTCCTTCAATTCTTGTACCACATTTTTCTCCACCTTGGCACAACCCGCCATCTCTCCCCTTTATAATCAATCGCCTAGCAACAACGATCGTAGGCTGATAAGAACCCCCCAATTTGCAAATCCAGCTCGATCGATTCATCACATCATGGCCGACTACCACGGCGACCAGCGAGGTCATTCATCAAACTACCAGCGCGATGCCGCTTTCTCCAACATTTTCGGCGCCGCTCCCCCGCCGGGACGCTCCCAGACTATGACCTCCTCCTCAGTCCCTCCCCAGATGATGTCGCATCAAGGCAGGACGCAGACAATGTCTTCATCCACCATGTCGAGCATGCAGCGACAACCCCCGCCGAGACCGCCTCCGGGCTCCTACATGGATCGTGATCCGGCCTCTCCGAGGGGCGCCCCAATGCAGCCAAATGGTTATCCGGCGCCGCGGTCCGCGTCTGGCGGTTATCAAGTCCCTAACCCCCAGGGACAGTACATGCAGCAGCAGCAACAGCCTCGTCGACCGTATCCTGGCCCTCCAGGCCCCGTTCCCCAGCGCGGCGAAATGAGGGCACCACCGCCGCCGCAGCAAGGGCAATACAACCTGCCAAGAACTTCTTCGGCCCAAAGGTTTTATCAAGGAGGAGGGCCAGGACCGGCGATGAATAGCGACCCGTACCGCTCACAGTCTCTTGCTTCTGTCCCGAGACCGAACATGTACCAGCCTCCTCCTGGTAGCTACGGCTCACACCCGAACCACCAAGCCCCGGCCAACGCTTTTCGTCATGCCCCGTACAACCCGAGTTCGGCCCGAACCACAGCCCAAGGACGGGTTGTTCCTGAACGCCACGACGATCGAGCCATGTCGATGACTGGATACCACCCTCAGGACCGGGATATGCATCAACATCAGAACTCACACCAAACCATGAGCGGAAGAGTGATTCCGAATAGAAGGGCACCGGCGGAGCTGCCGAACACCAATGGCAGCTTTGGGGGAGGTTACACACCGGCGCCGGGATCTCAGACAAGGACGACAAGCATGGCCTCCTCGAATGGAGATTCGGGCGCCCAGAGAACCATGTCAATGGCGTCCACTGTGGCACCGACGATAACACCGTCGGAGTCCGACTCAGCAACTCTGGCACATAGGCCTTCCATGAGCAAGTCTATCGACGGCGAACGGCCACCGACGGCCAAGATCCGACCTCCTCTCGTATATCCTGCGCTGCTCTCCAGAGTAGCAGACTGCTTCCGACAGAAGATCATCACTGGTGACAGGACGAAGAACGAGCTGACGTACAAGAACGCTTTTAGCGGTGCCGAAGCGGTGGACGTGTTGTCGTATATCATCAGAACGACTGACAGGAATCTCGCATTGTTGTTGGGACGAGCGCTTGATGCCCAGAAGTTCTTCCACGACGTTACTTACGAACACCGCCTGCGAGACTCGACTTCTGAAATGTACCAGTTCCGAGAAACACTCATGGATGAGCCCGAAGAGAAGACCCCAGTCAATGGTGTTTTTGTGCTCCTTTCTGAATGTTATTCTCCCACCTGCACGAGAGATCAACTTTGTTACTCCATTGCTTGTCCCCGCAGACTGGAGCAAGTGTCTCGGCTGAACTTGAAGATCCAGCCCGGCTTGAAGAAGGAGGCCGAGGCCGCTGCGAATGAGGACGATGTCGACCAAACCGACGAACAGAAACTCTGGATCAACTCCGTACCGAAAGAGGTGGCTGAGAGCGTTGGTGATAGGGAAAAGAAGAGACAAGAAGTCATTTCGGAGATCTGCTATACCGAAAGAGACTTTGTCAAGGATTTGGAGTATCTACGTGACTTTTGGATTCTTCCTTTGCGGTCCAAGGCCTCCCCTATCCCTGCCAACAAGAGGGACAAGGTTGTCAAAGCAATTTTCAGCAACATTGTTGACCATCCAAGTCTTCATTCGGTAAGCTCGCGGTTCGCAAAATCGTTGACAGAGCGACAACAGAAGAACCCGGTTGTCGGCAATATTGGTGACATCTTCCTTGAGTGGGTTCCTCAGTTTGAGCCGTTCATCTGGTATGGTTCCAAGCAGTTGGAGGCCAAGTTTGAGTTTGAGAATGAGCGGTCGTCAAACCCGTACTTTGCCAAGTTCGTGGATGAGATTGAGAGGAGGAAAGAGTCACGAAAGTTGGAACTGAACGGTTATCTCACCAAGCCGACGACGCGTTTGGCTCGTTACCCGTTGTTGCTGGAGAACGTGCTCAAGTATACCGAGGATGGCAACTCTGACAAGGAGGATATTCCGAAGGTACTCAAGTTGATTCGCGACCTTCTGAGCAGAGTCAACGCCGAATCAGGAAAGGCCGAGAACAGGTTCAACTTGAGAAGGTTACACGAGCAACTCCGCTTCCGGCCTAACGAGAGGGTAGACCTGAGATTGACAGAGGAAGGTCGTGAATTGGTGTTCAAGAGTCAGTTGAAGAAGACACCACAAGACGCGTCTGAGATTACGGCTTTCTTGTTCGACCATGCAGTTTTGTTGGTGAGAATCAAGCAAGCCGGCAAGGGGGAGGAAATCAAGGCGTACAGAAGGGTAAGTGCCGACTCAGTCGGTTCAAGATAATCAAGCTAACGTTGTTTAGCCCATTCCTTTGGAGCTTCTGGCTATTCGGGAGATGGAGGAGGTTATCCCGTCGGCTGGTGGTATGAAGCGGTCGTCTTCCAGCTTGCTGCCGGCATTGCGTGCCAACACGAACGACAGCAAGAAGGGCGAAGGCTGGCCGATTACATTCAGGCATTTGGGCAAGGCCGGATATGAACTCACGCTGTATGCTTCGAACCAAGCCGCACGTAAGAAGTGGCTCGAGTTCATTGACAATGCTCAACAACGGTTGAGGGCCCGCGCCGACTTCTTCAACACGAGCGTCATCTCAGCAAACTTCTTCGTTGGCACCAACCAAGTTAACTGCGTTACCCCGTACGACGGTGGCCGGAAGCTGCTGTATGGCACCGACAACGGCATCTACCTTTCGGACCGTAAGAGCAAGGAAGCGATACCGAAGCGCGTCATCGAAACGACGAGCGTTACTCAGCTCGACGTACTGGAGGAATACGGCCTCCTCTTGGTCTTGTCCAACAAGGCCCTCTACTCATATCCCCTAGGGGCTCTGGACCCGAACGAGCCTGCTCTCCAGAAGCGGCCAAAGAAGATTCAAAGCCACTGCAATTTCTTCAAGACTGGTATCTGTCTCGGCAGGCATCTTGTCTGTTGCGTCAAGTCGTCAGCTTTGTCGACTACGATCAAGGTCTACGAGCCTAATGACGCAATGTCAAAGGGCAAGAAGCAAAAGGGCTTCGGTAAGATGTTTGCAGGCCAAGATGAGCTCAAGCCGTTTAAGGAGTTCTATATTCCTACTGAATCATCATCCGTGCACTTCCTCAAGTCGAAGTTGTGTGTGGCGTGCGCACGTGGTTTCGAGGTCGTGTCGCTTGAAACCCTCGAGACGCAGTCGCTCCTTGACCAGGCCGATACCAGTCTCGACTTTGTCGCCCGCAAGGAGAACGTCAAGCCTATTCACATCGAGCGTCTCAATGGCGAGTTCCTGCTCAACTACTCGGAATTCTCGTTCTTTGTCAACCGCAATGGATGGCGCGCAAGACCGGAGTGGCGTATTGACTGGGAGGGTACACCGCAGAGCTTCGCTCTCAGCTACCCGTGGATCTTGGCATTTGAGCCGAACTTCATCGAGCTTAGAAATATTGAGAATGGCGCTGTGCACATTGTGCCTCACAAGAACATTCGGATGCTGCATAGCAGTACCCATGAGGTAAGCCTGGTCACCAAGTACCCCAAGATACCGTTACTGACAAATGCACGTAGATCATTTTCGCATACGAAGACGAAAAGGGAGAGGACGTTGTCGAAGCCATTGACTTTTGGAAGAGCAATAGGAGGTCTGAAATTCCATGATTCGACTACGCAACGCCATCTCATTTCAGTCGTCCCTCGAGGGAAAGCATGTTTGATTAAAGACCGATACCAGAGTGACTTGACTCAACGAATTCTTTTGCAGCCTTTTCATCGACGGCTCGCTGCCTCCGAAGGGGGTGGCTTTTTGCCGGAGACGCGTCGGACCCAGGGAACAACGACAATGTGGGAAGGGACGGCTTCTTTTAGAAGGCATGACGGCAACCTTTTTCATCATCGATACATTGTTCTATTTTGCATTGTCGGTTCTAGTTGGATGAGGATTTTTGCGTGGTTGGTAGTAGAGGAAGCTGAGCATATCCCATGTCGTCGGTCGTGGGGGAGGAGGATGAGGCCAGGATCAAGTGCAAGGGCAAGGGAAAGGGAGTGGCGAGGGGAGTTGACGACGCTCAAGGGCAATCTAAAGCAAATTGCCCCTGCGAAAAGATATGACCTTGGCCGCATGTGAGAAGTGAAGTAAGAAGTGAGATGAGTGACGTGAAGGATTTCTGGATCATCATCATTTGGGGAGCCTGGATTCGACTTGCATCCTAGTGCGCGCGGGTGGCTGATTAATTCATACTCTCCGTAATTACCTAAGCGTCTGAACTGATATTGAAACATTTACACCGTTTTCATCGGTATTTTGGGGGCAGACAGAAGTGATGGTAGTGAAAGTGGTCTTTGCTGACTTTTGATCTGCCATTGGTTCAGGGGCGGGCATGCCAGTTTCTGGGCTGAGCTCTACGGTTCTGGACTATTATTGGATTTGTCCATGGCGATTCAAGTTAGCAGGACAATCGTGATTATGATACATGCGGTCTGAGGGGACGTATTTCTCGTCCATCCGGTGAGACTGAATACGGCGTCATCAACGGTGGTGGATAAGGGAAGCGCTCCTTTCACTTTCCCAAGAGCTTCTTAGCAGGTAAGGTCAGCCAGTATCTAAGCATAACGCAGGTAGATATTGCCTCATCTTCGTAGAACTGTAAACTGGTTTGATTTTAAGAACCCTGGTTAACACAAACTCTCCTCTAATGGCGCCGCCCGTTTGGAGACATGTAAAGACCGGTGCCTGGCACAGGAGGAACCTTCTCCCCAAGGTAGTTCGCCTTCTATTACCTTGTTTAGGCATGAAAGTTTCCAACCTTTCTTAGCTTTCTCCCGAACTCTAACCTGTATCTCCGTTCTCTCTTCAACATCACTGATATCTATCCAACTTGACTACAGACTAATTTGATCCGTTGACAAACTGGCCGCTTAGTCCCGATAATCCACTCGTCAAGTAACATAACCAGGGTGAACTGTTCGCAAAATATTCCGAGCCATGCCAGTGCTAGACGATCATCGTTGGCTTCTCGAGTCAAAAACGATCAGCGATTTCCGCATTCGGTGCGAGAACGAGGAAATACATGTCCACAAGGTGATGCTCTGCCTCAACTCGCGCTACTTTGTCCAGCTTTTCAAAAGCGAATTCATGGTATGTTGGCTTTCAAACACATTTTTCTTCAGACATGCTTAACTAAGATTCAGGAAGCCAAAGAGGGTGTGGTCAACTTTCCTGATATTGGGCCCGAGCCCATGAACCACCTTCTCGACTTCTTCTACCGTGGCACTACCGACTGGAATCTCGCTGAAAGTGACTTGGCCATGAACGTCCGCGTCTGGATTCTCGCCGACAGACTACAAGCCGACAACGCCATGATCGAGATCGAGTATCGCCTGAGTGGCTTTCTCAAGAATTTCGACAACAAGCACCTCGTCGCAGACGAGTCACTCCTGGAATTGGTATTCTCACACCCGGTCTGTTCCGAGTCTGTGCTGGCGTACATCTTCGCCGAAGCTGCTTGGATTCATTCAATTGATAGTTACCTGCCTGATACAGGAGGTGACTTGAACATTAGGACTGCGGCTCTGAGGCATAGCAGCCTGGCGAACACGATGCTCATGTGGTCTGTACACTACACCTACATCAGTGGGCAGTACCGCTGCGGCAAACGTGATACGTCCTTTCTTCGGTCGAAAGTCGCGGACGACATGAGGCAGCAGATAATAAGTGGGAAACAAAAAGAATGCAGGTGTAATTTATTGCAGTGAGTTTTCATTATGGGCCACACCGGCCATTGGTAGCGGTCTAGAATGCGAGGAACTCTCGGCTGTTTAGGCGGCATTGGTGGTGTCATGGATTGGAATTCACGATTTCAAGTGACTGATACGAATAATGAACGAACGGGAAGCAGAATTCGGTACTTTGATTTTTTCGTTACGTTTATTTAGAAGGTTTTAACGCCGACTGCGAGAGGACTATACCGAGAAGGTATCCATAAGGCGGCCTTGGTCCATCTGTAGAAAAGAAGTCAAGTAGTGGCGGTACGATGGAGGTTCTGAACGCGAAGAAGTTCGTCTCAACATGTTACGGCTTTCTTGCAAACTCGTCAGCTTTCTCATTGGCAACTTGTCCATTCATCTAATTCTTTTACATAACCCCCCATAAAGTTTCTTGTATGGGCACCTGCAAATCTGGTGGCCGTTAATGACAGTGTATGAATGCCCCATATTTTCGACTCGGGTGAAGCGTGTCATCTGCTTCGGCATATTGAAGATGAAGACTCGGAACTCCAACTACATTCCGTTAAATTGACCGTTGATTAAGCCCGCCTATGACTTGTGTTAGAGGCTGAGCCATGCTTTCACCTACTCGCTACGTATGCAAGGGGCTTTGGGGCGTGAGGAAGGAGGTCTTTCGCCTTGAATTTTAACTTCTATACCCGGCAGTAGATCAAATAAGCTCAGAGTACTGGACTAAATCACTTTCCGATTCGGTAGTTTAGAACTACACTGACGTAGTTTGCTCGTTACTATACATTTTCTTAAACTAATTACAATCTCATTTCTAATAACTGTTTTCATCAAAATTTACTCATCAGGTAGGTTATACAGCACATCCCCCAAAACAGTCACATTCTTAAAACTTGATATTGATGCTGCTAGCTTGCAGGACTTTTTCAGTCTGAAAACATTGAATTCTAATCTGGTATCGCAGCTTAAAAAAAAAAAAAAACCCCCAAGACGCCGTCATTACACTATTAAACACACACTTTCAATCACCGCTACATCTCATTCTACTGCTTGTGGCCGACCAAGTGCCACTCAAACACCTTTCTGAACCTCTCCTTGCCGTCACCCTGGATGGTGTCGCCGTGGCAGGGAATGATGGTGTCAAAGTCCCACTTGTCGATACGCTGGATGCTCTCGTTGAAGCTCGGCCTGTCGCGGCCGCTCATGACGTACCACTGGAACCGCTTCACCCACTTCACGTCGCCCTCGGTCGTCTGCAGGCCGCCGAAGAGCTTGTTGCCGAACCCGGCGGAGGTGTCTCGGTCGGCCTCGGGGGCCTTGGAGTACTGCTCGCGCGGGGGTAGGTTGAAGAGCAAATCGGCCTGGATGAGGACGCGGTCGGGCTTGTAGAAGAAGACGAGCTCCTTGTTGGCGTGGGAGTCGACGTACTCATACTCGAAGTCGGCGTCAAATTCGGGCGTGATGGTGGTCTCGCGCTTCTGCGGGCCGTCCTTGAAGGTGACGAAGAACTCGTCGTTGGGGTTGATTTTTGGGTCGCCGGTCTGCTTCGCCCTCTTCTGCGGCAGACCGTCGGGGCCGATGATCTTGGCGGCGGGGAACGCGGCCTTGTATTCTGAAATGAAGATGTGGTGCTCAATGTCCGGCGCGACAATGTACGCCAGATTGCCGCCCTTCTCGGCGATCTTGGCCTTGACGTCGTCTGTCAGTGCCACGGGGCTGAAGACGGCCAGAGCACCCGAGGAAAGCCTGACGAGCGTTCCGCGGCCGCCGATCTTGATCATGCCGAAGCGCGAAAAGGGGACGGAGAAGGTTGTGATGTTGGGGGTGACGTCGCGGATGACCATGACGTCCGCCGGATTTGTAGGAATGAGTTTTTGGGACATGATGGGCTTCTGGATGTGCTCCTTTGCGGACTTGAGCGGGTTGTGGTGCTGGTGAGACGATGAAGTCTGTTGCTCTGGAGAGTCAAGAGTATGTTGGCCTTGTAGCGGCGCTTGAGATGAGGAGTTGTTTGAGTGAGATGGAGCTTCGGCTTGAGCCTGGGAGTGGGCTTGGGACGGGTTATGGGTTGCTGTGAATGCCCTGCGATGAATTGTTGAGGTGCGGATGGTGCGGGCTGATGTAGCCGGGTATCTTAAGAATCTCTGTATGACGAAAGTAAAGTTTAGAAAGACAAAACAAGCTTGGCTGAGAGGGGGGAGGATATTTGGTAGTTATATATGAGGGGATGAAGGTGCTCTGCCGGGATGTATACAAAAAGTTCACAAGCTAGCAAAAAGGCGGACCATTTAAGCTATTAAAAGTGACACGTACCATTGTCAAATCAAAAGAAGTTTCGACGGGTCAGGTTCTAGAAACGCGGACTGAATAGGAATGGATTGCACGTAGTAGGAAGAGGGAGGTGTGTGTGTGTGTGTGTGTGTGTGTGGGATGTGGGGGATTGGACGGTATGCCGTCAGCACGGGAGAGCAGGAAAACAGGGGGGTGTGGCCGTCTGATTTGGAAGAGTTGCAGCAGATGAAGTTCCGTCAACACCGAATGGAAGAGAAAGATGTGCAGCCGGGCTTGTTGTCGGGAAACGGACGGGGTTCCTGAGTCGGGGGGCCAGAAAAAAGTTTCATCAATCCGATGGGGTGACCGCGTGGGAGTGGATTTGTGCTGAAATGACTGTTTTCGGGTCGGCCGAGCTCGTGAATGTCTTGATTTCTTTGTTTACTTTATTTGCGTCTCCTTTGCGTCCTTTGCGTGATCTGAGACATAAATTGTTCTATCTAATGTTCTCGACAGGATTCCCCCTTGATAATGCACGTGTAATAGACACGAGCCGTTGCAGACGCCTCCTCTGCAGACAGAAAACGTTCTTCATGCTGTAATTCGACAGTGTTAGTCATGACATCACAGGTGAAGTGGTGTGGGCATCTGCATCAGAGTGACATGTTCCACCTCCTGGCCAGTGCAAACCAGCCCACACCAAGCGTGGCTTTTCCACAGCAGGGGGTTGCTTAATAAGTACTAGGCTAGGTGGCTGGCGGCCGAGGTCCAGTCGGGGTCGGCCGATCGCAGAGCTCCGTTTGGCGTCTCCGAACGAACCAACAACCGGGTGGGCCCCACCTGATTGCCTTGCATCTTTTCTTAATAATCCATCGCGAAAACGAGTCTCTCCGACCGGGTCTCTCATCTTTCCGCTCAGCTCTACTGTTCCGCGGTCTCCACTTCACCCGTCCCAGGGCCGAGGTACCGGACTAGGCCACAAGTGGGAATCTTCTGAGCATCTTTCCAAAGCGCGCTAAGCCTTTTCCAGCTATTTTCTCTCCTTCTCTTCCACGGACCCTGCGTCGGCACGCTTCTATTCCAAATCAACCCCCATATGTCGACGACATGAACCTGTTTTACCACTCACGACATGTGGATGAGCATTGATTTGTTATCATCAGATGGAAAAAGTCTTACGTGTCCTAACGCCGTTAACTCCCGGTATGAAGGAATTGCAAACTACGAAGTAAAACAAAGCACCAAAACCACGAGCCCTGGCCTGAGCCATGCACTAAACATTTCATCGACTCCCACTTACGGAGGTGAGTTCAGTCAAGGACCTGTCAAAAGTACCCACCATTACTTTAGGGGATATCCTTCCGGCCTGCCGCGCCTCCCACGGACTCCCGTTAACCCGTCATCTTCATACCCATTTCCAATGTTTCCCGAAGTAAGGCTCGCGTAACGAAGCCGAAACTGGGGGAGAGCCTGCTGTCCAAGCCCTCGATGCCCAGATACCTAGAATTCGACGGCTTAAGACGTGACTCGATGTAGTAAGCACGCGACATGTCGTTGGCCAGCCCCCAGACTTCCCTGACGGCTTTCATAGCCAAGAAACCTTTGAAAACGTGCCATGCCCCTACTACCCAAATGATATCCACCAGAAACACAGATGAATTCTTCGGTAGTGGTCGCTTGGCCCCTAAGTCGAAGCCTTTGCCGACCGCTCTTGCAGGTAGATTCAATGCAACCAGTAAGAGGAACCGCAATACATAGCCCCAGGACAAGATGTGGGTCAAGAAGCACCTCCCGATAGCGTGACAAACCAGCCAGGCATAGTTGCTGTCTCCCTGGGTGGTTCTCAGAACAACCGGACTCGCGGGGTCCGGGCCATTGCTGTCAGAAGCTTCTTCCAGGCGTATCTTCCGTTGTGGGGCCATGACTTCACGCTGTTCCCTGGGGTTCTTAGGTGTAGTGTGTAGCTGCAGAGCTGCCACGTCCATCAAATTGTCACCAGGCTGATGCTGAGGCTCCTCCGAAGACGACCGGGCCTCGTCACTTGTAGGCTCGCCGCTTGCCTCGTCGTCCGGTGAGGGAGGAGACTGACTGTCCGCTGGCTCCCTGTGCGGCCTGTCATTCGTTGGAGGCGGTCCCTGGTCATCAGATTCGGAGTCGGAGCTAGAAGCAGACGACTTCGTGTCTTCCTTCTTCAACCCTGGCTTCCGTATGGATTTCGATTTCGAGTTTGATTCGTCCTGCTCCTGCACCACGTCCGCGAGAAGATCGTACTGTTCTTGAAGCTGCTTCTCCAGCTCTGTGATCCGCTCGTTAAGTACCGAGTTCTGCTCAGCTGCCGCGATGCGGTTGTCTTCAGAAAGCTCAAATTCACTTTGCTTCAGTGCCAACCGCTTTTCCCGTTCGGCAATGACTTTCTGAAGTGACGCTTCCAAACTTTTAAGGCGGGCTTCAGCTTGCTCCTGCAGCTCTTTGTATTGGTCATCCTGGATCCTCCAGACTTTCTTCATCCCTCGAAGTCGTCTTTCTAGAACCCGTTCGCGTTCAGGCATTTCGTTTTCTGCGTCACTGTCTGATTCCGTTTCTTCTTGTTCCAATGGATTCTCGTCGGGGTGGATGATGTTAGCTATGACACCCCGTATCCTCACACCGTCATCGTCATCTTTCATGGCGACAGCTCGCTGCAGATTCACAAAGATGGTTTTCTGTGCGTCTTCCGTGTTTCTCTTGAGTCTCTCGGCATTTGTCAGTTGTTTCTCGAGATCCCGTACGCGCTCCTGCATATGCTCGATGGGCGCGCTTCTCGATTGCATCTCCAAGTCGAGTTTCCGCTGAAGGTCACTGATCTTCTGCTGGGCTGTCTCTAGCTTTTCCATGAGTTGGAGCTTATCGTACTCGGACACGCGGATCTTCTCTTCGATGACCTTGTCTGTTTCCTCTTCTGCCTGTCTCAAAAGAGTATCCTTGACCTCGTTCATCGCTCTCAGCCGAACATTCTCCATCTTCTGGTGTTCAAGCATTTGCATACCCGTCTCACCCTCAACGAGCTTTTTTTCAAGGCTATCAACCATATTCCTTAGATATCGGATCTGTTCGTTGAGTTCCCTCTCAAGTTTGTTTTCAAGCGGCAACGGCCAGTTTTGATCCCTATTCTTCAACATCTCCCTTGCTTCGTTACGTTCAATCAGCAACTGCCGAGCCCGACTACGCATCAAATCATAGGCATCCGCGTTGACGCCGTGACTAACAAGTCTCTCAACCGCTTGGCTGACCTCGGTGACCCTATTGTGTATGTCAAAGGCGTGGTTGTGCCACTCCCGCAAGGCTGTCGTGAGGCGAACAGGGAACATTGACGTGAAATGGCGCCCCCTGGTCGAACGATCAAACACCGATGATCCAGCACCATCGGTTCCAACTGATGGCGACAGCTGCGAGTTCTCCGCTTCGCTATCCAGAGTTGACTGTGCGACTGACCTCTGGCCAGCGGGCGTGAAATATCCATCGGCAACATCCTGCGTGGCCTCATACTGGACGTTCCTTACTGCCGCTGCTGACGCAATGGCTACATCGATGCTGGTGTGCAGTCTGTTGAGAGCGATGTGTGCTGTGTCCACCTCTGCCTGGTACCGGTTGCGAGACCTGTGGTCTTTGGATTCGTCTGAGTCGTCATCGCTGCTGTCTTCTCCGCTGTCGCCACCACCTGGGAAAGCATAGGCATTTGATCTTGTCTTCCATTTGTCGCGGGCGTCTTGGGCGCTGGATAAACCTGGAACAGGAGGCAACGGTGGCTCTTCTACGCCACCAATATCTTCTCTCGCAACCGACACAGGTGGAAGTAGAGGACGCGGCGAAGGAGGATTGTCCAGCTCTCGGAACAGATCGTTGAACACCGGGCCGTGAACATCGATCTCTTGACGAACTAGTCCCGCCCGCCTGTCCATCATACTTCGAATATCGTCCATTCTCTCCCGTATGTCAGCCGCCTCGATGTTGAGGGTTTCTAGGCTGTCTTCCGGCTCCCCTCTGCCATTCTCAATCGCTAGAACCCTCTCTTCCAGCTGGCCCAAGTGAAGATCGAGGAGATATAAATCACGTGGTTGGGAGATCACCAACTCATTCCAGGATAGCTCCTTTCTGGACCTGAGCCCTGCGAGCGTTTGGCGTACTTCTATGAGCTGGCGCATCTTGTAGAGCTGTCGTTCTCTGGGGTCCATGCCGAGTTCTGGGTTCTCGACCTGAAGTGTTTGAGAGTTTCTAGGACCATCAGAATCCTGGCTAGGAGTCTGTGAAACGGCGGCATGAGGTTGGCGGGGTTGTGACTGTATAGATACCAAGATTTGGTGGAAGGAATCGATGATCCGTTCATCTAGTTGCAGAAGCTTGCCAAGTTTCTCAAGCGCTGGTTGGAGTTTCTCAAAATCTGTTTGGTGTATGGGGTCCGCCTGTGAGTTGACATCCTGGGAGAGATTCTGTGTAGGTGACTCTTGAGTATGGCCTGTGGCTGTTCGCACATGATCGTTGGAAGTAGTCTGACTTTGACCTAGAATATCGGATACCTGCTTCCATGCGGCATCGAGAGAGTTTCGGAGTTGGTCTTTGTCTGATTTCAGTGCTTTAATCTCCTCCTCCTTCGCACACAGGTCGTGCTCGTACTCCCCAACGGCGAGTTTCAGCTGGTCGATCTTGTTCTCTCTGTCTCTCAAGGCTGCTCCCCTTGTCCCTTCCCACACGCCGTTATTTTCCACCTCAACTCTTCTGGCTCTCTCTTCTTTTTCTCTGAACCTCGCATGTCGAAGCTTAGCCTTCAGTTCGGCGACTTCCTCCTCAAGCGCCTTACTGTAAGCCTCCTTCTCGGCGAGCGCGCATTCATTTTCGATGATGTCTTGTTTGAGGGCAACATTGATGTTACCAATCTCCTCGCCCGATGTCTGCCACATTTTCAACTCTCCTTGTGCCTCTTCAATCTGCTGGAGGAGACTGTCGCGTTGATTTGTTACTGTGGCTAGCTTTGTCTTGCATTCCCGGAGATCCAGCGAGAGTGAAGTGATAAGCGCTTGCTTCTCGTCCAGTTTCTTTTGATCCTGTTCACTTCTGTCCCGCCTCTCCATAATTTCCATATCGGCTGTGCATCGTTCGATTTCCTTCTTGAGAGTCTCGGCAGTGGATTCGTGAAACGTGATCTTACCCTTCAGGTTTTCGATTTCCTCCTGTAGCCTCTCAATCTCTTTCTCACAATCTCTCTTCTCATTCTTCAAACTATGGAGGTGTTTTATCGTCTGCTTTAATCGCTCTCTTAACCCAAACAAGTTACCTGGATAGTTCGGCGTATCTGCCGTGTTCCCTTCATCTGGCTGAGTATCCTCCAAAGGCTGCAAACACTGTTAGCAAGAAGGCTTGCCCGAAAACTGCAGTACCTTACCAGCTCGCTGTCCATAGAACCCTCTCTGCTTAGGCTCAGTCCACCTAGTTCGGTCCGGAGATCCTGCGAGAACGTTTTGTTTACTGACTCCAACTCATGTCCTCTTCGTGCATCCACGGAGCCGGATGGAGAGGTTTGCGAATGTTCGACCTCGGCTTCCGTAGTCACGGTTGCACGAGGATACGGAAGGAAACCGTCATCATTGCAGAGCTCTTCAAGAATTTCCTCCTCTTCAATCAATGAGCTGTGCAATGCCGACAGTGCGTTGTCGAACGCAATACCGTAGATCTTGAGGAATGGTTCCACGACGGTCCGGACATCATCCAGGGGGACCTCCTGGACGATCTCGCGTTCTTCCTTGATCTGCTCAATCTGGCGTTTAAGTTCTTCATTCTGGCCTCTTACGTTGGTGAGAAGCTTTTCGTATTGTTTGAGCGGAACTTGTTTGCCGTCGATGAGAAAGGTCATGGTTTCGGGACGGGTCGCGGCAACTTTCCTCCTTTCCTCACCCAGTTGCTGCTTGAGGGAGTCGATTTTGGATTCCAGTTCTTCCTTTTCCTTGGCATTTCTTCCGAACACTTCGTCAGAATATTGCTGACCCTCCCTGTACTCGGCCTCCTTCTGTCTCCACCTCGCCTTTTCCCTCTCAAAGTCCCTGTGTGCCTCGGCATTGGTTTCTCTCTCCTCCCTCAGCCGTTCACCGAGTTCGGTAACTTTACTCTTCAGCTGTTCTACGTCCGCCAGAGAGATAGATTGCTGGGTCTGCTGAAGCGCAGTATACTCAGCCTGCAACCGCTGCAGCCTAACTTCCTTGGTGTCGCGCTCCTCTATGGCTTCATGTAGCTTCTGGTTGGCAACCTCGAGGAGTTCTCGTGCTTGATCTCGCTCGCTGACATACTTTTCAGAGACACTTTTCAGTTGCTCGTGGTACGAGTCGCGGGCCTGCTTCGCTTCTCTGGCTTCACTTTCAACCTCTCTGATCCTGGCGTCCTTCTCTTTCTCAGCTTCTTCAAGGGGTTGGTTCTTTTTCTGAAGGTCCAATTGAGCTGCTACCAAGTGTTCGACTTCTAACTTTGTCTTTTCTAAAGCGTTCCTTCTCTGAGATGCGTCTTTGATGATCTTGGTAACGATGTCGTTGAAAAACGTATCGATTGTCGTATGCTCATCGTCGCTCTTTTCTGGGTCTCGACAGAGCAGTAGCACTTCATCTAGGCCTGATATATCATGATTTTGTACGATGTTTCTGAAGAGGCTCTTCAGCTTTTGCAGTGTATTTTCTTCGGCATATTCTTGGCTATGGTCTTTTTGAGCATGCGACTGGTTTCCCAGTGGGGTGAAAGGTGAGGCCTGGAATCCCCAAGAACTGCTTCTCTGCCGCAGAGGAGAACTGGTGTCATATTCGCCGCCAAGTTGTCTCGTCGAAGTCTGATTATCCACCTGTGACTGAGTCTCTGGGGATTTTGAACAAGAAGTCGTAGCTTTGGTGATTTCATCTTGCGGCTGACTTCTGCTTTGCGGGGTGCTCCTGATAGAGATATTCTTTTCCCCCTCCAATCCCTTCGTAGCAATCGCTGCCCAAGTTGAAAGAGAAAGTTTTCTGATCCCTGGGGTAGTCTCATTTGCCAATGGAGAGCTTGGTATGGCGGCTGAACTTTTCTGACTTGAGGTGGGAGTTTCTTTGTCCGGATTTTGGAAACGAGCTGGAGACGAAGAAACTATGCAACTCGAGTCGTTAAAACTGGTGTCGTCAAAGGTAGCCTCTCCGAAGGTGGTATTATTGAGATTCGTACTATCAAATTTGGTGTCGTTGAGTGTAGCGTCTCTGAGAGTAGTGTCATCCTGGGGTATGGATGATGGAGAGCTTGGGTTCGCTGTTAAAGGCGGGTCATTTGTCTCTCCGCGGTCAACGTCCTGGTCCATAGTACTGATTTCAGTGCTATCTCCCGATACGCCTTCGTTTTTCTGGTCTAACGTTTGACTAGAAGCCGTATCTTGGGGACCCTGCTGTGAACCAGAGGGTCCACGAGGAGGCACTGTGTCGTTGATGTCATCATCACGATCCTCGGCCATGAGGCTTGCACGTCAGCAACTCAGTTGAAGATGCTTTCAGTTAATTTCGTTTCAGACTAAAGGCCTTAGGACAGTTGAGATGGCAGAAAATGAATGAGCAAGTAGGTTGGGAAGACAGAACGAGAAACAACACAAGACATACAACTGGTCCTTCTTCCCTTTGGCGACTTTTTTCAACTTATAAGATGGTATACGTCCAGGAGACACAAGCATCGCGCTCGGAAAGCATATAAGAATATTTCTCATCATTTCCCGCAGCGCCGATGGAGTCCATTCTGACAGACAATGCCTGTCAATGAGAGAAATGCCATGTTTGCTACTAAAGCTCGGACGCATAACATCCGTTTGCAATGCTTGCTGTGCCATCCTCATGATGTACACGCGTTGACCAGCTAGCGAGTCTTTGAGAGCCAGGGCTCAAAATAGCATGTAAGGAAATGCGATTAAAGAAAAAACTTTCCTAGCTTGGTAGTGATGTATAGTCGTGGAACTACGGCTGGCAAAACGACTTTCTGGGCTTCTTTATCAGCCGATCATGTTGACAGCCTTGATCACTGGACGAAAGTGTCCAAGGTGATCTTCATCCCTTGCGATTACTCAACAATGCCTCCTGGCAATGTAGCAATCGCCATATTCATGCGTGAGCGTCAATAAATCTGACATTGCAGCAGATTTAGCTGCCTTTATTGCAAATGTACGCCAGGATAATGGACTCCTGCCAGTGTATGTACTAGGCGCCAGTCGAAACGCCTAACTGGATATCCTCTCCATCGCAACCCCCCCATAACTGACACTGGTATTCTAGTCTCATTCAACACCAGAAAATCCATCTAAAATTGCACGCTTTGCCGAAACGCCTGCACTCCTGATTTGCCCGTCTTAACTATACCATCCCCTAGCACCGGGGCCTTGTGCTGTCGCCTCCTTTCTGTGTTTAATCATCGGCTCCTTTATGTCGAATGTATCAATAATGTCTTGCCACGTTTGCATGTCCATTGAGAAAATGGCCTGCTGCTTTGCCTTTTCACGCTTGACTCCGCCTTCCTCCTCCACTTCATCCCCTCCTATAGGACCTGCCATTTTGTTAGCCAAAGGGCTGCATGTTGCACCGATTCAACTTACTTAAAGATGGGAGGTCGTTGCTGTCGAACTCGATTCCGACCTTGCCATCGCGAATGAGAAAACTGACATAAAACATGTTTTCAACTGTCTGGCCAAAGGATTTTGGATTCACAACGAAGCGAAGGAGGTCGACTCCTCCCGTTTCTCGGAGGCCATGTTCGTGCATCACCTTGATCTGTTCTTCTTCGCTCATTTCTCTTTCGTCAAACAGCTCTACCAGCTTCGTCTGGGCGTCACTTTGAATATCTTGTAGTTGCTTAAGAATCTTGCTGCAGATCGCCGTGAGGTCGTTTTCTTTCTTAGCCAAGTCTTCCACGTTCAGGACTTCAGGACGTGTTTCCGCTAAATTGTTTGGCCGGAAAGGTGCTGTGCGTTTTGAAATCTTCCGAACCTTCTTTTCGACGGACAGAGGACCCAACAGAAAGCCAGGGAGGGCCGGCCGCCGGACGTTCGGCAGCGAGGCGAATTTCCCTAGGTGACTCCAGTTGAATGCTTCATCGTTACCTTCGTCGTCAAGTCGACCATCGTTACCCGTCCTGCGCCTCCGTGCTTGTGTGCTTGAAAGCTCCGGTGCTTCGTCATCCTCGATGCCGCCTGCTTGCCGCATATATGTGCAGCACTTGGATACGAACTCGTCGATATCAACACCTTCTGTCGTGCCTCCTTGCATTAACCTTACGGTTTTTCGATATGACAGGTCAACTGCGCTGACAAGCAAACGGGAGTCAATCGTAGCCTCTGTAGTCTGTTTTACGCCTCGGGCGACTTCTTGCGCCATCATCAAGGTATCCTTGAGTCCTGTCGAGCCCGGGGTCATGTACTCCTCTAGGTTCTCATTGATTCCCTTTTGAAGCTCGCGGAGCCTGCGCTGGATCTCTCTTCGCTCATCCATGGGTTGATCCGGGTCGTATACGTCAGAGTCGTATTCTTCGTCTCTATCCCCGGAGCGCCCGTTTGTGCGGCACCGCGAAGATTGCTCTACTTGAGCAGTACCCGCGCGCTTCCGCTTTCCGATTGACACATCGCGGCCTTTCCCTTTGTCCCTTATCGCGAGATGACCTTGCGCAGGTCCTGGCGCTTCATCCTCGCTCGGGGAGCCTGATGAGGCAGGCGATGATGACATGGGCGATGATGAAGGGGCAACTCTTGTCGGCATCGTGATTGTGAGTGGGTGATTCTCGGGTTATGCTTTTCTGTTCTGCGGCCAAACCACAGGGAAGAATTCTGTTAACCTTTTCGCATGGAGGAGAATGGCGAAAGTATCCAGTATCGTACAAAGCCGGTGATAATTAACGTCGTTGGAAGTCGCGTCAATTGCGACCAGGAAGACGCGACAAGCACTTTCCAACACCTCCTTCCACTCAACGCGCTCAGTGAGCTATGTGGGGGAAATAGTGGCTTGTCTTCCTTATCGATAACAGACAGTGGCTTGAGCGGGGTAGCGCCAACCGCTTTCCACTGTAGTGGAATTGACCAGGATGCGCTCCACTGAAGCTTCTCACTGAGTGTGTCTCACTGGGTGCTGTGCTCGTGGTGCTATCAGCTGCCCTGGAGCCTGCAGCTGCCGTCCGTGCTCACAACGTCCATGGGATTCCAGCTAAGTACAAGGAAACATCATCGTACGCTACACAAACACCAGCCACTTTCATCGCATCTTCTTCTCCAGTAACTGGTAACTTTCGCCTGTATATTGGTCTTGCAGAATGGCCTCATGACCCTCCGTGGGCTCCTGTTCTCATAATGGAGCCGTTCTCGTTCGCAAGCTCCGAGTCGCTGGACTATCCAGTAAGCATCCGCATGTACGCATTCATATCCGACACTTCCTCTCTCCAACGCGCGCGCTGATGTTCTGGCCATAGCATTAATCTCGAAGGTGACGAGACACCGTTCCTGCACTCTACTCTCTTGGAGAAGGCCGAGCTGAGGCATATCGGCTCCAACACAAGGTATACTGCCTGTCGCGCCGGCCGCCGCCGCAATCGCTGACCAGCTAGCTCGCACTCCGATCTCTACGTCACCGTCCAAGTTTGGGCTGGCTCGAAGCCGCTCACAGTACCGGTACAGACGTCCTATAAGTCGTTTCGAAGCGAGAGGAGGTGGGCGACCTTTGATGCTATCAACTGGGAATATTACTGATGAACGGCTTCAATAGGTGGAACGAATGGCTTACTCTCCCGATCGACTATTCCACGCTCCCCTTGAACTCCTGTTTAGCCATAACACTATGGGACTCTTCGCCCGCCGGCGGAAAGCAAGCGGTAGGCCATGCGATACCATTTGGAGGCACAACGCTGCCGTTGTTTGACCGAGACAACCAAGTACAGAAGGGACGACAGAAATGCATGGTACACCGACATAAAAACGCCGACGGCAACGATAACACAACCACTCCTGCTGTTCCTCGTAAGAAGAGGGTCGGTTTGAAGAAAGGAGAAATTCCGCCGGTAGATAAAGACGCCGAGGAGTTGGAGCGCATGGAGAAGCTGTTCAAAAAGCACGAGATGGGCGAAATCCCGAGAGTTGATTGGCTTGATCAGCTTGTATTTCGCGGTTTTGAAAAACGAGGGCTGCAATCAGCAAAGGCATCGCTCAAGACTATGCAACGGCAACAGACGGCAAACGGCGATGGATCTAATGAAAAGGCAGTTGCAGCGGATGAGAAGGGCACTGTTGACACCGAAACTCACCCAGGGTTTTCCAAGTTCCAACTCAACGTTGAACTCCCACGTTTCGACTTCCCTGTCGTCTTTGCCGACTTGGAGTACCCCCCGCCGCCAATTTCGGCCCTGCAGCACATGTCTGCTTCGCAGTCCAACGTTATGCTCAAGCCACCACCCGAAGTGCAGTTTGGCCCTGGCATTAATGCCTTTGGAGACTCAGGTCCTAACAGCCGGCTAATGAGGGTTTACGATCCTGAGGTCGGTGCTCGTGATAACCCTGCTGAGAGCAAACACAGGAGACTCGTCAGAAGCCAACACCGTCACGGTATTCTTGATAAGGACCTTAAGCCGAACGCCAAGGTCCGAGACGAGCTGAACCTCATCATGTCTTACTCACCAACCCATACATTAACTCCCGAAGAGAAGGATTTGATCTGGAAATTCCGCTACCATCTTACTCGTGACAAACGGGCGGTCACAAAATTTGTCAAGTCCGTTAACTGGCAGGACCACAGCGAAGCCAAACAGGCAGTGCAAGTTTTGGGGCGGTGGACCCAAATCGAAGTCGACGATGCTTTGGAATTGCTCGGTCCCACGTTCGATAATCAAGCCGTTCGAGCCTATGCTGTGGACAGACTACGCAAAGCAGATGACCATGAGTTGCTGCTCTACTTGTTGCAGTTGGTACAGGCTCTAAAATACGAGCACATTTCTGCGGATTCATCGCAGGAAGCCACTCAAGATTCCTCCTTGGCCCAGTTTTTGATATCGCGGGCAGCGGATAATTTCCTTCTCGGAAACTATTTCCACTGGTACTTGATGGTCGAATGCGACGATCACAGCCCTGAGCAAGGGCTGGACAATCGTAACATCTACCGAAAAGTTGCTTACGACTTCATGACAGAGCTGGTCAAGCGTCCTGATGGCGTGGAAACGAGAAAGGTTCTACTAAGGCAAGCCGAGTTGATTACGAATTTGTCCAAGATCTCTGGCGAAGTCAAGATGTCGCACGATTCTGTTGCGAAGAAAACAGACCACGCCAAGAACTGGTTGGCAGATCCTAAAAATGAGGTGCTCAACATCGATCCGCCTCTGCCACTGCCTCTTGATCCTACCATGAAGGTTGTGGGTGTCGTCCCAGAGGAGACAATCGTTTTCAAGTCTTCATTGTGTCCTATCAAGGTCACATTTAAGACGACTACTGGAAAGAAGTATCCCATTATCTTCAAGACGGGCGACGACTTGCGGCAAGATCAACTAGTCATTCAGATCATCACGCTCATGGACCAGTTGTTACAGAAAGAGAACTTGGACTTGAAGCTGTCACCATACAAGATTTTAGCAACAAGCACTACTGCTGGCGCATCCCAATTCGTGCCTTCCGTCAGCTTCCAGAGCATTGCATCAAAATACAAAAATAACCCAGCCCTAACCTACTTGAAATCAAACAACCCAGACGACCGTCAGCCCCTCGGTTTACGCCAAGAGACACTAGATACATACGTCAAATCCTGCGCCGGATACTGTGTCATCACTTATATTCTCGGTGTGGGTGACAGACACTTGGACAATCTTCTTCTTGCGCCGGATGGCCATTTCTTCCATGCAGACTTTGGTTTCATCCTCGGTAGAGATCCTAAGCCATTCGCACCGGTGATGAAACTGTCAAAAGAGATGGTGGACTGCATGGGTGGTGTGAACTCGGAACAGTTCAGGCAGTTCAAGCAATACTGCTTTTTGGCCTATACCGCACTGCGCAAGTCGTCTAACCTGATTCTCAACTTATTTAGCCTCATGGTCGACGCAAATATTCCCGACATTAGACTGGAGCCAGACAAGGCTGTGCTAAAAGTCAGAGAGAGGTTCCACTTGGAGCTTACCGAAGAAGAGTCGATGCGCTATTTTGACAGAGTGATCGAGGACACTCTCGGCGCCATTGCCCCCGTCGTGATTGACAAATTACACGAACTTGTACAGGCTTTCAGAAACTAGGTGGCGTTTGGACGGGGCGTTGGGGGTACACTTGTACGTTTAATAAAGTTTCCTGATATCATGGAAATCCACGACAGTAGCCAATACCAGAAAATCATTCGTTCCACGTTTTCTTCTTGCCTGGCTTAGCTACTGAAAGGGGTGGTTGAGTAAGATACTTGCCCTGGCTTCACCCCAACCTATGCGAATCTGCGGTCGACCTGGTGGCAGAGCTATCTCCGTAACGGCTTGGAGGGTCAACCAACTTGGTTCGAACAGAACCATGTTTGCGGCTGGTAATGAAACTTTGGTAGGATGCTTTCTCCGAAAGAGAAGACTGAGCTGTCTCCGAAAAAAAAGATGAGCTTTCTCCGGTAGACTCGCCTGCTACTCATATCAAGCCTCCAACTCTCCTAGAACTTGAGTCCCGGTCTTCATCTTCACAGCCTTTCAATTGCTCTGTATCCATTGCCTTTATACTGCATTTTCAAAACACACTTCAGTTACAACTGTCAAGAGTTTTGACACTTACCATTATTACCTTTACTAATAACGACAACTTCTTCCTGGTTCAAAGAATCACCATGGAAGACCAACAAGATCAAATCCCTCACCAGGTCGCCGTAGCCATGCTTCTCGGCATAGGACACCTCCAGGAAATCAAACAGCAAACAACAGACAACAGAGTCGCCTACGATGCCGAGAACCTGATTCTCCACACCATGCTGTGCCTCGATTCCCCTCATAGTATACACACCGCCCAAGCAATGGCGTATGTCATGAACGAGACGAGAAAGACGATCGAAAACGCGAAAAAAGCAGAGATGTGCTGTCATTTTATCGAACGCCTCCGCAACGCGGACGCCGGAAACTTGTGCGGACGCTACTTGCCCGACAGCGCCTGGTTCCAGCGCGCCTCGCAGACGACTTACAACGGCACCAGCAGATTTGGTCCTCGTGCCTGCGCATCCACGACGAACCATCATCACCCCGACATCTGCCCTTACGGCATATCATTCGACCTGCTGTACGAGAGATACCTGGACGAGCACCGACAACGGCGTCTCTGGTTGCAGGGGGCCATCGGCGGGTTCGGGCCCCAGAACCCGCCCGACAGCCCCTGGAACGAGTTCTTTGCGGATGTCGCGGCATACAGCTTGCACAACGACGTGCCCACACGGGCGTGGGACTACTGGCGCATCGTGATGTGTCTTCAGGAGAACTACGAGCGGGCCCGCGGCAGACAAGTCGACTACCGCGGTCTCCTGCAATACGGCTGGAAGTACACTAAGCACAGGATCGACACAGACGCCACGATAGTCCGGAGATGCGCCGAGGGCGTTCTATCTGAAGACGAGAAGGATGAGCTCGTTCAAGCTGTCATTGTCGACGCGAGGTCGTACTACTACGACCCTTTCGAGTTCCCGCAGGACCCCGCTAGGTACGAGGCGGCCATCCGCCCCAGATCGTGGGTCGCCAGGGAACTCGCTGAGATGCCCTTCATCAAGAGACTCCCCTCCTGTCCTCCGCCATTGCAGAATCTGAAGCGCGTTTGGAAGTGGGCGGATGTTGACGAGCATAGGAACGTGTGGGTGTGGTGCCAGTACGTTGCCACGGGGGATCACTGGTACCCTCATTACATCGGCAGTGACGACGGGAGCAACGAGGAGTTGAGGGTAGCTCTTCAGAGGAATCGGATGGACCAGATCTGGGAAGAGTCCCAACAGCAGCAGGCGCGTGCTGACGAATCCGAGGGGGTTATTGATCGACGAGAGGCGGAAGAGCAGGAGAAGAATAATGCTTACTCGCAGTTGGAATCTTCCCTTTCGACGGGGGACCTTGGCGATGAGGAAAGCGAGGTCCGGGAGGGAGACTATTATTTCGATTGGAGCGACGAAGAAGGACTGGAACATGAGGACGGCGATGAGGATGGCGACGACAGCTACATGTTCAGCCGTCGACAGGCTGAGGCGGAGAGACGCCATCACCAGCGGGACATTAACCGTCTTACACGGCGGGAGGAGAATATGACGGATAACTGGGGGGGTTATAGCGACTCGGATGAGATCGCGGCCAGTGGCGAGGGATCTTCTAGCTAGTAAGAGAGTTGGGAATATGTGAGATGATGACGGCGTTTGGCGTCTGTGGCTTCTTTTGTCGTTTTGGGTTATAGAGGCGTTCGGTCGTGGGTCGTGGAGATTCAGTCTCCTTATTATCGTAGATTGTATAAAATCAAGTACAATCACACTATGCAACGTTACAAGTGACCTGACGAGGAAAGGTTGGTGTAAAAGAAAGTCCCATTGGGCAAAATGGGCATGTCCAAATATGCAACTTATCATTCATAACTGAAGGGTATCAGTATCTCCTACCACCGCCTAGGTCCTTCGCGCAATGGCCAGTTCGATCATGTAACACGCTGCCTGCCTTGCAGTCTCACCACTTGCTGGTATACACATGAAACCCCAAAGCACTCATTCGCAACACACATGAAAAGACATGGCCATGAAACATAATCCTACAACTTATATACACATCCACTTCCACTCATGTCTCGCCAAAGACGAAAACGCCCTTGCCCTTTCTAAACCCGCCGAGAGCACCCTGGACAGCCTCCTTCAACACCTCCGCCTCGGTCTCCCAGCTCCAGCCGACCTCCTCGAAAGGCACATCCTTGAAGCGCCCCTCGCGGATCATACCCAAGACGTCCTCAATCGCAAACTTGCGGCCCTGGGGATCCCTCTCGTTCCACTTGCTCAGCCAGAAGCCGACGAACCTGATGTCCTTGAAAATGAGGAGACCGGTGGGCAGCATGACGGGCTGCTTCGCCATGCCGCCGTAGCTCACCATCGTGCCGCTCTCGCCCAGGCTGCGCGCGATGGCGGTCGCAGACTTGCCGCCGACGCAGTTCAGCCCCAGACCGACGGGCTCGCGCCCGCCGCGCGTCAGCTCCTTGAGCTGGTCCTTCCACTCGCGCGAGAGGAACTCCTTCTCCGTGACGACGGTGGTGGCGCCGAGGTCCGCGAGCTCCTTCTTCAGCTCCTCCGTCTCCGCCGCGTTCTCTCTCTCCCTGATGACGTTGATGCTACGCAGGCCCCAGAGCTTACCCAGCTGGATCGCGGCGCGGCCGACGCCGCTGTTGGCGCCGTTCTGGATGAACCACCCACCGCGGCCGGGTTCGAGGGCGTTCATGCCGCCGTTCGAGCCGGCCTTGATCTCGCCCGGTCCGTACGTGCGGAGGATGCGGTACGCCGTGCAAGGGTTGACGCTGACTGTCGCAACCTGCGTCGGAGTCAGGCCCTCCTTGGAAACCTTCATGACATCCTTTGCTTCCGCGACGGCGTGCGTGCGCCAAGTACCGAACGACGACGCGGCGGGGATGACCCAGTCGCCCCGCTGCAAGCCGAGATCCTTGGATCCGACGGAGACAACCTCGAAGACACCTTCGTTACCCGGGATCGCAGAGGGCTCGGAGGTACCGATAAGGGATGTGAAGGGGGGCTTGGAGCCGTATGTTCCCTGGACGGTGTTGATGTCGGCGGGGTTGATTGGAGCGGCGAGGGCGCGGAGGAGAACGGCGGAGGAGGGAATCGACGGGGAGATGGAGTGGGTGTGCAACCTGAGATCGCCATCGTCAGTTTTTGCTTGAGCGTTACACCTTTTAGGGGGGGTTCAATTGGGGGGGTTATCCGTACTGCAATACATCGCGCGGCTCGCCTTCTTTCGAGAACACCAACGCCTTGGCCTGAGTGTAGCCGTATGGTCCAGACTTGTATCGTCGTGCCACGCGGGGGATCGTCTGCGCTTGTGAAGACACAGCTGGCCGCAGCGCAGACGCCAAGGGGCGCAGGCGCAGCGTCGTCGCCGTAGTTCGCAAGCTCGCCGCCATGTCGTCAGTTGTGGAGGCGCAAGTATACTTGTAAAGAGTCGTTAGGGAGAAAGACACAAACAGAAAAAAAAAAGTCGTTGAATGTCGTCCAATCCTCACAGCCTTGAAGGTTGTGCTCCAAAAAAGCGTACCTACGTAACGCACGGCACTAGCTCGGTAACTGGAGCCGGCCGGCCGAGTCTCTGACGAGCTCACAATGACGTTTGCTAGGGGAGTCCCGGCGGGCGAATCAGCCGAAAGTTAGTTCAGTTGGGGGCTGCGTCCCTGAAGGGGCGGCCAAGCTGTTGTGAAGAGAGGGGGGGTGGCCCACTGTTTCCGCCATTGGCTCCAGCTTCCCACACTCCTCCTGCAGCTCGCTGGGAAAGGGGGGGCCAACGGCAACCGGCAATGCTTCTACGGTAGGCGTCCCGAATCCAGATACGGCCAAGATCTGACGAGGCGTCCGAAGGTTGGTCCCAATCCGGACGGATGCAAAAAGTGACTGGGGATGGCTTTGTCTGGTGTGTAAAGTGACATGTTCTAGCAGGCGCCCACAGCAAACTTCCGTGGCATCTTCAACGTCTAGCTACGCCGAGCTTGTACGCTAAAACTGCCTTGCAGCTGCACTCCTCTCGCCACATGAGGTGATGTGTTCAAGAGGGCCAAAGCGCTAGATTCGGATGACGCGGGGTTCATTGGTTGTCCCTTTATTTTTTTATTTTTTTTCCACCGTTCTATTTGTCCCACCCTCTTCGTGGACATATGGCCTGATACCAATCAGCTGCGACGGATATCGTTGACGGATTTCTTGTGATACGTGAAGTATCGATACAGACGCTCTATCAGAATTAGTTAACATAACATCAAAAACATCTCATGTAGTGCAATGTAGCCAGCAAAGGAGCTTGGCTGTCGGCCATTAAAACGTAAACTTTATTGCGGCTGTTAGTCGCCAGACGCATCGTAGCACCAGGACAGTCTTGAACAACTGTTCTAGGTTTCGATGACGTCTTCATCTGTTGTAGGTGCTCCGTCCCTTCTTCTGTATTCTTTTCCTCCGTGTCGCTCAAGTGCCTGGTTCTACCAGTCCGACACATTATTTTGTTGGCTCACTCATGGTCTGAACTCTGCCCCCGTCTCTTGGCCACAACCTTCTCCCCAAACCACCAGCGCAAACATGTACACCAGAAGGTAAGTCTTACAGTAGGAAAGAACAGGCCCGGGATGAAGAATAAGTTCCGGACCGGGGTGCCAATGTGCTCCAAACAGCGCAATGTAATGAAGAGAAACAAACATAACAAAGAAAGTGTAAACATCGTGTGTCAGAATGAGCCCGCGGTGCGAGCTGGGTATCTTGCATAACTTCTTCCAGTCTTGCCTCCATTTCACATACTGTCTCGTCTCCTCCACCACCGTCCTCCGTCCCCAGCTCTGGCTCGAAAAGAATTCAACTTTGGTAGTAAACGCTAGGAAATTTCATCTTGGTGTGTCCGCTCGGATTCGGTCGTTCGCTCTTCGGCGCATATAGGTGTGGAATCGTGTCCGACAAAGCACCGGTTCCCAACTCCAAAAACCGGATGCTTTGTGTAAATCGTTGTTACTGGTCTGGTGTCTTAGTTCCATTCCGAGCTAGGTGATTACTTGATGTTCTTGAACAGGTCATCACCCAAGCTACCTCCGTCCGTCAAGTCAACCTTGGCCTCGAGCGCGCTCAGCTCGGGAATCATCGGCGGAGGGGGACCGTGGACTTGGGGCCTGCTCTGGGGTCTGCTTTGCGTCTGGCTGCTGTTCGGATGCTCGTATACGACGCTGGCGCGCTTGTGCGGCGGTGAGGAATCATGAGAGCGCAGTCTCTTGAACCACCCGCTGGCACGTCTCGACTTCTTCTCATCGGCAATGCTGCCCTGGCTGCGGCTCATGGGACGGTTGTGGGGGACTCCCCCGTTCGACTGGGACTCGCCCTCTGTATATGCTTGGTTTAGTAAATTTCGGCTGAAGAGACGGCGTATGCTGCCTTGTCTGCTTGAGACTGCTGGAGAAAGTGGTGTATCATCTGAAAATCCTCTCGTACCATTCGTGGTGGCCGGCGAGTTGGGCACTGCCAGGCCGTGGCCATTTGTCTTGTCATTGACCTTTTCCTTGACGGCGGGTTCAGAGTCTTTGGTCACGCTCGCACGCGGGGTCTGGGGAGGCGTGGGTACCTCCTGGACGGGGCTAGGAAGCGGCGGGGGGATATCGGTTCCGTCGGTAAGGGAGCCGAACTTGAAATCGAGCTTGGGAAGCTCAAATCGCTTCGATCCGCCGTTGGTGGAGGTCATGGTGAAGTGTGCGATGGACGACTTTTGTCATCAATTGACGGGATGTAAACGGCAAGATTGGCCCTCAATGGGTCTGTAGAATGGCGAGGTTTGCAGGATTCGCCAACGCAGCCAGACAAACGCGTGACAAGGCAGTGCGGTTCGCCCCGTGGCGTGTGTCGTTGGACGGTGACAAGGGGAGTTGGTACTAGACCCAGTGCGGGCTGCAGCTGTATGGTGCGAGTGGACGAGGTCAACAGCGGAGCAGGAGGCTGGAGAGGCCTGGGGCGGTGGACCTTGGGCAAGAATGGATGCGGACGGCGGTAGTGAGGGTCAAGATTGAAAGGCGGCAGGGTACGACTGGAGCGAGATTGGGTTCTCTTGTGTGGTGGCGTGAATGGCCAGAGAAATGGACAAGTGGACGCCGACGTGCGTTGTGTACCAGGTACTCGTATGGATGCAGGGTACTACAGCGGGTTTGGTGCAGGTACTGCCGCCGGCTTCTGCTATACGTCTCGGTGCAGAGGACGCGGTCGTATTGATAGACGTTGGTGTTGAATACGAGTCGAGGAGGACGTGGCCATGGAACACGGCGTACTATGTGTTCCAAAGGGGGGGGATCAATTTGTTTCTCTCCCCTTTGACTAATGCCAAATGGACGTGGAAAAGGTACAGGAGCAGCAGCAGTGAATGCGAGCTGAAAATACGACACAAGACGAGTCGATGAAAGAAAGGGAGCCGACAGCGAGGGAGAGGGCCCGGATGGTAGTGGAGAAGGAGAAACGAAACAGAAACGACGAGGGATCAACTGGCAATGAATAGGAAGAAAAGACTTGGGTAAAACTTGGTAGCAGTAGTAGGAGTAGTAGTAGACGCGGCAGCAGCAGGGAGCTTCTACGGATGCTCTCGAGGTGCTCCGTGGTGCTGCTACTTGGTAGTGTAATACCGGCGCGGGTTGCTAGACGTGGGTTGGGATGGGGTGGAGGACATGGATGAGATGAGATGGGATTGGATTGGGGGGGACCTGGAGTGGATTTTGAGATGTACTGCAGGGGTCCAGCACCTTGTGTTTGTTAGTGCCAGGTGGTTCCCCGACAGTGGAACGCTTGCACGCACCATGGGCCAGGGGGGTTTGCCCTTGTAATTATGTTTCTAGAGGTCCGCGAGAGGAAAGCAAGTCCCATGCATGCCCATGGATGCATTCATTGCTTGTGTGTCAGGTGCCCAACCGTCCGGAAGCACTCACTACCTTTGGAAAGAAGAAAGGATGGATAGATGGTTGGGCTTTCCGTCACTGGGATGCCATTGCTTGCATAGTTGACGTTACGCGTTGTTGGGGCAGGCTGGAAGGATGCTCTGTCCCGGGAAGGTGGGCAGCTGCCTTTGGAGGGGCTTAGGTACAATGGTACTGCTACTATGTACTACTACATAGTAGTCAGGTGCCTGGGAACAACAATTTTAAGGATAGAGCAGGAAGGGGGGACCCCCAAGAAGCTCGGATCCCAAAAGGAAGGGGAAAAAAAAAAGAAACGGAAGAAAAAAGTACAGGTGCGGGCGTCCCTCCAAGGAAAGTCACACTCATTCTGGGGAGGCCACAGCCGAAAAGTGACATTGATTGACATTGACATGGAAGTCTCTAAGTCCATTCGATACTGCCTTCCCTTGCATTAAACAGCTTACATAAGAGCGAGCATACGACCCCTACATCCACAAGGTTCGCATTATCGACTTCCTAAACACTGCTATTTTCCACCACTGTCACTACATCCCACACACCGAAATGTCAAACATTGACCACGATCAGCGCTGCCTGCCAAAGTCACAGAGAGGCACCCCCGTTAGCTTGGCGTCTTTCGTGTGCCGTCGCACTTTGTTCGTGTAGGTTTCACAGGGGGTGAAACGGAATTCCGTTCGTCAATAACAAATAACAGTAAATTGGTTCTAATCGATGGTTCATGATAGTTGAAAGTAGTGTTGTTGACTAGAAGGTGGGGATATTCCCCCTTGGCCTGTCACGTGGGTCTGGGAGGCTTGGGCCTCTCAGCCTGGCGGGCGTGTGGCTGGAAGTGCCACACGACTCCGTATTCTAACTATCGCAACACTAGAAACTCTCTTTTTATAGTGTTAAAGCGGTTGGAATACGTTATCCCTATATAGTTCCGTCTCCTCGTTAATTCGGCCTCCTATCCCTACTTTCTCCCGTAGTTACGGTCTTGTTACCTATCCCTCTATACGTATCGTTATCGTGTTGCTATTAACGAATCTCTCGAGGGCTTGATTTGGTTTGCTCTTCGTGAAGGCATTAGTAGGGTTGTCTTCGCTGTTAATCTAACGAATTTTTTATAGTTCTTGTCTTTCGTATGATTGTCTTAACGCTATGATATCGATTATAAGTCGCTTTTCTTTAGTAGTACCTAGCTTTACGAGACACTCGTATAGCGAATAAGAATCGGTATAGACAACTATCTAAATCGTTAGTAGGTTAAGGTAGTTAGTAATTATCGCTAGGGTTATGGCGAAGGCGTAGGCTATATCGACGCTAGCAACTATCCCGTAGATCTCTAACGCTAATACGCTGCGGGTAACTTATTTACTCTTCGTAGAGCTATAATAAACGAGGTTACTATAAATCGTAAATTCTCCGTTATTACTATTAGAAGAAGTATCGTTAGCTAGGATGATTAGAAACCCTAATTAGGAGGAGAGGTCGTAGTTATTAGCAAACGACTTATTAACGAAAACGAATAGCTTAGCTATTATAAGGTCGAGTAGGATAAACGTTATTCCTCGGTTAAGCGATTCTATTTGCTATCGAATCCGTTAATTTAGTACTTTTATCGCTTCTAGCAAAGGGTCTTAGTATTAGGTAGTAGTAGATAAATCGAAACAGGCCTCGGGTTAGTAAATTGACGCGATATACGCCTTTCTAGCGCGTTGTTCGACATATTACTATTTTAGGTTAGGTTTAGTAGTCTTAATATATCGTAACTTCTTAGCTTATCCTTTTTGCTTTAAATTAATCGAATTATCGGTTAATAGCGCGACTATCCCTCTATTAAATTAGAAGGGTTTATTAATTATAAGGATATTCTTCGCTTTTACTATAAAAGCCGCTTTTTCTAACTATTCGTCTTCTAATTATAAGAACGCCTTGTCTAATAAACCGAGGGTATCGTCGGTTTATATGCCGATATAGCCAAAGTATAGATTTTCGGTAGATAAGATCAATAAGTCATAGATCGTACGAAGAAGTAACTATCTAGAGATTCTCTCTATAATGCTTATAATACGTTGCCTACTAGTAGGTTCTAGCTTCTGCGATTCCGTATAAAGGCTTTACAACCTCTATAATAGTCCCTTTTAGGTACTAGTCTTGAATTTGCTTCGGTAGGTAGGCGAGAATAGTACGATTAAGCCTTATAGAGGATTAAACGTAGGCTTATATAATATCTCGAAGCCATAGTTATTTCCCTTCTCGTAGGAGTAACAGGGTAATTAATAGAATTAGCTATTAACTTGCTTGCTAAATCGTTAGCGATTAGGTTAATATAGCCTTCTTGCTATCGTCGGCATAACCTTATATTATAAGTCTCGATTTCTCGTAAGGTTTAGTTGTTTTACCCTTGACTTCGTTAACGATATAAGATCGGAAGATTCGTACGTTCTAATGCCTTCTCTTATTAAACTAGGTAAATTTAAATACTCCTCTAGCGATAAGGCTGTTAATCTCTTATTTAGTTAACTATTCGAACGGTTTGCTTAGTATAGTAATGTTAGAAGTATAAGTATATTATACTTCTATTTTACTTATTTATCCTATTTAGTCTTATCTAAGACTTAGTAGGACTTACAAAAGTAACTAGCTAAGAATGGCTGCTTGCTAGTTTAAACATATGACATTCAGATCCCTATGGAATACTCTCTTTAACCTTATCTAAAAGTCTATTTAGTTAAAGAAGATTCTAGTCTGATTTATAAGCTGCTTTATAAGCTAGTTGACGTATATACTTACGTATACTAAACCTAGCTTATAGCTTCCTATATTAGCTATTATAGGCGACGTTATACTACTATATAACTAGCCTAATTCTCTCCCTTAGCTAGCTATTAGTTCCTCAACCAACTCAGCTTCAATATAAGCCTATACATTCTTTACTATTAAAGCCCTACTTCATAAGTACAAGTTCCCTTACTCTAATACCCTGTTATAAGGATATCGTACTATCTACGAGATTCCTACCTACCGTTCCAACAAGTAATAATACCTTCTCGTCGTAGTTTGATTACTAATTCTTCGTCTGCTTGCTCCTTAATCGATAGGAATATTTATTAATAATCTAGGTTATTGTTGAATTCCTCTATGAAGTAGGCGATTAGTAGTAGTCTCTTCCGGGGTCTGCCTAGGCGTCTTCTCGGTAGCTCCGGTGCCTCTTGCGGTTCGTCTGGTTTACTACCTCCGCTAGCGACGATAATCTCGTCGCATACTACTTCCTGCTACGGTATCTTAGCTTTAGGTTCTTCTTCTTCTAGCGCGGCGATGGAATTAGGTAGTTAATCGGGATCTTCGTAGTATAGTTTAACTACGGTAGACCGGAAGGTCTTTAGACTACGTAGCATATCGATAGTATAGGTTTCGCCGTTTATAGCTACTAAAGTAAATAGTCTAGTCTAGCCCTTCTTTTCGCGCTATACTTATACTTACAACCGTAGCGGTAAATTAATAATTAGCTTTATATTAAGGCTATTACAGGTAGCGATAGCTTCTACTACCTATCGCCTTACGTAAAGTTTATATACTTTGCTTATCGCCTTCTTAATCGCTTTCGCCTGCCTTATGACTTCGGGAGATAGTAGCAAATCGTTAGTAATTCGTAGGTATAAGCCGAATACTAAGAGTGTTAGCACTATTCCGTTTAAGCTAGCAGTATCGTTAACTACTTTGACTACTATTTAAAATGCTAATTCTAGCGTAATTATTAAGTCTTCTACTTTAATAATTTCGTACGCTTTCCTTAGAGGTA